TAGGAAACGCAAGGGGGAATCGAGAAGGACATCTATGTACTCGTACTCGAAGGGAAGGTGCGGTGAAGAAGAAGACGACGACGACGATGACATGACATGACATGACGGGACGGGACGGGACGGAGTGACCTTCGACCTTGGAACCTAGGACATGACGCCTTTCGGAAAGTAGCAGACTGTAATGAGACTGGGCGAGGCATCTCGAAGATACAAGCGTCGTCATCAGCACCGATACCAGAAGTCGGCGAGCACAATCGCCTAGTCTGAGGTCAGCGAGAGGGCCGCCACTTGTTCCGAAAGCTTGGAGGAGTCGATCGGGGGCATGTCCTGAGCACCGCCTACAGCGAGGAGGTCCTCGCCCTTGTCAGCATTGCCGCTCTTGCGTCGCTCTGCCTCCGGGGATGCGAGTCCACTATTGCCAGCTGCCCCAGGCCCGCTGCTTCTCCTAGTATTGCTGGGCGATGCGGAGCCAGACGACTTCCTGGGGCCTCCTGCGCCCGTCATCAGACCACCACCCATCACACCGAGAGCCATGGATCGGCCGCATCGGTCTTTCCCGTGGAAGATCTTGAGTTGTTGGTACTCCTCGTGACTCTTCATGGCCTCGATTGCCTTGATGGCGTTCTGGATATTGCAGAAGTTCACAAAGGCACAATTCTTCTCCCGGAGAGAGTTGACCAGCTCGACCTCCCCATGCTCAGAGAAGTCTGCTCTAAGCTTGTCCTCGTTGAAGTAGTCGGGGTCTGAGATATTGCCGATGTAGACGTTGCGAGATCCGCCCGACTGAACGGCCATTGCAATTGCTGGGGAGAGCGGTCCAGAGTGCTTGCCCCAACCGATCTTCAGTCGGCGATTGTGGATCATCACTCCCGAGTACGAGGCCAAGTGTTGGAACGCTAGGGCCGAATTGGCATCTACGAACGTAACAAAGGCAATGTGCTTGTCTGGAATATACCGGACAGTCTGTAGGATGCCTCCTCTAATATGGTTGCAGATCTCTTCTGTCGTGGTGTCAGGGTGGAGGTTGCCGAGGTAGACGGTTCTGTTTCCAATCTGCTGCAGAGCAGAGTTGCTGGGAGCGCCGCCATCGGCTCGATCGGCACCGGGCACTGCTGGGAAGCTTCCACCGCTCCCAACTCCGGATTGGGGACCACTAGCCGGAGCAAAGCCAAAAGCAGTCTGATATCCCAAAGAGGCGGCGGCTGCCATGCCCATCGCAGCAGCTTGACTGTTGTGAGCCTGATTCTGCTGCTGACTTTTGGGGATGTATGCACACCTATCTTTGCCGTAGTGCACTCGCTTGTTCTTCCAAGCCGGCTCATGAGGCAGGTGCGTCACCACCTTGATGGCTGTGGCAATGGACAGGAAATGAACAAATCCGATGTTCTTGTCCCGCACAATCTTGACCTGATCGATGGGACCGAAGCGAGAGAGGTCATCTCGCAGCGACTCTTCCGTCGTGGTGTCGTCATCACCTAGCTGAACATAGACGTTCCTTGTCGCTTGGTGCTGTTGAACATTCAGCAGAACAGGTGTAGGGCAAGGCGATGGCTTTCCCCAGCCGATCTTGAGCTCTCGACCGTGAAGGGAGAGCTTCTTGACTGAGGCATCTGCATGGAAAGCAGCCGCAATGTGACCGTCCAAGAATGAGATGAAGGCACAATTCTTCTCCCCTAACACCCGGACATTTTCGATGGGACCGAACTTGACGTGGTTGAGTAGCTCATCGACAGAAGCATCCGGGGGAAGATTGCCCACGTAGACGGTCCTGCCGTGGTTGGCCTGAGGCGGTGGGGGCATCATGCCAACTCCTGGAACAAAGCTTGCACCGGCTGGTGTAAAGGACGGGTGCGCAGGAAAGCCGCCCAGCAGAGCTGAAGATCCTCCCCCAAGGAAGGGGTTTGGTTGAGAATGGGGCGGCGCAGGCAGAGCACCACCAAAGCCTGGCATAGCGTTCGACATACCCAGGGAAGAGCTGTACGGAGAGATGACCGAAGCTGCAGCAGTCGAAGAGTATGGCGACGTCGGGCCAAGACTACCGAGTCCGGCCTCACTAGCCAAGCCGTTGGAGGATTGTGCTGGTGGGAAGGTTCGACCGTTCATGGGAGATGTGCTTAGGTTTGGGGCTCCCAGGCCGCCCAACGCGGCGTTGCCTCCTGCTCCGCCAGTACCGATGGCCTGATAGGGTGGTTGCTGCTGTCCCACGGGCGAAAGTGGTGGTTGAGACAGAGGGAGGTAGCTCAGGGAAGGAGCCGTTGAGCCAAGTCCCATGGTGAGGACAGAAGGAATGTTGCTATCAGATGTGAACCTGCCCTTTCTTGCGTGCGACCCGAGAGATAGATTGGCGGCACTGGACGAGAGGCCATGCTGGTGCAGCCCTCCCTGGCCTTCGTAGGCTTGCGAGGGGTCTGGACGACTTAGCATGCTGAGGGTATCAAGATCGTAGCTGGGAAGCTGAGTCGCAGCGGCACTCTCCGAAGACGGGAATGCGGAGTCGTAAGGGGAAGAAGCGAAGCGATGCACAGGTGGTTGGCTGCTTGCGTTCATTTGCGAGTAAGAAGGTCGTGTTGAGGGCTATGAGATGGGAAGAAGCCTGGGTCCCTCTAGTGTCCTAAAGCTGGATCTGTGCAAAGGGAGCGTGGGTGCGTTGCAACGAGGCTGAGACGGACGTAGTTGGGAAGCGATTGTAGCATTCAGCGGGCTCAGGCAAGCGTCAGGCAGAGCAGGGAGCTAGACGGACGCAGGGAGATAAAGGTACGCAGGGGAGATGAGCCGTCCGTACGAGTAGGCAGTACTGTCTGAAATGCTTCCTGTTGGCGGATTTGCGAGGTCTGCGAGATTCCGATCTATCGAAGGGAGACGGACTATTCTATCTGCCAATGTTGAGAATGCTGGGAAGGATGTCTCGGGGCAGTATGGCGACGATGCAGAGAAGAAAGGAAGCAGTATTCGTTGCGGGTCGTGGTGCCTCTTTTGTCGTCGGAGTGTAGGTGTGGAGATAGCGCAGCAGGAGAGCAAAGGGGGGGACGAAGCTCAGCTTACTGGTACGTGGGTACGAGGTAATTGTTAGATGGGCCGACGAGGGACGTGGGGAGGCAGCACAAGAAGGAACCACGGTGGGGGGGAATGAAGAGCGCAGTGGTGAGCAGACCGAAGCCAAAGAGGGCCGGGGGGGAACGAGGCGGGGAGGAAGAAGGAGGAGCGAGGGCCCAGCGGAGGATTAGTGCTCTGATTGATTGTCGACGCTGGCGGAGCGGACTCTGAGGCAGACTGTGTGCCTCGAGCCTCTCCCACGCCACGCCCCTCGCACCTCGCCTTCATGCCCCGGCGCGCTTCATCCCAAGTCCTCACGTCGGCAGCAGCAGCCAAGCCATCGGCCACCAGCGGGGCAAGTGGCAGCAGCACAGCTCTCGCAGCCCCGGCGACTCTTCGGTTACAGCGGATCAGGTTCAAGACAAGGGACCAAGGAGTATCATGGCAGGTTGCATTGACAAGGACATCGTCGGCGAATACATAGCAGAGGGACTACAATATGGTATGGACAGGGGTGGAGGGATATGTGGTTGGGAACCGGCGACAATGCCACCTCAGTAGACCTGCAAAAGCGAAGAATCCACCACACCTCTCCAAACTGCATCGTCGACGTCTTGCTCAGCGGCATTGCTATCAACGGGTTCGCCAAGGGGAGTGCTGCAGCCGCTGACATCGTGATCCTGCTGGTCGAGATGTAGGTCTAGGTCCAGATTCATGTCGACACTCAGGTCCAGTCCCAGATCCAGGCCTAGAGAATTGAAGTCCCATGAGCTTGCAGAGGCAGGGTCCGCAGTGTTGATGCCCACGTCGCTGGCGGGAGCAACGCTCACCATGCCAGTTGCTTCTTCAGTGCTGCCGTAGACGCCTTGGTCCTCCTGTTGCTGGTAAGAGGTCTGAGGATGACCCTCACCCGCACCGTCCTGCTGCGCTGCTGCTTCTCCGAGGATGGCTTCGAGTAGCTCACTGGCGAGGCGATGATTGAGTTGGCCGAGGTCTTCGCCGGACGCCGTGACACCTTCGACCTGCTGCTCCGCCTTGACGACCTGCTCGACCGAGTCTTGCTGCCTCTGCTGTTCCCCATCATCAGACGACTCCTCGCCTTGCTTCCCGACTCCCATTCCTCGCTCCGACGAATCCTCGACGACTCTGACGCTGCTGCCATAGTGATGGTCCCATACTGCTCCATCAACCACGCACCCCTGCTCATCCTCGTCGACTCTCCTCCGCTTCTTGTCTCCTCGTCCACACTCGTCGGTGTCACCCCTGCCAATGTCCGCTGTAGGGAATGATTCACCATCGCTGCAGGATGGCAAACATTGGCAGTTGAAGATGAGTGATGCGAGGAGGTAGTGGAGAGGAGAGAAGCGGAGGGAGCCGAGAAGGGGGAGAGGGTGGAAGTCGACGAAGCTGGAACCATCGGCGCTGCGAGAGAGTCAGTCGAGGGAAGGAGAGAGGAGGAGAGGTGAGAAGCAAGAGAGGAGTCGGTCGTGAAGGGGACGAGAGAGGATTGAGATGCGGTGAGAAGGCTGTCGGGGCTATAGGCAGGTACTGCTGGTGCTGATAGTGCTACTGTGGTGGGCGCCACTTGTTCTTGCGTCGAAGGCGATGGTGGAGGGACACTGCTCTTCATGAGTACCTTGACGAGGTCCATGAGTGCGCTGATGCCCTTTTCTGTCTCTGCCACCTTGGCTTCAAGCTCGGCATTGCGTTGACGGAGGGTGATCACTTCCTCTTCGATGGCCGACTGCTCTGCCTTCTTTCGATCACGACTGTTTTGTGCAGACTGCCTGTTGCGGGCCTGTCGTGCAGCTAGACGGGCCAGGCGGGCCGGATCGTCCGGTGAGACTCGCGGGCGCTTCTTGGCAGGCGTTGGGGCGGCATTGACGCTCGCTGTGGACGACGAGGGAGAGGCGGATGGAGTGGATGCATCGCACGAATCTGGCGAGTGAGCACCGTAAGAGGATGAAGGGGAGGACATGTTGGGCGATGTGTTGCTTAGCTGGCCGCCTCTTGGACGCCAAAGTCTAAGAGTGGTGGATGGACAATGACAAGAGGCGGCAGCAGCGGCAGAGGATGAGGATGGTAGAAAGCGAAGGAGGATGTGCTAGTGGCGGCTGCTGTTGTATGTTGCTGAGGGGCGCTGCTCCCGGCTGTGCATTGGGCGCCGCCGGCTGTTATTTGTGTCCCCCCTGCATGGCCACCGCGCAACCTTCCACCGTGGACCTTTCTAGCAGCGACTCAGCGCCACCTCGGAGCGGAATATTGGAAATCAAGCTCCGCCCCCACGCAGGACGCAAGATTGGCGAGGCCGAGGTACCGTACCGTACCGTATGGACAAGAGACGCACAGCTGCCCAGGCTGAGTCTCAGATGCTCTACGTAAACACAGAGAGACAATGCTGTTCACAGATCGAGGATGTTGAGGTTTGTATTTCGCAATCTGCCGATCATTACGCACTATGCCTCCGCCATCTCAACATCCTGATCTTCCCGCGCTCCTTCAGTATCCCCTGCATCGTCCCCGGCCCCTTCTACATCTAGAATAGCGGGAACAGCTGGTACATCAGATGCGACTACTTCGCTGATGTTGGACTCCTCAGCGACTTCGTCTTCCTGCTCAGGCAGAGCCGAAGTGGCGTCTTGTACCTGCTGCGCCTCGTCGATCGGCCTCTCTTCTTGATCTGGTGCTCCCGCTACTTCCTCCTTTGCTTCATCAGTGGCGGCATCTTCGACCTGCTCTGCCTGTTCTTGCTCCTGAATGCCTTGCACTTCGGCCGAGCCCTCGGCGGGCTTGCTGTCCTCCGGCACCTCGACAGACTCTTCCTGCTTGGCCTCCTCGACAACAGCCGGCGGCGGAGGCGGTAGATCCTCCTGCTCTGCAGCAGCGGGAGCGATAGCAGGAGCCACAGCAGCCGTTGGAAGTGCAGTAGAGGCTGCGTTGGCAGCAGCGTTGGCCGCTTCCAATTTCTTCTTCGCCGCTTCCTCTTCCTCCTTTTCGGCTTGAAGCAGCAGCTCCACATCTCCGCCTCCAATCTTGCCCCAGAGGCCGAGCGTACTACTACGAGCGATTCGTAATGCTCGCCAATTGAGAGAAGTCTTCCTCTCTTCGATGAGTTGCAGCTCCTCGTCCGTCTTTTCCAGCTCTTCCCTCCTCTTTTGAGCGGCCGCCTTCTCCTCCTCGTTCGCGTCATCGGCCACGGGCACGATGCCCAGCTTTCTGCGCCTCATCTCCGCCCGCGCTTCCTGCTGCTTAACCAACTTGGCGTAGGTCATCACCGACGGAATACCGGGAGGCAATTCTAGCTGCTCCAGTCCATCTGTCTCGATCTCTACCTCTGTGCCTTCCTCGTTCTCACCGCGCCGCTTGCCTCGTACGATGGGCTCGAGACCTTGCTCCCACAGCTCAGAGAGCGCCGGCGTGCCCAAGATGTGTGGGAATGCAGGTCTCGGACGAAGTAGACTGACGAGGGAGGACTTGCATTTCTCGACGAGAGCAGCATCCAGACCAGGTTTGTCGATGGGTGGGCAATTGTCCGCTTTCCAGTGAATCCAGCGCGACTCTCTCCGCAGAGTCTGCAGGGCCGAATTCTTGAAGTTGCGACCCTCCTCTGTCGGACCTGTGTCTTCGAGAAGGGCGACAATTTCTCTCCACGTCCTGCGAATCCATTGCTCATCGTCCTCTGGCAAAACAAACTCGGCTGCGAGCGGGTGAGCAAGCAAGAGCTGCTTGTTCTTCCAATCACTGCTCTTCTCCTTCTGTGTGGGATTGAAGGCCAAGAGGTACTGGAAGAGGATGAGGTACTGCAAGAGAATGTGCCGGCGGAACGGTGGGCTTCGTAGCTGGTACTCGAAGACGCGACGGCCTGTCAGATACTTGGGAAATGCTCCCTCCAATTCATCCTCTCCCTCTTTCCAGGCTTCATGAACATGCGCTCCGACAAAATTCTGTAGCATCTCCTCGCGCTTGCGCTTCTTGTTGTATGCTGACGATCCTCCTTTTGTCGCGGCTCGCTCAGCCAGCTCGACTTCTCGCTCGCGGCTGCTGGCCTCCGCAAAGACGTCGAGGATACGGCGAGTTCCGGAGCGGAGCTCTTCGATGGGCGAAGGAGGCATGGCGGGCGTTTGAGACCGCGAAGTCAAGGTCGCTACATCGCCTTCTTCGTTCTCTCCCGTCCTCCGAGGAGTGGCATTGCCCGACTGCATGCCATTCGTCTGCTTGCCGAGCTCGTCTGCCTTCGCCTCTTCCTTGCCTACTTCCGAAGGCCGCGGTGTAGCCCCTCCTCCCGGAGTTCCCGCCTTGTCTATTGTTGATAGAGTCGCTTCCTGTGGAGAAGCAAAGAGCAGAGGCGGATTGGAAAAGTACTGCTGCATGGACCAAAAGGTAGTGTAGAAGCTATCGTCCTTTGCTGCGAGGGCCGAAGGATCGGCGTCTTTGTCCACCTCTTCCTCCTCACCAGCTGGCGAGTCCTTCTCCTCTGTCTCTGTCGGATCCTCGATTTTTGTTGTATTGCCGATGTTGAACTCTCCTCTGAGATTGACGCCACTACGCTCTCCTAGAGGAAAGACAGAGCTGAGCAGCGATAGTATACGACCGGATAAAACCAGATGGGACCGAGATGGCTTGGACAGACGGCGAAGAAGGTCGTTGAGGAGGCGCAGCAGAACAAGGCCTTTGCCGCGAGAAGGAGACAGGTCCTGAGGTGACAGACGAAGCCAAAGTCAGATATCACGTAAGACTGCGTGCCTCAGTGGTCGACTGCGAGATTCCGACTCACCCTGGTCAGGTAGCTGACTCTGCTCTCCAAGTAACCAAACACTCTGCAAGCGCTATCTACCGTCAATCTCTCCATGACCTCCTCTATGATCTGCAGGGCCAATGCTCCATCAACTATGTCCACTTCTTGCAGCGATGTGACTGCATCCAGATGTGAATAGACGACGAGAGAGTCTTCCTCGGAGAGAATGACTGTACCGTTCAAGGCATTGCTCTTTCGCAGACGAACCTCCGATGCAGCAATCTCGCGGAAGGTAGTCCAAGTCGAGGTGGTGGTGGTCTCGTCTGCGAAGGTCAGAGATTCTTGCAGCTCTGTCTTGAGAGAGCGCGTAGATTCAACGAGAGCTGTGATGGACGAGTCAGCATCGTCGAATGCGAGCTCGCCGGATACCCATCGCTGCCGGAGGGACGAGGAGAGCTCCGAGAGGGCGGCTGTGAACGTTGCTGTAGCTGCAGCGAGAGCGTCCGATACTGGAGCAGACGAAGGGCCAGCAGTTGCGCCGAGGCCGGCGGGAGCTGCTGCCGCTGTCGCCATTGAACAAGAAAGCTGGCTATCGAGAGGGAACGGCAGTCGGAGACAAGGCAAGGTCGTGCGAGAGTAGGCTAACGTCCGTCCATCAGTCCTTCTCGGAATGCGGAGCTTATGTAAGCCAGACGTCCCACCCAAATTTGGGCTGCTTCCCACTTCCGAGGTCAGTGAAGCTGGTTGCTGCAGCACCCCACCTTGCACCGTAAAGATCGTGGACCAGGATGACGACGACTGAGTCTGTCATGGATGTCGCAGAGCGCGGACAAGTGCCAGTAGGAGCCAAGACACATTCTTCGGTGAGCATCAGGCAAGTTGTGGCTTGTCTGTGACCGAACGCACCGCTGAAAGCTTAGGTGTTTCGGCCAAACAGTACGAGCCACTCAAGGAAATCATGGCACTCTATCCTCGACAATCTGGGCCCATCTTTCACAGCTATACAGACCTAACGCATGCAGCTCGGTGGGAAGAGATGACCGCGGTAGACCTAGGAAAGGAAAAGCAGACTCGCCTGCAGAGGGTCTCTGGCTCAGGGTGGGCGGGACTGATTGGTAGACGGCCTGGTGGAGTGAGTGAGCGAGCAGACAGTAGATGATGAGATGAACGAAGTGAAGCTGATCGCGTTCAACCTCTCACCTGATGTGGTTATTTCGATCTTTCCAGAAGAAGCTCGAAGCAGTAATCCCTTGTCACATCGCAGATACCCTCTCCACCTCTTTGTAAGTCTCTCTACAAGGTCATTTCACCCTTGCAGCATCTCACCACTCCCTTCTCCCGTCCGCTCTACCCTGAACAGCTTCGACGGCATCTACAGCGCTCTCGCCACCCTTTCTTCTTCAGAAGAGCGCTTCGAAGAATTGGAGACGGAGCACATCCTCCTTGCCGTCCTCTCGCCAGACTCGACAGTGGTGTACTACAAGCTGGCAAAGGGATTGGTCAAGCCTGTCAATTGAGTCAAAGAATCTCAAGCAGCACGACGCTTGGAGAACATCCGTAAAACACAGGTCTCTACAGGAGATTCAGTATACCCAGCCCCCTTCAGCGCTCGCGGCGCTTAGCAGCGCAGCGGTCGAGAAGCCGCCGTGCTTGGGTCCGCTGGGGTCCCGCAAATGAACATATCACAGCCTCTGGCGCTGGATGTATCACACGACCCCTCAGCTACAGCTCAGCTCGGGGAGTGACTACTCTTCGCACTGGTGACCAAAGAGCTGAATGCAGCTCCGGCCCAAGGGTGAGAATCAGTCGTCAGAGGGAACGACACTGGTGGATCCTTGAGCTGTGAAGCGATGTAGTCATTGAAGGTGGTAATAGTACAAGTGTATAACGCAAATTTGTGAGCTAGCGCTCCTTCACCGAGGCTTCCTTCAGGGATGAACATCTCAGCCAAAGAGTCTGAGTCCTCCTAGATCCTGCAGGGGCGCCTGCTGTATCTCCTCTTCCTCATCCTCCTCGTCACCGCCCTCTTGCTGCTGCTCCCCTTTGCTCCTCTTGCCACCAGCAGCTCCACCAGGCAGCACATCGATGAGTCTCCCCCTCATCTCCTCGCTCCACTTTTCTCTATTTGCAATCTTTGGCATAAAATTTGCAATCTTCTCAATGACCTCGTACCTCAGTTTCCTCCCCTTGGACGCACGAGTATCGATTCCTTTAATCTTGGTATTTGTGCGAGCGTGGAATTGGAGTGGGGTATTGCTGGCGTGTTGACCACCGAGGGAGGTACCTCCGGTAGAGGAGGACTCGATGAGGGAGCGGAGAAGCGAGGCGTAAAAGTCCGAATCGTCAAACGTGTCGGCACTGACGCTCGAGTCAGCGTCGGCATTGCCGTTCTGAGCTTCGCCCTCGCCCTCGGTAGATGGAGCGCCGATCCTCCTGCCTTCACCGCGGTACTTCCTCGTACGCTCCACGAGGCGCTGCCCTCCCTCGCCAGCCATGGCTGCATCAATCTGCTTTATCAAACTCTGTTCGAACGTCTTGAGGGTAGCACTAAAAGAGTTGTCCGACTGACCACTGTTACGGGTAGAATGCCGATTGAGGGTGGCAGCAGTAAACGGATCGAGGACTTCTCTGCCGAAGCGCAGCGTGAGGGAGAGTAGTTGGGAGTGCGCAGCGAGAGAGTCTTCCTCGCCCTCGGCTCGCTTCCGCTTCGAGCCGACCTTCTCAATGGCCTCGTACAGCTGGTCATGCCCATCTTGTTGCCCGATAAGCTTCGTTTGGGTGTCTAGTAGCAGAGCAGAGTGGTCCAGCAAAGAGGAAGTAAGAGCATCGTGCTCGTCTTGAGCATCCGAGGCGGCCAAGAGGGAAGAATACGCCGCTGGATCCACCCGCCCTAGTCCTCTCCCACCTATCACCTTGTCCACCTTGATACGATTCTCCAATGTCCTCTGCCAGAAAGAGAGCTGCTGCTGGATAGCCTCTCCCTTCTGAGCATCCTCTCTCGCTTGCTCTCGCAACGACTTGGTAAGTTGAGCTTGGGAAGAGAGGGACGAGGAGAGGGTGCGCGAGGCGCCATTTGAGGAGGTGCCATTTGCTTCCTTGACACTCATGGAAGCACCTTGTGTGTCCTTGTCGAAACGGACAGACTTCTTGGCCGGTTGAAGTCGTGGTGAAGATCTTGAAGAGGAGGAAGAAGAGGAAGAAGCAGCAGACGAGTGGATCTCTTCGTCCTCACTCTCGAGCTCCTCATCCGAGTCCAGCTCACTCTCCTCCTCTTCATCCTCACTCCCACTCCCACTTTCGCTGCCCTCCCCACTCTGCCCATCGAGGTCCAAATCTCTCAATCTAGCCTCTCTCCCCTCATACTTCCCACCCAACACTCCCTCCGCCTCGGTCAAGTTGGCCTTCCTGCGTCGCACACTAGGTCCCACATCCGCATAGTGGGCGCGTGAATCATCTTGCTGCTCCTCCTCGTCGGCGGGCGCTACGTCTTGTAGGTCGGAGAGCGACTGAAGGAGAGAGGGCATGCTTAGTGCTCAGCGGATGGGTGGATCAGAGGAGGAGGAGGGAGGGAGGGGGGGAGAGAGTGGGTGGATATGGATGTACGGACCACGGCAGGGAAAGCGACGGCGGGGGGTGGGGACGTGTGGGTGGACCTTCTCACGGAAAGGGAGACGAGCCAAAATTTGTCTCCAGGCGGAGGAGGCGGGAGTGACGGGCGACACGTGACCCCCGCTCCACACTGATCACCAACTCTAAACCACATCAAAAGGCCCTTTGTGATGAAGCGTATTAACAATTAGTGACGGTGTGCATATGACAGGCATGAAAGAAAGAATATGAGACAACAGGGACAAGCAGGGAGCATGTGTCCTCAACACCAGTGTCATGAAGCCTCCTTTTCGTCAGACACAGAGGCACTCTTGGGGCCCTCGGTCATGCGGTCGCCCGAGCTACCGTACCTCTCCAGCAGCTGAGGATCGTCGCCCTCTGCATCATCCACCCCTGCTGTGCGCAGCTGAGGAGCAGCAGCAGGATCAGCATCAGCGCCACTGCTGCGTCTCTGACTCGATGGTGTGAGGATCGTAGCCTCGCTCGGCCCTCGCTGCCTCTCTTTGCCCTTGATACTGCCAGTGGTACGGCCGCTTTCCAGACTGCTCACAGAGGGAGAGGTGTCAGCCGCCGTCGTCGTCGGCGCCGATGCGGTGTATGGGGCTTCCTCGCCCTTGGGGGTGTCCTGAGGAGTAGCGCCCTTGTCTTCCCTGATGGCGTCAAGATAGAAGGGCTTTTCCGGCGAGCGACTTTCTGACAGTCCAAACACAGGAGCGAAGCCAGTGTACTGAGATTGGGGGTCTGAGTTAATTCGCGAAGGGGTTCGTTCCATAGGTGAGGGAGAATTCTCCTTGTAGTCAGACTCCATGATCCCACCCCTCTCGCCGCCTTGGTAGTACGGCGTGGGAAAGGGAATAGAGCCGCTCCTGTAGACGTCCATGCTCCTGTTCCTCTCATTTTCAACAATGCTCCACGCTTCTTCCGCAGCGTCCTGCTCATCGAGGTCGTTGGGCAGCAGGATAGATCGATCGATTGCTACCGGCAGACCACGATGTCGGCCTCGGGTCATCGTCGCAATGACGACCAGCTTGCTCAGTGTGCGGAATCGGCCGGACAAACTGAAGTTGTCGTAGGGCGTGCCGGTACTGAGTCCGACTGTGCCATAGGCGGATGTCAGCTCAAAGAGACAAGAGAAGACGGTAAACCAGCCATTTGAGTCTGCATCCTGAATCTGCGTTCGCTCGATGATGCATACGAGCCAGAGGGCAAAGCCAAGCCACCACATGTCGAAGGCCAGCTGCCGACGTGCGTGTGCACTCAGGTAGGATCCCCACTTTCGAGCACTTGCCGTTGACGGCAGCTCCTCTTCCTCGTCGTCGTCCCCGCCTTTCTCTGTAAAGACACCCAGAGATCTCTCCTCGTAGACGTTCGTGCTTCGCACCGACAGGGCCAGAGGATACGCGGAGATGTACATCATCACGACGTAGAGAAATTGTACTGCCGGTGCAATATCAAGCAAAGATACCACTTGAAATCCAGCAGCTCGTACTGCGAGAGACTGAAAGAGACCGTCGAAGATCCGTTGAGGTACGGGAATCTCTTCCAGCTGTGGGTTGCCAATATCGAGTACCTCGAAAGCAATCCAGTCTGTCGCTGTGAGACCGATGATGATGGCTAGCAGGAACCAGGTCTGACTTGAGGGAAAGAGGTAAACGAAACATCTTCGCGGATGATCGAGGATGAAGCGCAAGGTCTCGTACGAGCGAGACTCCTTGGGGACACATAGGGAGCAGATCCAAATCCAGAATCGGAGGAAAATGGGGAAAGCGGTGTTTCCGATGAGAATAAGGATTCCCATCGGGATGAGCAGGAAGTAGGCATCTGACAGATTGGTCATCGATGTGTCGATCAGAGACATTCCGGTATTTGAGTAGGCTGAAATCGTCTGGAACAACCAGAACCAGGTAGTGTTGGGAACATGAGGAGCTTGAGACTCGAAGACAGGCCGATACTTGTCAAACGACCTGCTTGCCAGATAGGGTGCCACGAGGACGACCATAAAGAAGATGACGCCGAAGAAGTAGATAGGTACGATCTTTGCCAGGAAGTCCAAAGCTCTGTACTCGACGCCTCCCAGTTCATCTCTCTGAGCCTCTGTCAAGCTGTGGAACATTGAGTTGCCGCTGACACTAACGTCAAAGCTCAGGTACGGTGCCGTCTTGGACGCAGCATCGGTCTCTTTACCTAATGAATATGCATGAGTAGAGGCGATGGTCGCGGTACGAGGCATCGTTGTTGACCTCATCAGCTTCTCCCTGGCTCGTGGAAGCGCTTTCGAGAGAACATTGCCTGCAATCTCGAAGGGAGTAGGAAAGCCGCCGAAACCACGCTGTTTCGCAGTCATGGTGGTTGTACGAGTCATTGCGAGGGGCGTAAACCCAGGCGCAGTGTAAGTGCGGTCCAAGGTCCTTTGACGCTGCATTCCGACACCAGTTGGTGGTATCACCCCAGTGGTATATCCTCGCTCTGGGTGTTCTTGTTGAAAGCGCCGCCTGTCACCCGGAGCCACGCGAGGAGGATCTGCAAATTCGATCGTCTGCGATCGTGGCATCCTATCACCTCCATTGGCGCCTAATGCTCCACTCCTGAGCTGCCCATACGGACGCATAGAATTTGGGTTCAGAGCAGACTCGGATCCCCTTCTCGTACGCTCACGGTCAGCCCCAGAGGGATCTGAGCCTCGCCGCCGCCTCATCGTGCTGGGCGCTACGGCATCTTCATCAAAGTGGGTCATTCTGCCTTGATCGATTCGAGGAAGAGAGGGAAAGCCGGGGGATCGGGTGGCATCGCCTCCCTCGGCCTCGTCCTTGCCCTTGCCCTCTGACTGGTGTGAGCGAACGGGATTGAGGCCTTCTTCGAATCTGATGCTTGCCACTTCGGGTGTGGCACTCTTACTATTGCCCGAAGACTGACGCAGCTCTTGAGGCGACTCGGTCAAGCCATCCTCGGCGCTCAAGATGCTCTTCCGACGCTGTGTCTGCAAAGATGACAGCTCTGGGGGCGACGAGACGCGCACAAAGGGCTGCTGGCCCCCGCTTGATCCAGCATGAGGATGCTCCTCGGACGTGTTGAGAATGCTACCCTGCTGAACCGTCGACTGCTCTGGCATGGGGCGTCTGCTGTCGTCCTCTTCCTCTATTGACCTACGGGGACTGTTCCTGCCAGAGGAGGGTATACCATTTCCGTTGATCAGCACGGCGGGCTGATCAACACGCACGACCATGTCGGCCGTCAGAGGGCCTTTTCTCTTCTTGGTGACCTCTTTCTTCTTCTTGAGCCGTTGTAGTCTCTCGGCTTCTAGCTCAGCCTCTGCCATCCTTTGCGTCGAGGAAGTCGTAGCGGGGGACAGTCCATCGTCTGAATCATCGGGAGAGCGATGATGCCTATGCTTGCCACCCAAGCCAATCATTCTGCGCAGCCTGATCATCTCCTTGCGCTTCTCGAGGTTGTGAGCCTGCTCGACGTCTTGGGCCCTCTTCCTAGCTGCAGCATTGCTTTTGATGACCCGGTCGAACTTGACTCTGAAGAAGTGTCGCCTGACGGCAATCATTGTGACGGATACTGCAGAGATGTTGCCGATCCACATGAGAATGAAGAGGATGACTTGTTGCCATATTGTAGCTGTGGAGATGTTGATGGTGACGAGTCCTGTGACTGTCATTGCGGAGACGCATACAAAGTAACAGTCGATGAAGGGAATGTTGTTGTCTTCATTGGAACCCCAGAAGATGCACGCGGCGATCAGGGGGACGAAGACGAAGAAGAGGACGTGAATACGCTGCGAGGTCAGGGGTTTGAGCGAGGGTCAGCGATGAGCGACGGAGGGCAGGGCGCCCGACTGGGACGACGGTGGTACTGACGTAAAAATTGAGCTCGGCACGGAGCAGGGCTGCTACCCTGTTCCAAAAGCGATTGGCTGGCTGCAAGAAGGCGGGTACAGTAGGTTCCTCCTTCACCCGCTGTGTGGATGTCAGCCCATTGGTCCTTAGGCCCCAGACCATGATGGACAGAGGGCCTTGCCTTGTCGGCTAAGGGCGGGAGCTCTGTTCTGGCGAGATGTAGTGGTTGCGAGCAGAGCGAAGGGTGCAAGGCGGTCGCCTGCCCTCTTGCTCTCTACCCTACACTGTGTCACCTCGCAGAGATGGTAGACGGGGACGAGAAGCAGCGAGGCGCACAGAAAGACGGAGGCGGCGGAAACGGACCCCACGTGGGCTGCCTTGGTGGCTCAACGTTTGTTGGCCGGGGAGAAGCGAATGTTGATGAGGTGGAGCGGATAGGGATTGGTATCAGTGGTGTAGTTCGTCTATAAGCAGTCGCAGTGGATAATAATAATCACAGGTGACCCCCGGTACGAGGTGGAGTGCACTAGGCCTAGAGGGCCAAAGGGGGAGGGAGCATCGGCCTGAGTTGCGTGTAGCGAGGCCGGCGGATGCTCCAGCCATTTGTTATGGCCCTCGTGGGCGGCGGGACCTTTTTCTGCCCCGCTACCCACGCAGCCACGGCCAACCCATCGGGCGCGGGACAGACGCCGCACGACGCGCCCTGCTTTACTTCCGCTTCCCCGCCCGCCCTCGGCAAGGAAGCCACTTCTTCTCGCAGTGTTGCTCCTCCAAAACCCCAACACATCCGACCCAACTCCCTCGACTGGTAGCATACACTCCCTCTCGCACATAGCATATAGACCAAAACACTCTCCTACGTCTGTAGCGCCCACCACTCGCACCCTTCACACACACACTCTCTCTCCAAGATGCCTTCCCACTCGCCAATCTACGATGCCCTCGCCGGCCTCTTCCCCTCCAACGCGCCCCGGTCACTATACATCTGGGACCCACCCAACACGCCCCTCTCCACACCCCAGGCGGCAGCAGCAGCCATTGCCACCTACCTCGTAGTCATCTTCGGAGGCAGATATTTTATGAAGGACAGGAGAGCCCTTGGAGAAAGTCTCAAGATCCCGTTCCTGATCCATAACCTCGCACTCACCATTGGAAGTGGAGCACTCTTGGCCGTCATGCTAGAAGAAGTCTTGCCCATTCTCAACAGAGGGGGAGCACTTTACGGCATCTGTCATCCTGCCGCATGGACTACAGTGAGCAGACATACGCGCTTCGGCGGCATCGAGACGCGATTGATTAGAGAAGCGCTAACCAGCGGCTGCTTCCGCTCGCCTTCGTTCCTGACCATTTCGTAGAGGCTAGAGACATTTTATCTGTGAGGAGAGCATGGGCCACGTCGTCTTTGCGTGATTGCAGCGACTGAATTTCTCTACTGACGCCTTTCCACCGACTGCGTCTCTTTCACGCCTGCGTCCGATTCAATTCGCAGCATCAACTACTACTTGTGAGTACAACCGCGCCTTAGCGAGCCGCATAGCTAGGGAGCATCGTGAATTGACAACGAGCATCGCCGCCTACCCCCGTCTCATCCTCACAGCAAATAGTACGTGATGCAGAATCGGCGAATCTGGCGTCCAGGAGGCTCACTTGACTCATCATCTCTGTCCCTTGACTCTTCCGCTTCCTCTCAGCTGGGAGCTTCTCGACACCGTCTTCCTTGGTCAGTCGACGTCGGAGCCCGTGCTCAAGCTTGCCTGATAAGCGTACTGACGCCCAGACCTACGAACCTTTGCCCTCGATAGTGCTCAAGAAGAAGCCTTTGCAATTCCTGCATGGTAAGTCGTCGGCAAGCGCCAGCCCTTCTTGTCTTGCTTCGCTGACGCTCGCTTCCCACTCTCGCATACATTGCATCTGCTTGACATTCTCGCCCAGTCTACCACCACTCTGCTACCGCTCTCCTTTGCTACACTCAGCTGACCGGCAAGACGTCGGTGTCATGGGTGGTCATCGTGCTAAACCTCGCAGTCCACGTGATCATGTGTGAGTATCTATCGTAGCGTGGAGTAGCAGCGCGGTCGTTATCATTGTGGCTACATACTGACCACTGCCCTCTATTCTCTTGTGCCATCCTCACTGCCATCCTCACTGCCAGACTTCTACTACGCTCTCTCAAGTCTGAAGATTCGGGTCCCCTGGAAACAGCTGGTGACCGTTTGCCAGATTACTCAGGTGAGCATACCGGGCCAAGTGACCTCTACCCATCCCTCCTACCGTCGCCATCGAGCTCGTCCGCTCAATCCTCTTTCATCCCTTCTTCGTCTTTGCAGTTCGTCATCGACCTCTGCGTCGTCTACTTTGCCTGCGCCGTGCACTGGAGCTACAGTCAAAACATCAAGCTCCCCTTCTTCTCCAAGCCCACTGACTGCTCCGGCTCAGAAGGAGCCGCTCTTGCTGGCTGTGCATGCTTGACCAGCTAGTGAGTTATCAGCGCACAGTCGAACACACATTCCACAGACTCACTCACGTAACATTCTGCTTTTCCTGTTTGACTTGTCTCTACAGCCTCTTCCTCTTCCTGAGCTTTTACGCCCGCACATACAAGAAGGACGGCAAGGCCGGTGTCAAAAAGGCCGCTGCCAATGGTCGTCCGATTGCCGGTAATGGCAGGATCAACAGCAATGGCAATGGCAAGAGCAACGGACAGGCTTCGAAGCAGTAAGCCTTGCCGGGCAGAGTTGGGAGGAAAAAAGGAAAGAGGAAGGATAGGGATGGGAATGGGATGGAGAGAAAGGTGCATTGGAGACGCTACGATGCGGTATAGCAGTCCAGTCGCGCATAGTCGCACAAGCTGCCGTTCACGGTGCTGTGCGCCTGCAACATCTGTGCAGGCAACCTAGCGAGGAAAGTGGGCAGGGCCGTCTGCAGGCCTCGTGGCTAAGAATGGAGATTTGGAGGGCGCCAGAGGCGGGATGGCTGAGCATGGGAGTGGTCAGTAGCCAGGTCAAGTCCAGCCGACATGCTGGCTGGCTGGCTGGCTACCGGCCTGCCTTCAGTCGAACCGGTCCCGGGCAAGGAAGGAAGGGGGAAAGGAGGAAAGGGGGAGAAGGGAGCAACCCCGAGCGGTACACACACCAATACACAAACGTGCGATCCCAACTGTCGTTTAGTCGAAACCCATAGAGGATCTCTCCAGGACGACTTTACTTTTGTTCACTTGTCACTAGATTCCCTCTCTCTGTAGATGGATTACGCTCTATGCCTTATGCTATGCTATGCAATGCAAATATGACTTATGCTCTTGTGCTCTTATGCTCTTATGCTCTTATGCTCTTTGCTCGTAGGTCGTAGGTCATGTCCTCATCTGTCCTCCTTTCGTTATGATAAGACTTTACTTGCTTCTAGAGCGCTCAGCGCTCAGCGTGTCCGTCTAGACTAGGCGACAGATCCATGGTCCCCACCATCTAGACTAGCTGAGGGTTCGCTTGGTACTAGCCCGTTTATCCGTCAGCCACTCAGCCAGCCAGCCAGCCAGTCCATCGAGCAGTACAACCTCCCTTGAAACTCAATTGGCGGATCACGCGATTCAAGGCCAAGTGTCAGTGCGAATGATGATGGAAATTTGATGTGTGTGTGTGTGCCGAGAAAGTGTGTGGGGGTGGTGTGGTGTGGTTTTGAAAGAAGTACAAGGGGGGAGACACGGTCACGGTCACGCAAACATACCACCACGAGACTTCGATCGATAGGACAGAGTATAGCTCGCCCCTATATCGCGGGTTGAGAGCTCTGCACCACCAAATCGAAGGTCCCATCATCCAGCTCTCATCTACCACTCAAAGCATAGATCCAAGCCTTGCAAGGATCACTTTACTTGAGGGGGATGAAGCGGGAGCTGTTGGTGGAACCCAGTCCTGGCTTTCCGTGTCGGGTGGGAATGTAGGACATGGAGAACTCGGCGAGGTAGTGGCCGGTCATCTCGGGCCTGATCTCGACGGTGTTGAAGACCTTTCCGTTGTAAATGGAAATGACCGAGCCGATCATCTCGGGCACAACGACCATGTCTGGTAAGAGGGAGAGGTGAGGGGGGCAAATCGGAAAGGGTGAGCTATACTGTGCCGTGGGTAGTGATCCTCTTCATGTGTGCTGTGTACTCACCACGCAGGTGGGTCTTGACGGGTGCGGGCTTCTCGTTGGGGGGAGCCTCAGCCTTAGCCTTGCGGAGCTTCTTGATGAGACCCATTGGCTTACGCTTGAGACCACGCTGGAACCTCCTTCGAACACGGGCGTGGACAATCTTCATGAAGTCCTCGTTGCTCATGTCGAGCAGCGAGTCCAGCTCCACTCCACGGTAGGAGAACTTTCGGAAGGATCGTGCTCGCTTCTTCTCAGCGGCGGCCTGGGCATCGTAGTCATCCACTGCGAAAGGAGAAGTGAAGCGTGATGAGTCAGTATGACGCTGGTGTAGAGCAAGAGGATGGCCTTGGAAAGCAGCGGCGATGTCATGACCTCGCAAAGCCACAGCTAGGAAGGGTCTTTGCAATCGTGCTATCACCACCTCCATCGCTTATCTCATTGAGACTGCACCCGCTCATATTTCATGCCTCTACCTGCCTGAGAAGCGAGAGTCACGGGCAATCGAGACCGATCGCTGAGCTGTCGCATCGTCTGCGCCTCTGATGAAGTGGTTGTCTGCCTACAGCTAGCCTCGTCTCGTTACCTGACCCTCGCTCTCAGCAGGAGTAGAGCATACACCCCTCCCCTGCGCTATTACGACCTCCCAATTGCGAAGCTCTCATATCTGCGGTGACAGCCGAGGCTTTGACAGAACCACACTGCTGATGCAGATCTCTTTTTCAGGAACCAGCATTGTGTGTCTTCGTGCGACCTGTCCTTGGCAGCAGCTTGGCTTCATCAAATCCCTTGTCCCCCTTTCTGCCTAGCCGACGTTGTGCCAGGCAGACCGATTCTTCTCTGCGCATATTGGAGCAGTGATACGTGTGTCGATGTGCAAATGATACCCACTGATTGCGGTGGTTACTTGATGTGATGAGGTGTGGGTGGAAGGAGGATGGTATGCGTGAGGGAAAGGACAGAGGGGAGGCGAGGTTGGGATGGAAATTCCTGAGCCACGGCGCCTGGCGTGCGGGCGAGGCAGGCGGGCGGGGGTGCGCTCGCGGGAGAAAGGCCAGGGCGGGCGGGAGGGAGCGCAGGCAGGCAGACAGACAGGCAGGGGAGCGGCGGCTGCAGTGCCCTCGAGCCGCAATAGCCGTCACGTGCAGCGGCAGCCAGCCAGCCAGCCAGCCTGTCCCCTCTGCGCTCAGCCAAGGACACAGGCACAGGCAGCAGCAGCCACACACGCCCGCACCCACGGCCATGCGCACGCCGTCCAAGGAGCGGGCAGGCGCACCCACGCAGCCAGGCCACAAAAATTGCAACGGGCATACCAAGCATCCTTCTTCCTCTCCTCACGCCAACTTCTTAAGCCTTAAGGTGAGTAATCGCAAGCAAGCAAGGCAGGGTAGTCTGCACGAACAGTACAAGAGAGCCAACAGCTCATTTCCCCCTGCATCTACAATCCTCCTCACCACCCTCTCAGAACGCAAGTCTTCCAACTCGGATCAAAGCCAACTCCCAGCGGATTTGCGTCGGCACTCTTAAACTCTTTTCCCAAACAAAACTCAAACTAAAGATGAAGCACATCGCAGCTTACCTTCTCCTCACCCTCGGTGGCAACACCTCTCCTTCTGCCAGCGACATCAAGTCTCTGCTGGAGACTGTTGGCATTGATGCTGACTCTGAGCGATTGGACAAGCTGATCTCTGAGCTCCAGGGCAAGGACATTAACGAGCTCATCCTCGAGGGACAGGGCAAGCTTGCCTCGGTACCCTCCGGTGGTGTTGCTGCTGCTGGTGGTGCCTCTGCTGGTGCCGCTGCTGGTGGTGCTGCCCCTGCTGCTGAGAAGGAGGAGGAGAAGAAGGAGGAGGAGAAGGAGGAGTCTGACGATGGTGAGTACGCTCAAAATGGGCGGAGAAACGATAGCGCTTTTAAAACGGTTTTCATTGCTCACATCCGCTTGCGCATCTCTGCCTCTCTTCATCCCACCAGACATGGGCTTCGGTCTCTTCGACTAAACGTCTCTCCCCCTCTCTCTCGCACCTCGACGACGTGTGCGACCAACACTCTGCCAACTTCGAGAGCGTATGGCTCCACTCGTCTGTCACTCCTGCAAACCCCTGCTTCGCGAACTGTCAGAAGGGTTCTCTCTTCTCTCTTGTATGCAAATTACTGCCAGTGAGAAGAATGCATTTCTGATGATTCGTTCCTACATGAGTCTTTGAGTGGCAACATATGAACAGGAGTGATGTGCAGCAGTGCTTTCGATTGAGAACCTATGAGAACCCTTCCAACTCCCTCTCTCCTACCTACTCATTTACATCTCCGTATAAGGGGGCAACTGCTCACTCTCCGCTTGATCAAAATCACTGTCCACACCCCGACGAGTGATGGTGCCATCGCGTCTGATCCTAGCTCTCACACCACCATCGGTACTTGCACCATCAGTGGAGTGATGTGAAATACCTGCAGCGAGGGCAAGACCCACACCACCTGCCCCACCTGCTGCACCTGCTGCACCACCTGTTCCGCTGTCTCCGCTAGTGCCTTCGCTAGTGGGTTTACCAGCAGGGTTGCTAGAGGAGTACGGTGAAGAGGGGAACCCACCAGGGACCGACCCTACATCCGAGCTGCCGCCACCACTGAGGGGAGGAGCTGCTCCCGTGGCCGTGCTCACTCCGGGACTTGTACCAGTAGATGCACCGTAGCCCTGCCCCGTTCCCTGCCCTACACCACCACCACCACCACCAGCACCACCACCACCTCTACTGACAAAGTCTGCAGAAGGGACTCTCAATACTTCTGGTCGTACACTACCAGAGGAGAGGGGCGAAGCGTGCGGAGGTGGGAGGTACGCCGGAGTCGTATTGCCTACCGGTCCTTGTCCCTGCCCTTGCCCTTGTCCCTCGCCATAGTCAGAAGACACCCTCTGTGTCACCGGTCGTGCAGGTAGAGAAGGAGAGAGGACCCCCGCTCCAGCGGTACCAAGCTGGCTCTGGCTGGGACTCATACCAGGAGAGATTGGGTTGCCAGCTCTGTAAGCGCTAGAGCGTCTCCTAGGCTGGAGTGTTCCCGAAAGTGGTCCTGGTCCAGAGGGGGAAGAAGGGATCACCTGCCCCGTTTCGGCAACGGTTGGACCAGGGGGAGCAGAATCGGCACCGAGATCCTCGATGGCTTCATTGTTGGTCTCGCCCTCGCGACCGGAAAGGTAGGTAGAGCCAGCGCCAGAGACCCCACCAGGGGTAGTGCGCGAATCGCGACGACCGTGGGAGGGCGAGCTGGGCACGTTGACATGATCGGCGAATGGATCGGCCGACGAATAGAGCCCAGCAGCGGCAACTCCAAGAGCTGCACCGGTCTGTTGGCTCCCGCGTGCCTGCTGGGTACCTGCCGTTGATACAAAGTCAGACCCAGAAGAAGAGGCAAATTCGATGCTCCAGTAGATGGGCTTGTCCGTCTCGAGGGTGACTTCGCTACTCTCAGCACCTAGCACGTGGTTCGAGGTGGAGAGATAGCCGCCCATGGATTGAGGTTGAGAGGGATCTGTAAGAGTGAGGTGGGTATTGTTAGTCAGAAAGGTCCCCGAGATCGACCCCAGGCCTCATGCGGTCGTACTTACCAAGGTCCCACTCCAGGCCCTGCGTCTTGACTCTCGCACCGACTTTATCCCCGCTAGCCTCTACGCCCAAGGGTAAAATACCACAGCAGACGCCCAGCGCAGGTCTCGGGTGCCTCAGCTTGTGGACCCCAGCCGGGACCAGGTAGACGAGACTCTCATCTCCTACGACCCACGTCTTGCTTCTCTTCTCCAAGTTGCCACCTCGCCGTCCCTCTTCAGTCGTCGCATCCACCCCCGGGTCTTCATATCCGCCCACCGAAGTCAGAGAGGGGCAGAGTTTCCAGAGTACGTGCAAAGTGTGCGCCGTTTGGTCCATGCGACCGGAGAGACCGCCCCAGATGACGAGTTCCAGCTGCTCGTGCGTCTGCTCCCAGTCTTCGAGCCACTGGATGCTCTTCCCCAGATCCGTTGCGTACTGGCTGGGACGATGAGCGAGATGGACGTTGGCTGACTCGAAGTAGGAGCGGCTAGAGGGAGTGAGAGAGTCAAAGTCGCCCACGATGGCGTTTGGCATGGGCAGGGTAGAGTTCAGCTCGGACCCAAAGGTGTGGAGCAGCTGATTAGCACCGCCGTCAGCGCAGATTCGCACTTGAGCCCCGGTCCAAACCTTCTTGAAGAGCTCTTTCTGATGATCTGCAATGACTTGATTCAACAGCACCACTGCGTACGGCGCGCCAGGCGTCTGACCTTGACTTGCGTGACCAGTCCTCAAGAAGCTAGGGTCCCAGTAATTCAGAGCAGTAGTAGACGAAGCTGTCAGGGGAGGCGGCACTCGATGGGTGGAAACAGAGCCGGCTTCGCTGCGAGCAGGGACTGGAGGAGGCTGCGAGCCAATGCCGCCAATGCCGGACGAGGGCTGATGTAGTGAGCCGCCAGTAGCCAAGAGAGGAGGAACGACATCCGTGGTAGCGCCCTCGGTGTGACGTGGAGGCAACGGCGGCCCGGACGCAGTTGAACCTCCTGTGTGACGGGGAGGCAGAGCGGGTGGGTCTGCAGCTCTGCCATGCTCTGGCAGAGAAGACATAGGCGTGTAGGCGCTCCGATGCGCTGCTCGCTGCTTCTCTTCTGCAGCAGACGGGTAGGCTTCTTCATCTTGAGCTAGCTCGCGAGCGTGCGTCGTCTCAAAGGAGAGGAAAGAGGCAGCATCGCTCTGAGTCGTTGTTTCCTCCAGTCCTGCCGAGTGGCTCTGAGGGTCCGATAGCTCGTAAGAGAGAGTGGGGATCGGCGTTTGGGGTACGTAGGCTCTCAGAGCTGGCTCAACAAGCGCACGAATCTGTGCCGTCTTAGCAGAGCCCGCCCATTTGCCCTGGCCTACACCGTGGTGCTGCGCAGGGAAAGGAGCAACCTCATCCACGGGCACTTGTTGCATCAGGAGCTTGCCATACGAGGCGACCAGTGCCATCTTTTCTCCGTGAGCGATATACGAATCGAATTGCGCATCAAAGCATGCCTGCAACTTTTGCCTCTTGAGTTTGCTCAAAGCCTCTTCTTCGCCTTTTGCGTCCTGTTGAAGCTGGTCAAGCTGTGCATGCAGCTGGTCTGCTTTTGTCGGTCCACCCGCAACGACGACTCGCTCAGAGACGAGCGTCTGAAGTTCCTTGATGAGCTTGACCCTTTGGGAGCGCTTCCCTGCCAATTCCAATTCAGCAGTCTGCACCTCTTTGAGCTGACTCCTAGCCCTGCTAAGTCGCTCGGAGTGCTCCGCCTCCAGATCGCCTATAGTAGAGAGGAGAAACGCCAGCCTGTCGCTCAAGTCCACCAGTACATCATCGCCCGCTCCATCCAACCTACTACCATCGGCCTTATGGTCAACTCCCCATCTAAAGACTTTTGCAGCAGCCGTCTTCGTCTCTCGACTGAGGGCAACTTCATCAATGACGACTCCCTTGAGGGAACCACGTAACACGTGGAGGGACCGAGTAGCTTCAAAGCGTGGGTCTACACTTGCTAGACCTGCTCGAAAGACATGGGGAAGTCCACCCTTGTAGGTAAACCCTGAAGAGGAAGAAGTGGTTCCACCACTAGCACCACCACTGCCGGCTCCAGCAGTGGCTGCGTAGCCATCGGCCCCATCGATGGAAGAAGAGGTAGAGTGATGTCCATCTGTACTGTGTGATTGAGAGCCGGAAGAGAGTTGTGCAGCTGCGCCTTGAGCTCGATCCCGAGCACGCTGGAAGAAGGAAGACATCGTCGATGCTGTCGTCCCAGAGTGAGTGTAGTACGATGGCGCTGGTGATGTGCGGGAGAGGGCAAAGCAGTGCTGGCTAGCGCTAGGGCCCCTGTGGTGCGAGTGAGTTGGTCTGAGCGGAGAGCGCGTCAAGTGGAGCTGCAGTTCTGCCGGCTGGGTCGAAGCGGCACAGGGCAAGAGGCAGTCAGAAGCGTCACAGAGCACAACACAGCCTTACAGCCCTCATAGCTATGCAGCATCACACACTGGAGTAAGGGAGGGAGTGCGGGCAGCGATCTTCTCTGAGATGGCCACTGCAAGCCTTGAAGGTGGGAATAGATTCGATTCTGATAGAGGAATCAAGGTGTAAAAGGAGCGAGTGTGGTGGTAGGGGACCGAGCGAAAAGAGGCGACCCCCAAGAAAAGAGACCAAGAGAGAGTGGAACAATGGAAGACACGTCGACTCGACACGTCTCCCGTGAGCAGTTGAAGTTCTGCAGGTACTGCCGCTTCTGCACGGCAGCCAACAGCTAAAGGTCCTTCCGATATCCAGGGACCAGCCAACGCCGCAGACCCTCTTTAGTACCGCACGCCAAACGCCCGATCCATATCTGCTCGTCGCCACTGCTGCAACATCTCGCCCGAAGGGATGGGCAGCAGATCTCTCGCCTCCATCAGACTTCTCCTAGCAGCCGATGATCCTCCTCTTCCACAGTTGTTGCCCTGGGTGCAGACAACGGCAGCGACGACGGCGGCAATGACCAGGATGAGGATGACAAAGATGATGAAGCAGATCTTCCTCTTCTTCCTGGCTGCCCGGGCAGACACTACTGCCTTGTTCGTCGCTTGCAGACCGGCAGACATGTCCTGCTCCACATTGACGGCGGTAGACTCAATGGCATTGACCTGATCGTCCTGCTCGGTGATGAGGATGTCCATTTCTTGGAAGAGCTGCGCAAGCTCCACAATGGTCCTCTCAATCCGCTTGATGTCTTCGTGTCGCTCTTGCACCTCTCGAAGTGCACCACGAGCCTCACCATGTCGATTCGAATTGAGGAGAGCCTGGGAGAAAATTTGACCTCCATTGTCCTCGTCCAGTGCAGCCTTGACCTCCTGAGCGCTGGCGTCTGGCTTGACAATCCGGAACTGACGCTCCTGCTTCTGACGGTACTTTTGCCGATACACCTGCTCCACTTCCTGGTAATTTTGAATCACACCCTTGAATTGGTTCTTCAATGAGCCCACCTGGGTCTTTCTCACATTCTTGTCTCCGCCATTGGGCACCTTTGTGGTCTGAGCCTCGAGGAGCTTAATGCGCATCTTGACCGTGTTTGTCAGGCGGGAGGTCTCTTGCGAAATAGCGCCCAGGTTTGCGTGAGCCTGTTGAGATGCAGCTTCGTCAATGCTGTTCAGAGAGCGGTTGTGCAAATCGGCAATGCGCTTGACATTGTCCTCGATCTGACGGATCATACTTCAAAGCGCCGGGAAAAAGGGGCAACGACACGAAAGAGTCAGTAGACTGCCTCGGTCTAGCTTTTCACTTTGTCACTCCCATACTCACTCCTGGATCTGAGAAATCTCTCCAAAGAACGCATTCATGTCACCAGGTCCAGCTGGCTTCTGCGTCATCTCGTACGCCTCAGCTCCACCATTGGCAGGGGCACCATACGCCGCACCACCACCACCGTAGCCGCCCTGCTGAGGATACTGCTGCTGCTGGGGTTGACCATATCCTTCCTGACCACCGGTTGGCTGTCCGTAAGAACCCTGATTGTACTGCTCCTGCTGACCGTAGCCTTGGTGTGGCTGAGGGAAGGCCTGCTGTGGCTGCTGCTGCTGTTGGGGCTGACCGTAGCCTTGCTGAGCAGGCTGACCATAGCCTCCTGGCTGGGTTTGCTGCTGCTCGGCAAAGTTGCCTGGGTTGTACCCACCGGCAGCCTGCTGCTGGGAAGGGTAGGCATGGTCTCCATAGCCATTGTTGCCCTGACCTCCGTATCCACCGTATCCACTAGCTCCACCTCCGCCAGCCTGCTGGGCCTGTCAATGCAAGAGAGGAGGTGTTTGTGTCAAGAGTCAGTGGGACCGCTTGCCGAATTTCGTCGCCCCTGTCTGGACATGACCAAGTTTACTCACCCTCATAGCGGCGAGTCTATCGCGAGCCATTGTGAGCTAAAGGGAATGGTCGGAATAGGGAGTCGGTACTATTTGACAGAAATGTGGCAAGAGGGAAAAGGGCTTCGCAAGAGGGGCGAAGAGTCCAGTCTCGGGTTCTGCGTCAAAGCAAGATGAAGTTGAGGAGTAGATTGCCGGAGCAAAAGGAGGGGAGCAACTAGTCCTGAAGGGTGTTTTTGCTTGTCAGATGTTAGCTGACAGGTGTGATGTGACAGGTAGCTATAGAAGCGCTATTGCTCGGTGTCGCTGTCTTTTCGGACCTTTCCGCTTTGCTCTGAGGAATAAGAGTAATCGGGCCTGGAGAGGCGGAGCAACGAGGCAAGCAGTACCCACGCGAGGGACTGAGGTAGGCAGGCGGCAAGAGTCTGACAGGACGTCGGAGTAGCGCAGTGCTGTTCTCCCTTGGCAGTACCGGTGAGGTGAAGAGAGGAGGGAGCGTGTGTGTAGGTGAGGGAGGAGCGTCGTGGGCCGAGACAGAGAGGTGAAAGGGGAGGTGAAGGGGAGGCGAAGGCGGGGAAGAGGGGATGGTGGTGGATGTTGCGAGGCAGAAGGCGAAAGCGGACACGAGGTGTGCCTGTGTGCGTGCGTGCAGGCAGGCAGGCAGGCAGGCAGGCAGCAGCAGCCACTCACTAACTGGGCTTCCCGAAAGGGGTAAAGCACTGAAGCAGGCAGGCAGCCAGCCAGCCGGGGGGCTGGCAGCCGTTCCGCTTTCCGTCTTCCGTTCCGTTGTGAGACCGCGCAATGGCGCGTGCATAGGCCGGTGGCCCCTGCGTCTTGTCCACTGAGCGCTCCCCTCATCCTCCGTCATTGCCCAACGCCCTGTCTCTGACTACGGCTTCCCAAACCTGGAGCCCTTGCATACATGACGACCCAGTACACCTTATCCTCCTCTTCGTGGACTGGAGACAGCCTCGTTCTGAGAGATGCTGCTGGCAGGAGAATGCTCACCTTTCCGATTATCTTCCTGACCGAAGGTCATGTGGCCAGCTGGGACTACATCTACGAAGTCCTTGGCATGTGCTTCAAAGGTGCCGTCAATCTGACCACTCTCGATGGTACGCTCAAGACGAGAACAGACCGCGTCACAGCTGGAACCCTCGTTGTAACGTCAGACGGTGAGTTCGTCATGTCATCGAGGCATCAGGAGGGGTGGGGACTGTGCTGCCGTGGCCTCTCCGCTCCATTCCAGTGCCGCTTTCCTGTAGCTTCCATCGCCTGTACTTCTACTTGTCTCGCTCTCTCCTCACCAATTCATACCTCGACACTTGCACAAGGGACGGGTGCCACAGAGTCACCGTTCGATCACGATGTGATCATCTAGCTGCGAGATTCTGACTCAAAAGGCTGTTCCTACCATCACAGACGCAGGTGTGACGCCTGTTCGAGGCCCTCGATTCAAGGAGAAGTTTCGTGCTCCCGCTGATAGGGACGACAATAGCACCATGAGCCACTCGTCACGCTCATCGGTAAATCAAGTAAGAGTCGGTCGATCAGACAGGACCGGTGCCTGCGTCGCTGATACGGGACCCTTTCGCGCAAATTCAGTCGCCATTCCGTACCAAATTGACAGGCAGGGATGCTGTTTGCTTGGTCACCGATTCTGACCCGGATCGTTGCACGGCCGCACACATTTTGCCCATCTCGCGCCCGGAGGTATGTTGGCACCTGATTATCTGCTATATTCGAACACACCTCTTCCCCCGCCACTCTGCCTTCCGCCTGACAGTACTACGTTGAGGTGCTCGGACTCGATCAGGATGCCCCACTATACTCGACAGCATACGGCTTGCTACTCCGAAAAGACATACACAGTGACTTTGACCAAGGCAGAATTGCCTTCTACCCGCACGTGAGTCTATCGTGAAAGCTGCGTAACAGATGCTACTGTCTATATGTCTGATCACACCAATGCGTACCGGCAGAGGGATCGTCTCATTGTACACGTCTTCGATCTCGACCCCAGCTATCGCCAGTATCACGGGAAGATCCTCCGTCCCGACCGGTTCCGCGCTGGATCCGAGGCTCCAAGCGTGGACCTCCTGCGCTTCCATTATCGACACTGCTGTATCAAGTACATGAGGGGCTATGCCGCCTTCATGAACATTCCCCAGGGGGCAGTGATGGTAGATTCGAGCGGGCCTTGAGGAGACGCGTAGAAGAACCAGTATACCAATGTCCTTTGTCACCATGTCTCGTTGGTGTTCCATCCCAAATCAGCTGCTGCCCACGGACTCGCACTGCCGCGCCCGCAGAGTACCAGGGGCCACCAGCAGCTTCATCCACATGAAGGGCCAGGCAGGGGATTCAAAAGCACACGAGCACTCAGCTTCTCTCTGCCATAGACCACTACTACTACTTGTGTCACACAACCTGGGTCGACCATGAAAAGAGGCATAGAGAGAAGATTGGAATGCACTATAGCTGTCTTCGGACCTGACGCGTGGTATCGCAATGACATGGACTCCTCTTAGAACTTCACCCATCCCGCTTCAGCCCAGTGATCACGAGTCCTCGTCGCTGTCAATCTCGTCTGCCAAGTCAGGACCACTGTTCCCTACACTGATCGGGCTTGGTGATCTCGCCTTCTTGTTGAACTCGTACTCCTGAAAGCGACGTTTAGCGCCAGGCAGAAGATCTTCGAGCTGATCTCGAAGCTGCGCGTCCTTGAGGCTGTCGGGCAAGTAGCTCTTGCGCAAGTGGCGCCATCCTCGAGACAACACCTCGCGAGTAAAGGCGAGATCGGGCGACGCTACCTCGCTCCAGTCCACTGCCTTGATGGACCCTCGCTTCAGAGCCTCCTCTTGCAGAAGCAGCCTCTCCACCAGTAATTTTTCATCTCTGGGCGCATACCACATGTCGTCACCTTGATTCTTGGCCAATAGGTCCCCCTTGTTCTTCCCCTTCTTCAGCTGAATCTCGTCCCATTTCCTCCAGCAGGCGTTGCTTGGCCTCGACCCTACTCTCAGAGCAATTGAGCTCCACGGCAGAGCCTTGTCGTCTGCCGAGAGACCCAACGCTTGACACTGTTCCTCGACGGCAGCTTGCAGTTTGTCCACCTCCTCCTGACTCCATTTGCCGCTCTGTCGATTCTCCTTGACCTGAGGACCATGGTCCCTCCACCTGGTACGGCAGTCCCTTGCCAATCTCCCGATACGCTTGCCGATCTCAGCCCACTTCGGACCGAGCTCAGCATGAGCAGCAGCAAGAGCTTGGATTTGTGCATCTGTCCAGGGTCCCTGCTTTGCCGCCGGATGGAAGTGCTCGACGGCGAAGCGCCTCACACTGCGCAAGTGTCGACCCTCGACGCTACCTGCCATCTCGGACGTCAGCTCGGAATACAGCTCGGCTTGAGATGGGGTCCTGTCTGTGAGCAGCTCAATCCCCTCTTCCTCCGTCATGCCGTTACCAGCCGCAAAGGCTCTGAGCGCTTCTGTCATTTTCTCCGTCTCATCCTGGGTAAACTTGCCGCGAAGGACGTTGTTCAAGACCCCAGCTTCTTCCAACCACTTGATTTGATGCGGTTGATACAGCTTCCGACAGAGGATCTCCTTCTCGCTCAGTCCAGCAGCGTCTGCGATAGTAGCCTCCTTGGACTTTGAGATCTTTTCATTGCTCCTTGTACCCTTTGCACGACCCTGAGATGAGCTCGAGCCGTTGCCTCCCTTCATAGAAAGAATAGCTGCATCAAAGGCGGACTGTGTTGGCCCTTTTGCCTTAGACCTGGAGGCAGAAGCATCGGGAAGGACAAAGTTGGAGCCCGATGTAACTTTATTGAGACGTGCAAGCTGGTCAGCGGCTGAGCTCGAAGAGCCAGATGCCTGACCTCCTCCCAATTGCTCGGTGAGGGCGCTCAGATCGAGGCCTGGAGGCAAGTCGGCTGCGCTAAGGCCACTGCTGGCTGCTTTTTTATAGTGATGGGGAAAGAAAGGCGGAGGCAGTCCTGCGCGACTGGGTGAGGGTCGGAACGTCGTAGCCGAGCCTTGAGAGAAGTTGGTCTGGGAGCTGTTCTTGTCTGCAGAATCTGAAATGGTCTGCACAGTCTTCTGCTTCTTGGCTGGATGAGTTCTTTGCTTTGAAGGCATAGCTGCTTGTTCATCCACGAGTTCGTCTTCACTTTCTCGTTGAAGCGATGGCTCCCTTTGCAAAGCCAACTTCTTGTCCTTTGCAGCCCTCTTGTCGTCCTTGGATCTTTTCTCGTGTCGCTGCTCGGACGGAGTGTTCACCTTGGTGGTCCCTCCGATGTTCTCCAGCGCTGTGGACCCTTGAGGGCGAGCACTGGTGCTAGCACCACCATCTTGCTGCCCCTCGAGGGCGGCGCGCTTCCTCTTCTTTTCTTCCTTCCTGGCTCGCTTTGCTTCCTTTCTGATGCGCCTCTCCTCGGGAGTCTCGTCAGGGTCGTGCGCCATGATATGGCAGGCGAGGGAGAGGTGGCCAGTTGGGGAGGATGACGAAGGCAGGTACTCGAGATGAGATGCAAGGTGTCTTGGTTTGCAGGGGACGAAGGATCACAAACGGAAAGAGCCTCGACAATTTTCCCCTCCGCACAGACGCCGTGGAGGGCAAGGCAATGCAACTGGCGCGTGCAGCAGAGCAATTCGCCCCGCCCGCCGCCAATGACGTCCGCCGGCCAATTGACGTCGATGAGGCGACGACGAGTGACATCTTCCACCACCTCCTCGTCGTATCCTCAGCTCACCTTGCCTCAAGTGGACACTACTTGGTCTATACCCAATTCACATACCAGACCCTCAAACAACCCCCTTTCCTTCATATCACCATGGCATTCTTCCAGAGGCTCATCGTCGCCTCTTCCTCAACGGTGCCTCGCCAATGCATGACTGCCTCGGTCCTCTTTGGCACAGGAGACGCCATTGCCCAGCTCGCCGTCGAGAAGAAGTCCTTCGACAACTACGACTACGTCCGCACCCTCCGCCTTGGCCTCTACGGAGGTGCCATCTTCGCTCCTATCATGTCCGTCTGGTTCCGCACTCTCGAAAAGGTACCAGGCGTGCCCGGCTCCTTTGCTAACGTCGCTGGAAAGGTAGCACTGGATCAGGGCTTGGCGGCGCCCAACATGCTGGCAGTCTTCTTTACTGCTACTACCTTGATGGCTGGTGGAAGCACAGCTGACGTCAAGAAGAAGCTCGACACCAGCTATTGGAGCACCCTCAAGACTTCTTGGGCAGTCTGGATTCCCGTACAGGGCTTGAACATGGCCTTTGTCCCGGTCGGACAGAGGCTCCTCTTCGTCAATGTCGTCTCTCTCGCTTGTGAGTAGACGAGCTGTGTTATAGTGTCCATAGCATGCGTGCTGACCTCCTCACCCCACCTCCTCGACCCATCAGGGAATACCTTCCTGGCTGCCGTAGCGGCTGGTGGGGGAGACAAGGCTTCCTCCGAGGCAAAGCAGGGCAACCTCCGCGAGTCCGAGGGAGAGGCTCTCGTCCGCCCGGCTGACCTTGAGCTGAGCGAGGTCAAGGTCAAGTAAAAGAGGACAGTACATGCATGTCCCCAGGCACCCAGGCCAATGTGACGGAGCTATTCTACCGCACTGTAACGCCTCTCAATCTAGAAGTACCGCGGCAGGCACTCCGCACCCCAGTGCGATGTCCACACACACTTCTTCTTCAGCCTTGCCTTTGCAATCATACCCTGTGTACAATAGACGCACGGCATATAGCTGACAAGAGCGAGTAGACAGTAATCGATCATTAAAAAATGCGACCACAAGCATCAGAAAGTCGAATCTCATTGTTAGGGTATAGCCGCTTCTTGACTGTCTGAATCCTCGTCCAACCTATCGGCCCAGACGTGTAGCCACTGCTTGATGACTGCCTGACCCTCTTCTACTTGCTTCTCCTGAGTCTTCGTACCCTGACTGATTTTCCTCGAGAGTGGGAAGAGAACGAAAGGTAGATCATCGTCCAGCTCAGAAATGCTAGAGCGACCTGTTCCCGAGGTCTTTCTCCTGACCCGTCTGTCCAAATGTGGATCCGTTGCCCTTCTCGAAGATCGAGCCGAGGAGGACGGTGACCCCATTTCAACATCATCGTCTCCTACCTCCAGCCTGTCCGACATCCTGCGTCTCTTGCTAGGCGTCCGCTGACCTTCCTCTCCATCGTCGTACTCCGCTGCCAGAGCGCGACTATTTCTCCCACAGGTTGCCTCGAACCTCACGCTCTTGGGTGTGGAAGTCCTCGATGCGCCCCCGGTGGGAGTGGCAGCCTGGGCGGCCCTGATCAGTCTGCTCGAAGGAGTTGCAGGGACTTCTCCCCTCAGTCGCGAGGTAGAAGGTGAGGCCACCGGCGTGTCCCCCTCTGCGATCTTTTTGTGCAGCTGAGCAGGCGACCGAAATGGCGAAGCAGCCGAGCTGGAGCTGGTACGACTGTGATGCGAGTGTGGTGTTCGAGGCGAAGAGGTCCCAAGACCAAAGGCAGCTCCACTCTGCACCGCCTGCGCCTTCTCCTTGAGGCTGAGCCCGCTGCCACTGGCTGCGCTCTCCTTCTCCCTTCGCACTGCACTCGATTTCGGTGTTCGAGGATCGGAGCCTGCGTATGAGTACGAAGGGCTGCTGAGGCTACGGTAGTCCTTGCGTGGGGTACGCGGAGCGAGTTGACGCTTGTTGTGGTCGTCGATGGCTGCTTGAAGATGGTCGAGAGCCGTCTTGTATGCCAGTGGGGAGAGGCCGGACTTGCGCTGTAGAGTCTCAAGGGAGTGGGTAGGAGTGTCTGGAAGCAGGCTGTAACATCGCCAGGAGGTAAGTGAGATTGCAAGTCAGATGAAGAGTATCTCTCTAAGCTACCCTGCCTCTGCCAGCTGCTACTCACCTCCTAGCGGCCAATCCGACAATGGCAGCAAGCTTGCCGATGCCCACCTTCTCCTGCACCAAACGCTCATGTCCCTCCCTAGCTGCCCAGCGATTCACAACAGCCAGGTAAAGCTCCGACTTTTCCAACAAGACCGCATAGGGGTCGCACAGCGGCCGTAGGAGGGGTCTGGAAGACATGCCTCTTCACGAGCACGGTGCGGGAGAAGCAGTGGAGGATGGGATATGGACGCCGTCGGATCTGAGGTGACTAGTCGGACCGGATCTCCGTTGCCTCTGGTCTCCGCTAGGCGGAAGCAGACTTCCTGTCCCGCCCGCCTCCACGGAACCTCGCTTCCGCGAGGAATGTCTGGTCGGGCTTGAAATAGTCTCAGATGACACCGAGGCAGGGCGGGTGAGTCTAAAGTCTTGCTTCCATCAAAATCTCCTTGCTCAGCATTCAATTGCGACCTTCAACGATGAATACCAGCAAGCAACTTCAAGTGTAAGCCAGGCGTCCTGTTACGACCTATCATGACCACCTACGGCAGCCCATCGCAAGGTCCCTCCAAGGGCCAAGGGCTGCTCCGCAATCTCATCTGCCACCTCTCCTTCTCCCTCGATGCCATCTGCTTCATCATAGCATTCTGGATCGTCGATCAGTGCACATTTGGCACCGCTGAGAGGAGAGCAAGGCAGGAGGCCGACAAAGCTAAGAAGGAAGAAGAGAGGAGGAAAAGGGAGCAGGATAAGGCGGGGTATTTCGGAAAGTGGTGGAAGAGAGGAGAGGAAGAGGTGAGTGCCAAAGAGTCACAGGATCCATAATGGCTTATTCAACTGACGCCTGTCCACATTTCCCGACCTCTTTCAGAAACCCATATTATCTGAATCGCCCTCTTCCAACTATCACGCCACTAGCGAGCCAGTCTTGAAGATTCCCTCTGATCTCGCCTCGGCGCAGACCCCTCCAGCACGCTCCTTCACAGCCGATGCTGCTTCACCACGGCCTCAATCACCCAGCTCGCCCACTACTCGCGAGCTTCATCACTTTCAGAAGAAGATTCTCAAAAAGCAGATGGCAAGGTCATTGAGCCTGGCTGTTGTGCTGCGCAGACTGTTCCTCACTTCGCTGATGGTATCGTCGCTGTTTCTTGGCTGCCTGCTGATAGGGCTGGATGTGAAGAAGCACATGAAAGGAGCGGTAGGATGGCAGTGAAGGAAGGGTTCAAGAGTTATGGAGACTTGAAAGGGAAGCAGAGTCACTTCAGCCAGGGATCCGCTTTGGGTGACCAAGTTAATAGCAGTGACGGGTTCACTGCATGTATTTGTACAAATCTCGCCTCCTTTTAAATCGCCTCTCGCGTCATATCACTTCGTTCACCACAATGAGTCTTATTTATACATTGCATTGACCTGGCAGACAAGAATCTACGTTGGTCCTCTCTCGTACGCATTCTTTGCGAGCCTGTCGGCGTCGAATTGGCCGCCTTGGCCATCCTTGTCTGACCCAATGTCCCCTGTACCGGCTGGGTGTTGCCCTTGCTCCGTTTCAGTGATGACCATGGTTCGTCCCGACCTGTGTCCAGTCTTGGCCTTCCGAGCCGAGGAGCTCTTCTTTGCCTTTGCGCCGCCTTTCTTGCTGTGTGTATGATGCTCGCAGCCCTGGCCTTCCTCATGATCATGATGGTGATCTGCAGCGCTACCTGTTGACCTTCCCTTGCCCTTCTTATCCCTCTTCCTCGCTGCAACCTTCTCCCTCATCCTACTGCTCATGCTGGGTCCGTCAGAGGAGGACGAGACCCCCTCTGCGTCGCTTGGGGGTGAGGAGTCCGAGGCAGAATCCGAGTCTGAATCCGATTCTGAGTCTGAGCCAGATGAGGAACCTGATGAAGAAGACTCGTCGAAAGCTCTTGGCTTGTGGTAGATACAGCAGACTAGGCAAGGGACGGAGAGTCAGGCGGGGCAAGACATCGGTATTAGTGGCAAAGCAGAAGGAGATGATTGCCCACCCGGCGCGCGTCTGCTGCTGCTACTCACTCTTACTACTCTTCTTACCCATATGTTCATTGTCGACTGTATCATCACTCCAGACCACCCTGCGACTAGTAGGGTCCCCAGCTCCCCTCAGTCTGAGTACGCCATCAGGGATGCTCGAGGGTCCTGCTCCGCCCTGGCTTCCTCCAACACCATCTCCGCCTTCCGGTGTAGGGACGTCGTGTATTGTGAGAGTACGGGAGCCATCTGTCCTGCCTGCCAGGTGACCAGGACGATGAGCTGCCATACGATTCATCGTTGCAAAATGTAAGTCGTAGGGAGATGGGCGGCGTCCTCGGATGGATAGAGCAGCTAATGGTGGGAGCTGAGGTCCAGAGGCGGAACGGAAGGAGCGAATGGGCGTGCATTGGCGGGGCTGCCTGGCGGTGGATGCGCGAGTGGGTGTGGCCCTTGCTGTACGCGAGGCGAGGGCCATCGTCCATTTCTTCTTCTTGACATCGACCGTCTCCTCATCCGCACTCACCCGCTCTCTACCCCTTTCCTCCCCACACCTCCATACCCTCCCATCTCTCGGGATTGCTGGTTCATACCATACCGCTTACCGCTCCACATACGCTCTGCCAGCGAGCCAGATAGCGCGTGCCCACTCTCCTTTTCACCATGTTTGGCGGCTCTGCCCCGTCCGGGGGGTTCACCTTTGGCCAGCAGAATAACAATCAGCAACAGCAGCAGCCTGGCCAACAACAGGGAGGCGGTCTTTTTGGCGGGGCTGCTCAACAACAACCTCAGCAGAATGCTTTTGGAGCCGGAGGAGGTGAGCATCGAAGCCTTGCACAGATGAGCACAAAGAGGAAGGAAAGCGTGCTCGGCCCCTGACTCCCTCCTGACTTTCACCCACCACAGGCTTCGGAGGTAGTACTTTTGGAGGCGCCCAGCAGCAACCAGCTTCCGGCGGTCTCTTTGGAGCGGCCAATACGGCGAATCAGCCCAAGCCCGGCGGCTTCTCTTTTGGTCAACCTCAGCAGGCACAGCAACAGCCGGCAGCGAGTCCATTTGGAGCTCGTCCGACAACTGGTACCTTTGGTGGCTTCGGAGCCAACAACAACACAGCGGGAGGAAGTGGCGGCTTTTCATTTGGTGAGTGAAGACTAGACAGCCTGACTTGCAATGAGGTCAGCTTAAAACGTGCTGAACACCTCGTTGATTCCCTTGCTCTGTAGGCGCCAACAATGCTCAGCAGCAGGCCCAGTCAACTCCGTTCGGTAGCGCTCAGACCAGCACTCCATTTGGAGCAAAGCCGGCTACCGGCGGTCTCTTTGGCCAGGCTCCTCAGCAACCAAGCACGGGAGGACTTTTCGGGCAACAACCTCAGGCTGGTGGGCAGGGAGGTCTGTTCGGTAGCGCTGCTCCTCCAGCTCAAGTGACTCAAGGAACATCGAATCCACCATACCAGGTCACGATCATTCAGGAGAAGGACGCTTCGAACAACCAGTCTGCTTTTGCCTACCAGTCCGTGAATTGCATGCCACAATACAAGGCAATGTCCTTCGAAGAGCTGAGGGTGCAGGACTATGAGCAGGGCAGGAAGTCAGGCAATGCCAACGCTGGCGGCATGGGAAGTACGTCTGGCTTCGGTGGCTTTGGCCAACAGCCTCAGACCGGCGCGAGCAATACTACGGGTGGTGGTCTGTTCGGTCAGTCCCAGCCTACAGGTCAGACACAGCAGTCTGGAGGACTGTTCGGCAGCTCGAGCACTCAAAGTGGCGGTCTGTTTGGCCAGCAACCTCAGCAACAACAGCAAACAGGCGGCCTCTTTGGTCAACAGCAGTCTCAACCTGGTCAGACCGGAGGGCTTTTCGGTCAGCAGCAGACTCAACAACAACCCGCCTCAAGTGGCTTCAGCTTCGGTGGAGCGAACAACACTCAGCAGCAGCAGCAGCCAGCCACTGGAGGCTTCAGCTTTGGGGGCGCTAACAATGCCGCCGCTCCGAAGCCTGGTGGACTGTTCGGAGGTGGTTTTGGCAGCAACACTGCAAGCAACACCGGAACAACAGGCGGGTTCAGCTTTGGCCAGCAGCCTCAGCAACAAACACAGCAGCAACAACCTGGTCAGACCGGCGGAGCCTTTGGAGGTAGTAGCGGATTCTCTTTCGGAGGTGCCAGTGCGGCAAAGCCTGCCACCGGCGGCCTCTTTGGGTCATCACAGCCCGCTGCAGCTCCATCTCAACCAGCATTCGGGGGCTTCGGCGCCTCGTCCACAGCTGGAGCTGCTGCGCCAAAGCCTGCCTTCTCATTCGGCGGCGCAGCCCCAGCTGCAGGTAACACCGGCACTGGCTTTGGTACAGGCACAACCTCTGGCGGTCTGTTCGGCAGTCAACAGCCTTCGACTGCTGGCCAGCCCGCCACCGGTGGAAGTCTCTTTGGCGGTCTCAACCAGCAGAGTCAGCAACAAGGATCAACAGGTCTGGGATCCGGTTTTGGAGCATCCACGACAAACAACACTGGTGGCGGACTCTTCGGCGGAGCGGCTAGTAAGCCTGGCGGGTTGTTCGGTTCCTCCACTACGCAGCCAGCGGGGCAGAGTGGCTTTGGCACCGCTTCGACTGGCGGATTCAGCTTTGGCGGGGCGAACAATCAGCAGCAGCAGGGGCAGCAGGCACCCAAGCCAGGAGGCTTCTCCTTTGGTGCTCCAGCAAGCACGACTGGAACGGGAGGTGGTCTCTTCGGCAATACCGGCGGTGCAGGAGGTGGAGGCTTATTCGGCTCCTCCAACTTGGGCAACACAGGTACTTCTGGGGGGCTCTTCGGTTCGTCAACGTCGCAGAGCAATACTGGTGGCGGTCTAGGTAATTCTACTTTCGGAGCTGGCGCTGGGCAGTCGAACCTTGGTGGCTCGACTGGCCTCTTTGGCTCGTCAAACCAGCAGAGTCAGCAAAACCTGCCTCCTCAGGGTGTCGGGCTCACTGCTGATCCTTACGGCACAGATGCTCTCTTCCATTCGATGACTGGTGGTACGGCAGCCAACCAGCCCAATTTGCCATTCAATGTCTCTACAAGCTCTACAGGTCCACTTGGCTCTCTCTCGGCGAGTCACAAGAGCAAGCCTCTACCTGCTCCTATGATGAGCCCGTTCCGACCCAACCCGAAGAATGCTTCACGCGTTGTGCGGCTTCGTGGTGGTACACCAGCTCGAGACTCATCGCCTTCTGCGGGTGGCAGCGGTCTATTTGGAAGGAGCTCCAGCCCTTCTATGAATGGCGCCGGTGGCCTCTTCAAGGGTCTGAGCGATGAAGTTGCTGGTGCGTCAGACGGATCACTCCCTAGTCAAGCATTTGTGGGCCGTCAGAGCGTCAAGCGACTGGTCCTGACAGATGGAAGCAACTCGAGCTTCGGAAGAGGCACCCGTGCAGACACGGAGGACCACACAATTGGCGGTGGCAGCCTTCGCGAGTCAGTGCTAAGTGGTGCTCGAGGCGGTACCCCGCGCAGCACTGCTGCTCTGAACGGAAATCGGGGCGTTGCATTCAGTCCGGCACTGGAGACTGGCCTCGGTGGTTCGGCTGTCAAGAGAGGCGCTGACTTCTCAGCTGCCGCTCCAGCAGCCAATGACAGCTTTGGCGATGCCTCTTTCAGTCGCAGTAGGTCAGGTCTCTTTAACGAGACCCCATCCAAGGCGAACATGCCATCCAGGACGCAAGGCAAGGACCTCTTGTCCCGCGACGAGCCGGCTCAAGACGCGGAGCCTACACTCGAAGACATCCCTGTTGGTTCATACCACATTTCGCCTTCTCTCAACGCCCTGCGGCAGATGAGCTACTCTGCGCTTTCACAAGTTCGCAACTTCACAGTCAGTCGAAAGGGCTTCGGCTCTGTCCGCTTCCTGGTGCCAGTGGATTTGACATCCGTCAATGATCTGACTGTCATCGCGGGCGGCATCGTTCAATTGCGCGAGAAGGAGATCTGGGTGTACCCCCAGCAGGAAGATCTTGAACCGGGCCTTGATGGTATGAAGAGTGGCTACGAGCGAAACCCGGTGGCCAAAGCCAAGCAAGGCGATGCCCTTAACGTGCCAGCCGAGGTGTCCCTGGAGAAGTGCTGGCCACTTGACAAGGCCACCCGACAGCCATTAAAGGACGGCAGTCATCCTCGCGTCAAGCAGCACATCGCCAAGCTGCAAAAGAAGGGCGAGACACGTTACATCGAATACAAGCCTGTCGAGGGTCTGTGGCGCTTCGAGGTTGACCACTTTTCGCGCTACGGTCTTGATGACACTACTGATGACGAGGATGGTGACACTACTCAGACTGCCGCTAGGTCGTCTCGCAAACAGAGCCAGAGGGACGAAGACGGCGATGATGCACCTCCGCCCCGTAGGAGTCTCAAAGGATCGTCAAGACGGGGTCAGTCTTCTGATGAAGCTCCCCCTTCGCTGACATCTGAGTCTTCCGAAGAGGAGGACTATGAGGAAGACGACGAAGAGCTCGCCTCTCAAGCATCTTCCGATATGCGCGCATCCGACCTCAATGAGGATAATCTCTATACCAAAGCACAGCACTCGTGGCAGGCGCGGGAGTCAACGCCCCGTGCTCGTCGCAACTTTCGCGGTGCCTCTGCAACCCCACGAGCTGTTCGTGAAGGCACCTCGGAAAGGGACATGCATGCCAATAGCAACCCGCCGTGGGCTGCCCAGCTAGGGTTGGAGCCACGACGTGTTCAAGTAATGCAAGCATCGTTTTTTGGGAGTAGGGCGCCTGGAGAATCGGAGGAACAGGCCAGGACGCCCCGGGAGGATCAGATCAAGGACAGCAAGACGAAGGTGGTAGTGGGACAAAAGGGAGCTCGACAGGTGGGAAAAGAGTCAGCAGACAGGAAAGCTCGCTCGAAAGGAGCTGAGTTGGCAGCACAGGGTCTTATTTCGAGGGTGATAGAAGTTGCTCCTCAGAGCACGAAGATCAGTCGGCTCGACATCGCCGATTCGATTGTCAACGGTCGCGATGGCGTCCCTCTTGACGCTGGTCTAGCATTTGGCAGAAGTTTCAGGGTAGGCACAGGGCCAGGCGGTATGTTGGTCCACAATGGACGACTTCAGGGCGTCAAAGCGACTCCTGGAGCTGGCATCTCTGCATCCTTTTCGACTGTCAACCTCGAGAGGACAGCAATTTTCAAGAAAGAGCAAGAAGAGGAAATGGCAGCAAAAGCTCTCCGCTTACTGGAGCTTCAACTGGCCCATTCGATCATTGAAGGTCAAGGCGAAGATGAAGACGGACTGGGATTGGACTGTCCTGCGATCTTTGCGAGCTCAGAGCTGCGCTTCAAGCACTTTGTGGCCAAGTTTGACAATGCCGACAGGAGCCACGAGGCGCTACTCTGGCGGTTGGGCGGCGCTCTCTTCGATGAGCTCGAACTTCGGCTGCCAGCCGATGCGTCTTCTGAGCTCGTGCAGAAGGTGACCAGCATCCGACGCAAAGCCGCTGTGTCCAGCTGGCTTCGACAAGCTGTCGTCAACAGTGTCGAGACGGAGTGTCGTGGTCACGTTGCGGCAAGTCGCACGGATGCTCTCATCTTCTCTCATCTTACCGGCAACCAAGTGGAGAAGGCGTGCTGTGCTTCTCTCGACTCAGGAGATCTTCGTCTGGCCACACTTCTTGCACAAGTTGGTGGAGGCGATGATGAGGTGCGCGCAGATGTAGCTGAGCAACTTGCAATCTGGCGCAGTCAAGGCGTCGATGCCCACATCTCTCAAGACCATCGCAAGATCTACGAGCTTATCTCTGGCAATGTCACCTTCGCCCAAGGTACGAGCGGCCGTTCGGTGAGAGACCCAATGGATCGGGTCGAAGACCTGAACATCGCCAACGGTCTAGACTGGAAGCGAGCTTTCGGCCTCCACTTGTGGTATGCTACATCTCACGATGCTCCCCTCACCAGTGGCTTCGAGCGATACGAAGCAGCACTTGGAGGGCCAGGCGAGACCGCCCCGCCTCTTCCACCGTACCGAGAGAAGGCTTCGATGGGTAGCCTCAAGCTCAAGGAGATGCTCAAGTCTGGATCATACGATCGTGACGCCCTCTTCCATCTCATCAAGCTTTACGCTAGTCCCACTTTCGATCTTGAGACAGCCTTATCACCTTTGGGCTTTGGTCCCGTCGGGTCAGACTACCGACTCCCTTGGCACCTCTATGTACTTCTCTCGCGGGTACTGAGGCGGAGAGACTTTGGAGATCGAATCGATCTGGGTATCGAGGCTACAGAGGAGGCCGAGGAAGCCGGTCTCTCGGTCGAGGGCAACTCGGCTCGAGCGGATAATCTCACTTCGGACTATGCTCATCAGCTCGAAATGCAGGGACAGTGGACATGGGCGGCTTTTGTTCTGCTGCACCTTGAGCTGCCAAGTAGCCGGATTGCGGCGGTGAAGGCTCTTCTAGCGCGCAATGTGGACAAGTTGGACGCAGACGCTCAAGCCTTCCTCACGGCTCGGCTCAAAGTGCCCCGCACCTGGCTCTTCGAAGCTCAGGCCATCCGAGCGCGCTACAAGGACGATCGTTTCAGCGAGTACGAGCTCTTGATCAAGGCCCATCTCTTCAGCGCAGCCCACAATGTTGTGGTACGTCACCTTGCACCAGAAGCCGTCATTCGAGGTGACTTGGGAATGATCTTCACGCTCTTCTCCCCATTCCAAGACGCCTTCCCCGATCGCCTTTACGATCTGCCCGGGTGGACCAGTGGTGGGCAAGTCTACGTGGACTATGCTGCCTGCCTGCAACAGCTGCCTAACCTCATCGGAGCAGCCGAGACCAAGTCCATTTCCCACAACGAGGAGTCGCGCTTACAGAGACTGGCAGCGCGTGTCGTCGAACTTCTGGATCTTGTGCCAGCCTTGTTCCCCGATGTAGATTCGAACCTGAACCATCTAGTGGCCAGGAGCGACATGCTCGGCGCGCTTCACAACCTCGCCAGGGTCCTCTCGGCTCGGTCGCTTGCGCCGGAAGCGTCGGCTGCATGGGACTCGTCGACTGTGCCGCCGGAGATTGAGCATGTGCAGAATGCGGCAAATGACTATATGAGCTTGTTGCTGGCATGAGTCAGGGAGGAGGAGAAGGTTGCTTCATGGAGGGAAGGTAGGTCGTGAGTCATACCACGTTTTCTTTGTTTGCCTCAGTCAACTCTTTGCTCGGCGTCTCATGAATAATTGAAACTTCTTCTTGTCAAAGTACAATACATATCATCTGTGATGATTGTGTAATCCTACTCCGTCTCTCAACCTATCACCCTCCTTCCCCTCCTGGGTGTAGCTGCCGCTCCCGGCGTAGCAATCTTGGGCGCCTCACCCATCTCCCTCTTCGCCCTCCTCTCCTCGACTTCCTTTCTCCTAGCCACATCCCTCGCAAAACTCTCCTGAATCTCTGCCTTTCTCGAAAACTCCAAGTCGCGATTCGCCCTAGTGGAGGAACCAGTCACGTTTCGTTCACGGATAGAGTAGAAGACGGACCCCACTTCGGCGAGCCAGTGAGGGTCAACGGCGGTGACTTGCGTCATGTACTCCTTGGAGGTAAGGGTGAGCTCGTGGTAGATGACATAGTCTGGCAGGAAGCCCAGTCCGTACAGGGCGGATGTAGGGTGGAGGTTCATGGGAATGCCTGTGCGACAGTGCACGTACTCGCCAATGCCTTTTACGCGACCGGCTTGGTGAAAGTACCCCTCGACAAGACACTTGCGGATGGTGTCCCAGTCGGTACCGCAGGAAACCAGGGGCAACTTCAGCGCCTTCATGATGTCTTCGAGCTGCGCGCGCACTTCGCGGGCTTTGCGTAGAATCTTGCCGTGCAGAAAGTGAGCTGAGAAGGAGACACGAGGAAAGTGAAAAACTTTAGTAGCCGTGCGTAGAAACCACATCAGTATCGCAATGTCACCACTCACCATTGCACCACGAATCCCTGTAGCTGTTGCTCTTCCACTGTGAGTACACCATGAGCAAGGTGAGATGGTCCGACTCAGCAACGTGGAATCTCTCCCTCGCCTGATCCGACTCCTCCTGTCGCTCCTTTGGTCGATAGAAGACGCTAGGCACGCTCAACATGGCGACGATGGTCAGCATCTCAGCCGAGCAAGCGTACTTGGTCGCAGAAGCGATGAGCACAGAGGAAAGCGAGGGTTCCATGGGAAACTCTGACATTCTCTTGCCGATAGCAGTCAGGTCGCCCACATTGTCCAAGGCGCCCAGGACCCAGAGCTGGTACATCGAATTAAGAATGTTCTCTTGCGGGGGAGGATCCATCCAGTCGAATGTCAAGAGATCCTTGACTCCTAGAGACTTGAGCAGCAAGATAGTGTTGGCCAAGTTCGTACGCTGAATCTCTGGGATAGAGTTCGGGAACATCTCCTGCAGGAATGCAGACTCGGTGTACAGTCTGAAGGCCGTACCTGGCCCGGTCCTTCCCGCTCGTCCCATACGCTGGTTGGCATTGGCCTGCGCAATCGGCGTAATCTGAAGCGAATCCATTCCCACGCGAGGATTGTATACCTTGAGCTTCGAGAAACCTGCGTCAACAACGTACATGATACCATCGACGGTCAGGGACGTCTCGGCAATGTTGGTGGCGATGATGCACTTGCGCTCCCCATTCGGCGCTGCATTGAAGATCTTGGCTTGCAGGTCGGCAGGCATCTGTGAGTAGATGGGAAGAACGAGCATCGGATCCGTGTTCTCAATCTGCTCCAGTCGATCACGGACAACGTCGGCACACCCCTCGATATCTTCCTGACCGGTCATGAAGACGAGAATGTCTCCAGGACCGCACGAGATGTGAATCTGCAGGATACGCTTGATAGCCGCCTCAACATAGTCATCGCAGGGAGCGTTTGACCACTCAATCTGCACCGGGAAGGTACGTCCGGGAATTGTGAAATTCGGAGCTCCGCCGTAGAAAAGTGCGAACTTTTCGGCATTCATCGTGGCACTGGTGACGATGAGCTTGAGGTCCCTTCGCCGTGTGAGGATCTTCTTCAGCAATCCCATGAGTACATCTGTACTCAGACTGCGCTCGTGAGCCTCATCCAAGATGATGGCAGAGTATTTGTCGAGGTCGCCTTCGTTCAAAGACTCTCTCAGCAGCACACCGTCCGTCATGTACTTGATGCGGGTCTCGCTGGAGGTGACGTCCTCGAAACGGATGGAATAGCCGACGAGGCCGCCTAGCGCGACTTCCATCTCCTCTGACACACGCTTCGCCACTGACATGGCTGCGACTCGTCGAGGCTGTGTACAGCCGATCATACCATGCTTTGTGTAGCCTTCTTCGTGGAGAAATTGTGCAACCTGGGTAGTCTTACCAGATCCTGTCTCTCCGATGACGATGACGACTTGGTTCTCTCGTAGCACCTTCATGAGATCGTCACGGACAGCAAAGGCTGGTAGGAACTGCCGCTGCTCTTTGAGCGTCTTACCACGGGAGAACTCTGAAGCTCCTGATTCTGCCTTCTTGAGATGAGTTGCAAACTTGCTGTCAGAGCGGGGGTCTAGCGAGCCGTCGTCTGCTTTGCCGTCGACTTCGGCGTTCTCACTCTCATCCTCTACGCCGTTGATCTTGCGGCCTTTCGAGTCTCGCTCTTCCTCCTCCTTGACACCCATAATGTTGCCCAGGGCAGTCCCACCGAGGGCAGCAGCCTTTGCAGCCGCTTTCTGCCTCTCCGCCTGTTCCCTACGCTCACGAACCAGTCTTGAGCCCTTCTTGGCGAACATTGCTAGATCGCTCGTAGGGTCTCGGATAGGGTTCACGGGCTCCAGCTGCTTTGTGAAGACAGTCTTGCCGTCAAGGAAGGGTGGTCGAAGATCATGCACGAGTAGATGGATCCGATTCTCGGTGTCGTCGTCCATATTGTCCATGTCGAATGTCCGAGCAGGACCGACTCCGGAGGTCTGCATCCTGTTGGTCTCCCATGCATCCACGTCTGCATTCTTGGCTGCCTGTCGAGCAGTGATCTTGGCTGTCCTCTGAGCTATCGGAGCAGCAGCAGCATTACCGGCTAGATCTTCGTATTGAGCGAAAGGGTTGTTCTCGTCATCACCAGCGACTCCATCACCTTCCTCCATCCGGTACCAGTCACGATCAAGACCAAGGTCGTCTTCTCCAGTGGCGGCGGTGGCGAGACCTTCTGCTTCTTCTTGATCCCACGCTCTGCCCGCCAGAGTCAACCTCGTATCGTCATCCCTTGCTGACCGGGGCGTGGAATCCCAAGAACTTCGGCTTGCCATAGGCGTCTGGTCATAGTGTCCTCGGCGAGGCGTAGCATCCCATCCTCTTCCACCATGAGAGCTCCTGGGTGTGGAATCCCAAGACCTGTTCGGGAGGGGTGCATGGGAGCTGGGAGTGCTAGAAGGATCGTCATATCTTTGGCGAGAGGAATCTCCCTCTCGTCTGGCGGCCCATCCGTTGTCCCTTCTTGGATCGGAAGCATGACCAGATCCTCTCCCATCACGAGAGCTCTGCTGTCCCGGCCGCCAGCGGTCGCTGTAGCTGGAGCCTGAACCCCTGTCTGCTTCGCCTCCTCTGGAAGCATTCCTTCTATCGTCAACGTCCCTATTCAGGCGCCTGCGGAAATCCTCAAAGCGCTCCTTGCCTGACCCATCCTCCTGCGTCGTGCCATTCGTGGCGTTTGGCCCAGTGGCATCTCTGGTCCGTCTTCGATCAGCGAGCCTCGCCTTTGCCGCCTCGCTGAGGCCGCCAGTATGGCTGGGTGTCTCATCTGGACGTTGTCTCCGCTGAGCTTGGCCTTGTGTAGTGGGGCGAGCAGGGACTTTGAATTGAGGTTGAACGGGGGCAGAGCGTCCTCCCTCATCCAAATCAGGAAGCTCTTCGATCCTCGCCTTTTTACGTGGGGCTGCAGAGGAGGACGAGCTCTCGCCCCGCTTCTCTTCGGCCAGACGATCGAGCCCAAGAAGCGAGGACCGTGAGCTCGAGCCATTAGTACGACGGAAGACATGTTTCTGTGAGGAGGGGAGCAGATAGTCAGGATCTCAAGAAACGGCGCGAGGGAGACCGGGAGAACTCACCTCTGCATTGTCCATGACATTGAGGCCAGCTCGTATAGGCTTCTCTGGGGCGAGCCTCTCGCCCTCTGTGATCTTGATTCCCCGATTGACATCAGCCCTCGATACAACGCCTACGCTAGCAGGAGCTCCATTAGCATTGTCACCCTTCTCACTCCGGATCTTATCTCTGATTTCGGCGAGAAAGTCGTCAGAGAAGCGTCCGAATCCCTTGGCTGCCTTGATGAATGCTGCTTCAGTCGGTGTCGAGGTGGCGATAGAGATGACTCGGGACGCTAAGAGGGAGTTGGGCTGTGGCAGACCAAGCTGCGAGGCGAGGCGGGCAGCGATGTCCTGTACCAGGGGACTGGACTCGGAGGATGACATGGCGTATAAGCCCTGCTCCTCACAAGACAGGAGAGATGGAGGGATGATGGTTGGTGATTAGGAAGGATCCGACGGAAGGAGCCATGAGGACAATCTCCCGCTTCGCGTCAGGCGGAAGCACAAAATCGCATACAGCCTCACCCACCCTTTGCTACCATCGACTTGGCTTTGCCATCTACCACGATGCCCCTTCCTACTTCGCATGGCCTCGACGGCTCTGCATCATCCTCATCCTCAAGTTCGTCGTCCAATGGGCGCGCTGGTCCCATCTCGGTGGATGACTTAGTGGCTAAGCAGGCAGCAGGCAACCAGCTCAAGCCCCGCTTCCTGAGCAAAAAGGAGCGCCAGGAACAAGCCGAGAAGGCAAAGAGGGAAGAGGAAGAGCAGAGAAAGGCCAGAGAGGATGAGAGGTTACGGCAGGACAAGGAGAAGATGGACAAGCAGAGGGAAAAGATGAGGGAGGAGGCACTCAGAGCGCGAGCAGGGCCGGGTCCATCTTCCGGCGTACCACCTCAAGCCCACACCTCGAGACCTGCCAATGGCGGACCAGGCCACTACCAGGGGCAGAACAGAGGACCGTACTCGTCAGGGCATACGAATGGCTCTTCTCTTCCCACTGGTCCCAGAGCTGATCGACAAGCCATGCCGCCACCTCAGCGGCCAGCATCGGCCACTCCATCCACGTCCTCTACTGCAGCCTCTTCCTCTTCCTCTACCTCGGATGCCACCTTGACAGAAGCTGAGCAAGCTCTGATTCGAGCCAAGTACCTGGGACTCAAGGAGAAGCATCAGAAGAAGACCAGACGGCAGCTCAATGACAAGAAGACCATGTTCGGCTATGACGATAATGATGATACCTCCGACACAGTCAACCCTGTATTCCAATCTGTGGCCCCCATCAAGGGCCTTAAGATGGGCGGGACCGAAGAAGAGTCTCCTCGTCTTACAGCCAGCGGGAGAACCAATTCCAAAGCTCTTCAGACGTTCTCCTCTCCAGCTCACTGGTCACACAAGACGGTAGAAGAAATGAAGGAACGAGACTGGCGCATCTTCCGCGAAGACTTCGGCATCTCTGCTAGAGGTGGTCATATCCCACGACCTCTGCGCTCTTGGGAGGAGTCTGATATCCCACAAGAGATCCTTCATGCTATTCAGACGATGGGCTATACAGATCCCAGTCCTATCCAGCGACAGGCTATCCCCATCGGACTCAAGGAGAGGGATCTGATCGGTATCGCTGAAACCGGTTCCGGAAAGACGGCCTCTTTCGTCATTCCTATGCTGTCATACATCTCACGACTACCAAGACTGGATGAGACCAATCGACACCTGGGTCCGTATGCCCTGATCCTCGCTCCAACTCGAGAGTTGGCCCAACAGATTCAGGTCGAGACGGCCAGGTTCACCAGTGTCCTGGGTTACAACTGTATCTCCATCGTCGGTGGAAGGGACATGAACGAGCAAGCTGTAGACATGGCGAAGGGAGCAGAGATCGTCATTGCCACTCCAGGAAGACTGAAAGACTGTGTGGACCGTCATGTCGTTGTGCTGGGTCAATGCGCCTACGTGGTCATGGACGAAGCTGATCGGATGGTCAATCTCGGTTTCGAAGAGGTACTCAACTACATCTTGGACTCGCTGCCGGTCTCGAATGTCAAACCTGATACCGAGGAGGCGGAACTGGGAGGTGATGCTTTGAACGAGAATATGGGAGTCGTGGGAGAGGGAGGCAGAAGATATCGAGTGACCATGCTCTACTCGGCCACAATGCCCGCCAGCGTCGACCGCATGGCGCGCAAGTACCTCCGTCGCCCTGCAACCATCACGATCGGTGACGCGAATCAAGCCGTGGGCACGGTTGTGCAGACCGTCGAATTCCTCAATGGCGAGGACAAGAAGAAGTCTCGTCTCTACCAGATCCTAGCCAGCGGCTTCGAACCACCCATCATCATTTTCTCCACCACTCGACAGAGTGTCGACAGCTTGAGCAAGGACATTCTCCGAAAGGGGTACAGCTGCACTACCCTGCATGCCGGAAAGACGCAGGACCAACGAGAGGAGGCCCTCGCAGCTCTGCGCTCTGGCGAGTCTCCCATTCTAGTCGCCACGGACTTGGCAGGAAGAGGAATCGACGTTCCCGATGTTTCCCTCGTGATCAACTTTAGCATGCCTACCATGTTCGAGTCCTACATCCACCGTATTGGTCGAACGGGTCGAGCAGGGAAGAAGGGACACGCCATCACCTTCCTGGAGAGTACGGACGAGGAGTGGTACTATGATCTGAAGCAGGAGTTGGCAAGGAGTCCGGTAAGCACCGTTCCGAGAGAGTTGGAGAGACATCCGGCTTCGCAGCAGAGGATGACTAGGGAGATGCTCAAGAGGAAGAGGGACGATGAGTGAGGCGACGCGGATGACTGGGAGGGACTGGACAGTACATCTCTTTCATGTCACTCTCAAGCTTGAGCAATGCAGACTATCTCACAGATGAACATGGAAAGTAAGTATCCAGATATGTAAATGCGATGCAGATAGAGCAAAAGAGATGAACGGTGAACAGTAGGGAGAGAGCAATGCCGTGACGTGCTCTGCTCTTGTGTGGGTATAAGTATTACAGGTGAAACAAGAAGTCCTCTCCTACCCTCTTCCCTCGTCGTACCTCTCAAGCTCGGGTTCCAAGCTTCCTCTTGGCAAGGGCAGCCATCAGTCCACTCCCACCTCCGGCTCCTCCCCCTCCTAGAGCGCCGACACTCCCAGCTCCAGCAGGTGCGAGGGGTCTCCTCTCCTTCCCAGCCCCAGCAGGCAAGGGCGCAATCAGCTTCTTCTCCGAGCCAGGCACCAGCATGTCCATCCCAGAAGGCTTGACCGTGCCAGCAGAAGGCACGACAAAGGCGCCGACGGGTGTGCGACCAGTGTTGGTTCGATCTTGGAGGAAAGATTCGCCCTTGACTGGTGATCTGCGCGCAGGTGTGAAGCGTGCTCCGTCGCTTGCCTCATCCTTGCGAGGAGTAGCGCGACTGCTCGGCTTATAGGGACTTGATGAAGCGTGAGCGGGCTGATAGATGGCGCGAACAGATGTGAAGCTGGTGGGAGGCTGCTCCAAAGGCGTTTCCTCCGGTGCAGAGCGCTTGCGGCTGCTGGCAAAGGAGGAGCTGATGGGAGACAGGGCGGCTGTGCTTGATGCGTAGACAGGCGCTGGGTTGCTTCTTGGTGCAAAAGAAGGTGTACGAGCTACCACTTCGGGAATCGCAACGGACGGTTGAGCCTGTACCGGCGCAGGCGCAGGCGCACGCGCAGGTGGAGCAGCAGCAGCAGCTTGCAGAGCATCAATCTGCTTCTGAAGCGTCTTCATCCTCGAGGAGAGCTTCTTGTTCTCCTTGAGTCCAGTCAAGATCCTCGTGTCGGCTTCCTCGATCTCGTCTGCCTTGGCAGTGAGCTCCTGCTCCATCTGCTCGATCCTCTCCTTGAGATAGGAGACTTCCTCGATGAGGTCCTCGCTGGCACTTGAAGCAGCAGGTGCAGACTCCTTGGTTGCTAACTCGCTCTCGAGTCGGCTGACTTCAGATTGAGCGCCCTTGAGCTGTGCCTCTACTCGCTTCAGCTCTCCTACGCTCTCCTGCAGACCGTGCTCGGCTTGCTCAAGCTTTGTCTTCAAGGTCTCGAGCTCCTCTTCGGTGAAGCGCTGGGCAGCCTTGCGACGCTTCATTTCGCCTTGCAGATCAGCCACCTCGGAGGACTTCATGATCGTCTCCCTCTCAGCGCTCTCCAGCTCCGCCTTGGCCATCGATACTTCCTTCTCGGCCCGAGCGATGTCTTCGTGCAGCTTGTCGTTCTCGCTCTGAGCAGCCTGCAGACGTTCTTCTAGCATGTCCACTGTAGCCGCCGTGGATCTGGAGCGTTCCTGCTGCTCCTGCAGCTCAGCCAGCTCCTCTTTGAGGTTCCAGTAGTCCTCGTTGCGAGACTTGATGTGCTCGTCTCGCTCCTCGATGGCCTTCTCTGCGGCGGCAAAGGCAGCGGAGCGATCTGCAAGCTCTTCTTGCAGAGAAGCAAGCCGGACTCGGTTCGCTTCGAATGCCTGCTGCTGCTCACGGGAAGCATCTTCTGCAGCGGCTGCCCGACTGACAAGAGCGTCTTGCTGCTCCTGCAGAGCGACTTTGCTGGCTTCTAGCTCCGAGATGACCGCACCGAGTCTAACAACCTCCGCTGTCTGTAGTCGAAGTTCCTCAGAGGCACACTCAAGCTCGTGTCGAGCCTCTTGAGCTTTCTTGGCACTGTCGAGTGCCTGCAAGAGCTCGGCCTCGAGCCGCTGAGTGGCTTCACCGTGAGCTACCTCTACTGAGGCCGCCTGCTCAGTCAAAGCAGCGACTTGCTCTTCAAGTGCTCGCACAGCTTCAGCGTCAGCTTCGACCGACGTTTGAGCCCTGAGTCCACTCAATTCTGCTACTCTTGCATCCTTTTCGGCCTCCGCCTGGCTTAGACGCTCCGTCAAAGCCTCAACCTCGCTGCGAGCCTGATCCAGACGTTCCTCGGAGCGTTGCATGCTCTGGACAGCCGCGTCCTTGTCCTCCCTCAGAGCCTCAGCTCGAGCTTCGACATCGACAATTTGACTCTCGAGGCGAGCAATGCAGTTCTTGTCCTCGATGCGTTCGTCAGTCTGGGCCGAGCGCAGGGTCGTCAGCTGCTGTTCGAGATCTTGCCTCTCCTTCTGCATCTGGGCGAGAGCAGACTGCAGCTCATTTGACTCGCCGGTAGACTCCATGCGCGAAGCATTGTTGGCCTTGAGTATCGCCGCCTCGGCCACGACGTCGTCGTAGTTGGACTGAAGTTCGGCGAGGGTCTGCTCACGCTCTGCCAAGGTGACGCGAGCTCCATCCAGACTGATCTGCCTCTGAGCAACCTCGCTCTGCAGTTCTGCAACGCGAGCTTCCTGCTGCGCAAGCTCGAGTCGGAGTGTGGCATGATCTTCTTGCTCAGGCTCAGCGGTAGCTTCAACACGGGACATCTCAGCATTCCTCTCTTCAAGAGATGCGACCTTGTCCAATTCTTCCTGCAAGCGTTGCGCCGTCTCCTTCAGAGCCTCATTCGCCTCTTCGGCTTCAGCTCTGACATTCTTGAGTACTTCAGCCTGCTCCTTGAGAGAGGCGTCGAGCTTCTGCTGCAGGGTAGCCAACTCGTTCTCAACGTCGACCTTCTCTTCCATGAGCTCTTCGTAGTCTTCCTCAGCCATTGACAGCTGTGTCGCCAGATTCTCCAGCTTGAGCTGGTGCGAGCCGATTTGCTCCTCACGGCGAAGGACCCGGCCCTCGAGTTCAACGATCTTTGCGTGTAGCTTAGCGACTATCTTTGTGGAGTCCTCGCTGTCTTGAGTAGCCTTTGAGGTGAGAGAGGCCACATTGAGAGCACGCTCGGAAGCATCTTGGAGCCACTGCCTACAGTCTGCCAGGCTAACTTGCGTCTCTCCGGTAATCGAACTCCACTCCTGATAGCTGCCTCGCTCGGCGCCGAGGCCGTTCTCGAGATGGCCAAGAAGAACCTCCTCGCCCTGCAGCAGCGCCTCTGCTTGTTCGACAGCGCGTCGCTGAGTCTCAATCTCCATGAGCTCTTGACGCTTCAAGAGGAGCTGTTGCATCAGATCAGCGACATCTGCCGCTCGGGCGTTTGCGGCGTCAAGTTGCGACTGCAGATCGGCTTTTGAGGTTTCGTTCGATGCGAATGTGCTCTCGAGACGAGCTTCGGTCTCCGATAGGGTACTCTGCGCGTGGTTCAGCTCTTGCTGAAGCTGAGCCAGATCAGTCTCGAGCTGTGTGATGCGATCCTGGTGCTGTTGAATGGCTAAATCTTTCTCAGCAATCAAAGCCGCTTGATCAGCATCGGCTTCACGCTTTCGCTCTGCTATGGCTTCCGACAGCTGATTCTCAGCTTCGCTCAACTTGACAGAGAGGTGCTCGACGTCGGTGCTCTTCTTGCCGAGCTCGGCCTGCAGTGCGCGTACATTTGCGCTTCGCTCGGCATTGACGAAGCGTTGCTGCTCCTCTGCCTGCTCTATAGACTCTCTGATGAGTTCAATTTGATCCAGCAAGTCTTCTTCGAAGGAACGCTGCAGCTGCTTTCCTCCAGGGGTGGCGAAGAAGTGCTTTGACTTGAAGAGGCCGGCAATCGGTGTGGCGGCAACATCAAGGCTCACTCCAGAGCGATAGGTACTACCCCTTTTCACCGGTGTAGAAAGGGAGACGTCGGCATCGGCAGCCATAGCAGCTCCACGACTGGCCATGAACGCCGTGACTCGCTTGAGTTGTCTTTTACCGAGATCCAGCTCATCTTCGCGTCTCTTGAGAGTAGTCCGAAGCTCCTGAAGTTGCTCGTCTCGAGCGTCTAGTTGAGCGCGCAATTGATCCAGGCTCGCATCGACGCTGCCTTCGAAGTTGGCTGACGCGCGAAGAACGTCAATCTCGAGTGAGGCCTCTTTGGCCCGATGCCTCAGCCTGGAGAGCTCGGCCGTGAGATGCATGACTTCTGCCTCCTTCATCCGCAGCTGTCGAGTGTCCTCTTCCGCGAGCGCGTCAGCTTGCTCCATCGCTGTCTCTTTGTCGGCCAAGTCCGCCTTGAGATCTTCCAGCTCTGAGCGAAGCTCTTCGAGATCGACCGCAGCTTGGTGAGGACTGCTTTCATGCGCATCTCCGTTGCTCGAATTGGCACCGTTCTGCTTTAACTTCTCCAGCTCGCCGCGCAGAAGCTCGCGTTCGGACTCGATGTCACTTCTCTCGCGGTCAAGCCCGGACACCTTGCGCTCGAGCTCAGCAACGCTGCCTTGGAGTTCGTTGCAGAAATTGTCGAGTTCAGCGTACTCCTCAGTAAGCTGAGCAACTCGCTCAGAGGTTCCTTCGTCCTGGTCGTTCGGCGAAGACTGGGCCGCTTCTTGCGCCACCAGCAGGGCTTTGCTACTTTGTTGTAGTTGCGTGCGGGTCGACGCGAGCTGCCTGCTGAGCTCCTCGATGGTACTCTGACGCTTCAGCAGCTCAGCTGTGAGCTCTGGCATCCCCTCGCCTGAGTCTTGCGTGGGCTGGGACGCTTGTAAGCGCTCAATCTCGTCCTCGAGATCGCCAACTTCTCTCTTCAAGGTATCGCGCTCGGCAGTCACTTGCGAGAGAGATCGGCGAAGTTCTCTAAGAATTCGTGTCTCGCTCTGTTGTCCATTTGCGTTGCTGCTTGAAGGCGCGCTCATACTCTCGTCGTGCGACAAAGCTGTACCCGCGACTTGCTCACGAAGTGAGGAAAGTTCCAGCTCAAGGCCCTCGCAGCGATCTGAGGCTTGTGACAGCTGAGATCTCAGTCTGGTGAGCTCTTGTTGTGAGCTCGCCCCTGCGGAGCCCTGACCCTTCTTGCTCTCTTGCAATTGACGTTCGATCTGGGACTTTGCAGCTTCGAGGTCTTCGGCTCGCCTTTCTGCTGCATCGAGCCTCTTCTCACACGCCTCGACCTCTTTCGCCAGACTATCGCATTCGTCCTTCTTCCACTTCAGGTCTTCCTGCAATTCTCTCAGCTGTGTCTGCAGGTCGGCAGCGATCTTTTCGCCTTGCCTTTCCTTGGCCAAGACTTCATTGCTGGCCTTGAGAGCCTCTTTCTCGGCCTTGGCAGCGCGAGCTTCGAGCCTCGTAAGGTCGGAGCGAGCTTCATCGTAGAGGTTCTGCAGGTCTTGCACTTGGGCTCGCGACGCGTTTGGTGCTGTTGATGCTGATGAAGAAGACGCTCCAGATACTGAGGATGCCCGGCCTCGTCGAGCAGGCCCACGCTGTGGTGTCTGATCATTTGAGCCGGCTAAGCTGGTCGAAGAGGAGGCGAAAGCGGAGGTGGACGGAGACCGGAGACGAATGTTCTCAGCCTTGAGTAGTGCCAACTCGTCTTCCAGAGCGGCCGTCTTAGCTAGCGCATCGGTATTGCCGCGGCTGCCAGACTGTGGTGTCTGGTCCCGCCGCCTGGCCTCCTCCTCCTTGTCTGATAGCCTCGACTCGAGGTTCTTGACCTTGTCTTCAAGCTTCTTCTTCTGTTCCATCTCTTGCCTCAGCTGCGTGTCTAAAGCCAAGTCTCTCCTCTGCTCCTCGAATTTGCGGCCCTTCAGTTCCTGGTTGTACCGCTCCTCAGCCTTGGCGAGCGCCTGTTGCAAATTGCTCTTCTCTACATTTTGCCGGTTGAAGTCTGATTGCAGGCGGCTCAAAGCAGCCTCTGCTTGAGTGGCCCTGCTGGAGTCTTGAGCGGCACTCGTACTCAGGGTAGATAGCTTGTTTGTGAGTTCCGAGACCTGCCGTTGGGCGGCCGTCTTCTCAGACTCGAGGAGGCCGATGCGGAGGTCTGTGAAGCAAAGGGTGGTGTGATGGTGAGCAACTGACGCGTGGGACAGGGCTCTGACCTGCCATGGCTACTAACCTTGTGATGTGATCTGCTTCTTGAGCTTCTTCACTTCGCCATTGTCTTCCTCAAAGAAGGCCATGGCGGGGAAGCGGCTGCCGAATCAGCGCTTTGGGCGGATGTCGTGTCAGAGGGCGGCAACGCGCCAAGAACAGGCAGGCAGCTGAGGTGGGGAAAAGAAAAGAATGTGGTGGCTCAGACGGCCGTGCTATCGAAGGTCGTCAGGATGTTGGCAAGGGTATAGAGAAGTCTGATGCGTCCTGGGCTGTTGCGGTGTGGAAGTATTGGGACAAGGTGTAATGGCTGAGAGGAACAAGAGGGCGGCTTCCGTCGTCTGCGCCTGTTGCATGCCTCGCCTCTTTTGGCCGTGCATCGATCAACACGGCCAAAACACGCACAGGAGATTCCCTCACGTTGCTGGGCGGAGTCGCAAAACACATGGAAGCACACACGACGGAAGTGGCCACGCGTCTCTCTCCTCCACCGTTAACCCACTTCTTCCTGCTGAGCCTCTTCACTCACCACAAGCATATACCCAAGCACCAACACCATGCCATCGATATCCCTCGCTCCTCCCAATCTACCGCTACCGTCGGTACTGCTGCAGCAGGTCAGATCTTCATGCGCCGAGGCCGCCAAAGCAGCGGGCATCCGAATCGACGAAACCCGCCTCACGGCCCTCCTCGCCTCCTCCTCCCCTCTTCCCCCAGCCACCTCTAAGGACTACTCCCTTGCCTTTCCCCTCAAGTGGGACTCCACATCACACGAAGTCAACTTCCTCTCCCTACTCGCAATCCTGTCCGTCCTCTCCCCTAGTGAATCTCTTCTACGGCAGCTGCCCAACACACCGAGCCCTTCGTCCCTCCCGCGGCACCTCCTACTGGGGCTCTACCTCTCCGCACCGCCTTCCAATCACGCAAGCGCTCCCTCCCCGCTATCCTCAGCGCACATAGCCGGTCTGAAGGACGGAGAGGTGGCAGACATTGTAGGCTTGAAGATTCACCAGGAGAAGAGGGTGGAGCATATACCCGTGGCGACGCTGGCCGAGAGGGGTGGACCCGGCAGTGAGATTGTCAGTCGGATGAGGGAGACACTCAATCGAGTCGGGGACCGCTGCGTGGAGAATCGGTACGTCGATCTGGGAGCGTTCGTTGCTGAGACTCTGGGACAATGTAAGAGCATTGCCGCTGGCAAAGGCGAAGAGGAAGCTGTCGGGCACTTTGTCAATCGGGTGAGTTCAGAAGAGCTGAAGGCGGTAGTCCTCAGCGCTGCTAACAGCTCGCGCCGGTGTCTCTCTCTCAGCTGGTCTCCTTCCTCCCAATCGACACGACCGACTCCTACACCCTCTCGGAAGACGTCCAAGTGCACATCTACAGCAATGCGCTATTCCTCCTCCTCTCCCTCACGCTCCGCTTCGGCCCCTCCTCCACCCCCTCATCCTCCTCTGCCCTCCCCTGGTTGCCCTCTCCCTCCATCTTCCCTCTTCTGGCGGACGGTCATCTGCCCCTTCTACTAGCACGTAGAGGCATCCTGGACCTCAGCGAGTGTGCAGATCGCAAGTTGCGCGCCTGGGGGGAATGGGCCTCGGCTCCTGACCTGGATCCAAACAGATCGACTCAAGAGCCCTCTCTGACTTCGGACCAGGCGCACCTACTGCGAGCCGCCTCGATTCACGCAGGCGAGCTTCTCCGGTCTAAGCTCGCAGAATCAGGGAGAGGGGCAGGTGAAGAGGGAGCGAGAGCAATTGTGTTGGACTTTGATGCTTTCCTGCGTAGGCAAGGAGCAGGCGCAGGTGAAGGGAGGGGTCTCCTCGTAGAGGAGCGGGAGATTGAAAAGTGCGGAAAGTGGTAGATGTCACCAAAGGTGAAATGAACGCAGTGTTGCAATGGAAAACCCAAGTGATACATTTACTAGATGACTGCGTCTGCTTAGATGAACTGAACGAGGATTGCCAAAGAGATTGCCGAAACAGAGGGAATCGCGCTGGATCAATCCACCTCCATGGACCCAGCAGCAGCAGCAGCAGCAGGCTTCTTGCCCCTCGGCTTTTGCCTCTTCTTTTGACCTGCTGCCGCCACCTTCTGACCAGCTGTACTGCCAGCGGCGGCTCCCGTCGCGGCGGCCTTCTTGGCGACCTTCTTTGACTTTTGTGCTTGCAGAGTTGCGCTATCGACGGAGGAAGCGAGGGAAAATTGACAGTCTGTCAATCTGGAGTTACACGGAACGTCCAGCTTGAATGCACGCTGCTACTCACAGATCACTCTTCGCAGCTCCCTTGACCTCTCCCAGCCTCTGCGCCAATGGCAGACCGCCTAGTCTTGATTGCAAAGATTGTGTCTGCTGTGTCTTGGGTCCTTTGGGTGCCGCTGATGGCAACAAGACTACAGTAGCTCCATTGGCTCCCCTCCTTCCCGCTGTGGGCTGCACTTGAGCCTGAGCAGTCGCAACCTGCCTCCTCTCCTTTGCCGTTAGCGGACGAGTCTGCAATAGCTCCCGAGGAGCAACGGCTGATCCGCGAGGTACAGGAACGGGTGCCTTTTGCACGACTGCTACGTCTTGCTTGAAGAGCTCCTTGACTCGCGGGTTTCCGCCTCCACGTCCTCCGCCTGAGCGTGGTCCGAGAGGTGTTGAAGACGAAGTGGTAGGTGCGGGCGAGGGAGCGGCTGATGAGAGGCTCATTGCATCGTCTGCCCTGGCTCTGCTGGGCCCGGTAGGCGTAGCGACGGCGGTTGTGTCTTCTTCGATCACGACGCTCAGGATGCGCCCATCCGCGAGAGCTCGATCCAGCTGCTCAACGGCCTTCTTGGCTCCTGCCCTCTCCTCGAAGAGCACCTCGAAAGAGACACTGCCTGCATCGCCAGAGCGCCTCTCCTTGACGCGGATGATATCACCGAATTGCAGGAAGGTTTGGCGTACATCTTCAGCAGAGGTTCCCTTGGCCAGATTGGACACAAGAGCCTGCGTAGGGATACTCGAGGAACCACGGATACTTAGTTGCGAAGGCGCCTGTGGCGTTTGCTGCTGCTGTTGCGGCGTGAAGCTGCCCTGGGATGAGCCGTTGCGCTGGGGAGTGGGGCGCTACGTGGGGCAATGGAAGCCAATCCATATCAGCGAGCTGTTGCGAGGCTTGAGATTCCATTTTCCGACACAGTTCGGATTGACAGATGTCCATAGCCGATGGCAGTGGTAGTGTTGTTGTCTCCTTGCGCGAAGGCGTCCAGGTAGCCTATCTCCATAGCGTGCTTCCGTCGTTAGCAACTCACCGAGTACGGGGCGGCATTCTGTCGCGCAAAACCACCGCTAGCCGATCTGTACGGGCCCCTCCCGCCGCCACCTCCTCTGTTCCTCTGATTGTCTGCGTACATGGTATGAGTGGATAGAGACAGACTGCTGAGTTGTTTGAGGATGTTGAGAAGAAGACTTGGGAGGGAAGGATGGCTTGCCTCGGAAGGTGCGTGGAGCGTGGGGCCAGGGCCTGGCTTCGCGTTGTTGGCTTCCACTCCGCGCGACACAGACAATGCGAGGCGAGGCGGAGGCGGCCTGAGCACAGTCACTCCCGCCCGTCCCTTCCGTGCGATTCGTAGGATCGTAGTCTAGCAGCTATCCAACCTCATCACTTGGTCTCCTCCTACAAAACACCCTCACATACACAGACGCCCTAGCACAAGATGGTCGTGCTTGAGACTTCCGACAGCGAGCGATTCACCGTCGACAAGGACGTCGCCGAGCGATCCGTGCTGATCAAACAGATGCTCGATGGTGAGTTCCATTCCTCGAAGCAATGTGGAGCTGCCTTAGGCAGACGATGCTAGAGTCCATCCAGACAGGCAAGAGGGCTTGACAAACGGCAGCAATAGATGAGAAGCTGCATCTTCTATTTTTATGATCAAAGTAAGGAGATATTTGCTTTACCGATGGGTACTGACTCGTCTACTTGTACCCTCCCTTTCCCTCACTTCCACCTCCGAACGACCACCTCACCATGCTATCTTGCCCTCCACGCAGATCTGGGAGACACAGACAACCCCATTCCTCTCCCCAATGTCACCTCCAACGTACTCAAGAAGGTGAGATATGCTCGGGTGCCTCTGAGGTGATGCGAAAGGTATCATGAGCAGGGGAACAGTGGAGCTGCTAGACACAGGGGCCTCTACCGATGCTCTAGGCTACAAGCGCTAGACAGAAGATCAAGACTGACATGAGCATCCTCTTGATTCTCTGTCAGGTACTCGAGTACTGTGGACACCACAGGAATGACCCAGCCCCTCCCGCTGACGAAGCCGAGGAGTCACGAAAGAGAACAACCGATATCAGCGAATGGGATCAAAAGTTCATCTCCGTCGACCAGGAGATGCTATTTGAGATTATCCTGGCTGCCAACTATCTCGACATCAAGCCTCTCTTGGATGTGGGCTGTAAGACGGTGTGAGTGGCAAGGTAGCAGAGGCAGCTGCAATGCTCCCAGGGAGATCCCGCCTGCATATACTGACATGGGTATATGCTTTCTTCCACTGCAGTGCCAATATGATCAAGGGAAAAACACCCGAAGAGATTCGCCGACTGTTCAACATTCAGAACGACTTCACACCCGAAGAGGAGGCTCAGATCAGAAAGGAGAATGAGTGGGCAGAAGACCGTTAGGTGGGCGCTAGATGGCTCGTCCCGTAGGAAAGCTCATGGTAGTAGAGTTACTGTGCCCGCTGTTCATGATATCCTCTGGCTCAGAGCCTTTGGATATGCCGGGAAGTTAAAGCTGGGAGAATAGGGGAAGGAGGAAGTTGTATACACTTGTACCATCTTAGTCGATCTAGTTCTCACTCATGTCAGTACAAACTTTTATGCCACAAATTGCACCGTCTGAAGTGAGTCTGAGCTCTGTCGGAGGGCACAACAGCATGTTCATCAGGTGTCAGAAAGTACTTAGCCTCAACAGCAGCTCTTGCGAGATGAGTGAGGCCCCCAAGGAGACCATCTCTTTGTCTCGTCCTCGTCAAACACCTGCCTTGCTTCAGGTCTTGAGCTGTCTGCACCCATGTCTGCTGAAGTCTGACACAACACAGCACTGTTGCTCGCTCCTGGCTCCGTTTGAGACAAGGCCTGCGGTGGTCCATCTCTCGGGACGCAGACGGCACAGTGGAGAGGAGCGCCTGGTCCTGCGTCGCGTTGGGTATGTGCCATGTGGGCCTATGGCTCGTGGCCTGGCTGGCTGGCGTGCGAGGGCCGGGGGCGGGTCTTGTGCCTCGGAAAGGGAGGATGGGGCACTGGAGCAGTGTCGGCTCCCTTTCCGGGGGTGGGTGCTGCGAGCGAGCGCGAGGGTGCGCCTGTCCGCACTCCCTTCCGTGTGGGCCAGCTCTGCCCCTTCGTCCTTCCCAAGTCACTTCCGTTCTTCTGCCGCGTCCCCCTTCCACTCCTCCTTGTCCCACCCACTCTTCTCTACCATACGGGTCATCCAAGCCCTACTCGTACTCCTCCTCAGTGTCACTCGCACAGTCCCTCCCTCTTTCTCTCCTCTGCCCCGCACTTGCGCTTCCGCGGCACCGTAGCTGCCGATCAGCGCCTGAGAGCAAACGGGATCAATCCATCTGCCCCCGCTGCCCCCTTTCCGTTGACGAGGCACAGAGGAACAGCAGCCTCGGACTCGCATCACCTCCTTCGCTCATCATGGCTCCTGCTCGCCGCCCTCCTTCCTCGTCGTCATCCTCTTCCACTACCTCCTCTCAGCCACCCCCTCCACCGCCTCCAGCACCTTACCAGGCACCCTCCTTCTCGCGGCCCTTCTCCCGCTACCCCTCCTTCAAGCAGGCCGATTCGGATCATCCCGACAACGGACACCCATCTGCCAGGGGAATCACACCCGAACGTGAGGGAGCAGCTGGATTGACTGGACTCCCACCACCGCCACCACCGCCTGGTCACCACCAGCACTCGGCTGCCATTCCACCCCCTCAACGCTACCACCATACCATGCCCGCCCCCGCTTCCAACCGACAGCACGCCAATCTCATCATGAGGAGGCCTGCAAACAACGGCTACACTGGCGTGCCAATGTCCTTCTCTCGAGGCGGTGTCGACCAACAGGCGCAAGAAGACTCGGATGAGATTCCAGGTGACGACGATGAGGAGGAAGAGGACGAGGAGGGACGCAAGCAGGCCGGCGCACCTCAGCCCTACCAGCACCAGCATGCTCACCAGCAACCGCTTACAGGCGCATATCCCGCTCAACAAAGCTACCCTGGAATCCCTCCTTCCACGCAACCTCCGAGGCAGCAGTCGTACCCACACTCGTACCCTCAGCATCAAGCACCACCTGCACCGTCTAACGGCAAGCACCGCAAGACAAGTACCTCTGCCTCCAGCACCGGCAGTCAGACTGCCGTGGGCGTGGCTCCAAACGTCCCCAACATGAGTGCGGGAGGCGCGTCTCCCGGAGCTACTGGTGGAGGCTCTTCCCAGCCTCCTGGCTCAGCCGGAAAGAGCGCTTCGCCTGGCAAGACAACAAAGAAGAGGGACCGCATTTCCCAGGGTGAGCTCTGCAATTGCAGAAGTATGCTGCTCGACAGCAGATCATCCTTTATACTGACGTCGTCTCTTGTTGTGACACATCCCTTTCCGTTCTCTCTTCTTGCGCATAGCCTGCAACTTCTGCCGTCAGCGTCGCATGAAGTGTCGAGGCGGACGGCCCGTAGGTGCCAACTATCCCAGCGACCCGGGACAGCCCTGTGATCGATGCGCAGAGAAGGGGTCCGAATGTAGCTGGTCATGTTACTCTGATTCTGGCCGACAGGCTACCACCGCTCGGAAGAAGAGCAGGCTTAGCGGCGCGCCTCTACCTGAGTCTCTCACAGGCGGGCGCTACGACGGTGCAACAATGGCGTCGGGAAGCAACAGCGGTACCAGTACTCCAAGCCAGTCACGGCAAAAGACCGGTGGGGCATTCTCACCAGGCGAGTCTGCTGGTCGAGGAAACCGTAACGCTAGTCGTCGACGCACTCTGGAAGCTGCCGCATCTGCACGAGAGGAGTCTGGATATGGACCGGAGACCCAAAGTCAGGATTCTCAGGCATTGGCAGTACACGCCGCTCTCCAGTATCACCTCGAGCACCGCGGAGATGTCGAAGATCCACGACCTCAGCCTCTCACAATGGAGGTTGGCGCTCCCAGTGGTACAGGCAGAGACGCTCTTCAGCCACGAGCCATCGTACCGGATGGTACACTCGGTCACAAACGGAAACGAAGTGATCAAGAGGCATCTGCCGCTCTGATGATGATGCCTCATATCGATCCTGCTCTCGGTGGAAGTGGAGGCGCTCCTTTGCCTCAAGATGCTCATGGCGCCAAGCGAGGAAGAGCCGTCGATCCAGAGAACACGTACAGCAATGGTGCAGTCCCAACCATGTCTGGACCCCTTCGACCGTCTGTCTATTCACGTGGTGTAGTCCCATCGAGGAAGACCTTGTCCGCAGCCAAGGCAAGGCCCCATGGATATGCCTCAGACACTGGCGATCTCGCCACAGCTAGCACCAAGAAAGAGTCGAGGCGGAGAAATTCCATCGCAGGTGGTGTCAGCCTCTCTGATCTGGCCGTGTTGTCCCTCATTGAAGAGCATAAGGCTCGGGCAAGCGACATCGCCTCAGCGATGCCAGCTAGCCTAGCAACCATCAAGAAAGAACCCGGCAAGCTTCCTTCGTTCGAAAGAAGCGGTCTTGGGCCTGACACGCCGATGTCGGCCCCCGCTGCTGCTGAGGACTATCTAGGGGAGATGCTGTTGCCCGTGAGCCCTCTCATTGTAGCACAAGTTGCCGATGTGGCGCCCAGAGGTATCAGTCAACGACGTAAAGACGTCACGTCTGGCTTCAAGATCGATCATCTTGAGCTCGATGACTCTGCAACGCTTCACGATATTCTAGGATACGCAGTTCCTCCCGTCGCAGTCAACGGCGGTGTTGCCGGCGACCCTCAGCAATACGCCAACATCGATCCAAGCCTGGGCCCCTCTGCTTCACAGATGGGCATGATGCCTCCGCTGAGCCAGACGAGCTTCAAACCTTCTTCTGACTCTCAGCTGGAGCCTTGGTTTGACATCGGAGGGGCAGGAATGCCCAGCCAGCAAAGCCAGCAGCTGACGTCTCAGCACTACAGTCACCACCCCTACCACCAGCAGAGCGCCCCGCATCCTTACGGCTACTCGCAAGTGGGTGCTCAGACGGCTGGCTGGCCCTATGCTACGGCGTCTGACCACTCGCCTCAGCAAGCAGCGCGTGGCACATCTGCCTCAGCTTATCCACCGTATGCTCAGCAGCTTCCCTACTCGCATTATCGCTATACCTCGACGAATCTTCCCACCGGTTCGCCCGGATCCTACGCTGCATCGACGCCGCAGGATGCTGGCAACTACTACCCTCTACCAGCTCACGGCGAGGGAAGTCTCTCCCAGCTTGCCGACATGAGTCTCGCGAGGTTTGGGAACTTGAGCCAGAGTCAGGAGAACGATGGGCAGATGAGGAGGTCAAGCTCTGTCTCTTCGCTGACCGGCAGTCAGGGCCCAGCAACGGGCGCACGAGGTGATGGCGATGCGCTTCCTCCGCCACCTTCGCAGGCAGAAGCCGATACGGGTCTGCCCAGGGAGCCGCTGATTGAGTATGGGACTAGTCAAAGCCAGAGTCAGGGTCAGGGAAGGGGCGACGCGAGTGAAGGAGCACAAGCTGCTGGACTGGCCGTCGGTGATGTAGCCGCGGCTGCCATTGCTGCTGCTGCTGCGCAGGGGGGACAGGACGCAAATGGAGAGAAGATGGAGGAGTAGAAGAACATGCATTGATGAATGAGAAAAGACATGGCGAGCGCTGGTAGAGATGGGTGTAAGTGAGAGGGGCGGACTGGTGCTTTGTTCTGTAAGAGAGAAACCTCATCTATCGCTCGTGTAGGGCTAGTCAGAGCACAGCAGAGCAAAGCAGAGGCGGCAAAACGAATTGGAACGAATTGTCAGTACTTTTCTCGCATAGTCAGTCAGTCAGTCAGTCAGTCAGTCAGTCAGTCCGTCGATCCGTCGATCGGTTCATTCGTCCGTGCGTCAGCTGACGAAGCAAAAGGGATGCTCCGATGCGACTTTGTGCCTTTGCTGCTGCACGCTCAATTACAAGCCGGTGCGTGTGATGCAAACGATGGCACAACATGTCCTGCCGCGTGCGCGGTCGATAGGCTGAAACTCAGTACGTCACACCGCCGAGACGGAAGCACGTTGTGCTGGCCCTCTGCGTCCTTTGCTCCACCTGCTCGTCCCATCACGCCTTTGCCATCCGAGACTGAGCTCAGCCCTCCTCACGGCGACCACTACGACCTTCGTCAAGACGATGTCACTATCGATCTTACAAGGTGCCATTCTCTGATCTAGCACTTTACATGCAGATCTGGCCATGGACGCACCACAGCGCACCTTTTCCATGAGAGGGCCGCCGGTGGATGCACCTTGCGATACGCCCTTCACACCTGAATTGTGGCTCTCAAGAAAACCAGGCGAGGCTCCCACGCCAATCAGCCAGCTCAGGGATGATCCCTTATTAGGATACCCCATCATAATCCAGGATGATGTCGAGTATACGTCTACCAAGACAATCCCTCGGACGAGCTCAAGGGGCGCTGTCGCCTCTCTCAACATCCTCGCCTCAGGTGTGGAAGACAGCACTGGCGGAGAGACCATGCTGGTTCGCTCTCTTAGTCTGCTTGACAAGTTTGGAAAGATCCTTGACCCATATCTTTCCAACTTTCCAGAGAAAGCTGGCATCGCTCGAGAGAAACTGGTCTTACCCAACGCCGCGAGTAGAATCTGCGTACATTCTGACATGAGCGAGACGGCATTCAATAGTCAGTATTCGGACATAACTCTCTATCTTGTGCAGTGCCTACTTGAATTGGGACAAGAAGCGATTCGATGGCAGGAGCAAGGCGTGAAGAAGCAAATGAAGGAGTATGGTATGGAGTACGAGGCTTTGCTGCCGACGTCTCCCGATGAGACGGTGAGGATCATCCCAAGTCGACATCTGCAAGACTCGCTCCCATCTTGGTCTTTCCCGGCGGGGACACTGGACCAAAGTACTACTGTTGGCTATTCCGACTTTTACGTCGTCTGTGGAAAGCAAGTCATTGCATCAATAGAGGCTAGACCCGGATGGGGCCCTGAGGAGATTGGGGTCCTTGTACGAGACCGTCTTGATCCCTTCGTTCTACAAGATGAGGCGGACACAACAACACACACCTCCGACGAGACGTTGCTCGAGATTGCATCGCACTCTGCTGCAACTGGTCTCAGCGTGGGCTTGCTCATGGCTGACTGGGGCCGAATCCTCTTGCCCTACGAAGTCCCGAGGCAACCCTATCAAGGGAATGAGAGCGCAACGTCACCTGAGGGAAGCAAGGCCCGGATCATCTTCAGCTCCACCCCCTCCTTTTACGATGTCCTTGTGGGCCCCAAAGCGCTCGATACTGCGAATCGAGAGGTCTGTGGTGGTCTTCAGGATAGCAATTCGAAGAATCTCCATTTCATGAGCCTATCCAATGCTGTATTTTACATGCTTGCATGGGTGCTACAAGCTGTAGAAAAGGCCAGGGGCCAAGAAGAAGATTTCGTGCAAGAGCCAGCAAGAGCAGGAGGCGAAAGGTTGAACTCTGCTGAGGACCGAGGTGCTGGGCCGTCGTCAAAGCGCGGGCCTCCCGACAGCGACACAAGCGATAGGCTGGCGCAAAAGCCTCGAGGTGGGCATCGATCTGCCAGTGGACCTGTCGCTCCTCGTGCCAGTCAAAAGAAGTCCAGTGGAGGCGGCGACAGCGGCGGAAAGGGCGAGGGAAAGGAGACCCTTCATGGTGACGATTACGAGGCCCTCGTCCAGGAATCTCGGCCTCTGACGACGTATATCTCGAGCTACACGCCGATTGGTGATGGCACTTACGCTACGGTGCATCTGTGTCTCTTCAAGAAGTCTATCCTCGATAGTAGCCTCGGCGATGACCACCAGTCGAAGCATCTTGGTGGAAAGTCAATGCTTCAGGTACTGCCTTACGCTAGACTCGACGAGCTTGAAGCCTTGCTCAAGGTGCAGCGTGTGCCTCTAGCGGAGGAGGATCGCGGAAGCAAGATCGATTGGCGTCTTGAGGAGCCAGACGGACCTCCCCTGAGCGAAGAGGACCGCTTCGACATACAGCGCCGCACAGTGCGGGAGCTGCGTGTCTACCTGCAATGCCAAGAGTTGCAAGGACTGATAATACCAAAGCTATACGGTGTGGTCTCGCCTCGCAATTACCCACCCTCTACAGCCCACAAGCTCATGTTGCAGTGCATCTACGGGGGCCCAATCAGGAATGTACCCCGCAAAATGTACCTCTTGTGGCGCGAAGAGCTCGTTGCCTCTGCCGTACAGGCGCTCTCGATGTTACACTCGCGGTCGGTGTGGCATGGCGACATTAGCACCAGCAACATCATGGTCGAGTGGCGCAAGTATGACGCCTCTGCGTTGGGATCTTCGAGACACGAGAGGGTAGAGCCTGAACAGGTTCTAGAAGCGCTCCAAAAGGCTCAAGACAACATGGGCATCAGCGAAGCGGACTTCAAGACTCAACTCGACAAGCTCAGAGCTGCCGACGCTGACGCTGTTAAGTATTTTGGAATCATGCCGACACCAACGTTGTCGCCTTTTGACGTTCTCAAGATCACCATACGGCCTCACGTCTGGCTTATCGACTTTGCCGACTCTGAAATCGTGAATGCAGAGGCAGAGGAGGGGAAACAAACGCTGTCTTCCGAATTGGAGAAGATGGAAAAAGTCTTTGCGAGGTTGGATGCTCGATATCAGTAGAAAAACACATCGATATAGATGGAGCAGATATCGGGCTAGGCCTAGCCTCGCCCAACACTACGATGATCGACGAGGACTAACTATCCGCATATGTCAAGGTTTGACGGCAGGTCGTAAGTTACCTGCCGGATCTTGAGAAATCGACTTTAAGAAAGCATTCGCCTCGTTGTCTGCCCCCAAACTTGTATCGCTCACACCGTACTTACACCCAGATGGCATGGAGTTCGACAGCGACTTCCCATAAAGACCCTTATGTTGCACTGCAGTAAGACAGGTTCGATGTAGCTAGTAAAGCATGTCATCCCATAGGATGTTTCCTGATACAGAGAGAGCCGCAAATGTGTGACTCGTCGAGTAGCAGCGCTCGTATTGTTGATTCGGGCTCGCTGGTGAGGCGGCGGCTCAGGCGGGAGCCGGCTTGCGTGCGCTGAGCCTGTGGGTGCGCCTCGCGTGGGCGGCTCCGGGCGAGGCCAGGCCTGTGTATTCGCCATCACAATTCTCCAGCCATCAACCATCAACCATCACATTTACATCTCTACATTTCTGCTTAAGGTCACACTCACTACTTTCGAGGACGAGAGTCTTCGCTCTCGACATCGCCGGGCTCTGCACAAGATGCCTCGATACTCTCCCGCTCCTCTCCTTACCAACCCTAGACCCTCCACACCTCCGACGCCTCACCGCACCCATTCCCACCAGGACGGTGGAAACTCACCTGCAACCTCATTATTCGGCACCGGTAATGTCACTCATGGAGGCATATTCTCCAACCCTATGCAAGGCCAACAGCAGCAGCAGCAGCAGCAGCTGAGCAGCCACACTACCGGAAGCAGCGGTATCGCATGGGGTGGTAGCGCCACTGGCAATCTCTTTCAACAGTCCCATGCCTCTCTGTCGTCTCCTTCCTCCTCGCAACATGTTCAATGGGGATCCACCCCATCTGCTCTTCCCGCTTCGATACAGTGGGGATCCACTTCCTCCTTCTCAGCTGGGCCGAGCACGGCACATGTCTCGACACCCTCCTCATCCACTCATCACAACGACCCATTCTCTAGCGCCACTCCCCAGCATAATCTCTCACCGTATAGCTTGCCGGATAAGACTCGCAAGTCAGAGTCGAAGCGCAAGCGAATGCAAGAAGAGGACGAGGATGAAGAAATGGGAGGACCAACGGTGGCTCTGCAGTCCAGCCCAGAGAGGGGTGGCGGAGGCGGCGGCGAAGGTGGAATAAGACCGACGATTGGTGGACAGGGAAGGAACCTTGTGCCGAAGAGGATCAGAGCTGGTTTGGGAGGAGTGCTAGGCTTAGATGAAGGCATAGGACCGGCGTTAGGCTCGAGTTCGACAGCAAATGCCAGCGCAAAGGGCAGCAATGTGAAGGAAGATGATCATAAGACCACAAGCAGTACTGTTGATCTGGGGAAGATGCTTGGTGAGTACCTGTGCTAGAGACCCACATCCTTTGAGATCTGAGAACAAGTCTGATCAAGACCGTCCTTCCGTTCCAGCCTCGTTGGACAAACCGAACCTCCTATCGCTGCTATCTTCGCTGCTGTCACAACACCCCGAGATAATCTCCTCCATCCATACTCTCCTGCCTCTTCCAACCCTGGAGTCAGTCAACCAGTCACTCGATGCCTACGAAGCTGCTATCAAGTCTGCTCTACCTTTCAATGCACAGAATGTATCTATTCGATCTGAATACACCTGGAATCGCTTGCGAGGGCCTGTAGGAGAATTGGTCTCTGGGATTCAGGGATGGATGGACTTCTTTCACGCCAAGGAAGAGCAAGAGAATGAGAGTGGGGGTGTACATCCATCGACGATGTTTTCCTTGCTACATACAATTACGGCGCGAACTATCAAGATCCAAAAGGATCTTCTGCCAACTGTACCTGATCAGTGGATTTCAGGTTCCTCGTCTCTGCATTCCTCTGCTGGAAGAGATCGGTCTGCATTATCATCGGGTAGCTCTTCGAGTCAGCAAGTGCTTTTCTCTGCGCTTCCTACGGGCCTACTTTCGCCCGCCAACCCTAATGCTCTGCTTACCACCCTGCTACCCCTTCTTCTCGGAGCCTGGGACGGCCTCTTGGCCCGCATTGCCAATGACATCAATGGCAAAGGCAAGATGTTTGGGCGGGAAGTCGTGGTGACTTGGCTAAGAGGCGTCGAGGGCCTTGCGGGCGGAGACATCGCTGCTTCGAGCTCAGGAGAGAGCGAAGAGGATGGTCAGCGACTGGAAGTATTGCGAGCTGTGCAGAAGTCGCTGAAGGGAGTGGAAGCCGACTTCAAGCGGGAGATTGGGTGGGTGGTGGGTCTGTTTTGAGTGCGGTATTGGAGGAGTAGGGCGTCCTCCTGGAGCATTGGTCATTTCTGTGTTTCACCTTGAGTTTCCGTACCCACATTTTGATATCCCCGTCTCTCCTATGAGAGCATCTCAACGCATCAATCATTGTTTCTTCACACATTGGCGCTGTCGTGACTGCCAATCGTCCCGTACGTACGCCAGACGGTGATGGTGTCTGCTCGGCGCCGTTCGGCCTTGGTTCCTCCACTGCGAGGCTTCAGGCACTTGGCCTGTGATCGGGACAATGGCGGCCAGGCTCGTCTAAAGTCGCGAGGCGGGGGGCGTCTGGCTGCCTGCATGTGCCCTCATCCCCTCACCACCATCACCTCACCACCACCAAGCTCCTCATCATCATTGTCAACCTCGGCCTGTTGCTTCTGGGTCCCCTGTGAGGCTCCTGGTATCAGCTACTTCGATCCCCTTTTCATTTCTCCGGCCAAAAGCGCCAATTCGGCGGCCTAAGACTTCAAAATCGGACGCCTTCACTGCGTGGATTTTTGCTCCCGTCAGCCCCTCCCATCCCCCCCCTCGCCACAATCTGCATCTGACTTGGCCTGGTATTCTAGCACCTGATGCTGCCCCTGAAAGCAGCTTCCTGATCTGCTGCTCATTCTCCCACGCTACTGTTCACAGCAGCTGGCTGTTCCCTTCGAAGGGGAGCTCGCAGCCAAGCTGAAAGGACCCCGACATCTGGTCCCCTTCAACCGTCCGCAACTCAAGATACGATCTCCTGTCCTTTGTTCTTCTGATACACTACAGTGCTGTTCAAGTTGCCCACGATGGAAGGCACTAGCCGTCTTCCATCTGCGTCTCCTCAGCTAGCGGCATCTACTGCACCATCCTCGGGCCCTTCAACAGGCCGCTCTCCTCCCTCTTCCTCGTCCCCACCCTCATCCTCGACGCCCTACACCACATCCATGACGGCTCATTTCATGCCATCGGCCGCTAGCGTATCACACACAAGAGCTTATCTAGAGGCACTCGTCGCCTCTACGCAGACTCGGCGGGCTGTTCCCGTCAGATCAGTCTCCTCTCTCAATGCCAGCTACAAGCCTCAGAAGCCCAGCTCCCTTGCAAGTAGTGCCTCTGCGACTGGATCCTCGGAGGGCAATGGCAATACTCCTCCCACTGATTCTTCTTCAGACGAGGAGACAATGGATGTCGCAAGCTTTACAGAGGTCAACAACATGACGGCTCCTTCCTCTCGGAAGAGTAGTGTGGGTAATCTGTCCTCCCCTTTGTTCACTTCGACTCCGCTCTCGCCTGGACCCGATCAGCAATCAGCTCAACAGCAGCAAGCAGGCGCCGACGCAGTCGCAAATGTCATGGCCGTATTGGAAGAAGAGGAGCTTGCTGAAGAGGAGAAGATCGATCAGGTTCGCAACAGGCTGGGTGATTGGCTGGAGGAAGCTGAGGGAGTCAAGCCTGTGAGTACGACAGAGATATCAGCTGCCAAGGCCATTTCGTGCAATAGTGACTTACCTTTGCCTGCTTCTCCACATTCTTCCTTCTGTAGTCACCATTTCGTTTAGATAGCATAGTTCTAGATGTTATGCATAGACATAGGGAAGACTCGGAGCCTACTGGCGCCACGTTCCCCTCTTCGCCACTCCATAGACCCGGCTCGACCCGCTCATACTCTTCGCAAGGCGCAAATCGACCCTGGACTCCTTCCAAGCTCCCTATCACGCCTTCTCGTAGCTCTGGAGGCTTTGCCGAAGTCTTCGCCAATACCCCTCAGACGTTGACTGCCCCCGGCATGCCGCCGGGACTGGGTTCAAGTGCATTCCTTGGAGGCGAACGAGTCATCAATCCGCCTTCGAGAGGGACTTCACCTGCTCCCGGGAAAGACCCTGGCATTATCGGTTCAGGTAGCCCTCGAGGATCGCCCCGCCTTCGCAATGCGCCCCTTACCCCACTCCGGACCTCCTCGACTAGGGAAAGCTTTGCTTCTGGTAGCAACCCCTGGGGCGGGCCGAGCGGACCTCCGACGCCATCTGGCTTGTCATCTGCCTTTCCGGTAACGATGCCTACCTCTCCCTTCTCGTCGGTGCCTCCTGGTCTCTCTGCGTCCCTCACAGTCGAAGCCAGCAGTAGTAGCAGTCGACCAACGTCTCCCTCACCGTTTGCTTCGCCTCGAATGAACGTCACAGCGGCCGCCTTCAAGCCACGTACCACATCTTCCTCAAGCACTCAGGCATCTGCCCTGACTGCTGTACGTCCATCACTGCTTGATTCAGGAAGACGGACATCCTCTTCCTCAGTCACGCAGGCCATGCTCGCCAAGAACCATCCCACTGGAGCAGAAGGCGAGGACGAAGACGATGAGTTCTCCCCCTTTGGCGCAGCTTTGCAGCCAGATGCCCATGCCAGCGGCTCTGCAGGTAGCTATTATAGTAGTAGCGCTACCAGTAGCTCCGGAGACTTCGATGGTAGAGCTGCTGCATCAGGCGTAGGCATGGGCGAGGAGGACGAATGGGCAGCTGGAGGAGGCATGACGCCCTTTGACGTCCTCTCATCGGTCTTGTCCGGCAGCTTCGGTGGCTCCAGCACGAAATGGTCGCCAGAGCAGATCGAAGAAGCGCTGGCCAGTCATAATTGGGACGTCGACGCAACCTTGGCAAGCATCTTTGAGTCGGGTGGACAGCCTTCTTCGTCGACATCGAGAACGCTGGGTGTTCCTGGCACTCCGCCCTTTGGACGATCACCTCTTCTGAGTCATCAGCAAGTGCCCACCGGCCCACGTACCTCCAGCGGCGTATCTGTCATGCCACGTGATGCTTTTTCGTCCCATCGAGGAGGAAGGACGGCATCGTACACAGGCATCAGCCGCGTTGCGACCCCGCCAGTCGGCAGAGGTACTGGATCTATGTCACCTTCTTTGTCCAGTAGTGGTGGCGGTGGAGGAGGAGTCGGACCCGGACGGGTTTGTCGGTACTTCCTATCCGGAGACTGTCGCAGAGCAGACTGTCGTTTCAGCCACGACCTTAGCAAAGCCCTCTGCAAATTCTGGCTGAGAGGACACTGCCTCAATGACCCGTGCCCCTTTCTGCACGATTCGGACGTACTGCAAGCCTTGGCTGGGGGTATGTCCGCCAGCTCGTTGTATGGTGGAGAGACTGGAGCGGAGTCGCCACTTCTAGGAGATGACGAATCGGGCTTGGCCACCCCTCCCCTTGCTTCTGCCGCTGCCCCTTCAGGCCCTAGTGACGACTTTCCTGAATTGGTCCCCTCTGGACCGAAAGCACAGAGGGTGCGGCAACAGCAGCAAATGGGCAGTGGCTCCTCTACACTGGCGAACAATCTTGCAGCCAGTGGTCCACCGCCTGGCGCACCTACTGGCCCAGCAGCTTCAGATCCGAGCCGAACAAGGTGGGCGACGGCTCTGCAGAGGTCTAAAGCTCCTACTCCACTTGCGTTGATTCAGCAACAAGCCGTGGCAAGTGGTAACGGGCTCTCGTCAGGCGAAGCAGTCAAGCTCATACATGTCGCTGGGGCAAGGGGCGCGCCCAATCGTCCAGCCATGGGCCTACGTTCCCTCTCCTCTACCTCTCTCCACTCCCAGAGCGGTGTTGGCCACAAGGCCAATGCGGCTCGCCTGGTATTACGAGCACCGACTCTGCTGCCTACCCTGGTCGTTGGAAAGGGCGCAGCCAGTAGCTATGCTGCCCATCGCTCCATTCTCACTCCGTTGATCGAGCAGCGCAATCGCTGTCTGGCTCGAGCATCAGAGGCGTTCAGAGCAGGCGATGGAGCCTCGGCTCGCAAGTACTCTGCGGAAGGTCAGAGCCTCAATGTCAAGATCAAAGAGGCCAACCACTCCGCTGCACGAGACATGCTCAAAGAGCGCCATCTAGAGCTCTCTGAACGTCTCCGCACTGGTTCAGATGGAGGCGGATGGGGCTCTAACGGCAATGCTAGCGTGGACGAAGCTGGTGCTAGAGGTCTGAGAGGCAAGGTTGTCGGTGCGGGCATGGGCGTGTGTCTAGGTGTTGCGAGAAAGGACGCTCTGGGCGCCATCAACGGCGCAAGGGAGCTGAGCGTCGAGGAGCGGACAGAGTGCCTGCTAGACTGCCATGGTCTGCATGCTTCAGAGGCGGTCGAGGTCGTCGAGGAATTCCTACGTAAGTATCCTTCCAGAAGCAGCCACTATGCGCTTCTCGATATCCCTCCTGACTCCCTTCTCTCTTTCCTCATTTACCCACTTGCCACAGTTGCACTAGAGCGAGAGTCTCACCAAGGCCTGACCTACCTAGCCGTCGGAGCCGCCAAGCACACTGCCACTGCCACGGACCGTCGTCGCGTGGGGCTCGCTGCGCCCGTTAAGAGCTTCCTGGCTGGATGGGGGTATCCATACGCTGAGATTGACGGGGTGCTCGTGGTGGATCATTTGACGCATTGGAGCTAGGAGAAGGGGACATTGATTGGAGGGGGAGAAGGTGAAGATAACAGGGCGAAGGAGGGGAGAAGAATAAAGATGGATATTGGGAAGTCTATGGCGCTCACTGAAGGGCGAAGGGAGGAATGAAGGAAACCAGGGTAGGGAGCAAGAAGGACATTAGACAGAAAGCAAATGAAAGGAAGTTATGAGATTGCAGAAACCACGAGACTGGTAATACACATGTGTACATGACATGAACTCCTGCTTTCCCAAAGCGAGATTGTCGTAGCCCGAGTGTGAGATCGTGCGATCGCTGTGATCAGAATGGCTGTGAAGGGATATTCTTCGCAGCTGCCTCCCTCTTGGTCTGATGGACGGGGTGAGAGGGTAAAACGTCACAGTCAGTCTTCTCATTCCTCTTGCAGAGCTCCCACTGCCTTCCCTCCGCTACTCTGCTCACCTGTCTCCACTGTCCCACCTCCTCTAGCATTCCCTGCAAATTCTTTCTAATCTTAACATCTTTACCCCTCCTACCCCTCTCTCCCTTGGACCCTTTGAAGAATCTCCTCAATCCACGGACTTTTGGATTCCGACCCTGCAGAGGTCCATAACCCGCCTCTGCCATTTGGAGGAGAATGGCATTCTGATGCTCTCTGACACGGGCATCTGTGAACTTGTACTTTCCCGTAGCAAGAGGAGAAGCAGAAGGAGAAGAAGAAGAAGAAGCAGAGGCAGAAGCAGTAGCTCCACTACCTCCCGAACGCCAAAGTTCTGTCCATCCTTCAATCTCCCTTCCCCTACCCAATCGATCTAACAATCTCTTCTTCTTTGGTGACTCGTCAGGGATCGAGTCCAATTGACCTCTACGGAAAGCTTCGTTGACTAGCTCTGCTTCTCTACGGTGCGAGAGGGGAGCAGGACGCCAGCGCTGTGAGACTGGGTGCAAAAAGGGGAGGAAAGGATGAGGGGCAGCGCCGTCTCTTGAGAGTGGGTCGGTGGGGGATTGTTGTGACGAAAAAGTGGGAGTGGGTCTTGCTGACGAGGATGGAGCACCGGTAGCGGCAGCAGCGGAATCTTGTTGCTGGCGGATACGACGAGGAGGTGGTGTATATGTGAAAGAGAGGCCGGCGGGGGGTAGAGATTGCTTTGATCTCCAGATTTGGAAACGAGAGAGGGTGGAATGACCCTGCTGCCGTAGGCGATGCATGAGATTGTATGATGATGAGGATGCCATGCTAGAGTAGTGTGAGCGGTGGTGGTGATGATGGTGATGGGTATGACTGATCTTGTGGTGGTGATGATCATCGAAGCACGTCCGTGGGGGCCTGAGTGGCTGCGCGCTAAATTTTGGCTCAGGAACATCTGGCCCGGCCTCTACTCACGCGGGGGGCGACTGCCTCCCTCGCTCGCTACTCACCAGCGCCATCCTCCAGTGACCATGTCCACCCCTTCTGGCTCAGGAGGCAAAGATGCTCCTCCAATCAAGCCAGGAAGGCCAGGCGTAGGCAGCGGTGACCCTTCCACCTCAACCTCCCAAGTGCCATTGACCGCCGATGCTCCCACAGACACGGCCTCTCTGACGGGAGCAGCTCCACCCGCATCGCGAGTCAATGCAGCTACCAATGCTGCCTCATCGTCGTCCTCTTCAGCTTCACGTCTACCCTCCTCCTCGGCTGCTCCATCGACCTCGAGCATGCCTAGACCGCAGAGCGCCTCCGTCGGACCGGGCGCCAATCGACCTACCGTCAGCATGGTCCCAGGCAGAGGGACAGGTGCAGCCCTCCGCGCCCAGCCAAGAATGACCTTCAAGCCCGTCATGCCACAGCGGCGCAAAGTTCCAGCCGCGGGCGATGTACAGATCAAGCAGGAGAATGTTGCTTCCACCTCTGCGGGGTCTTCTTCTCGATCTGCCTCTGGCTCAGGGCGAGGATCTGGTGAAAGGGGAAGAGGCTTTGGTAGAGGAGGACGTGGTGGACCTGGTGGTGGGCGCGGCGGACGAAGGGACATTGAGCTGGTAGCCTCTGGACCCTTCTCACTGGGTACTGGCTCCACTTCCAGACTAGACAGAGCTCGCCAAAGTGCTGCAGGTCGTTCAGGCGGGGCAGGAGCTGGCATGGGCGCATCTGGTAAATGGGGTACTGGAGGTGAAGGCAATCTCGACGACTCTGAGAAGCTCAAGCCTGATCCTGGACGAATGGCTTACCGCAACCCGGACAAGCTTAGGGACAAGGAGGAATACTCGGACCCGGAAGAAGATATAGAGATTGTCGATCTGGACGATGTGGGTACGCTGGACGAATTGGCTCCACGCGCTCTACCTAGGGTACAAGAGAAGGAGAAGAAGAGGAGCAAGCAGGGTGAGGAGGCTGCTGATAAAAAGAAGGGCAAAGGAAAAGGAAAAGTCAAGATGGAGGACGCAATGGATGTAGACAAGGTCAAGCCTGATCCAGAGGATGAGGAGCAGAGGGAGAAGAACGCCCTGTCTGGCCCTGCTTCGCGAGCTGCGACAAGTGAGTATGCCAAAAGTTGACACGCAGCCGAGCGATGAGGATACCTCTGACCTTGTCTACTCCTTTCCCCCTTCAATCAGTCTCATCCGGCACCTCCACGCCTCGACATGGCACTGAAGACGCCGACTCTGCCTCTGAGGAAGCAGAGGAGGACCGCAAAGGCATCGACGCCCTGGACCTCTCCGAGTCCGAAGCTGAGGAAATCGGCGACGACCTGGTAGACGACTTTGTCTTTGATGAGGAAGAGGGCGATCCTACTCGGCTGTACCTCTTTCAATTCCCGCAACTCTTCCCCAAATTTACCGCTCCGAAAGTCAAGCCGGAGGGACCGCCCAAGGAGGAGGGAGCTGCTGGGGGAGTGGGTGCGGGTGTGGTCAAGGTGCCCAGTGCGCTTAGTAGCAGTCCGCCTGGCTCCAGTGGGAACAAGCCCAAGAGGTCCGTCGCCTTTGCCGAAGGCACATCGGGCGGCACTCCACCTGCCTCTGGCTCTGGCTCTGGCTCAGCAAAGGCTGCTGCTCCCAATGGCGTGAAGAAAGAACCTAGCTCCTCAGCTCCTCCCACTGCTGCCCCTCCTGGCGCTCAAGTCAAGGTCAAGCAAGAAGAAGGGATAGATGGCCATCTGGGACCTGAAGGGATGATTGGCCGCTTGCAGGTGTACAAGGATGGCAGAGTAGAGATGCACTTTGGCAAGATTGTCATGGAGGTGAGTGGTCGCTGCCCCGCCGCCTCTTTCGAGAGGCATGGACCTTTCCAACTGAGCTATTCCTCTTTTTCCTCCCCTCCCCCTTTCATCTCCTCCTCCTCTCAGGTCTCCGGCGGCTCCCAAACTACCTTTCTACAAGATCTGGCCCTCCTCGACGCCTCTACCCGTCGCGCAACCCTGCTAGGCGAGGTACATCGCAAGTTTACCGTGAGCCCCAATGTGGAGAATATGCTGGATGACATGGCCGAGGAAGAGGCAAGGGTGGCGAGGGTCAAGAAGGAGGGAGGTGATCCCGGTGCGGCCATGGGGAGTAGTGATAGTGAAGGGGAGATATAGACGGAAGTCAGAGCAGGGCCGAAGAAAAGCACACACACGACTCGTCATGAATGAGGTATGCAACGGTAGCATTGATGTACAGCACGAAACCACCTCAACTCCCCCGCTTCCTAGCACCACCCATCTGCCTACGGGGTCATCAATAGCCATTCGCACTCATCACCTTCTCAATCTCCTCCAAGTCCAGATCGGACGCATCGATCCCCTCGAGGTCACCAAAACTGTCATCTTCTGCCGTCCCTGTCCCTGTCCCAGTCTCTGTCTCCCCTGCTGCGTGGTGCTGAGCGCTCGAAACTTCCAAGTGTGGCGGGACAGTGGGAAGTGCTCGGCGTGAGGGCATCTTAAAAGAAGCTTTCACCCCAGTTGCAGCTCCCGTCTCTCCTCCACTCCCACTCCCTCGTCTCCCACCTCCTGAGCCACCGCGAAGAAGCGTCATTCCGCTCCCGGCACTCAACGAGTTACTCATTCCTGCAGAGCGACGACTGAGCCCTGCTGGGCGACTGGTCGTCATACCAGTTGTCAACGAGCGGGTAGTCGTGGATGTAGACGCGGACGCGGACGCGGACTCGGATCTGGAGGGAGAAGCGCCGTAGAAGGTAGCCGGTGAAGCGGCTCGCCGAGCGCTTGATGTGGCTGAGGTGGACCCAGTCGTACTGTCTGTGGACTTGAAAGGGGACGTAGAGCTAGAGACTCGACTAGGCTGTCGCGTTGTGGCTGCAGTGCTTGAGCGAAGTAGAGGTCTAGAGCGAGCTGCTGCAGTGGGTACCTCTGGGCTAGTACCTCTGGAGATGGAGCTCGCTTGATCTGCTGCGGGAACGGCCACTGGTCGTGCAGCTGATTTCTCTACTGCAGCTGCTGCAGCTGCTGCACTTCTCGTCCTGCTCCTCTGTGCGGGCTGAGCTGCTGGCACCGCATCCTGATCAGGTTCCTGAGCGTCTCCGGATCTGGGCAGCTGCGCGGCCTTCTCAGGCAATGTCCGATCCGTTCCTCTGCTCGAAGCTCGACTCCAGCGCTGCATCTTCGTGGGTGAAGGCGATCTCGATTCTACCACCGAAGCAGAGTGACTTGCAGTAGAGATTTCAGCGACAGATGTAGCCATCTTCTCATCTGGACTAGGAGTAGGTGGGTCTCTCCGTTTCCCCAGAGCAGCAGCGGCGATTGCGGCTTTGGGTTCAGGGGAGGCCAACGGCACTGTTTGCTGAGGCGAGTGAAGAGAAGGCGCTCTGACAGGTCCTCCGCTAAAGTAGCCCTCCTGATCCTCCTCGATACCCGAGAGCAGAGGTAGATCAGCCAAAAGCGCCTCGTCCCAGAACCCGTCCTCATCATCCGACCCGACGTCAACGTCGATGTCTACGTCCGGGGTAACAGACATTGCCTCGCCTGTGCGAAATTGAGGTCCACCGGTAGCAGGCGAGCCGCTGGGTGGGAAAGTGAGAGTGCGCTCCCAGCTCGAGTTGGGTATGCCTCCTTTACCTCCACCTCCTGCAGAAAGTCTTCGCTGTGAGGCAGTCAATGTCAAAGGTGGTTGAGGCGTATTCCCAGCAGTGAGCGTCTTGCCGCTTGAAGTATGAGCTGGGGTTGTCGCTTTGGACCGCCCCGGGGTGACGCTGTCCGCTTCCATGCTGAAGCCAGGATCACAGACTGTGTGTATACTGTCCATCGAGACGTCTGCTGCTGCCTCTCCACCATCCTCATCTTCATAGTCTGGTCCTCTTCCCGACTCTTCTTGAAAAGCAAGACCCAAATCTGCAAGAAGCTTGTTGACCCTCTCCGCCTGGTTCTTTCCTCCGCACAAAGCAGCAAGCGCTGAAGGATGTGAATTTGAGCTGCTTCCCTTGCTCTCATCGAGTACAGCCGAGGTAGAAACATGGCGCCTGAAGCCTGATGCCGGTTTTGCATTCCTCAAAGACTTACTGCGCCGATTGATCGTAGAAGAGCGACCCTTGAGAGCTCTCAGAGGACCCACTCCACCAGTCGTGCCTGCAGAAGTGGAATTGGTCCTTGACGTCGAGTTGGAAGCGGTAGAGGTTGTGCTTGCAGTCGAAGCTTGTCTGCTCCATTTGCCCCCTCGACTCGAAGGAGCTGGTCCGTCACTCGCAGCTGCTGATCGAAGGAGACGATCAGTCCAGGCATCGTCCCTCCAGCCTCTACTGTCCTTGCTTCCTCCCACCTCTCCAGCTCTACGCGTATCCTCCTGGTCCGGAGGGTTCGCCTTGGCCCAATCGCGAATAAAGGTCGAGGGCGGCACATCCCAGAAGACTCGTGGGCCTTCATCCTGTCTGAAAGCCTCATGGCTCACGTCCTCGTCGATAGCAGAAGCGCCTACTGAAGGCCGGTCTGCCGTCGTGGTTGAAGAATTGGCTTCAGATCTCCTGGCTGACACAGTCTCTTGGCGCCCGCCACGAGCGGCATGCGATGTATCGCGGCTGCCATACGGCCTCGAAGAAGGCCCTGCTACTGCTGACGAAGTACTAGCACGGCTCGAGCTCCCATGGGAGGCGACGCGGGCTGATGAAGAAGAGGAGCGATAGGTGTTCGAGCCAGATGGGTCTTCCGAGGGACGATTGGGCTCGCGATGGAAGTTCAGCGAGTCGAAGAAGGAGGACATGGCGCGAGCTCGATCAGCAGCGCAGCCAGTCTCCTGTCCAGCGCTCTGGTCGCTGACCTCTACGAGTACGTCGGAGGGACAGTCAAGGAAGGAAGGTAATGAGGGAAACGGTGATTGAAGCGCCGGAATCGCGGGAATTTGGCGGGGTGTTGGTCTCAGCCCGGCGCGCGTCGTGGGCCCGGGACGGCAGGAGACAAGATGGGACACATCGTACGATCAGAGGTATGTTTTGATTCCACGACAGAGAGGATAATGTCTACAAACGAGTCAACAGTCAGGTAAGACAGCTGACCCTCCTCTTTCCTATGCCAAAACGCCCTCCATCGGCACAGGACCGCCGTTTGCAGCGGCATTGGCCTCAATGGGCAGACCGTCAGCTGCGATACCGCTCTCGTAGTCCTCTTCGGACATGAACTCCTTCGAGTGCTCCGACAGGTAGGTGACGGATCTCTGCTCATCAAGGAAGAGGCCTGTGGACGTTCGAGGAAGAAAATGTCAGAACGCGTTACGAGAGCGACCAATATCGGACGGGCAGGCGACTCACCATAGACCCTCTTCACATCGCCGACCTCTACCTGATCTCCCTTTCTCCTCCGGCAAGCCAGATGACTAGTTGTGATCAAGTTGATAGCATACCGCAAAGAGGTCTCGCTACCGATCCTCGTCAACACAGACAGCGCCTCGCTAGAGACGGCCACGTCCTCTTCTTGCGCTCGCAGCTTCAAGATCTCCTCGATGTCTTGCGACTCGTACTTCTTGGTGCTAACAATCAACGCCCGGTCCAGAAGGTCAATGGGGATACCATGAGGTGATCGGAATCGAGTGCCACGGATCCTTGTGATTCCCCTGTTGGAGGCCATGATGACCAGGGGCGCCATCTCGGACTCGAGGGCTCGGTTGAGGAAGGAGAAGCACTCGATGTCGAGCATATGGACCTCGTCGATGAACAACACCTGCAAGTGATGATTAAGGGGGAAGAGACTCGTCAGCATTCGCGATCGACGCTGCCTCGGTGACCGCGCGCTACCTTCCCCTTAGCTACTCACTCCAGGGATGACCTCTGCCTTGCCCTCCTCCTTCCACTCTTCTACCTTTCCGTCGATCTGCTGCCTCAGCTCCGGCTTGATCTCTCCGGTGTCTCCAGCAAACAGTGCCAAGAAGCCCTGTGTCCGCGAGTTGATGACATCAATCTCGTGCAGAGTAACGGTATGGGTGATGGATCGGCGGTGTTGTAGTTCGCCCTCAGGGCAAGCAACGAACTTTGTCTATTCGCATAGCGGGCAGATGTAGTCAGCTACGGCAGTTGAGTCTGCTGTGCTGAAATCCTTTTTCTCCTTGACTCACCTCTGCGCCTCCAGCATCGTAATCCCTCGCTCGTGTGTAGCTCCTACCGATCTTCGATATCCTTCCGGAACTCTTGTCAATGCTAACCACATCCCCAGCCGTGATCTTCTCCTTGCTGAGCGAGTCGATCATCTTAGATCCCAGGTCATAGATGGTCTCCATGTCCGTCGTTTTGAGCGTCAGCTTTCCAGTCTTGGTAGCTCCTGTCAGACTGCGATCGACGATGATCTCTACGACTTCACCCTCTAGCACCTCTGCCTCCTCCTTGATCCTCACGCCAATGGCCTTTCGGAAGGCCTGAGTGAGAGCCTCGGTCTTGGACATCTCCAGACTGAAGACCTCGGATGAGGAGAGCATGACAAAGGGCACGTCTGGTCCGAGTGTCTGTGACATGGCCATACCAATGGCCGTCTTGCCCGAGGAAGGTGGGCCGGCCATGAGGATTGCCCTGCCTGCAATCTTGGACGACTTGACCATCTCGACTACGATTCCTGCTGCTCTCCTTGCCTGCTTCTGACCAATGAGTCCCTGGGCTGGACCGGACTTGGGCTGAAGATGCTCATCGAGGCCCAGACCACGGATGTGGGAGTGGGCGCCAATTCTCTCCAGAGTCTGGATGGCAGTGGAGGAGGTGGGCTGCGTCTGAATCAGGCCGGCCTGGAAAGGTGAGGCAAGTAGGCAATGATCATCAGTAACTGGAAGCTGTCAGCTTGCGCCTCGAGTACTTTGCTCACCATCTTGCAGATCTCTCCTTGTATCGTGGGTGACTGGTAGGACAAGATGTAGAGTGGAAGCGGAGACGAGACGATCTCGACACGCCTCGCCTGGGAAGATCCACTTTGCCATTTCGCGCGGCAAAAGTCGCCCCACTCACACCCGACGCACGGCCGTACCCAAAGGCAAGCACTCCTTCCCGGCAGCTCACAGCCAGCCATCAGCAGTCAGCTCAACCACTTAGGACCCGGATCATTCAGAAGCTGGAGAGCCTTTGCTGAACAGCCGACAGCCAGCCCATTCGCAGTCGGTCATGACTCGCTCAGAAGAGGACCTCGACATGAGGAGAGACGATGAGATGGAGGTAGACGATGCAGATGGTGAGTTGCTGCTTATAGCCATCTTGCCTGCTCGCAATATGGCCCGCCCTCGACGATGCCTGACGTCCTATACTTCTCTCTCTTGTTATCATCATCGTGTATCAGATCCGAACGTCAAGAGGAAAGGCAGGGGCTTCAACATCCGAGGAGGAGCCGATGTGCAGATGGACGGGGTCAAGGCAAAGACCTTTGACAGGCTCGATGGCGAAGAGGACGGCGGGGCAAAAGCTGCTCGATGTGAGTAGTCAGTAAGCTCGCCATTTGAGAGGATCTTGGCATTCATCTAGCGGCGAGTCTGATACAACAGACGGCTGACCTCCCTTCTCCTCCCCTTCGAATCAACAGCGGTGGAAGGCTGGATCCTCATCGTGACCAATATCCACGAAGAAGCCACCGAGGAGGACGTCCTGGACAAGTTTGCAGACTTTGGCGAGGTCAAGAATTGCCACTTGAACTTGGACAGGCGGACAGGATATGTAAAGGTGAGTTGAAGCGTACGCCTAATACAGAGCAAGGCGCTTCGGCCTAGATGGCTCTCCAGCTTCTTCCTGTTCCCTTGACCTGACTGACGACCATCACTCTCCTTCTCTCCTCTGCTCCACTGCTGCGCTCCTTCTTCTGCTAAAAAAGGGCTACGCGCTCCTGGAATTCCCCTCTCATTCTGAAGCCAAGGAAGCCATCGAGGCATGTCAGGACGGCGCAGTGACCCTCATGGAGCAGCAGCTCTCTGCTGATTTCGCCTTTGTCAGGCCGCCGCCGAGTGGACCTGCTGCTGGGGGCCAACGTAGAGGAGGAGGAGGAGGCGGAAGGAGGGATAGAGATAGGGATGTCAGAGAGAGAAGTCCGGGGAGGAGGTGAGGTCTCAAACATATTACAGACGACGAGAACAGGTGTATACATAGCGCTGCTGATTTGATACCAGCAGAACATCATCTACCCAAAGAGTGAATACAGGTACTGTTCACCTCAGAGGAACCCGGGTGACCTGCTTCCCAACCTTGACCTCGACGTTCCTCACCCTAACCTCACTCAGTGCCCTCACTCTATCCCCCAGTCCCAACTCCAGCTTCTGCGTTCTTTGGCTTGCTTTCTCCATCTGCTCCGGGGAGACTTCCCCAGTTCCCTCAGAATTGACCTGCTCGTACCCCCAACTAGCGTGAAATCTCGCCCCTTGCTCCTCGAAGTACGTTTTGCCCTGGAAGAAGGTCTTGACCATCCCGCCCAGCGCGACACTGATGGCCTGCAGAGCCGAATGGCCCAGCCCGACCTCTAGAGTGTAGTAGACTCTCGGTGGATGAATGGAGGTGAGGGGCGAAGAGAGAAGGGGAGCAAAGGTGGAGAAAGAGAGGGCAAAGCTGCTTTGGTGCTGCAAGATCGATCTGGCTTCGTGAAGGAAAGAGTCCTTTTCGTGGGCTCGAACGAGGATTGGTTGAGTGAGGGAGACGTGTAGGTTGCCTTCGCCCTGCCCTGCATCGCCGTCGATGAACCAGGTGTAGCTGTCGGGGTCAGATGCACCTTCTAAGAGTGTCGCTTTTGCTTTCTTCAGCAGGCTAGCCAATCTGGGATAATCGATCAAACGGATAGCGACGTAGACGTGGCAGAGCCACTCTCCTGGCACAATCTTCTCACTGGTGAAGGTTCGTGCTGAGGGGGATTGAGAGAAGGAGACCGATGGCAGGGCTCTATCGTAGCAAGCATGGTGACAGTGTGGGTCAGTCTGTGGTAGGCTGTTGAGTGGGAGGGGGGATGTCGACTTGACTCACCTTCTCGTCTTCGGCTCAGGGACTCCTTGCGGCGTAGCAGCGGCTCTACTCATTCGCTGCGTATGCTCAGATGTTTGGGTATCAGGGTCTCCCCGGCCCTGCTCGTCCTCTTCATCGCTCGAGGCCAGGTAGTCGACCAAGGCGAGAGGTCGAGAGGGTTGTGGCGAGACCCTTGAATCATACTGCTGTGACGTACGGGGAGCATGGTCAGCTCACGAGGTAGCTAGGCGGGTCTAGTTTCCGAGTATGGCAACTCACATCTAAACTCTTCCTCGCCTTCTTGGCCTTTTTTCCTTCTTGCCTGGCGTCAGTCTGATCTCCTCGATGATATCTTGCAGCGCCAGAGTTGCCTCTGATACTCTTTGACTCCTCCCCTCGTTGCTTTTCCTTCTTCTTTGCTTCCTGCCGATCCTGCGTCTCTTGTTCCAACTCGAATTGGTAGCTAGGCTCAACACTCCACTCTCGGCTGTTGAGAGGTCGCTTCTTCTCGACTTTGTCCCTTCCCAAGGCTCCTTCACCAGCGATCGAAGCATCACCCTTCTTCTTTCCACCGCTCTCTGACTCTTTCTTCTCCTCGCCCTCGAATGTGCCGAACTTGCGCCGGCCCACGGGTCCCAGCCCGTTCGATGCGGTCGCGCTAGATTCGGAGTGGGAGCTCCTACCATCTGTATATTTGGCCTTGGAAGAAGAGGAAGAAGAAGCTTGCAGCAGCCAGGAGTTCCAGCCCGATCCACTCGACGAAGATGCTTCAGGCTCTGTTGCCGTAGTTGCGGAAGTGGCAGGATCGTCTAAAGACCAATGCTCCTCATTGCCATCGACGTAGACAATCTTTGACTCCTTTGCGCCGGTCTTGACGCTACCATCTGCGGTCGATGCCGAAGCGCTCGCTCGAGTAGGAGTCGCTTGTGCTAGTGTACTACCGCTGGGCGAGGAAGGCGTACTGGGTGCTGTGGTTGGGTTGAGGGCAGCAGCTCTCTGCATGAACTTGAGGCCCTGTACCTTGTTCGACAGGGCAGCGACATGGGCGGGCCGCGCGGAGCCGCCGAATGACGAAGGCGATGATGTGGCAGAGGTGGGTGGAGGAGCCATGGTGACGATGGCAGTGCTCTGAGTAACGTATACAAAGTCAAGACTGAGGTGAGTCTTGTTCTGATACGAGCGACCATGAAGCTGCTGCCTCGACATTTTTGCCCGCGATTCTCGTCCCCTTTCCGCTCCGCTCCACAACGCCGTCCCAGCCTTGACCTGCCTTAGCATATACCCACGTCCGCTGAGCCAGTGACCAGCACCTCATACAGCAATGGCTGCTTCCTCGTCGTCGTCATCACAGGCCTCATACGGCCGCAGGAACATATTCGTAAGTGCAGTGTCCAGTGTGGTCTTTCCTATCCTAGAGCCTTGAACTTACGCCCACCCTTGTCTGCTGTATGCACAGTACCTCCGCGTGTCTCCCTACCTCGTCCTTCCCTGCATCCTCTATATCGACCCTCGTCATGTCCTCTGGCTCAACACCCATCCCTCCACCATGCCTGCCACGCTCAAGTTTCTCAAAGGCCGCATCATGGACAAGCTGGAAAGGGAGGCAAAAGTGAAGAAGTGGAAACAGGATGGGCAAAACTGGGAGAAGAAGATATGGGGGGACATCAGCGGTAATGAGGTCGTCGACGTCGCTAGGCTGGGCGAGTGAAAAGGGAAACCGGCGCAAAAAGTACCTTGCCTCCTTGGTCTCACGTTGTGTGTCCTTCCTTCCGACCCACAGCCGACTTTCATCTCGCGTACTTCTTCCGCCGTCAGACAGACAGGCACGCCGTACTGGTAAAGGAGAAGGAGAAGGTCTTTCCCAGCGCACAAGGACGGTACCGTCAGCCGACATCAGCAAAGCGACCCCGTCAAACTGCATATGACGATGAAGATGATGACGGACTCGGCGCTGGTGCCGGCCCTTCCGCCAGCAGACTAAGGTCGGAGCAAGGCGAAGTGGGAGATGTGCAGATCAAGCCCGACCCGGAAGATGAGGACGATGCTGAGAGGTGTCTGCTAGGTGACAGCAGGGACGATAGGGCAGGCGTCACATTCGCTGTGCCCGACGAAGAAGAGGAGATGGAAGACGTCAAGCCGAAGTTCAAGCTGAAAGTCAAGTACAGGGATTTCACCATGTAAGTACGCCTCAAGCCCGTCCTCTTGTTCCCACTCCCATCCAGACCGCGACTATCCGCTTACCCATCACTCCCAATGACCCCCTTCCCAGCTTCACAAAATCCCTCATCATCGTCCTCGAGCCCTCTCCCGCAGCCCGTGCTCGCTCCCCAGACCTCTTCCTCTCACAGCAATCCGCCGAGCGTCGGCAGCTCTCCGTCACACCTGCCGTAGGCGCAGGCGTCTCGGCGGGTACGCTCTATTCTCGCTCCTCCTCTCAGAGGGGTAGTCGCGATCCGAGGGGAATGAGGGAGGATTCGACTGCTAGCACTATCGCCGGCTCTAGGAGGGATGCAAGGACGGGAAGTACGCCGCTATTTAGGGGTAGTATGACTCCAAGCGAGGCGGGAGACACGCCAGAGGGGGATGCATCAAGATTCGACTGGAGCCCGAGCCCGAGCCCCGTACCACGGTCGCCACGGGCAAGTCGAGCGGGTGGAGAGGGAGATGGAGACGCTCAGGGCGAGAGACTAGACGCAGAGGGAGAAGCAGAAGCAGAAGCAGGCGAGTCGGCCTTCCTCCTTGCTGAGCGGATCCTCACACAGGACGGAGGTGCGGGGGGAGCCGAGGGTAGACTGGAGGGGCGAGATAGCGTTGCGTATGGATACGGTGGTGGAGAAGATGAGTAAGGAGTGATGCGATGCAATCTCGTGCAGCTCGGATAAGAGAGAAGAGGGCGACGATGTCTGTTTCTCTCAATCAATACGTTGAAAAGTCACGAGATCATGGGCGAGGAGCCCTGATTGAAAAACCCGGGTAGACTATTCTCGCTTAACAAAGCCACAGTGCCAAGAAGAGGAAGCATGGTACTATTACTACTATTGGAAGAACAAGACAGACGGAAGGGAGCAGTGAAGTTGCAGTATCGACAAGCTAAGCAGAGCATAGGAAAGGACAGGATCAAGTGAGAGTCCAAAAGGGAGGAAAAAAGAGGAAAGAAGGAGAAAGTATGAGAGGGGGGGAGAGGGAGAGAGGGCGGGAGGGGAACGAAAGAGTAGTCAGAATTTCGAGATTGGAAGGAGGAGGAGGAGCAGCAGCAGCAGCAAAAAGAAAGCGCTAGGGTATATTAGGAGGCTCGTTTGTAGCCAAAGGAAAAAGGGAGAAAGAGAGGAAAAGCGGGGATGTGTTGGAGGCGTCTCTGCTTGCAGGAAGAGGGACTCCTCCTGGGTATCTTGCAGGGCAAAGCAGTGAAGACTCTTCAGCACGTCTTCTTGAGCCCTTGTATAAAAAGAGGATCGTGATCATTGCGAAGTCCAAAGAAGCCATTTGCGATTAGACGGAGCCGAATGTGTCAAGTATAGGAAGCAGAGAACAGTCCTCTTTGCTCATCCCCAGTAATTGCTATTGGTGAATTCGCTGCTCCCACTTGCGCTCATTCCACCATTAGCACTCGAGTTGAATTGTGGTGTGAGTCCCAATCCACCAGAAGGCGTAGGTGGAAGACCCATGCTGTCTCCCCAAGGACTTCCCTGCTGCTGCTGTTGTTGTTGTTGCTGAGCGAGGTGTTGTTGCAATTGCTGCTGATGATGCAATTGCTGCTGCTGCAATTGAGAAGAGTGATGCAGCGAGGCATTCTGCCCCAGGCTAGGAGAGTAGAGGGTAGCAGTAGAGTGGTGCGAGGACATGGAACCACCTCCATTCTTGACGTGCTGCTGTTGCTGTTGGCCAGCAATACCTTGTGAGCTACCGGTATACCCTGCGTACACCTGCCCAAATGAAGGGAAGAGGGAGGCATTCGAGTTCATCGCAGGCGAGTAGCCAGAAGAGGATCCGGTACCAGGTCCGCCGGACGAGGAGCCGGATGATCCATCGGTGAGGGTATTGTTGGGAGACGGGTTGCTCGAGCCAGACGAGTAGAGGGTATTGTTCCCGCCATGGAAGGGCGAGAGATGCTGTTGTTGTTGTTGCTGCTGCATCTGCTGCATGGAGCGAGTACTCGATAGGTCCACTGGAGAGAAGAGGAACTCAGTCGGGTTGTGGGATTGACCGCCCATACCATCTGAGCCCATGCCTCCATTCGGTCCCATGAGGAAAGGAGAAGCGCTGCCATCATGCTTTCCGTCGTGGAATTGACCTCCGTATTGCTGTATGTGCGGCGGGGGCTGGAACTCAGGTGGCAGACTCGAGAAGTGAGGAGGAGCAGAATTGGGCGTCTGTCCTGGTTGCTGCATTGGCATCCGCTGGGGATGCAGAGGCTGACCTGGCCTGGGTGGGGCAGAATTGGCGTGAGGCGATGAGATGGCAGTCAAGAGTGCCGAGCTTGCGGGTGGCTGCATCATCGAAGGTGAAGCGACAGCAGTGGCGCCTGGTGTAGCACTACCTCCTGCGTGGGTCCTTCTCCGCTTCTTCGACCGGCTTGCAGAGGTAGTTGGAGTGGCAGCAGAAGTAGCTGCCGTAGGAGTCGCTGGGGTAGCGGGAAGGCTGAGACCTGCGACGGCATGCTCTGGCGAGCCGACCGAGTTCTTCTGTTGCCGGACGGTAGCATTGGACATCGTGGCAGCCCTAGACCGCCGCCCTGCTGCTCCACCGTCGCCCGTACCACCGCCTGATCGCTTCGGAGTGCCACCCGAGGCAGTCATCGTAGGACCTGGTCGAAGAATGGCAACGGGCCCCTTCGAGGGCGACATAGGGGGACTCTGAGGCATCGACATTACCTCGTCATCATCTTCGTCGTCGGAGCCATCGCCGCCGGCATAAGCCTCGGCGGGCTCTTCTTCCTCATCTGCGTCTTCGTCATCAGGAGCCGAAAGACAGCGCTGGATGAGCTCTCGTCCTTCGGTCTCCATGACGACTGGTCGAAGCTTCGGGGTTGTGAAGGTGAATACGAGACCGGTTTGGGAGACGATGAGGAGGAGCACTTGAGTACCGGTCAGGACAGACAGCTCGTAGGCCTGCAGGGTCAGACAGAGATGTACAAGTATGTGTCAGTCAGTAGGATGCATCGCAGTGGTGTGCTCAGCAGCTGAATCGAACTACTCACCTTCTTCATGATACCAGCTTTCCTCTTGCTGAATGTGATGTGTCTGCGAGAATCATCCTCGATAAATTGGATCTTGATCTTCCGCCTGCCGGTCAAAGAGTCACGCTCTCCCTTCACCTCAGAGGCCGACTTCTTCTTTGTGGCAGCAGAGCCCGACGCTCCTGCAGTAGCAGTCGTGGCAGCAGCAGCGGCAGCGGCTGTCGCCTTGGAAGCAGCTGCTGCTCTGCCTTTAGCGGCACTGGGCGCTTTTGGAGTGACTTCGCCTGTCTCAGGCGCTTTGCCTTTGGAGAGAGCTGCAGACTTGCCTGCTCCTGCTGGAGTGGAGCTGCTTGTGGAAGACGAGCTCTTGGAGCTCCTCCTGGGCGGTATCCGAGCTGCTGCCGCCGCACCGTTTGCCTTTGCAGAGGCAGTCCGGGTCCGCTTCTGAGAAGGAGCGCCGAGGGTGTCGTCGCCCTCATCTTCGTCGTTATCTCCACCATCATCACCTTTACCCTCATCATTGTCTTCTCCATCCTCTTCGTCATCCTCGTCGCCAGAAACGTCTCCAGATAGAGCCACGCCGCGACCTGCAAGAGGCATCTTGAAGACGTTGGCAGTATCGACGCTACCCTGCGATTCGCCCTGCTGTACGCCAACGTGATGACCGCCAAATCCAGAAGAGGGGTTGTTGCCTCCATTCATTTGCCTCACAAAGGCCGTCTGAAGCTCAGGTGGAATGAGGTGGAGATCACCAAAGGGACTGGAGAATCTTTGGCCGCTCCCATCAGTAGATGTGAATGTGAGGGCTCCAGGAGGAATACTGCCGGAAGACGACGAGGAGGAGCCCTGCCCGGAGGCGCGTAGCTGATGCTGTTGAGAGGAGAGCATCTCGTTCGATGGGAAGTGAGGAAAGAGCAGTCAATGGGAGTGGGGATGGGGTGTTATTGGCCGTGGACTGCTACCCTCATCGACCCGGAATAGGGTACGATGAAGACGGACGGCACCGGGGAAGGCACAAGGGCCAACAAGTGAGTTGATAGACCGGAAAGGTGACTGGAAAGGGTATGGTGAGGTCTCTGATGGTTCCGCAGTCTGGTCGATGCAAGCGAGTGTGGGTGTGTGGAGTAAGGCGTAGGGGATGATGCTCAAAGGAGGTCGATGGTACGAAAGAGGAAAGAGCGAGGAGTGGATGAAAGGAGTAAGGAGGGGATGAGTGAGACCGAAAACAGTAGGTAGACGTTGTCCTTGGTCTCTCTGTGTGTGGGGGAGGGGGGGAGATGGAGTGTGCTTAGGTAGATTCTGGCCGGCGCTGGCGATGGAGATGCTGTCGATGTTGATGTTGTTGCTGCTGCTGCGTCTGTCCGCCAATTGCCGTGGCTGGGCCTCGGACTTGATCGGTGGCGTGTGTGTGTCTCCCCCCCTTGTGCTCCCATGCCTGGGCTGTCTGTGCCATCGTTGCTCAAAGTCTCCGTGCCTTCTCTGCTGCTCCTGTTGCTGGTGAGGTGCTGCTGCTGCTGCTTGCCTGCTCCTCGCCTGACGCAGGGCATCTGCCTCTCGCTTGCCCGGCCGATCAAAGGACTTCTCCGACGTGAGCTGCGTGCCCTACCGGGTGCACTTCATTTCCCACGCATGCCCAAGCCCTCAAGATGTTGCACTGATCTTCTACCCCGCGTATCCCGCTGCCGCTCGCCCACCCGCCCGCACGCCTGCAACACCATGCGCGCGCCTCCCTCTCTTCTCCCCCCAAAGGTTCTAGCCACCGCCAAGGTCCAGAGAGACAAAGAGCAACATCCAGTCTGTGCAAGCTTGTGCGTGCGGAGCAAAGATCCAAATGGCCTCTTTACCGATAGCCCACGTAGCCCTTCAAAGGTGCAAAGAGTAAATTTAAAGTTTCCCGGAGCAAAAGCCTCTTTCTCCCAACTACCCGGCCGGCTGAGGAAGCTCTTGAGGGCGGGTAGACGGGATTGCGCCGGTCTCAACTTTGACTGAGACAGGGAGCAACCCTCCTCTCCCGGAACAACCTCTCCGGAGGCTACCGGCTAACCCACACCATTGACGACAATGGTAGTTGGACGTTCTGCCGGGACAATTGTGGGAGCAGAAGCCAAATTGAACAACGTGCTCCTCCCGGGCGGAGCAGCGGCAAAGACGGGATCCACGACTAAGCTACGTGCTCCACTTCCGTTCCGATGCAATAGTACACCGTTCTAATCTGGGTGTCGCAGCTTCTTGACTTTCGCCTTACGTTTGTCGCTCAAAAAGCTTCATCTCTCAATGGAGAGCAAGGTATGGTCCCACTGCTTCTATTGTATGATACACAACCTCTGACGGGAACTGCACTACGCTACTAATTGTCCGTCTAATTTCAAGAGTCCATGCATGCTTCTACTTTGCCACACTGGGAACCAGGGACACCCGCGCTCCGAGCTCAGCGCCTACCCTGGACCCTTCTGTAGCCCTCTTCTTGCTCTCCTCCATCCTCGCCTCGCCCGCATCTTGGGCCGCCACATCCTCCTCTGCCCAGACCTGTGTGAGAATGAGATTCACCAGCGCCGGACTGTTCCAGTAATTGTTGTGAGCCGAGAGCATAGAGATGTACTCTCCCATCATCGCAGGGGTGTTTGCTGGGGTAGTATTGAAGTAGAAGTCGATGCAGCCGTGTCTGTTCAGCGCACGGAAGCGTCTCTCGGCCCTGATCAGGTGATCAAGGTCGAGCGACTTGCTGGCCTCCTCCTTGTCTTGTTCGTCCTGTTTCGCCTTCTGCTTCTTTGCCTTCTTCTTTGTCTTGCGCTCCTCCTCTTCCCGCTCTTTGGCCAAGATACGTTCAGGCAGAGCTTCCTTGCCCTGAGTGCCTTCTTCCAATTGCACAGGCTGAGCAGCCTTTGACCTCTTCTGCTGCTCCTCTGCCGACTCTACATCACTGTGCTCTTCTTCAGAGGACGAAAGAGCTCGCGCAATGGCATAGGCAGCAGTCTTGTGCCGTCGATTGGCGTCCTCACCAAAGCCAGGCAGATCATCCATTGTCTCTGCATAGCGATCCATGTCCGAATCTTGCTCGCCATCAGCATCATTTTGGTCCCCCTTGGGCGCATTCTGAGTAGACGTCGCTTCCTTGTAGTTCTTCGAACCCTTGAAGGGGTGCGCAGGATCGAATAGCTTCGAAATAGCTACCCTCGGCTTCTTCAGAGCGTCCATGATTGCATTCACCGCACCAGGAAGGGGTAGCGGGTTCAGCAGCCGAGCATACCTCCGGTCCACAGCAGCATTCAGACGGTAGGCTACTGGGTCGGAAGCATTGTAGAGGTTGAAGAGGTTGCCATGGAAGGCCATACAGCCGTACTTCACTTCGCTCTCTTCCTCCTTCTCTGCTAGACCCTTGAGATCCAAAGAAGACTCTTCGCCAATGTTGGCGTTGCGGGGCACCTTACGGGCAATGAGCTGACCTCCAGCAAGGAGCAAGAAGAGTCCCAGAGGAGAGCCGACGAGGAAGACGTCCTGGACATTGAAAAGAAGTCGCTTCGTCGACTGCTCCTGGATCTCCTCTTTGCTCATCTGCGCGATGGACGGAACAGTTGTGGGCTGTGATGACAGGATGTCGGCAGTAAAGCAAGATCCAAGAGAGTGAGAGATGAAACTGACCTTGCCTCCCTTTTCGAGGAAGTCGGGGTTTCTTCGAACGAAGAGTCTGTAGACCCGATTCAGCTCATTCAAGACAGCTGCGACCATCTTTGGCTTGTGAATGGAGGAGAGATAGTAGGGCACATCCAGGATCACTTTGCTGACGAGGTTTCGTACAAAGGGGATCGTAGCGTCGTTTGTCACATCTTCGAGACCGAAGTGATTGTCATTCTCTTCTGACTCGTGAGTCAGGTCCAAGTCTCGTCTCCAGCAAACCGGGATGTATTGCACCCGTCTGCCTTTGCCAAGCTTGCGGATCGTAGGCTCCTGAGCGATTTTGGCGGAGAGTTTGCGGATCTTCTGAACGTCATAAGTGAAGTCGAGAGATTCGAAGGTGTCTGTGAGCCCTTGACCAATGCCGTGAATGACAAGTATGAGATGTACTGCGTCATCCTTGAGAGCCTCGTTGTCGACGCTAGATTCGGCGTCGAGCGTCTCTTGCAACTCTTCTGCCTCACTGCTGTCGTCCACATCATTGGCCTCAGCCTCACTTGAGTCTTTGTTCTTCTCTGGCGCAGAGATATCCTGTGCGTGTGACGACGCCGAAGCCGACTTTTTGCCAGTGTCTCGGATGTCATTGCCAGGCTTGGTTCCTTCCTCGGTATTCTTCTGCTTCTGGGTATGCTTGGCTTCCTCGTGATTCTTCTTGGATGACTTTCCCGACTTTTCGCCTTTTCCGTCCTTCCCGTCGTCCGCCGAAGCAGACTTGCCGTCATCAGGTTGAGCGGCTCCTGCTTTGCCGCTCGTGCCTGCAGCCTGTTTCACAGCGGCCTCGTCGTCTTGTTCGCTCTCCCAAGGCATGTTCGGCAGGCTGAAGAAGTGGCTGCCTCTTGCGAGCTTGGCTCGACGCTCAACTTCTTCGAAGCCTCGGATGACAGTAGCACCGCCAACCAGGGTCAACATCCTTCCCCTAAAGTCCTCACTGAAAAAGGGTGCTCAGGAAGAAATGTCAGTCAGGAGCTGGACACTGCTGTAGCCGTCCGAGTGGGCGCTCACCTGAAAATCTTTCCCTCAACAGGACTGATGAACTTGACCTTTCCCTTGCCTGACTGCTCCTCGCTTCGAACGTCGAGCAAGTCAGTCTCTTTCCTCTGTGACGCAGCGTCTTCCTGCTCCCCCTTGTCCTGTCTCAGCTCAAAAGCGCGGCTCTCCTTCCAAGCCGTCTCCAGATCTATTGCCAAGTCCGAGTCATACCGGATGGGCACGTACTGATCCTGGAGCTCACTCCAGTAAAACCATGTACTCCTGATCACAGGCAGAAGAATACCTCTGAAGAAGGCCGGATAGAGCTGCATCTTGCGCAAGTCTACATCGAAGAGCCGATCCTCTAGAACCTCGACCTTGTGCCTTCTCGCTGAATCGGGCTCGTCCGGATCGAGAACCTCATCGATCATGGTAGGCTTGGCATCTGGACCGTCCTTCTTGGTCGAGTCAGGAGCATTGCGCATCGATTCCCTCTTCTTCTCCGCATCGTCTTCATTTAGCACACCAGGTTTAGGATCCTCCTCGCCGCCATACCACCAACGACTGAGGAATTGAGACCCCCACGAAGTGCCCTGCTGCTGGGGTCCCTCTGTATTGTTCTTCTGCTGAGCTTCTTCCTCTTTCTCCTTCTTATGTTGTATTTCCTCCTCGTACTCCTGTTCTTGCTCCTCCTCCTCTTCTTCCCTTTCCTCCTCCCGCTCCTTCTCCTCTGCTTCTAGCTCCTTTTGAACTTTTGCAGCCCAGTCGGCACCACCAAGATCGCGCCATCGCGCCTCTAGAGCCGAATCGTCAGCTGGAGGGAAGGTGGTCCAATCTCCCTCGCGAGCATAGAACCATCGAGGCTTGGGCTCTGCATGCGAGGAGGAGGAGGAGGAGGAGGAGGAGGAGGAGGAGGAGGAGGAGTGCTTCTCGGAAGAAGCGGACATGCTCCTACTTCCTGCTCTTGCCATTACAAGTACAGACAAGGCAGGTCGAAAGCTCAACCGTTGCGCACCAGCCGGCAAGGCGAGTGGTACGGAGCGAAGAAGCATCCGAGGATGGGATGGGATGATCAGGGTAAGAGAAGATACGACGAGGGAAGCCCCTGATCTCGGAAAGGGAGAAAGAACCCACTCCCTCGACTTCCCGCACAAGTCGCCGATTGACCCGAGCCGCCCTGCATGGACTGGCCTTGGCGCGGCGGCTCGCGTGAATGCGGGCAGAGCCTTTTCCTTTCCTTAGTTGACCCCTCGGACAGTCAGGAAACAAAGTGCGAGAATGTATTACAAGCGTTGAGATGTAGAGAGAAAGAGCAAGCTGAGAGAGAAGGTAGCAAGCTCTGCGTACAGGGCGTTGAGATGTACATAGGGGGTTTTCCTGAGTATGATATGAGACAAAAAGAGAACTTTACAAGCGTTGAGATGAGCAGTTCTGTCTTGGATGGGAATGCGTGGGTAGAGAGTACAGATGTAGAGAGAAATTGAGGAAAGCAAGGCGCAGGAAGAGAGACGGTGACGTGATTGTGAAGACGGTGATGGGGACTTTGTAAACGTTGAGATACAAAGTAGACTACCCCCGAGGCGGGGTAGCCGGTGATGGAATAGGGGCAGCAAGCAGAAGGTGAAAGGATCTATGAGGTAGGAAGACGACCTAGACACTTAGAGTCTAGGCGTCCGCCTTCCTCTTCTTGTTAGTCTCGGCAGCAGGCTGGGTAGCAGACTTACCAAGGACCTTGGTGAGAGCCTGGTCGAGGTCTTCCTCAAGGTCACGAGGGTCCTCCAGCCCAACGGAGAGACGGATGAGATCGTGGCCGATGCCGAGAGCGAGCCTCTCTTCGAGAGGAACCATCCAGTGGGTCATCGTAGAGGGCTGCTCGATCAAAGACTCGACTCCTCCAAGAGAGAGGGCGAGGGTGATGACGTTGAGCTCCTTGAGGACGTCCGAGCCCACGGAAGGGTCGGTCGGGTCACAGTCGATGCGGAAGGAGAGCATACCGCTGTACTGCAGACCCTGTTCAATATCAATACCATCATCGACCTGGGCTCGCAGCGCTCGAGGAGAAATCTGCTTCTTGGCAAGCGCAAAAGATGGGTGGGAGGGCAGACCAGGGTAGATGACGTCCTTGATGCCGGGGTGCTTCTCGAGATACTTGGCAATCCTGAGCGCATTGCGTCCGTGCTCGCGCATGCGGACGGGCAAGGTCTTGAGACCTCGCAGGACTAGCCAGCAGTCGAAAGGCGAAGGCACCGCCCCGAGGCTGGACTGGACGAACTTGAGCTTCTTTGCAATGGTCTCGTCATTGGTGACCGCGACGCCGAGCAAGACATCGGTATGTCCATTGAGGAACTTTGTAGCCGAGTGAGAGACTACGTCAGCACCGAGACTGAGCGGGTTCTGGTAGTACGGAGACATGAATGTCCCGTCTACTGCGATCTTGATGGATGGATCAATGGCCTTGACGATCTGAGAGACGAGCGGAAGATCGACCAGACGCAGAGTGGGGTTGGTGGGAGTCTCGAGCCAGATGAGCTTCGTCTCGGGAGTGATTGCCTTTGTCAATCGCTCCTTGAGGCCATTTGAGTCTAGGTCCACAAAGGTAGTCTTGATGGCATTGGTTTCATTGACAATCTGCGTGAGGATCTTGTGAGTTCCACCGTACACGTCAGCGACGGACACGACGTGAGACCCATTGGGAATGGAGCTCAAGATGGCCGTAGTGACGGCCGTACCGCTGGAAAAGGCAAAGGCATGCTTGGCGCCCTCGAGTGCTGCGAGATTGGCCTCGAGGGAGTTGCGATTGGGATTACCAAAGCGTGTATAGTCGAATCCATCTGCGCCGCTGATGCCGGCAGTAGACTGTCGGTAAGCAGTAGCTAGGGTGATTGAAGGGATAATAGCACCCGTGGCTGGCTCGGGCTCAGATCCCTTGTGGATGGCCAAAGTGTCGAAGCGAAGTCCGTTAGAGGCGGCGGCACTGGCATTCAGATGTGAATGAGCTGCGGAAGACGCCCCATTACCATTTGGCGCGGGAGCACCAGCGGCGAGGGGTGCTGCAGTAGCGGAGGCACTTGGGGACATGCTGGATGAGATGAGAGGGGAAGGGGGAAAAGTGGGGGGGGACTAAGAGGGTGTTGGACCTCTAGCTTGAGTTGATCTTCGACGGTCTATGAAGCAGAGAGTTGGATCTCGCTTCACGAATGACGACGAAGAGGGGGAGAGGGGTGGTACAGAAACGATGTATAGTATGGTTCAGGAGTGAAAAGGGGGCCAGGGGCCGCCGAGTGACTTTAGGGGCCGGGTGCGGATGCGGGCGGGACAGCAACCTCACGCGGCGCAGCTCCGCCCGTCCCTCGAGCTCAGCATTGGTCATGAGGTGATCCTGGCAAGCACAGGCGCCATTGGCCCAGACCTGTGTGCACATGGCATTCCCCTCGCGATTCCGGGTCCAGCAAAGTGCAAGCTTTTTCTTCTCTCTGTCATGCAACGAGTCATGCAGGATGAGAAGCAGCAAGAAATGAAGCTGCTTGGCATCACCCGCAGAGCTGCTTAAACCTCCCCACACATACTGAGGTGCAGCGTGCGCCCAGCCACGCTTGCAAGATTTCGGCCTAAGTCGCAGCCGATTAGCCGACCTCGAGCCTTGTTTTTTTTCGCGAGGTCAATCTGCTTCCGATCCCGGTCCGACCAGTCGTTGTTCCGGTTCCGATGCGGGAGATCTGAGGGATTTTCCATGCCGACCTTGGCGGGCGCCGAGATGAGGGATTTTCTGGCAGGGCTCGAGCGCAGGAGGCATTGGGCGATAGAAGTGAGGTGAGGGATTTTCCCTCCTCGCGGCTGGGAAGCGTGGCGTGGCGGGGAAGAGGGAAATGCCTCAAAGGCACACGACATCAGTGGTGCCGCTGACAAGCAGCAAGGTCTAGCTCCACACACAATCTTCCACACGGCATAGCCCTCAGACGTATATAAAGGAGGACCCTTGCCCGCTTACACGGCAAAGACCCACAACGACTTAACAGCTACTCTCACCACTACCCACCTCCCACACCAAACACATACTCACAATGGCTTGCGCTTGTGCCAACACTGCTTCCTCCGGCTCCACCTGGTGAGTGTCCTCCTCCCATCCTCACCACTCGTATAACATCCGATCGAACCTCCCGCTGACAATGTCTCGTCTACACCCTCTTTCATTCCTGTCTTCTCCCAGCTCTTGTGGCGCAGGTTCCTGCAGCTGCTCCCCCGGCTCCTGCAGCTGTTCCGGATGCCCCAATGGCTCCAAGGCACAAATCAAGGGCACCGTCTGCTCTTGTGGCGGGTGAGTACATTATGACCCAAGCCTCAATGGTACTTCTGAAGCGAAGCGATGCTGACCATCATTCTTCACTCGCGCTCCGCTTTATAGTGACCAAGGCAACTGCCCTTGCGAGGCTGGAAAGTGCGCTTGCTCCTCGTGCGGCAAGAGTGGACCCAAGGACCTCTAAGCGACGTGCCCTCAGATGCACCTCGCCTCTTGCCAAGTGGCAGCATCTTCGCCCCCTTCTTGATGTATTCTAGCGCGTGTTTATGAAATCATACAGATCAACCCTCACCTTTGTGCTCCCTCTTTCTCGCACCAATGCTCATTGTGAGGGGTATCGCATTCATTCGACAAGTGACGACTGTGGGTAATGGAGAGCTAGCAGAGCAGGCTAGGGAGTATAGACAAGGACAAGGAGGGTGGAGAAGGCGAAATGAGAAGGAGAGCAAGGCACTACCTTTTGGTAAGACAGAATAGACAAATGGTGAGATGAGGTCAGGTGAGGGTGATAAAGGTAAAGATTGTGTGTGTGGATAGGCTCCTCCACCAGACTCAGGGGGCACTTGCAGAGGATGTCGTAACGGGAAGCGCCCGCGCTTTATGCCACCCCGCTCAGTGGCTCCCGCTCAGCATGCTCTCGCTCTCCTCCTGCAAATTCTCCAATGGTTGTCCAGGCTGGTAAGGCTCTCTGAAGCGCCCCGTCAGCGGACTAAAAGCATCTCCGCTCTCCTGCAACTCCAGCTCTAGCTCCCTCTCCCTTTCCCTCTCACCAAGCAAGCGCTGCTCGAACACTTGCGACTCCTCCTCGATCGAAGGTCGACCGCCACCATTGAGGTTAGTGTGAGACTTGTCGTAGCTCCCATAGGGCAGACCAGCTCCTTCTTCGGTCGATCGCGAGTAATTGGAGGCAGCGTCATCTGGAGCAATAGATTCTGTGTCGCCCATCATCGCACTGCCGATCATGGATTCGGGCCGACGAGGGGAGGGAGGCACGTTCGGGTCGACCATGCCGCTCACCAATGGAGAGGCACCTCCTTGTTGATCGACGAATCTGGCCAGACTGAGAGGAGAGGGAGACCGTTCGCCGAACGTGTGAGGTGTCGAGTTAGGAGACAGGCTACCCACCTTCGCCGTCGTTGTGGCTGAGGTGGAGGGAGAAGTTGCCGATGCAGGTGGAGTGCCAGGAGCTGCTCCAAACCGAGCGGCGATGCTAGCCACTTTCCCACTGGTAGGATTCTTTGCGAAGGGGTCTAGCTTCCCCTTGGACACGACTCGAGTAGAAGTGGTACTTGCGCTGCCATCCGCCACGGTGGCACTTTCTGACGCTGCTTGCTGTTGGGCCTTTCTAGCATCCACGGGCTGCAATTTGGCTCGCAACTCCCTAGCCCGAGCTTGGGCTGCCGAGATGCGCTGTTCCCGGATCTGAGCATCAGTAGCGACTGGCTTGAGGATCGATCGGTCTGCGACAATCACAGGTGGCGATGTGTCCTTCTCGATCGCCGCAGGTGATTTGGCAGCGGTCAGTTTGAGCGGTGGGGCCGGGAGAACGTCGAGAGGTTCGTCGACCCTCAGAGGTAAGCTTGTCACGTTTGCGTCTTGATTTGTTGTATCTGCGGACGAGTCTGCGGTATGTGAGCCTCCAGTAGAGGGATATTCCTGAGTTGTAGTCAGTGGGACAGCAGCGGCCTCGGACATCCGTGGTGATGGTCGGGGCGAAGGCTCTCTAGACAGTTGCTCACGCGCTGATAGCCTGTCACTCTCCCGAGTCGCTGGCGGCGTCAGCTGTGCATCCTCTTCCGCTGCTACAGCTGGACTCTTCGTGACAATGTCTACCCAGTGCTCGTCCCTGCTACCATGCTTGGCAAGATGCCGTAGCAAGCTTCTCCTCCTGCCCATCGGCTTAGCAGCGTCCTCACGCTCGTCTCCCGAGTCTATCACGCTGCGAGCCTCGTAGTCCGCGGAGCAGAAGGATGCACCGCTAGTAGAAGTCGGGAAGCCTCCATTCTGAGACTTTTGGGCACTTTGGGTCTGCGCAGGGACTGCCAGACCGCCTTCGACCTTCGATGGTGGCGAGGGTGCGGCAGGCGGATCTTCTTGCTCATTGCTACTCATATGCTCATGCTGATTGCTACGGCGCAAAGTCTTCTTCCGCACGGCGGAGACGAACTTGCTGGCGCTACTATGCTGTGGAGAAGGCTCCTTCTCGGCCCGAGGCAAGTCGTTGTCCCGCTCCGGCACGAGGGGTGTGCTGAAAAGAGAGACTTTGCTTCCATCCCTGCTATGCTGGCCACTACGGCGTTTCGCAGAGGTATTGGTCCTCTTCAGCTCGACAGAAGTCGAAGGGTCTGACATCATTGCAGGATCCATGCCGAGACTGATCTTCTTGGTGCCAGGAGGGAAGAGGTTGCTAGCATCCTCATCGATGTTCTGAGCCTTGTGCACTGGTGCAGATCCCGAGGCACTGCGATCCTTCCTCATCTTCCGGAAGACGTTGAGGTTCCTCATCGACGGTCGACTCCTGCTCTTCGCCTTTCCAACAGCTTCGAGCTCGGCTCGGTAACCACTGGGGACGATCTCCTGAACAACGAACCACGCAGCTTCAGTGCGGTCATCTGCTGGGATATCGGCGTCTAGTCCGGCCTGCAGGGGAGCGAGCGCGTTGGCCACCTGAGAAGTCCCGCTTCCCTGAGCGCTGACAGTGAATTCGTTTGGCCGACTCTTGTACTGCACAACGACGAAATTCGCAGATCGATGCGTGAGCTCGTCGCGGTTGGACCAGCCATTGCCTATCAGGTAGTCCGCCCAGACCTCAGCGAACACCTCGTCCATCTGGCCAGCCAATCTCTCTCCTCTCTGGCCAACATGGTACTCGTCGGTAGTCGAAGGTCGACTGATGACTTTGGGGGCAGTGTCATACGCGAACGGCGGCATGTTCGATGCAGTGTCACGTAGCTTGGCCAATAATTCGGCTCGCTCGCTAGGCCAGCGCGTGACGTCCTTCTTGAGACCATCATCGAAGCTGAGAATGGCATCGAGCGAACTTCTGTCAGCGTCTCCAAAGCCAACATCGGTGAACTCAGACCACAGGACTGTGCTCCGCTTCTCGGTGCGTGCTTTCCTTTCGCTCTCATGAAGATCAAAGCTAAGCTTAGATCGGTCCGTGCTGGTAAAGCCATCGTTCATGAATTGGCCCCACTCTTCCTGTGCAATCGTCCCGTAGAAGGCCGGGTCGTCAGTCTGACTTTTCGTGTGCAGCATTGCTTGGCTCGAAGGAGGACTCAGAGCGGAAGGCGTTGCGTCGCGGGGTTGCTGCGATCCATTCTTGACATTGATCAGCTTCCTGTATCGGTCAGAGAACTGTGGGTGCTTGCCATGGTAGTCGCTGGCAGAGCAGCATGCCTCCCACTCAGGCGACAGCCAGGCAACATCAATCTCGCTGGCAGACTGTATCAGATCCTGCGAGTACAGTCGAACTTGTCGTTCGATGTGGGTATAGGGTACTTGTCGTACGTGTCTGGGTGGTGTGCTGAAATCGCTGGATAGAATTTGGGGGTAGCCTTCGACGTGTGACATTAGCCGCACTGGCAAGACCTCGTACGTCGCAAGGTTGCGGATGTAGGCAAGAAGTAGGTGCTCGGTAGCATTGCTGGCGCGATTGTATGCATCGTATGTTCTGGCAAAGGTTTCGTCCTCAGGAAGACCAAACAAGACAACACCAAAGTGTCGGGCTAGCTTCGAGGGCGTCATACCGTTCTTGAGACTGTAAGAGCAAGTGGATGACAGCAGCGAGAAGAGGCTGAGGAGAAGGTGGATAGACTCTTCGTCGATCTGCTCGACAAAGTATCGGAACGCTGTCCATGGATGCTCAGCCACTGCGATAATGGACACCAATATCGGGTCAGAGGGCATGCAAGACTGTCTCAGTAGCCCAGAAGGGACTCACGCTTTTCTTCCTCCCGCCAATGCAGATACAGGTCTAGGTCCAGCCAACCTCTTTGTTGGACGACGACGACATCTTCGCTCGTCTCTCCCTTCTTTGCAGACGCCGTACTCGGCACAGGCACGGCATAGAAGCGGCCTAGCCTGGCCAGAGTCCACTTGAGCAAAGCAGCAAGATCATGCGGGTTAGCGAAGCGTACTTCTTCACTGATGGCACTGTTCGCGATATCAGAGAGGTCCGAGCTTGCAAGAGCTTTGAGCAGCAGTCCGGCGCCTCCCGTGGAAAGATCCAGAGCCATTGATGTGAAGATGAGGGGACAGTCCAGACCTGGTGTGGGTAATGAGAAGAGAGTCTCAGCATCCCCCAGCATATGCTCTTGGAATCATACTGTGCACTCACCTCTTTCCCTGATCTCTTTCGCGCAGAGCTCTACAATCTTGTGAGCGGACTGCAGCGTCATCTCAGTCTCCCACCCTTCATGCGTATATCCATATGGGAAGGCCTCCTTGCCATGAGCGGCTCCCGATGTCCCTCCCGCCCCAGTGACGCTAGAAGGTGGCAGCGGTAGATCAGCTGCCAGACGACGATGCGAGGCTCGTCTCACGGCTCCGGTACCACTGGATTCTCCAGCTGGCCAGGCTCCATTGCGCTCGTTGCGAAGGGGAAGAGTGGAGACACCGTTCCTCCCTGTAGCCGAAGCCGAGGGCATCATTCGTCCAAAGTCGTCCGCCAGGCCATCTTGGCGTGAGGAAGCCATGGGTTGGGTCGGCAAACTTTTAGACTGGAGAGCTTGGCGATCGGTCATCATCCTCAGATTGCCCTTGGAGGGGACAGGCGGTATCGCTGTTTGCTCAACTATCTGCGCCTCTTCGAGCGTTCTAGCATCAGTACTTGCGCGGCTCTGTACATTGAGAAACTCATCATCTCGCGATTGAGGCAAGTCCGTGTTGGATACAGCAGCCCCAAAGGGCTCGGCCTTCAGAGAGGGAGAGGTGTCCTTCTTGGCGCTGGTGGACACACTTCGTAGGGCGGCGAAGCGACCACTCTTCCCTGGACGGCGTGAAAAGAGGGTGGTCATCTTGCTAGGAGGGACCTGGCCCCCTTGACGAGGTATCAGAGTTCTGGAAGAGCCACTTTTGTATGAGCTTCAGTAGCAATCTGTCGACGAGGATAGTGATGAGGCGCTTCAGGGGCTGGGTGAGGCCTTGTGATTGGATGTCTGAGAGTGGTGTTGATCAAGGCGGTATTGCTGACGAGCGTGGGTATATGCGTGATGAGTAGCCTAGAAGCAATGCAAGGGAGAGAGCGTGGGCGGCTGGAGAAGATCCCAGAGCTGACGATGGCTTGTCGTTTGTGTCTGTGGGCGTCGAGAGCGAGGGCCTCAAGGAAACAAGGCACGATGAGGCTGTGAGGGCAAAGACGAGGAGCCATGCATCCAGCCCTTCGGAAAGGAGACTGACCCATCACATGCAACACACACCACCACTGCAGCAGAACAACACCAACCCCCACGTCCTTCCGTTCCGAGGTCAAGGCAGCCACACACGACTTCCCGCCCACAGCACCGCACCAAGTATTCAAGGATGCAAGTGGTGTAAATGATGAAAGGAAGCTAGAAAGGACAACAAGGAGTACAGGGCATACGATACAAACAAACAGTAACAGTGAAGCGAGGGTCGGCGGCCTTGAGCTCAACAGCGGACACTTCGGGAAATAAAGAGCATGACATGACAGCCCACTCTAACAAAGCTTTCTACTCCCCCTCCCAACCTCTCCGCTCACCATCACTCAACAGAGGAATGCTCTCGTTGGCTCGACCATCCGTCACGTCAGTCTGAGCCGCCTCTTCCATCCGAGACTCGATGACAGCGGTGGCGCTCCCCTCGGCCTCACTCGGCCCACTCGCCGACGAACCCGGTAGCATAGCTGTAGCAAGCGGCGTCTCTGCCTCTCCTGCAGCACCGGGACTGACAGCGGAAGGGGCAGGCGGAACTGGCACCGTAATATCTCGACGACAGCTTGGGCAGAACTTCTTGATCTTGATCAGCCACTCGTCGATACAGGCCTTGTGGAAGAGATGCTGGCAGGGCAGGAGCCTTACACGCTCACCGTCTTCGAAGTTGGCTAGGCAAATAGCGCATTCGTCCGCCGAGTAGTAGAGACGCTGGTCGGCGGCAGAAGAAGACTCGCCTGCTGCTTCCGCAGCCTCGCTCGCGGTGGAGGGCAGAGTCGTCGAGCTCGTAGGTCCAGCCTCGACGTCGTCCCGGTAGACGGTTGCACGAGCTTCCTTCTGAGCATCCTCATCCCATTTCAATCCTCCTTTATCCCAGATAGCACAAGGTAGATTGAGCACAACGAGCTCGGGTGCTCGCTCTTTGCGGCGACGCTGGATCTGGCGCAGCTTGTGCACGATCACTGTCGAAAGAGTCATCAGTGAGGGCAGCATGAGGAGGAGCAGTGCCAAGTTGAGCAGAGGCCTGTGAAAGGAAGACAACAGCAAGAAGGTAAGCATGCAGCTCGCACGACCACAACCCAGACACAACATATGGAGCTACCCACCACTCGAAGAGAGTGTCGTCGCGGCTGAGTATGATCTCTACACCCTTTGTCGGTTCACCGTCGCTGTAAAGTCTCTTGAGGTCCTCAAAGCTCCTCCAGGAGACAAAAGTGCTGGGAATTTCGATGTCACTGACGTCGCCCTGAGCAAACATAGTCAGTAGACGAGGGAGATCATCGTCTTCTGGCTCCTCCCATCCCCAAGGTGTGCGATGTGCTGGCTCGGGCGGGCTCTGATCGCCAACAACGACAGCACGGGCTCCCAATGCTTGAGCCAGTCTGATCTTGGACACGAAAGGACAATTGCCCCGTGAGACTAGGGCGATCCAGTCGGATGGCGGTGCAGTGCTATTCTTGAGGTCTGGACTGAGGGAGCGACCTTCGAAAGTGGCCTGCGAGCCTTGGCCTGAAGAGGTGGCGTAGTGAGGTGCTTGATTGCTCTGCATGTGCTCACTGTCTGCGACTTCCAACCAGAAGTCCTGCTCCTCATCGGAGGATGCATGGGAGTCATGCTTCCAGCCGGGTCCACCCTCGACAGGGCAGCCGAAGATGGGGTCGACACCGTCCCTGCCACTAGTCCCAGCAGTGATATCCTCCTTGCCCGCAGGCGCTCTCTCGTGCCAGAAGGTGGAGATGGGGATAAGGTGACCTCTTAGTCCTTCATCGTTGGCGATGTGCGGACCAAAAGCTGCTGGGCGGGTGGCATATAGTGCTTGTGTCCTGACGACTTCGAGTGACCCTTCACCCCAGAGGAAAGACGAGCCCTGCTGCGCGAGGCCTTGACGATTTGGTGTGTCACCGTTTGGGATCAGAGGCGACAGGAGGGACCCAAGACGATCGAAGATGGTGGGATTGTCTGTCGCTGCGTTAGAAGTGCTTGAAATTGACGCATGAACATCAACGGCGCCGCCAGCTGCCGCTGTGCACAGGCAGTACAGCAAAATGAAGGCTGAGCGAGGGGTCATGGTGGCGGCGAACCACGAGGGCGGGAGGGCGGTGGGGTGTAAGCCCCGGGTGGCGTGCGCGAGAGTGTCAAAGATGGGCAGATGAGGGAGCGAATGTAAGTAGGTGGGAATGGCGCAATGATGAGCAGCCGTAGGAAGATTGTTTGCCGAGGCCAAAGCAAGGTGATGATGGTAGTCAGCGATGGTAGACTGACCACCTCAGCCTGCCTCGTCTATTTCGGCTGCTGCCCGCCCTGCCGTCATCGCCTGGGCGGAGAGGCGGGGCGCCAAGTGGAGAGCCGAGCGCCATCGACTCTCGTGGCCCCAAGTCGCGACTTCCGTCCCGCACCGCTCCAATCTTGTCACCATCAACGCCCTATCATCCTCATCTTGGAGCCAGACAGAGGCAGACGCAGCGGACTGGCTACTCTTGAAGCTCGCCTTTGCAGAGGGATTTCGAAATCCTCTGCATCCTGCCTCGTTCGTCTCGCCGTCCCGCCAGGCCTCGACCCCTCCTCTCCGATTGCGCAGTCCGATCGGCAAAGCGGCCCTGACCGCGCCCGCTCAGGATGCTGGAAGGTGTGCTAGCGTCGGTCTTGAACCGCTTTCTTGCCTCCTATGTTGATGGACTGAACACCAGCCAGCTCAATGTCGGAATCTGGAGCGGTGACGTCAAGCTCAAGAAGTGAGTCGCAGTGTTCTTTCTTGGTTATGACGGGCCACGACCTCACTAACGCATTCTGCCTCGACCCATGTCCCTTCACTCACAGCCTTCGTCTCAAGACGTCCGCTCTTGACAAGTTTCGACTGCCGATTGATGTCAAAGAAGGCTACCTCGGAGATCTCACTTTGTCCATTCCCTGGTCGAATCTCAAGGGAAAGCCTGTGAGGGTCCTGATCGAAAACGTCCACCTTCTTGCAGCTCCCAAGAATGCTTCGGCAGAGGTGGATGAGGCAGAAGAGGAGGAAAGAGCTCAAGCAGCCAAGCAAGAGAAGCTGGCGAACGCTGAGCTTCTTGGCAGAGACTCGGGCGCCTCTGTGGGAGGCATGACCGAAGAAGAAGCTCAAAAGAATGAAAGCTTCACCAGCTCCCTGGTCACGAAGATCGTCGACAATCTCCAGATTACGGTCCGGAATATTCACGTCAGATACGAGGACAAGCTGTCAAATCCTGAGCATCCCTTCTCAGCTGGTTTCACCTTATCAGAGTTCTCAGCAGTCTCGACCGACGGCGAGTGGAACCCTACCTTCATTCAGAACAGCACAGATGGTATCCACAAGCTTGCGCGCCTTGAATCGCTGTCACTGTATTGGGACACAGACTCCTCATCCCTCGCCGGTTTCGATCCGGACACATCGCAGAAAAGGTTTTCTGAGCTGATACCCCGCGACGGACAAGATCCATCCCATCAATACATTCTCAAGCCCGTCTCGGGAGCAGGCAGACTTGTCATGAGGAGAAAGATGACCCCCGAAGTGGCCAAGATGGACGCTCAGCTTCTCTTCGACGAGCTTGGATTTGCTCTTGATGATGAGCAGTATCGAGATGTCATCTCCGTGGCCGACCTCTTTCACTTCTATACCAGACAAGCGCAGTACCGGAGATTCAGGGCCTCGCCAAAAGAGCTGGAGAAGAACCGACCTCGAGCGTTGTTCAAATTCGCCGGCAGAGCCATCATCAATGAAGTGCACGAAAAGCATCGCGTCTGGACGTGGGAATACTTCAAGCAGAGGCGAGATGATCGGAAAGCCTACGTTGAACTCTTCAAGCACAAAGACGAGCAGCAGGCAAAGCAGAATCAGAAGCAGGCCAATGTACAGCCTACCACCAGTGAAGAAGGAGAGAGGCTTCGTGAGCTTGAGAAGAGGCTATCGTACAAGGACATTCGCTTCTACAGATCCATCGCTCGCAACGAGCTGCGCAAAGAGCGCGCTGCGAAGAAGAAGGAAGAGGCAGAGCATGGCACTGTGCAGAAGGCTGCTGCTACCGGTGGTAGCTGGCTTGGGTGGATCTGGGGAGGTGCCACGCATGACCAGAAGCAAGGAGATGGTGTCTTGAATGAGGAACAGAGGAAGGAGCTCTACGATGCAATTGAGTGGGACGAGTCCGTGGGCAACCAGTCCATCTCTGACGCGGTAGACGCACCAGGCGATGCCATCCAGATGCGTCTGACCACCAAGCTGCAAACAGGTTCATTCGCACTGAAAGACCACTCAAGAGGCAGCAATGTACTCGCTCTAGTCTTTGACTCGCTACAAGCTGATGTCGTGCAGCGAGTCGACAATTTGGAAGCAGCGCTCTCGCTTGGTGGCTTGAGGGTCTACGATGGTACAACGCCAAATTCGCTATATCCTCAGATTGTTCGCGTCAAGGATGACGATCTTACAGCTCCCGAACGCCAGCTTTCTGATGGCAGCGAAGACATCAAGGAGATCGAAAGGCAAGTGGGCACCGAGAGCGATCCGGACAACCCTTTCTTCTACTTGAAATTCGAGAACAAGCCCCTCGACAAGAGGGCTGACAATGCTCTTACAGTCAAGATGCGATCCATGGAGATCATCTACCATCGCGGCTATGTGGAATCAATCTTTCGCTTCTTCCGCCCTCCCGAGAGTGAGCTCGAGCTCATCGGAGCCCTCATTGATGTCGCTAGCGAGACATTGGAGGGTATCCGTAAAGAGACCAGAGCAGGGCTCGAAGCGGCTCTGGAGAATCACAAGACGATTGACGTCGTTCTGGACATCTCTGCTCCCATCATCATCATACCCGAGGATGTGACGGCCAGGAAGTGTCAGCACGTGGTCCTCGATGCTGGTCATATCGGTGTACGATCCGTGCTAGCTCCACAGGAAGCAATCGACGCGGTCCGATCGAAGGCCTCCAAGCAGTATACCGACAGTGACTACAAGCAGCTGGAAGATCTGATGTACGATCGATTCTTCGTCAAGCTAGAGTCCGCACAGCTGGTGATGGGAAACGATCTGGAATCTTGCTTGAGAAGCTTGGAGGGGTCTACCACGATGGACCACAATCTACATCTACTGGAGCGCATCAATCTCAATTTCACTGTCCATAATTCGATTTTACCTTCTGCCCCTAATCTCACCAAGGTCAAAGTGACGGGCCACCTGCCAACTCTGAGAGTCAACTTCAGCGACCGCAAATACCACCAACTGATGGCTGTGGTCGACGTTGCCATTCCGAACTTCGACGATGACGAGGAGCAAGACGGGACTCCACCGCGCATCACAAGGATAGAAGACATCCCTGAAGGAGACACGTCAGCCGCAGACGGCCACAATCGTCGTCAGAGCAGATCCGTCGACAAGCGCATGGCCAAGCTTAGTACTGAGACGGACGCGCTAGACCTCAACAAAGAGCGGCGGTCGCGGATCGCAAGTCAAATGCGGGGTGACGATGACTATCTCGTTGACGATGACGATGACGACAGCTTTGAAGATGCTGAGGACGTCAAGACGGATCACATCAATGCCCACCAGAAGAATTTCGAGCTCAATTTCGTCGTCGACCAACTGCAAGCGTCCATCTTCAAGTCCAATGCCGACATTAGCAAGCCAGACCGCTTGCTTGTTGAAGCAACCTTCGAGGGCTTCTTCTTCGGCCTAGCAGTACTGCCATACCAGCTCAATGTTGATGTCGGGCTTCGATCTCTCCAGCTGGAAGACAAGATCGTTGACCACGGTCCTGCTTTCAAGTATCTGCTCACCTCTAAGAGTGTCGATGATGGTCAAAGCGTTGGTGGCAACAAGCCACAAGGAACCGAGAGCAAGGAGACTGATGGGCAGGCCACACCTACTTCATCGAAAGACCTAGTCAAAGTGCAGTATATCCGCGTACAGCCCGACTCTCCGGAGTTCATGAGCGTCTACGAAGGCATCGACCAGTCTATCAATGTTGAGCTTTCCACGATCAACATCATGCTCACGCGTGTCTCGATCCTGGCGGTCTACGACTGGATCATGACTACGTTCGTTCCGCACGAAGAGCCGCAGAAGCAGCAGCAAGTCAGCAAGGCCGACGTAGGGCCGCAAGGCAAGCCGCCGACGGAAGAGCCCTCAAAAGAGCGTTCAGGTCAAGAGGTCTCCTCCGACAACGAGCCTCGCAAGGAGAAACTGCGCATTCGTGTCAAGCTCACTTCCGTCGTTCTACGCCTCAACAATGACGGGGCGTTGCTCTCGACGCTGACTCTGTCGACTGCCGACGTCGCAGTCTTCTTGCGAGGCGCGACCTTGCGAGTGGCTGCGCGCCTGGGATCTCTATTGCTGCTTGACAACACACAGCGAGACACGGCCGCCCCGGAGTTCAAAAAGCTACTTTCCATCGAAGGCGACGAATTGGCAGACTTCTCCTACGAAACATTTGACGCGGAGGACTCGGCTTCATACCCGGGCTACGACAGCTCAATCTGGCTGCGTAGCGGCTCTCTCCGCTTTACCTTCATGGAAGAGCCGATTCGTGATTTGCTCATCTTCTTCTCTAAGTTTGCTCGCATGAAGGCGGTCTACGATGCAGCTACTGAAGCGGCCACTGCTCAAGCCACCCAGTTGCAGGAACGGGCCAGTAAGATGCACTACGATGTCATCATTCAGTCGCCCGTCGTCGTGTTGCCAAGGGAGGCTTCTTCAAGTGATGTGCTCATTGCTAATCTTGGAGAAATCTACGCCCATAACACCTTCCCGCCGAAGGACGAGGGTCACGTAGTGACGAAGGTCGAGGCCGGCCTTAGGCATATTCGCCTTGCTTCGCATTTGAGGCACGATGGTCAGAACTACAATGTTCAGATGATCGACGATGTCAACATCTCAGTCGACATGACTCAGGAGCAGCACTTGGATCACCACAATGAGAGCGATGAGCCTGAGATGCAGATCATTGCCAGGATGTCAGATGTGCAGATCAAGATGACGCAGCACCAGTACTGCTTCATAATGGCTTTGACACAAAGTATACCTCGGGCCTTTGCTATCGATTTCGGTGACGAAGATGCGGAGAACATTAGCGAGGCCGTCTCTGCCGTTCCCTCAGTTCCGGCGACGCCCACTCCTCCACAGGGCAAAAGTGGCAGCGGCAGCCCAATTCAACATTCAGGTCCTGACATGCTACCCGAACTGGGGACAGTGTCACACCAGGCGAACGGAGAAAGCCAACTCCTCAGCACCGCACTTGATCTTCTGTTCAGCGTCCGTACCATCAATCTGGAAATATTCACTGCTGCTGCGACAGGTCAGGACAGCTTGTACAAGGCCAGTCTGGCGCGCTTCACTTTGAGCAACACTGAGGTGAAGCTCAAGATGCTCTCAGACTCGAGTCTCGAGGCCGAGCTGGCTCTCAAGGCATTCACTGTGTCTGACACCCGGCCCGACAAGGACACGAAGTTCCGTGAGATCATTCCTGCCTCAAGACACGTTGGTCATCAGCTCATGGTCTCTTTCACCATGTCAGGGGACCCGACGGACAAGTCCGGACTCGCTCTCGTCACTGTTGACTCCCCGAAGATGATCTTTGCTCTCGATCCACTATTCGCCTTGCTCGAGTATGCAACGAGCCCTTTCCAAGAAGAGTCTGGCTCTACAGGCGATGACACTAGTGTAGCACCGAGCAAGCAGCCACAGCCCGCCTCCCGAGTACCTTCCACAGCGGTCTCGAAAGCGCCGTCCGCGCCTGCACCGGCGCAGGCTCAGAAGCAGCCTGCCGAGTCATCTCCAAGCCCCGAGGCGGGTACGATCTCCTTCCGAGTCAATGTCGTCGATCCGAGTGTTCTGCTGCTAGCTTCACCCGAGAAGGCTGACTCAGAGGTCATAGTCCTGTCAATCAAGCAGATCTTGCTCTCACAGCAAGGCATTCTCGCTCTCAAGGTGGACTCGATGGGCATGTTTGTGACTCGCATGAGCCGCCCGCGAGACTCCTCTTTGCGACTGCTAGACAATTTCGATCTCGCCCTTTCGATGGACACTCGATCGTCTGCATCGAGACAGATGACAAGCATTGAGATTGACATTGAACCCATCGTCTTGCGGGTTTCATACGGCGACATAATGCTCTTGTCTTCCGTCGTCAACAAAGCGATCGAGCTCTCGTCCCGGTCGTCCGATGATTCAGCAGCAAAATCAGCTCGTGGTGCTCCATCGTCTGTTGGAGGTTCCTCTGTGGCGGTCCCCGCCAGTACCCATATGGCACGAGCTGGCTCGACTACGAAGAGCATCGAGCCATCCCCTGGAGCTAGCAAAACCAAGAAGAGCTACGAGGCTGAGCTTATTATCTCGAAAGAGGTACTCAAGGCTGAGGTAGCTGGAGTTCAGGTCGTGCTGATTGGCGACGTCCACACTCTACCTTTGCTTGATCTCTCGATCGAGAAATTTACAGTCGACGTCCGCGATTGGACTGGAGACATGCAAGCTAATGCCCAGCTGGCAACCTACATTAACTACTACAATCTTTCGAGGTCTCATTGGGAGCCGCTGATCGAGCCTTGGGTGGTGGAGCTTGCGCTGCAGAATTCCTCATCACCGGCCAGTACTCACATGACCATCTCCTCGAAACGCCGCCTGGAAGTGAACGTCACTACGACTCTTATCGAGACCGCTCTGACATCGATGGCGATTCTCGGAGATCCCAGCAATTTCACCAGCTCCTCGCGACAACATCAGGCACCTTTCAAGATCCGCAACAGGACCGGTTACCGCTTGAGCTTGTGTGCGGAGCACGACGATCGCAAGGTGAAAGTCACTCCACAGCACCTCGACGACAGCTCGGATATGCCCTTCAGCTTCAGCGATTGGAAGTCGATGCGGGAGAACATCACTGAAACGGGCGGGAGGAGACTGGCTCTTGAATTCGAAGGCATGCCATGGGATCGATTGAAACACATTTCAGTCGACCGCGAGGGTGAATTTGTGTACAATCTTCGACCGAAGCTCGACAAGGTTGCCCATCGGGTCATCTGTGACATCAAGCTGGAGGACAACGTGAAGATCATCACCTTCCGATCTTCCTTCGTAGTTGAGAACAGCACGATGGTGCCGGTCGAGATGATGATCCTTGACAAGGATGGGAACAACACGGACAAGACTCGCCGCATTGCACCAGGCGACAGCTGTCCCGTCCCCATCGAAGATGCATTCCACCGCAAAATCAGGCTGCGTCCCGACCGTGGCTTCGATTACCACTGGTCGAACGACAGTGTCGGCTGGCAAGACCTCATGAAGAGAACAACGCGGTCGATCTCTTGCAAAGCCAGCGAGCCCAATGAAGCTCCTTTCCGATTCCAGTGCTTCTCCGACTACGATAAGCAAGACCCAATGAGCCGACAATATCCCAAGGTGACTTTGCGATTGCGACCACCCGTCGAGATCGAGAATCTTCTTCCTTACGACATCCAGTACCGGATCTTCGACAAGAACATGAACCACAATTGGTCAAGCTTCTTGCGAAAGGGAGGCGTGTCACCGATCCACGTCGTTGAGCTCTCACACTTGCTGCTTCTGAGCGCAGACATCCAGTCTTCGGTGTTCTCACCTAGCGAATTCGCCATCATCGCAACAGACAATCCTGATGACTTCCCTGTGGAGAAGGACCTGACTCTGGCCGATTCCGAGAATCTCAAGCTCAACTTGCGACTGCACTACTACAAGTATCCAGACAGTGGTGGAGCCTTCAAGGTGTCGATTTATTCGCCGTATATCTTCATCAATCAGACTGGCCTGCCTTTCTCACTCAAGACAAAGTCGTGGCTCGGTGCTGCCAAGCTCGTCGCTGGTCAGGACTCTGGTCCCGTATCCTCTCTGCGGAAAGAGCCAATGCCGTTCGTCTTTTCGCACAGCAGCAACGACCGTAGGAACAGGATGCTCCTGAGAGTTGGAGACTCTGGATGGTCGAAGCCTCTGTCTTTCGAGGCTATCGGTTCCGAAATGGAAGTAGTCCTGCCTTCTGCATCAAAGAATGAGGAGATTCATTTGGGACTAACCATCAGTGACGGGCTGGGCAAGTTCAAGCTGTCTAAGGTCGTCAAGCTGCGTCCTCGCTACATCGTGCGGAACCAGCTGAACGAGCCTATCAACTTGCGAGAGGCAGGTGCGGCTGACTTTGTCACGTCCGAGGCGAACACACGTCTCCCACTGCACTTCCTGCGCGTGGGCGCTACGAAGCAGATGACCCTTGCTTGGCCTGGTCTGAACAATAAGTGGACCGCCCCCTTCAACGTCGAGGACGTCGGTACAGTCCACCTGCGCATCGCCAAGGCTGGTCACCACCAACAGCTCGTCAAAGCTGAAGTCCTGCCTGAGGGTCCCACGGTGTTCATCACCTTGAGCTACGAGACTGGACCCTGGCCCTTCATGATGAGGAATGAAAGTGACTACACGATTACATTCAGCCAGACTGCCGAGAGGGCCGAATCTGATGGTCAGATGGCCTATGATCAAGTAGGCAAGCGATACGAGCTGAAGCCTCGCTCTAAGATGAAGTTCGCCTGGGACTTCCCTTCACAGAAGAGCAAGCTGATCAAGCTGATCGCCAACGGACGAGAGAGGAACGTGAATCCTCTCGAAATCGGAAATCAATTGCCTTTCAAATTCCCTGCTGCCGATGGCAGAGGCAATCGTGTCGTATCCATCGACGTCAGGCTCGACGGACCTACGCAGACTGTAGTCTTGTCCAACTACTCGGAAGCGCTCAGCAACTACAAGATCAAGAGGCCTAACATGTCGCGGTCAGATACGATGAACAGTCGTGCTAGCACCGAGATGGGCTTCGAGGCCGTCGATATCGATACCGACATCATCTCCTCGTTCGGGCTCATCCTGTCTGGAGTGGGCATATCTCTCATGGACAGAAGGGTGCAAGAGATTGCCTACATCAGTCTTTCCGACGTTGATGTTCGATACAACGAGTCGCAAGCGACACGCACATACGGCTTGACGATCAAGTGGATGCAGATTGACAATCAGCTATGGGGTGCTCTCTTCCCTATTAGCTTGTACCCGGCCAATCTGCCCAAGGACAAGGCCGCGCTGGAGACCTTGCCTACCCTGCAAGTCGCCGTCGTCGAGGCAAAGGATGAGACACATGGAGTGCGCCATCTCAAGTATGCTTCCGTGCTGTTGCAAGAGCTGCAGATTGAGATCGAGCTCGAGTGGCTCATGGTTCTGCTCGACTTTTCGAAGGCCTTCGAGCGAGCTCTACCGGTCGAAGCTGAGGGAGACTATACCGACAGTCCCACTGAGATTCCGGACCCTCAACGCATCGAGATCAAGCAGGCTGACATCTACATCGAGCTGTTACTTCTGCAGCCACTGTTCCTCACCATCTCATTCCTGATGAGCGATCGTGGCGAGCGCAATGCGGAAGATCAGGTCGCTCAGTCGCGATCGCCCCTAGCATTCCTAGTCGGCGCTGTCACGTCAGCTGTCGGTAATCTCAACCAAGCACCGATTCGTCTTTCCGCTATCGCCATCGAGAATGCTCGTCTGTCGCCCGACGAGCTGATTGCGCGTCTACAAGCGCACTACGTCTCCAGCGCAGTCGGACAGGTGTACAAGCTCGTCGGTGCCATCGACGTGCTCGGCAACCCCCTCGGTCTCATCTCTGGTATCGGCAGTGGTGTATCCGATCTACTGTACTCGCCCATCGAGGGACTGGTGTTGCACGGCAACCGAGAGCTAGGTCTCAGCATTGCCCGAGGAGCAGGCTCATTCGTGCGTAAGACCGTCTTCGGTGTGTCAGACTCGATTTCGAAGTTCACTTCTTCCGTTGGAAGTGGCCTGGCTGCTGCCTCGTTGGACAAAGACTTCGAGGCAAAGAGAAGAGCGGCGCGCTTCCGCAACAAGCCTCGACACGCTTTGACTGGCGTGACGGCTGGAGCTAACAGCTTCTTCTCTTCGCTGACTTCGGCTGTGGAGGGAGTCGCTCTGCGACCACTCGAAGGAGCTGAACGAGGTGGCGCATTGGGCTTCCTGCGGGGCATAGGCAAGGGCGGTGTCGGACTCCTCGTCAAACCTGCCGTGGGAGCCTTCGATCTCGCTGCCTCGTTCGGTGAGGGTATCAGGAACACTACAACCGTCTTTGACTCTACCAACGACATCGATCGGGTGCGTCTGCCTCGGTACGTCGCTCCAGACCTGATCGTTCGGCCGTACAGCTCCCGCGAATCGCTCGGTCTTGCCTGGCTTAAGAATCTCGAAGAGTCAAAGTACGTCAAAGAATACTATGTGGCCCACGCAGACATCGGCACAAAGGATGAAGTGGTCATGTTGACCACGACGAAGATTCTGTACATCCGAACGATGCAGCTCAAGTGTGTTTGGGAAGTGGGGCTGTCGGAGCTCTCGTCGGTATCCCTTGAGACGGACGGTATCGCTCTTATCCTGCGAAGCGGCGCTGCAGGACCATTCTTGAAGCTCAAGGATGTGGGGTTGAGAAATTGGCTATTCAAGCACATCTCACGCGTGGTGACGGCGTACAACCAGGCCAATCGATGATGGAACTGTTGAGCGGGCAGTCAAGCAGAGGCGATGTAATGAAGGAGAAGGAGGAGGATGGATGTAGCGGCTGTGTTTGTGTCTCAATGTGCTCCACTTTCCGCAAACTCAAGTTGTACGAATTCAATGACAATTCCTTGCAAACGACCAACAAATCCATTCTTCCGGTGTCTCTTCCGGTGTCTCTCACCACTGAGTCCGGCCGGACGGTTTGAAAAGAGTCAGCCTCCGCTTGACACCGTCACTTCCGCCCACATGCTGGACGGTCACATCGACATCCGGAGGCAGCTTTCGGATAGCGTAGCCGTTCTCGCTACTTCTGGAGCCCTGGGCCTGTCCGAATGAACATTCGCCTGCGCGAGAGAGGGGGATCGTAGGCGCTCCTGGTGACAGGGCTGCGATGTTGAAGCGTCGCACGACTGCCTCTCTTGCTGCGCGACTGACGCCGTTCCTTCGCGGTACGAGCGATCCGCCACCTCCGCTTATGGGACTCAAGCCCCGATGCCAAAGTGGAGAGTCATTGGCATGCCATCGTCTGAAAGGAGTGGAGGTGACATCTGACAACGCAGCCTTTGGGTATGAAAAGCTAGTCTGCTGAGTTGGAGGCGCAAAGCGTGACACGGCGCTGTTGTGTGACGGCCTTGGGGTGGCAGACCTGATATGAGCGGCCGGGGTGAGAGGCGGCGCCAGTCTGCGACGATGCGCTCGGTCGGCTTGACGAGTCTCTTGAGACCTTGTGTCAAATGAGTAGGTCGAAAGAGAGCTACGGCCTGCAGCTGATAGACGTGAGCGCAGCGATGCTGGTGAGCTCTCTGAGCTTCCGTAAGATATGGTAGCGTTGTAACGAGCGTTGCAGTCCGTTGTCGCCGGCATAGGAGGAGACCATCGGCTTTGATCCTGGTGAGCTCGCAACGAGCGAATGACCTGCGAAGACGATCTTGTCTGGGCGTCAGGATCGTGGTCGCGCTGGACAAGCCGAGATTTGATGGGGGATGTCTGTGGCGCGGCCTGCTGATACTGTATGATCGACTCTGGTAAGCAGGTCACCGCAGCTGATGTATCTCGCAAAAGCGATCGGCCGATGACATCGCCTGGGGCTATAGAGCTTGCAGCAGTACTGAGGCTCTCCCGCCTCGGGTCGAAGGCAAATATGTCGCTGTCGTCGTCTTCGGAATCGCTTGAGGGTATGACTATTGGTGTGGACGGCTTACTCATGGCCGGTCTGGCTTCTGCAAGATAGCTTGCGTCTGTGTACTGCTCAAGTCCGCCGAAGTGCCGAGAACGTTGTCTCTTGCCTTCTAGACTGCTCGATTCAGCTGGGAGATGTGCTCGTGTACTGTCTTCTGGAGTGACTGCATCCCTAAAGATCTCAAGTTCATCTCCCCAGCAGAAGAAGCCATCATAATAGGAGTCGATACTATTCGACTCGGTCTGAACAGACTTGGCGTGGCTCTGAACTTGCTGGCTTCCCTGAATCTGCGAGAAGCACAGCTGCTGCTGCCCAGTCTTTCGGCTCGTGGTCGCTGGCTTTGACAATCCAACTCGAGCTGGTCGCAAAGGTGGAAAGGATCGTGTGGGCGCGGGAGCCTGCGTCAGCGAGGCGGCAGCGTGGGCCACCTGATCGTATGCAGTGCTCGTGGAGGGCTGCAGATCTCTGAGACTGTCAGACTGCGGTGGCGATGTACGCAAGGTGCTTCCGGAGGAAGAAGCAGCGGGAAAGGTGGTAGAGCTGGAGGGAGAGGTGGGCTCCGTGGTGACCGAGGTAGGCTGAGAGCCGCATATATGCTGCTTCTTGCTCGCAACATCGCCTCGGCAGTTGCTCGGTACCACATCATGCTTCCTCTTCTGCCGTTGACGTGAGGCTGCCAATCTCTGTGCGATTGTACTGCGGGCAAAGGGTCGTCGACGAAGGAATGCAATTGCAGATATGGTTAGCGGAGTGACCCTGGTAACACTTGGCTCTATCACCTCAAGTCTGACAAGGGCGTCTCCACGAAGTGAACATCATCTTCTTCGATAAAGGAGCTGTCTAGACTTCGCTAATGGATGGAAGAAGGGGTCAAAGGGGGCCATTAGTCCAGTCCAATCCAAAGCTCTCTGCGGCTATGACAGTCCCTGTCCCATCAGACCAACAATCTCAGCTACTTCATCGCGAGCATAGGTTGAGGTGATCGGCTCATGGGCAGCGTCGTCTTCGATCAAGTAGTCATATTCGCTGTCGCGCAGGTTGGTGGACCATTGGAGGTCTGTCATGCTCGTGTGCTGGTATGGGGCCGCCATGGGTACCTCTGGCGTGGAGTAGCGTTGGGCGTCAATTTGACAAGGAAGCGTGGCTCAGTCCGGCGTGGCGCTGCTTCCGCGTCCAGGCAGGCGGGTGAAGTGAAGTGTGCGGTGGCTGGCCCGCCTGAGAAGACCGCGCGCAGAGGAAGCTCCGGCGCAGCAAGAATTCCTGCCCGCCCTGCCTGCCTCGCCTCAAGTCGTAGCTTCCTGGATTCGCACTCACCATCCTCCGTCACCTCACCCTCACATCCTCATCCCCCTCAAGACTACGACACCATGGTAAGCATCAAGATGCAGTAGACCGTACATACCGACACAGACAGACGCTAGGATCTGCGAAGGCAGGAAAGAGGGTTGCAGATCATCCCACCGATGCAGCCTCGCACAAGCTTCGGGACTGCCTCTGCCGGTTCATAGCTACAATGGCCAGTCCACGACTGCCTCCTCTAGGCAAAGAGTGTCCTGCTTCCTGTGTCCTCGTCCATCTTTCTCGGAGAGACGAGCGCACTTCGCTCGCTTGCTACATTGATGACATACGACAGAAGACAAACACATGTATGGCTTGCTTAAGCTCTACTCGAGCTCTGCAGACATCTTCTTACGTCTGAGTCGACCTTGCGAGCAAGGAAGCAGAACAGGCACCGTCGGGGCATGGGCAGAGGAGATGACAGGAATGGAGAGATGGACATTGGACGGAGGTGCTTAGGAGGTCATGGCAACAGGGACGCATCCCGCTTTTAGCCCTGCCAGAGCATTTGAGGCGTACGCGACAGAGGACGCCGATAGAGGGAGGACGGGGCGTACCGCAGATCTGGATCACATCATTCTCGAGCACATCCACTGACGATTCTCCGCATCTTCTCTCCTGGTTCCCTCACTGTCTCTAGGTTCGCGGTCCACGAAAGCACATGAAGAGGCTCGCTGCCCCATCCTCCTGGATGCTGGACAAGCTGGGCGGCACCTACGCTCCCCGCCCCTCGAACGGTCCACACAAGACCCGAGAGTCTCTCCCCCTGGTCATCCTCCTCCGCAACCGTCTGAAGTACGCTCTCACCGGGCGTGAGGTTATTGCCATCACTGCTCAGCGACTGATCAAGGTGGACAATAAGGTCCGAACCGAGCCCACCTACCCCACTGGTCTGATGGACGTTGTCTCCATCGAGAAGTCGGGAGAGAGCTTCCGTATCCTCTACGATGTGAAGGGTCGATTCGTCGTTCACCGAATCACTGGCGAGGAGGCTAGCTACAAGCTGCTGAAGGTCAGGAAGGCTCAGCTCGGTGCCAAGGGTGGTGAGTAAGACCTTCACTGTCATGCAGCCTTTGTCCGTGCGACTGGAACTGACTCGTCTTTCGCTTCCCTTTCGTCCTTCTTTTTCCATTCAGTCCCCCTCATCGTCACCCACGACGGCCGTACCATCCGATACCCCGACCCGCTCATCCGTGTCGGTGACACCGTTCGCTTCAACATCGAGACTGGCAAGCTGGAGGAGCACATCCACCTCGACACTGGCATCACCTGCATGGTGACTGGTGGTCGTAACCAGGGTCGTGTTGGTACTCTGGTCGGACGTGAGAAGCACACTGGTGGATTCGACATTGGCCACGTCCGTGACGCTCTGGGCCGAGACTTCTCGACCAGGATGAACAACATCTTCGCCATTGCTCCCCCCGACTCGAAGCCCTGGATCTCCATCCCCAAGGGAGGTGGTATCAAGCTGTCGATTGCCGAGGAGCGTGACCAGCGCAGGCGTCAGCGTGAAGCCAGGGAGGCTTAAAAGGGTCAAGGTGCAGCAGCGATGCTCGTCTTTTCTCTTGTGTAGTCAATTGTTTTCCTTTACTGCTTTGCGTCCTGTATACATTCACACCCTCTCTTGACAATACGCAAGCGGTTCCAGCATTGAGACTAGCTTGCGAGACTTGTCCCGATCTCTCTCTTCGATCGACGTGGGATTTGGGAGGTTCCCGTGCATCGTTGAGCAAAACTCTCTCCATCTGATGTCCTCTGCATCACTCATCGCCCCCTTTCTTGTCTTCATTCCCTGTAAAATCACGAAAACATTGCCTCTATGAGCGAGGGTTGCTAGTGAGTGTGCATTGTGTAGCCAGTCAGCACGCAGGTGGAGCATCCGAATCCTTTGATCGCGAGAGGGCTTCCTGTCAAAGACAGTCGGTCTTGGCGCAAGGGAGGGCTGCCTGACTGTCAGCTGCTTCGGTGCGGCGGTTGTTTGTGATCCGGTCCGACATCTGGCCATCCTCCTGCCAACCGATGCGGGGGGATGACGCTGACCAAGGCTTTGGGCACCTGGCCAGTCTCCCGAGATGTTGCGCGGACCACTTATCTCTCAAGGGCGCGCCTCGCGGCCCCTAAGCGCCCCGCCCCGCCCCGCCCGCACGGCTGCCTGCCAACGTTACCCGTCCAACTCAAGTCACCCCAGGGCCGCCCTTGACATCTGATCCTATCCTGCCCATCACTCCTCCCCCCGACTCACTCCTCACACACAAATACACACCATGCGCTCACCTCAATTCAGCCTGCTCGCTGCAGCGCTCATGGCAGCCGCACCAGCTGCCATGGCCGCTCCTCGGCCAGCCACACCTCCACCTTTCGTACCTGGTGCCTCCCTCTCCAGCTACTCCGTCGACGAGGTCGCCCCTTTGCGCACTCAGGGCACCCACCCCGTCATCGAGGGGTCCTACATGATCATGCTCAAGGGTGGTCTTAGCGCAACTCAGTTCCTTGCTCACCAGCAACTCATCAGCACCGCCCAGCTCAGCGCATCCGCATTCCACGGAGCCTCTGCTGAGGGAGCCGATGGAATCGGTCACATCTACGAACTCGACGAGAGCCTCCAGGGATACGCCGGCAAGTTCACACCGGATGTCATCGACTACATCCGTGCTCTGCCCGAAGTAGAGTATGTCGAGCTCGACTCAGTCGTCAAGACTACGGAGATGCCCTATGACGGTTCCATGGTCTGGGACGTCCCTTACGACGTCTCCATTGACGAGGCCGTCTCTGCCCAGAGCGCTCACAGCCAGAACCTCGAGAAGGGAGCCCCTTGGGTGAGTAGACAAGTGGTGTCAGGAACAACGGCTAGCATGTTGTGCCTTGATCAGTGCTGGTGGCGGCTGAGCGAGTTATACGGCTATCGGAGATCTGACATCGGCATCATTATCTCTTCGTCCTACTTCTTACCGCACAGGGTCTCTCTCGAGTTTCGCACCGAAAGCAGCTCGGCCTTGGCACATTCTCCAAGTATCTGTACGACTCACACGCCGGCGAGGGAGTGGTAGCATACATCATCGAGTGAGTAGATCATCGAAGCACGCGATACGATGCGGCGAGGAGTAACGGACAGTGGCAGCTTGAATTCCGCGCGACACTGCTCCAGTGCCTGGCGCCCGCCCGCTCGGCTCAGCCCTGCAGGGACCTCCCTCAGTTGGCGTGGAGGGAGCCATCAACCAACTCCGCTTCAGGGTCCCCCATACACCAGTGACATAGCAACGCGACACTGACGCCATCCATACCACCTCTGCTCCCCCCTCTACAGCACCGGTATCAACATCAACCATGTAGAGTTCGAGGGCCGAGCCTCTTGGGGTAAGACCATGCCCGCCGGCTCCACCGACAGGGACGGCAACGGACACGGCACTCACTGCACCGGAACCGTCATCTCCAACAAGTACGGTGTGGCCAAGAAGGCTGAGGCCGTCGCCGTCAAGGTCCTGTCCGACTCTGGCTCCGGCTCCATGTCCGATGTCACCGGCGGTGTCCTGTGGGCCGTCGCCGACGCCAAGAAGCGCTCCGCTGAGTTCGCCCTCGCTCCCTCTAGCACAAAGGCAAAGAAGCACAAGGGATTCGTAGCCAACATGTCCCTCGGTGGTGGAAAGTCGCCTACCCTTGACCGTGCCGTTGACGGTGCTACCAAGTCTGGACTTGCCTTTGCCGTCGCTGCCGGAAACGAGAACCAAGACGCTTGCAACACCTCGCCCGCCTCTGCCCCTGGCCCCGTCACCGTCGGAGCTTCGACCATCCAGGATGACCGTGCCTACTTCTCCAACAAGGGCAAGTGCGTCGACGTCTTTGGCCCCGGACTGAACATCCTCTCCACCTGGAACACTGGCAACACCAGCACCAACACCATCTCCGGTACCTCGATGGCCTCTCCTCACGTGTGCGGTATCCTGGCCTACTACCTCAGCTTGACCGACACCTCGTCGTCATCTGCGAGCAGCCTCTCCTTCATGACTTCCAAGGTCTCTCCTCTCCTCGCTTCGCTGCCTCTGCCCGACTCGATGGCCCTGATGGCCTTCAAGGCTACCCAGTGGCTCTTTGGCGCCGAGGAGGGTGCCGACACCTTTGCCAAGTTCGCAGACGGACCCATCCTGAACGCCCTCTCCCCCGATGACCTCAAGATCCTCATTGAGAAGGTGGCCACAAAGGGCGCTCTCCACTCGCTTGACAAGGACACGGTCAACTTGCTCGTATTCAACAATGCAACCGAGTCGACCAAGTAGAGTGAATAGAATGAGATGGGCATTAATGGGGCAGAAAGGAGGGGGAGCGCAGCTCACTTCGTTGTTTGAGCGCCTCCGGAGATAGGGTGTCATCTTGCTTCTTCTCACTCTAGATTCTTTGCTTGAGCCCTCTATTCCCTTCCTCTCCCTCTCGTCTCCTCTACTCACTCACTCACTCGCTCACTCACTCAGCACATTGTCCCACCACAAGCCACCCGACTCCAACTTGTATCCTCAATCTTGTTCCCTCCATCTCTCCCTCTCTAGCTCTGTCCGACCCGATCATCAATTGTTGTGCAGCTCGAATCTCAAAGAGATTAGCCCAAGTTCAAGTCGAAGATCAAGATCAAGATCAAGATTAAGATCAGATCAGAAGAAAGTGAAATCAATAGTATAGGTACTTCATGGAACCTTGGCTTGCCTTGCCTGCCTGCCTGCCTGTCTGTCTGTCTGTCTGTCTGTCTATCCCCTACCTATCTATTTGGGTCAAAATAGAAGGAAAGGAAGTGTCGTCTGTCTGTCCGTCCACATTCCATCGCATTGGATTGGCATGTCTCCGTCTCTGTCTCGCTCTTCGGGTTCGGTCTTCGGTCTTCGGCTTCGGTCTTCGGTCTTCGGCTATGGCATCGGGCTATGGGTATGGCCCTGGCTATGAATAAGTAGTAGTACATTTCTAACAAAGAGGACAAAAAAGAAGGTGGTACAGAGGCGGTAGAAAAAGAGAGGCGGAGGAAGGGAGAGAGAAGGGTATCGCGAGTTTCAAAGCACGGCGTTGTGCCAGGGAGGGGAAAGGGAAAGGGGAAAGGGGAGGGAAGAAAAGGTACGTCTATCTAGAAGGAGGAGGAAGAGTCGAAGCCATCGCGCCATGGAGCGTACAGCTGGACAGTGGAAGCGAGAAGTGTGTGGAGAGGGTGAGAGGACTGGTGACAATTGACAATTGAGAGTGACTGGTGACGGGAGAGTAGTGAGAAGTGAGAAAGTAACAAGGAGAGACCGACGACAAGAATGAGAGCAAGAAAAAAGGTGACCATCGAGCCTCTCAGAGGTATAATACCAGCAGATCACCCCAACTACGTAGGTTCTAATCCAGGGAGATCCTCCTCTGCAAAGCCGGCGCAGCACCCTGACCCGCCCCCGCCTGCGCACCGGCAGTAGGCATCGGCACAGGCGGAAGGGGTCCCCTGCCTGTCCCGCTCGTGCGTCTACCGGACGCAGTAGTGTGAGTGTTCCCTGTCGTGTTAGAGAGGAAGCTGGGAGCGTAGCCAGATTGCGCACGGGCACCGTGTCGACCGGTAATGGCTTCATCCTCCTGATTCGAGTAGGGGAGAGCGCGCGACGGTCGTGCACTTGTGGGACTGGATGTGGAGGAGTATCCCGTCCCTGGTGTCGTGGTGCTCATGCTTGGGTGGTGGGGTGAGTCGAGCGTAGAGGAGGCTGGGTAGTAGGGGTGGTCTTGGTGTTGCTGTAAGGGTGGCTCGTAGCTCGAATAGCTCGCCCCACCTGTCGCTGCCGCTGGCGCCACTGTCGCTGTAGCTCCTTGTTCTTGACCTTGCCCGCGACCTGCACGACCAAGAGAGCTACGACTCTCAGCAGCTTCATCATCCTCTTCGTCCTCCTCTCCCACCCCAGCTAATCTTCCATCGCCACTTCCACTGACTTCCTCTCCCTCCTTTTCCCCCGCTTCAATCTCAACAGGCTGAGCCTCATCCTGTCTCCTCCTTGCCGCTCTCCTGTTGAACGTTCCCAGTAGACCGCCCATTGTCTCGTGAGCTTCCTTGAGGCCTTTGCCGAAGTTGAGGGTACAGACGATGGCTAGGGCGAGGGTTGTGAGGAGGGAGAGGATGGAGAGGACGGAAAAGAAGGTGAGACCTGCGGGTGGAGAAAGGATGTGAGCTGCTTGCTCAATAGAGTCTGAAAAGCTCAAATGGTGCTTCTCTGCTCATACTTACTGAGTCGAACAGTTCTGTACTGCTGCTCCGTTTCGGGCTCAAAGATTCTCGTGATCTTGAATATGAAGTAGGCGATCCCAGCAAGCATGCACAGCACACAAAAGGACATCAAGCTCCTCAGCTCCTTTTGCACCGCAATTGCACTCAGGAACAATACTACAATCGCTGCAGGTATAGCAGCGATGGTAAGTGCAAACTCTACATCGTGTCGCTTGGAGACGAGGATGAGATAGGCTATGCAGAATGCCAAGCCGAAGAACCCAGTGTACTTGAGGAAGCAGACGAAGATCTGGTACACGAGCATCATGCGTCTTTTGCGTAGGTCCGCACCGATCTTGCGATAGATTTCCCAACCAAAGTCTTGAGAGAGCTTCAGGGTAAAGTACGTGAGGGGGCCCTGAGCCACGCCCACTACCACGGGGACAGCGATGAGGAGGGGCTCTATATCGGGGTAGAGGGTCCGTACAGCATTGCAGCGTCGACTGCGTCTATTCACGCAGGGTACTCCCAACCCTGCCTCATCCTGATTCACAAACGCATCTCTCACTTGAGAAATCTGCAGAGCTGCAGTGATGAGCAGTGCGAGATTGAGGATCAGACAGCCGTAAATTTGAATAGTGTTGTGTAGCCTAAAGGCGTCCAGCGCCATTACGATGAAGAAGAGGAAGCCAAAGACGAGGAGCGCAAGAAAGACGGGCACCGTCTTTGCATCTTGCGAGAGCGTCTCTGTCCGTACCTCTACGATGCCAAATACAGCCGCCACTAGACCGATGACCGTAAGTGATTCGAGGACGACTACGAGCAGAAACCACGCCGAGCTCCTGGAAGGGATCAGACCGGTCCCCAGCTGACGAGGGGTGCTCAGGGGGAGTGCCAATCCACGAGAGACGTTGCTAGTTGTCCCGCCACTCCTGCTCGCACGATCGCCATTGGAGCGGGTCTTGGTCGTGGTGGGTGCTCCCTCTGTATAGCGCGAAGACTGGCGACTTGTGTGAGTCTGGGCGGTACGCTGTGTGCCATCCCTAGCAAGCCGTGAGGTACCATCGGGAGCATAGGAAGACGGAGGAGGTTGAGAAGCGGATGTGTAGGGCGAAGACGACGTGGATGAGGAGGAAGGCCCGTGATTGTAGCTTTGGTTTTGGCTGTGGTTGTGAGAGGTTCCGCCTTGGTAGCTGGCGTAGGATCCACCGGCATAGGCATGGTCGTTGTGCGTATACGAAGAGGACATGACGTCTGGCGTCAGCAGCAGCTGAAAATGGAAAGGAGGACGCCCTCCGTCTGATGCGTGGAGAACAGATCGAGTATCGCAGCGTAAAGGAATGTGAAGGAGTCTACGGTAGGGCGGGCGGTGAGGTGCGGCTAAAAGTAGACTGGCAGGATTTAGACTCGTCGTGGGCGCAGCGGGGAGACGCGGGGGCTTGCAGGAGCAGACAGGCGGGGTGGAGGGCGGGGTGCAGGACCGAGGCAGCACCACCCAACTCATCCATCTGGCCAAGGCAGCGGTACAGATAGAGAACCACAGGGGCCTGCAGGCAGATCACTCGTGACACTCATCTCATTGGTGGTGGAGCGCAATCATACCAGCAACAGAGGAATCATGGCGCGTGTCGGACCCCACTGGGACCCCCACACCTCGCCGTCCTGCGCGTCAATGTGGTCCACCAAAGACCGATACAGCTCAATGTCGACGTTTCTCTTGAAGATGGCAAAGGAATGCGTCGGCGGATGGATCTCCATGGCCTTTGGAAAACATGCGACGCACTGAGCAGCAAGGGTGAAGGTGGCAAAATGTTCAGATCAATATACCGATGGCGGAGTGATCCCTACAGACGTGACCTCTGGCGTACTCACAACATCAAAGCTGGACACGCAATTGGCGCACCTAGTCCAGCAACCCTTGATCTGCTCAAAGCAGACATCGCACAGCACATTCGGATGAAGCAGAGATCGCACATACTCCTCTTCGTGCTGCAAATACGCCGGAGAAAAGGCCTGCTGCTCTTCTTCTTGTGGCGTGCCGGGAAAAGCCCCAGGGATTTGCCCACTTCCAGTTGTGGTCAGATTGCCTGCTGCTTCGCCCCTCTCCTGCAAGCTCAGTCTTGTCAGCTCGATGTCGTCTATCGGCAATGGACACATCCAGCGCGAGAGCCGAAAAGCTGGACTTGGCGTTGGAACCGGTAAAGTACCATTATCAGCGATGAAGGTAGAAGCAGACTGTGCAGCATTGCCCACGGGAGGGAAGGCACTCGGTGCGGAAGGTTCAGCTGGTAGTGTGTCAGACCCACTCATGGCCGGCGCACCCGCTTGGATCCGTAGTCTGGCCTCTTCCCAGCCACCGTCATCCGAATAGAGTGGAGGCAGCAATCCTTTACGCTGATCAATGGTCAGGTACGGATTGAGTCGTAGAGGTGTTATGCCCGCATTGCCACTTCGCGCCACTTGTTCAGGCGATGGAATATGGAGGAAGAAGTGATCGGGATTGTGAATGCTAAGACTGTGCTTTTCGCATTCCGAGCACAAATTGAACCCTTCGTGAGGCGTCCAAATGGCCGGCAGATCTCGAGTGTGTGCTTCCTGGCCTGCTATGGACCTGCCTTCTTTGGATGCGGCAGAGGGCGTCGTTGTACCAGAGGAAGCAGTACTGCCGTGGGAGGCAAGGTCGAGCGGACAGTTGGCACAGAGGTAGCGAGCGCCTTGGCCGATCAGCTCGCAACAGAAGGAGCACTGTACGTCATGGCTGTCCGAACTTGACTGTGACAATGTCACGGTGTTTCTGGCGCCTTCTGATGACGAGCTTCCGACTTCACCCACAGCGTCACTTGTCGTTGAAAGTCTCGATGATGCTGTAAGCTTCGCCGCCGCCTTGAAAAGCGCCTCAGCTAATCCATTTGCACCTAGCCCAGATGGACCCTCTTGCGCCAGTGGCTCGAGCAACCGCAAGACCATATGTATCCCAAGATGAGGGGCGTACTGGATCGACTCGCCAGCGTCCTCGCAGTCCCCACACTAAAGGAGCAGCTGGACCATGTCAGCAGCAAGTACAGAAAGCGTCATCTGTGCTCTAAATACTCACGAAACTCGGACAGCCTTCGCATTGTAGGCAGACGTAGCGGACCCCACGTATCGGCTGTACCTCGCAGACCTCGCAGCCCACCCCAACATGTGATGGGATCATCGAAGCCGCATCCTTGTACCGCACGCTCTCTGCCGTACTGCTGTGTCCGCCTTGACTCTGACTATACGCATACTCGGTCCTCGCATCGTCCTCTGCATCCTCGTCGGCAATATCTGGCTGATAGGGAGCCATTCTTCTGCGTCCGTCCAGGGGCGCCCGACCAGAGGAGCGGCTGCTAGCGGACTGACTCAATTGGGCCGAATCCCTGCTGCTCCTTTCAACTCTTTCCCATACCTCCGAAGAAGCCCGTCCAGTGTCATCTTCATAGCCCCAGTCCTCCGTCTGGCCAGAGCTACTGCCCTGCGAGGAGGAAGCTCCATCCGACGAGGCGAGGTCTGAAAGGGAGATCCGAGAAGGGATTTGAACCTGAACGAGCATCTCGATGGGTGGGTCTACCGATGGTGTGGATGAGTGAGATCCGGAGGAGCTCCGTTCACGCAGGCTCTCGGAGGGTCTGAAGTACTCCAAGGCATCTTGCAGTGACTCATCGTCATTGATGTGGTACTGATTGGACAGAGCGGAAAGCGAATGCCTGTTCAGATCACGCCTGTATGCATTCCTGTATAGATCGTGCGAGCAATGGTCTCACTCTGATGTTATCATCGTCCAACCATTCAATCTCGAATGCTTCTCCTCTTACCAGAGCTAGCCTCCTTTGCAATTGAGTCCTGAGCTCCTCGCACGTCAAAGCTGCTGCCGAGGGGATGAGGGGCAGCCGCGTGATCCGCTGCCGATGCCTGGCGCTGATCAGGAGCGGATCTTGGAAGAGGGAATGGTTGGTCATGATGACGTGGAGGAGCACATGGAGTCAATGATGCTGCTCACGTCTCGCAGTCAGTAGCAGCATTCAAAGGGAACGACCAGGCCCAGACCGACCATCTTGTCGCTGCTAGACTAAGGTGAGTCTCGCTCAGTCCGCTCAGTCCGCGCTTCTGCACGGTCCACACAAGGAAAAGGACGAGGAGTACAATGATGCTGAGGGAGCTTGGGTAGCATTGAGGAGCACGAAACAAGTACAACAATGTGCAGGGAGGAATGTGAATGGCAGGAAGGTATCGAGATTGGTATGTATGAAGTTGTAGAGTTTGTCACTGAGAGAGTAGGAGAAACGCAGCGAGTGTCAGTCGCACTGAGTCCATTCTGTGTGTTCCGCTCTCTGCTCCCGTTCCGTCTTTGCTCTCAGGGTAACATTTTCAGCACAGTCGGTCATCAGACATCTCTGGCGTGAGCGTCCTTAACGATGACCGACCAATCAGGCGCAAATTACGTACAAACATCATCGAGAAGACGCTGCAAAGTGCCAGCACGACTACTCACCTGTGTGTGTTGGTAATTCTCCTAGCCTTGCAAGATCCGCAGAGCCAATTCTTCATCTGCCGCCAAACTGTTGCTTGGCTCAGAGACGCCCTTTGCGCTCCTGCGTTCAATCTTGGACTTCTTGGGAGGGCGCTGCTGCTGCTGTCCTGACTGCTTGCGCCCCTTGCCGGTCGCTTGCTCCGCTTCGGGCGGACCGTCATCGTCATCATCACTGTCTCCCTCTTCGCTCTCACTGTCCAGCTCGAAGTCAGGGGTGACATAGCCGTCTTCCCTGTCGTCGATAGGAGCCAGGACCATTGCACCTCCTTCGCTTGCATCTTCGTCATCGCTTCCATCCTGGCCTCTACCCCTCTCCTTCTCACGCCGCTTCTTTTCCCGCCGCTTCTCCTTGACCCTCTCCTTGTCCTCGACGTCTTGCTGCTTGAGCTTCTCTCCCTCCTCTTCGACGAAGCGCTTAGCCTGGTCGGCAGCCGAGCCTCCTTGCTGGAAGGCCATCTCGTCTTGGAGTTCGTACAGTTCGTGTGGTACGCCTTCATCGTCGAAGGTCAACTTAGTTCCTGCTCCACGCTTGCCTGCTGAGGCCATCGCCTTCTTGGACTGACCTTGCAGCAGCTTACGCTTCGACAGCTGATAGCTCGCCTCCTCTGAGTGCTGGGTGTCGAGACTATCTTTCCTCTCCGCGACTGGCGAGGTTGAAGTCCTTATTGCCTCGTCGTCGCTGCCATCCAGCGCGTGGTTCTGCCTCTTGAGAGTAAGGAAGTCGCCGTCGTCGGCACCAGAATCATCGTCATCGTTTCCGGGCCATGACGTCGGAGCGCCAGCACCAGCCTCGTCGAAGGTTGTAGGCTTCTCACTGTCATCATCATCGTCGCTATCGCTGTCCGGTGACTCTTGCCTCTCGTCGGATACGAGCTTGGCGTAATGCTCGGACAGGACTCCTTGATTTTGTCTGGCAAACATGCGATCATACTTCGTTTTGACTTTGCCATCTAGTGTCTGATCTACAGACTCTTCCGTGGGTACTACTTTGGCCTCACTTGCAGCCTGCTTCTCCAGTGCCCTCGCCTTCGCATCAGCCTTCTTACGTGCAGCGCTAGCTTCCTTGACGAATTTGACCTTTGGAGCGCCTGGTAGACCTAGACTTGCAGCGTACTTCTCGAGAGGCAAGGCTAGGACGTCGAACACTTCCTTGTCCTTCTGAAGGTAGATTGAGCGGACGTAAGACACAAACGTCTTTTGTGCTAGATACTTCAGCTCGGGGCTCTGGAAGAGGAAGGACTGCAACTGATTCTGAATCGACTGTGTCTTGCTCTCCCTGGGTTTGATGACGCCAGCGTTGATATGTTTTGCCGCGAGACGAGACACCATGGCTTTCTCTTCGCTGGGTAGCAGGAAGAGGAGCGAGTTCCCCTTGGCCTGGTAACGTGCTGTTCTACCTACCCGATGGACATACGTGTCAACGTCTTCGGGCGAGTCGATCTGCAAGACCCAATCTACGGCAGGGAAGTCCAGACCACGAGCGGCAATATCAGTGGCAAAGAGAGCAGCGTGAGAGGTCCTGGTAAAATCGGTGAAGATTTGCAGACGCTTTGCTTGCTTCTGCTTGCCATGCAACGCCATCAGAGACATACCCGGTCGCAGCTTGCAGAATGTCTCGTGAGCGAACTGGACCTGACGGCAGGAAGAGAAGAAGACAAGAAGCTTCGACTTCGTATGCGATCGCAGGAAGGAGAATAGCATGTTCAGCTTATCCTCAAGCGGGACGACCATGTAGTGCTGGTCAAGGTTCTTCGGAGTGAGGCTACTACCCTCGCCCGTTTCCTTTCCTTCACCAACAAATTCTCTGACTGCCACATATTCGGGCTCTTTGAGGCTGAGTCTTGCCAGATCCTTAACTCGTTTCGTCTGGGTGGCTGAGAACAACAGCGTCTGCCGATCCTTGGGGAGGTTTTCGACAATGGCATTGAGTGTATTGGAGAAGCCCATATCCAGAATGCGGTCAGCTTCGTCGAGGACCAGCACCTGCAGAGTCGAGCAATCAAAACCGATGGTCTGATCCATATGCTGCAGAAGTCGTCCGGGAGTAGCAACAAGAATGTTCATCCTCGCCAATCGATCCTTCTCTTGCTTGAGATCCTTGCCTCCAATGACGAGACCGGCAGAGTACGTATGCGCAGAACCCATCCTGCGTAGCACTTCGAAGATTTGAATGGCAAGCTCTCTGGTCGGAGAAATGATCAGAGCACCCAGACCGTCATTAGGACCCCACTTGGCCCTGAACAGCCTTTCAAGAACAGGGATCAAGAAGGCGAGCGTCTTGCCCGAGCCTGTACGAGCTGCCCCTAGCAGGTCACGCGACCGAAGAGACAGTGGAAGTGATCTAGACTGAATGTCTGTCATCTGAGAGTATCCAGCCTTTTTCAGACCTGATAGTGAGAGGACAAACAATGATCGTCAGATTTCTGTGATGCTCACTGCCTCCTCACACCCAGTCGATGCCCTTCTCACCTTGCAATGTCTTTCGACTGAGAGGCAGATGATCGAAGCGACTGTAGTCCTTGGGCGGTGTGAATGATGCAACGCCGCTTTCAAGATCGTCAATCTCTGCTTGCTCAGTGTCTCGCTTGAGCTTACGGCTGTCCCTCGAGCGCGACTTGGCCACCGCCGGCTTCTTGGAAGAGGAAGGAGTTGACGCACCTCTATCGCCGTCGCCATCTTGCTGCCGTTTCCTCTTGACAGCTGCAGGCGCCATGGTATCAGAATTGCCAACAACGACGAGGCAGGCAGGCGCTGAGGGTGAACAGGCGAGGTGAAACAATGGGAAGGTGTGATGCCCAGCCAATAAATTTTTGGCCGGGCGGGCTCCTGCGCAAATGCCCGGTCCGTCGCGCCGACGGAAAGGGAGACCTCCGTTCCGAATCTTCCTAGTCCTACATGCTCTTCCAAGCCTCGATGCACATTCAGGAAGGCTCGCTCTCACCTAGCCTTACAGATTCTACCGTCACCATCACCTCTAGTGTCCCTTGATAGGCTTATTTGCTATTTGTCCGAGCTCTTTCGAATGCTGCGCCGGATGATATTGGCTAATCACAAGCTTCTATGCCGGTGACTTGGTGCGAGGCTGTCCTCGGTCCACTGAAAGATGAAGCTGGACGACGCTATTCGCTGTCTTCAGCATGAGAAGCCTTCAGAAAGAGCAGCGGGGCTGGAGATGTATCGACAAATCTTCAGCAAAGAATACTCTCTGACCTCGCTGACAGGGGACGATTCGACATGGACGCAAGTCTTTCAGGCACTGTTTCAGTGCGTTCTGACAGAGCTGACAGCTTGCAGCCGGAAGGGACACTACCGCGACGCTACCGCTGTCCAGCTGAGCAAGCTCACAGCAGCCTCTCGGACTGTCCGTTGGCTCACCGAGAGAGCCTGCCCTCACTTTCAGCGCAAGACTGCCAAAGCTCTCACTACGCATCTTGGCCAGACAGTCGCCCGCAATGGTGAACTCATCACTCCAATCGCACTTGATTATCTCAAGGCATTGAGGGCTATCCTGGCCTACCCCCCACATCGTAATAGTGTCGATCAAGAACAGTGGGCCAAGCTTGCCACACTGTGTTTCAATGTCGTCTTGTCTCGCAATACCAAGGAGGCACTGCCTCACGTCAATGCTGACGCTTGGCAAAGATCCCAGGCCTCGTCAGATGCTGATGGCAGCTCTCGGTCTCTTGGTTTAGAAGACATCGAGGAGATGGGCTGCCTTGAAGAGTTACTCAGTTCCTCTCTGACTCCTTTGCACACAGAAGAGAATCTTGGACCTCGTCTACTCGTCCAGTATGCCCTCTTCTTCGCTAAGTTCCCCGCCGAATCGACTGCTCACTTTCCAGCAGTGGCTGGCCTCAACAAGCTTCTCAGAGAGATCGAGCTCGATCACAGGAGACTCATCGACATCTTCATTGCGAAGACTTGGAGGACGCTGTCGAACCTTTGGGAGTCCAAGAACAAGGCCTTCAAGGAACAACTCATTGTTACTTTCCGGATCCTCCTTCCGCACCTCACTGCCAAAGTCCCGACGCCTCTCCCTGCCTCCGCGCCTTCGTCTGCCAAAGAGCCAGATATCCCTACTGTCACGACGCTGCTGGTCTTGTTGCAACGTCAATTGAATGGTGACGCTGACAATCGTTTCAGCGTGGGACCTCTGCCACTCCTGGCAGTCCAGCTCTCAGATGCCTCGTCTTGTCTATCGTCACAGCCTCTACGATATCCGTCCTTTTCCGCCGGGACTGACTTCACGGCGACCAGTGCAATATCTTGGGCCACATTGGAACTGGCTTCGGATGTCGTCGCACATATGAGCGGTGATCGATATGGTCCCCCTCTGTCACACAGCTCAGTGGCTCTTGACTCGGTCGAGAGCCCAGGCGAGCAGACGGAGCCGGAGGATCTGACTCATCGAAGCACTCGTAAGCGGACAGCCTCAAACAGGCTCCGAAGGGCGCCAGACCCCACAGCGGGTTCCTCTCCGCAGGTAACCAGACCGTACACATCGTCGCCTACGACACACAAGCGTCGAAGAGTTGAAACATCCGCCCAAATCGATGCCTTGGAAACGTTGCTCAGCGCTCTCAGCGTACCCACAGACGGAGCGTACGCCAAAGCGCAAGGGAAGAGGGTTTGGAGCCTTCAAGTTCTGCTCTTCCTTGTGGTCAGGCACTGGTCACAGCTTTCGCTGGAGCAACAAGACAGGGTCTTTCGCAGCACACAAGGCATGCTTGTCGATTTGGACGATGAGCTCCAATGCTGGAGCTTGATTTGTCTCGGCAGCATAGCTGTCGAAAGCTCCCTCGACGAGAGGTGGAGGGAAGGCTGGTCTCATGCGTGGTCTCTCTGCTGTCGACGTATCAACGCCCCTGCTACTTCCCGGGAAGCAGCGATGGCAGCGACGGCCCTTTTGCATAGTGGCCGGCTCGGCAAAGAGCAATACCTTACAGAGCTCAATAGTTTCTTCACCGATCTCGATCTGTCGTCCCCACCATTTCCCCATGGATCCGTGGCAAACTTTTTTACCATAGCACTCAAAACTTGCAGCAGTGATGTGGGTCTGGTGAAAAAGAACTTCGAAGAAAAGGTTGCTTGGTGGCTTACATCAACATGGTCACCGACTCATGGGGTCTCTAAAGGTCCTCAATCCCGGCTCAAGCTACCAGAGCAGAGCCCTGCTTGTACGCTCAGGTTGATCGCTCAGATCTGTCGCCTCGATGAGGACCTCATAGACATTTCTGACCGTATCACAAGCCTCCCAGGCTGTGCCGCAATGGATCAGATCATCTACGAAATGGAGACAGCCAGCATTCGGGCATTCGTCTTAGACGCGGTGCTCTCTGGTCAGAGTAGACCAGCGCAAGCAGTGCAAGACGCCCGGCGTTCCATAGTCGCGTCCAAGGCTCTCACTCCTGCAGAACGCATGCATCACGAAGGCGACGGCGACTTTGATGAGCCTAATCAGCACCAGAGAGGCGCAAATCCTCTTGAAAAGCGACTGTACAATTTCCTAGACAAAGAATTGTCTGACCTGTCGCGGGAGTGGGCTCGGCCCTCCGCCGACGCAGGTGCCGAAGTATCTGCATTTGCAGATACTGCAAGCGTGGGCCAGACTCGGAAGACGATCGAGCTTGTCACAGTCTCTTTGCTATTTGATGCTGCACTTGCCGCCAGTCACGTCAGACTGGACAATCGGTTGGCTTTGACTGCCCATAGACTCCTACTACAAGTCTTACGAACTCTTGCTGAGCCCAATCGTTGGGCTTTGGCAGAGTGCACCAGCTTGGCAGCCGCTTTGCAGCCTATCGTACAAGGAGGACCACCGCTAACGTCTCTGGGCACTTCAAGACTCCTACAGGGCATCGTCGAGCCTGGACGGCGTTCCGGCGTGCGACGACAAACCCTGGACGTAGGTCGTCCGACGGAAAGGAGAGACTCGGTCCCAGAAGCGCGACGTCTGCCATTTATGCAGATCCTCTGGAAGACTGTCCCGTTAGATCTGCGTGACGCAACGCTCGCACAGATGCGCGCCTGTCTACAACTTCTGTGTGGAAGCGATGAAGGGGCAAATCAGCGAAGCGATGCTCCGGATGATGACGACGATTGGGGTCGTATCAAACAAGCAAAGGTAGACAGCGAGACGATGATCAAGCCTGCAGATGACTATGGCGCTGATCGCTTCGCATTGGCCACTTCAGCAAATCTCTGCCTCACCGCCCTCATCAACGTCCCGCGTGCAGTGACGGGACAGCCCACGCCTTTCTCGGGGGAGTTAGAGAAGTTGATCCTGGAAGAGTCAACGGTCGCAATAGATAGGGCCGGGCAAGACATCTTCGATGCGTTGGCACTAGGAAGTGTTAGTCTCACCTATCGCTCTGCAGCTGCCATCATGATGCGGCTAGGTGTAGACTATCTTCCAGATCATCGCTTCAGGCACAGCGAACACGCGCAACTCATTGTCCTGCATTTCCTAGAGGCGACGCTGAAGCTCTGGGGGGACCCGGACAAGGCAGACACCGACCTGGCAGCAAGGAGCGAAGAGTTCTGCGTACACTTCGCCCAATCTCTTCGGCGGGAAAAGGGTCTACCATGGCGGGTCAGAGTGCAAGCCGTACACTTCTTCGAGGTTTTGATGATGTCGAAGGTCGAACGCGACGGCTGGGATGATGGCGGTGGTGCTCTTGGCGCATCGGCAATCGCTGCTTTGATATGCGGCATGGCTAGGGACGGGGACATACGGGTCCGTTTTGCTGTCGCGCCAATGGTCGCCAGACTGTTCGAAAGCTGCCCCCTAGGGGAAGAAGAAGGGCTTCTTGCCCTCGCTACTGAGCAAATGAGCGCCGAGGCGGATCACCTGGAAGGCATGCTGGCTCGTAGCTTGACTTCTGCCAACATCATGATTGCTAGCTCGCCACTTCGGGCTACCGCCCTCTTCTTCCTGTTAGAGCCGTGCTTGCTCAACAAGCTCACCAACACCCATGCACAAGAATTGCTACGTGTCGTTGCCACCTCGCTTGGCTTCCCCTCTACCTCAGATCTGTTCATCGTCTTTGCTGCTCAGCTCACCTTCGGTTTAGTGGAAAGTGGCTATGACCCAACCCGCCTGCCGGCAAAAGTCCTAGGATACCAGTCGCCCAGGCAATGTCTCGAGCATACATTCGTGCCCATCGGTTCGATGATGGCAGCCATGGCAATCGAGCGCAAGGATGTCTCAAATCAATTTGCCGGACTTGCGCGATCCATAAGGAAGACGGAGGCGCAAGGCGTGGCAGAGTGCTTACCCTTTGTGCTAGCGACCGAATTCGTGTTCGCCGTCAAGGACCTACAGCGTGATGCAGCTGCTGAGTTGTCAGTGCAAGTTCCTGATATCATCTCGAGCATACGCAAGCGATTGGTGAGTGGCGGCAAAGCTCTGATCTCAGCAAAAGCCATAGACGTAGCAATACTCGAAAAGCCCGACCAGATCATGCTCTCTCTGCTGCTACGACTTTGGGAGAAGGATATTACTCCCGAATCCACTTTTCTTCGACAGATTGGAACCTCGGATGGCGACACAGCCACTGCCTACAGATCTTTGTCGCTCGGTGTCCCAGGCTCCGTGCTTGATGTTTCACCTCACGAACCCATCAGGCCTCACGCATCAGGGCTCGAGATATACCGATCTATAAGGGCTTTGATGAGCTCAATCAAAGATAGCATCGCAATGCCTTGTGTCTACCACGTCGTTCAACAGATGCTCAGTATCATCTGGAAGGAACGCCTGGTCAATGATCAGCTGCGACATCTGAGTGCTCTGAAGCTCTTTGTTGCAATGCACTCGGCAGCCATTGCCCAGAATGACGTAATTCTACGTACACTCCTCCACGGCGTCTCCGTGCTTATGGCTCAGGTAGATCTCTTGCACTCAGCTTCAGGTGTAGCTCATTGGTGCCTCGAGCAGTACATGACTCGCACCCAGAACGGGTTATTTCTCACGACAAGCCTCACTCGTATAGCAGAGCAAGCCGAAAATTGGTCAAGAAGTAGAAGCTTCGACCTGGTTGCTTTCGGAGAAAAAATATTCGAGTGGATGGAAGATCACCTCATCGACCTGCTCAGTTCACCGGCTACGCAAAAAAGCGCCTTCGACGCAGCGATCGCCTTCCCGCGACAACTCTCCGGGAAGCTTACCAGTGCGTTGACTTCCTCGGCAGATGCTGTGTCCGATAGTACGGGAAACGTCCTCAATCTTGACAGCATCTCAGCAGCTTTGGAACGCAATGAAAAAGCGCTGCTGAATAGGCATACACTCAGTCGCATTCGCGAAGCGCTGCTTGCTGCAACGAGCACTGAGGGGATCCACAAGTTCGCACGAGCGACTATCTGGCATCTGTTCTCAAGGCTACCGAGTCGCTCCGTTCAGTCTGCTGATACTGCTGTTGCCAATGTCTTGGCTGACATCTTGTTCTCCTTGGAAGGTAAGGTCAAAGTACCGACTACCGGTGAAGGGCAAGCTAACGGCGACGAGCGTCATTTGCAAATGCTGGAGGGCCTTCTGCGGGGGGCGGAGACAGTGTTTGGACCCGTCAAGGCCTACATTGCTTTACAACTCCTGGAGATACATCGAGGCGAAGATCTTGGATTAGCAGAGTCAACGTTTTCCTGCTTGCGAGCAGTCATGACGCTCGATCCTACTTTCACCTTGACCACGAGCCAGTGGCCGCCATCTAGCGTCGAGGAGCTGGAGCTCCTTTCGGCCTTCCCATCGAGGCCAAAGGACCCATGTCAAGACAAGGCCTCGACGAAAGATTTTCTGGGGGAGCCCCGCCCGGCCACCGTCTTTGACGATTGGATATGCCAGCTTGCTTCATACCTGTGCAAAAGACTCGCAGAGACGGAGCCGAACTCATTTTATAGTGAAGTGCAGCCCTTGATGCTGTCTGTGACTACTCTTGCCACGCGGAGCTGCCCCGCTTTGCTGCAGTCTCTCTTGGCTCTGGACTATGACCGACAGGACAGCACGGTGGAGAGCTTCAGATCTGAGATTTCCCAATACTTTACAAAGGTGCTCAGCAACTCGCAAGCAGATCCCGCAGCCTGGTCGGCAGTGATCACAGCCGTGCTCTACATGAGGAAGCAGCGTACATCGGACGTGTTGGATGATCCCTTGTCAGCCGACAAATGGTTCGACATCGACTTTCTCCTTCTGGCTAGCAGATCAATCGGAGCAAAGATGTTCACAACTGCTCTGCTCTTTGTTGAGCTTGCGATGGAACATCAGCGGGACGCTTTTGAATGTCAACAGAAGACCGTCTCTGAGCTCTTGTACCAAATATACAGTAACGTAGAGGATCCGGACAGCTTCTACGGGGTGAAAAACCCTGACTTAAGGCTGGCGCTGATCAAGCGTCTTCATCACGAGGGTGAATGGCAAAGAGCTTTCGAAATGTATGCAGCCGACCATGAAAGTGTCCCACTAGTCAGTGGGTCGACCTTCGACACAGGACGATACGATGCTTCCAGAAGTGGCGTAGCTTTGGCACTGCATGAGATGGGTTACAATCGCTTAGCAGCTAGCATGTCCACTGTCTCATCAGATGCTCACGGTATCGACTTCGAAATTGGATGGAGGACAGACGACTGGAATCTTCCCCTCGCTTCACATCCACCCCCTGGACGCAGCGCCGGAGTCTTCGCTGCTCTCCGAGCTCTCCATCGCGAGCGGGACCCAATGACCATCGAAGGCATCGTCGAGGATGGATTCGGCAACGAGCTTCGTGGGCTATCCGGTGCCAAGGTAGAAGCGGTTGTTGAAGTTCGTCGCATCATCCGAGACCTGCTGAGTTTGAGGGAGGTCAAGCAATGGAGGTCGATCATTGTCGAGTCTCAAGGCCTAGATGGTGCTCTCGTCAAGGTACAAGATTGGCCTGCTCTACCCGAAGGCTTTGCATTCGCAGACTGCGAGCGTATCTTGACCGTTCGCCAGTCGCTACTTCGGGCGGAGCGAAACGTAGCGCAAGCTGATCAAATCGGTGATCTGATTGACACCTCCGTGCAGAGCGCCTTGCAACTCGAGGGCACTCTACTTCTGCGGCTTAGCAAAGCAGCAAGAAAGCGGGACAGATTTCAGACAGCAATGAATGCAGTGACGATGGCCGACAAGCTCAACACACAATTGGCAGAGTCTGCGCAATTGTCGGGATTGTATCCGGAGTTTGCGAGTGTTTTGTGGTCACAAGGAGAGCATGCTATCGCTATGCAAGCACTCCAGGACTGTCTTACAGCCATGCCGACCAAGCCCAAGGACCCTCAAGAACGAGCCCGGAGGGCAATTCTGATGGCTCAGCTAGGACAGTGGCGAGCCATTGCGCGATCTCAGCAGCCACGAGTTATCGATGAGGAGTTCTTTCGTCCAGCAATCGCTCTCATCGAAAAGCAGAAAAAGGACTGCACTGCAGTCTACCATCAGTACGCACTATTCGCTGATGATCAATACCGTGCGCTGCGCAATTCGTCGGAGACGCGCCAGCTGGAGGCTTTTGTCAGCCATCGGAGGGAAGAGATCCGTCAGCACGAGCTGCAGATGAACAAATACTCGCCTAATACTCCAGAGCACAATCAATTCAGGCATCACCGGAACCAAGCACAGAAGATCTGCAGGCAGGATGAGGCAGTTCTTGAGCAGCACGGAAAGTCCAAGAATGCATTCCTGCAGCAAGCATTCAAGATGTATGCCGCTGCCCTCACTCACTCAAACGAATTTGACGACTCGGCTGTCAAGATGACCTCGCTTTGGTTCGAGAATGCCGACGATGCTGATTTCAATGCTGCAACAGCAGAGGCTCTAGCCGTTGTGCCATCGCACAAGTTCCTGAGACTGACACATCAGCTCTCTTCTCGCTTGGGTAAAGTTTCAGAGGCGGGAGCTTCGAAGAGTTCTGTCAACGCCTTTCACTCGAACTTGGCTAAGCTTATGACAAGAATGTGCTCTTTCCATCCCTTTCACTGTCTGTACGCTATCTTTGCACTCCGCAAAGCTGACCTTGACCAGTCCGGCGCGTCTCCGGCAAAATCCTCCAAACGCGCTGGAACACCTCAGTCGTCACAAAGGTCCAGGGGAGCTGCTGCGCATGATCTGTGGAACAAAGTCAAGGCCACCTCTCCGCACAAGAGTCGTGTCGCTCAGCTGGAGAAAGTGTGCTTCGCTTACGTCGATTGGGCTGAACTGGACCTCAAGACTTCCATGCCGTCTCTGTTCACCAAGAGCGGTAGTATTGCGTCAGGCAAACACAACGTCCCCACTGCGATGAGGCACGGCATTCACAGTCTGCACAATGTCCAAGCACCGGTGGCCACTGCTGAAATTGCCGTGGATCCCTCGAGCGAGTATCGGGATATTCCCACAATCGCTAGATACAGTACGCAATTCGAGACTGCTGGTGGACTGCATCTGCCAAAGATTACCGAGTGTATCGGAAGTGATGGGAAGCGGTACAAACAGCTCTTCAAAGCTCAGGATGACCTTCGACAAGACGCAGTGATGCAACAGGTCTTTACCCTGCTGAACGGTCTTCTCAAAAGCGATCAGAGGGCAGGTGAACGCGAGCTCAAGATCCGCACCTACATTGTGCTACCCCTGGGACCGCAGTGTGGCCTGCTTGAGTTCGTTGGCAATACTTCCCCGATCGGCAACATCGTCGTTGCAGCGCATGAAAAGTATCGGCGAGACGAGCACCTTACCCCTTCCCAGGCCCGAAGTGAGCTGGCATCCGTGGGTGGCAAATCACCGCAAGAGAAGTTGGAAAGGTATCGGCAGGTGTGCAAGGAAATGCCGCCCTGCTTCCGCTTCTACTTTTTCGAGCAGTACAAGGTCCCAACGACTTGGTTCGCAGCGAGGCTCAACTACACTCGAAGTGTGGCGGCGACGAGCATCATCGGCCACGTGCTGGGCCTAGGTGACCGACATGTCTCTAACATCCTCATCGACCAGGTGACTGGCGAGGTGATCCACATCGATTTCGGAGTAGCGTTTGAACAGGGCAAGCTCCTTCCCATACCTGAATCGGTCCCCTTCCGTCTCACCCGCGACATGGTCGACGGCATGGGTTTATCAGGCGTCGAAGGTGTCTACCGTCGCTGCTGTGAGGAGACGTTGCGCGTTCTGCGCGACGGGTCAGATGTGATCAAGACGGTCCTCGAAGTCTTCAAGTACGACCCTCTCTTTGCATGGACCTCCAATCCGGTAAAGGTCATTCGCGCTCAACGCGACACCGACGCCAGTGGCGGTGGTCCCTCGGGCACGACGATTGGCAGCGGAAGTGCGGCTGCGACTGCCGACGAGCAGAACCTGGCTGGCGCAAGAGATACAGCTTCATTGAGCGCCGAGAGGGCCATTGGATCTGTCATGGGCAAACTCTCTTCGAGTTTGAGCACGCAGTACACGGTCAATCAGCTCATTCAGACTGCTCAGGACGAGGCGAACTTGAGCGCCATCTTTCACGGTGAGTGTGAACTGAGGGCATCCGTCCCAACTGTACCTGACCCATTACTGACGCTACATCTGTTTTCCGCTCTCAGGCTGGCAGCCTGCTCTGTGATTGCGCAGTACCCGGCGAGGGGCTTCACTTGCGCACTGGCCGTAAGAACAGATGTCCTTCCCAGCTCCTCTCCACCTTTCTTCTCCGACGTGTTGCCTTCACCTGCTTCCCTACAGTATGTCTGCATCGTCCTCAAATGTATACCCCGTCCTACGAGTCATGCGTGCGTGGCGATGAGCATAGAGCATGCCGTGATAACAATGCCAGTGAAGAGATGGATATAGAAGCAGTCAGGAACCATTACGGAGAGAAAAGTGACCAACAACAAAGAAAGAAAAGAGGAAAAGAAGTGAGGCGGGGTTGGTAATGAATGAAGACGAAGGAGATGAGAAAAATCCGTGGGTGCCCGCCATTTATGGACCTGCCCACCCTCTTCTGCTCTCTACTCCCCTCCAGCCTTGACCTTCTTCGCAGTACCAATGACCGTCGAATTGACTTTACTAGCAAAGCGCAAGCTGCAAAGACTTTCTCCCAGGTGTTCCGCCATAGGGGAAAGAGCGAGGAGCATGAGCGTCTTGCTATTCCCTCCCAAGGAATTCTTGAGAAGCCAAGTCAGCGTCGAGTTCCTGTATGGAACATGAGTGGCGGCTTTTCCTGCACCGAGGGCAGAGATGACATCTGAGAGGGAGCTTAGAGACTTGTTGATGCTCACTGCTTCCTTGAAACGCTTGGCATCGTCGCCGCTACCACTATTGGCTAGACGCTCGCTACCCGCTAGATCAACCAGGCTGAGAGTGGCATCACAGCTCTCCATCGTCGAGGCGTTGGAGCCCCTTACCCGAAGAGTGAAGACAGAGTGCGAACGGGAGGAACGCTCGTTCATCAGTGTTGCTGCTACGGAACGCTTAGATGAGGCTTTGGAGAGGAGCGAAAAGACTTGCGAGGGAGAGGTGAGAGGGAGAACAACGGCGTCCGAGACTGTCGTGCGGCCCTTCTCGTGCTTGACCTCGTGTTTGATTGCAGACTCGAGAGAACCTTTACCGAGAAGATCATGAATGGTCTCATTGTAGATCTCTAGCATGCCACCTTCAAAGTCGTACGTCCATCCCTTGTCCTTGAGGCTCTCGGCAGTCGCAAAGAGCATCTGTACCGCACGCGGAATCAGACCTGCGCCACTGTCGGCCGTCGGCGTGAGATCGGATCCATTGAAGTTGGAGTCGGGTAGACCTGAACCTTCTAGCGTGTGAGTCTTACCGGAACCCGTTTGGCCGTAGGCAAAGATGCAAGTCTGGAGAGAGAGCAGGGAGAAGTTCAGCGTCTGGCATAGGTCCTGAGGGGACTGTCCCTGATCCGTGTAGACTCACGTTGTAGCCGTCCAATACGCTCTGCATCAAGTGCTCCACTTCACCGAATACGTCTCGCTGACTAGCTTCGGGGCCAAAGACTCTGTCGAAAGAGAAGCCAAAGGACTTCATAGTAGCCGTCCCCGTCGCCGACTCTCCAGCGCTCAACACCTCAATCTCCTTTGCCTCCCTCGGATTCGGCAGCTTGATGGTTGCAAGAGCGCCCGCATTCTGAGAAGGAAGAGCAGGACGGATACGAGCAAAGACTCGAATATTACCGCGCAGCTCTTGGATCTCGTTGTGTAGCTTCCTTCGCAGGGACTCTGCCTCTCGTAGCTCGTTCTCGATCTCTACCACCGCTGCACGCTGAGCGGCGAGCGTTGCCTCCATCTCCACGATCATGGCCTCTTTCGCCTTGAGCTGATCTTGGGTAGACTGTAGCTCTGTCCGCAGGGCCGAATTGTTGGCCTCCAATGTAAGATGAGCTGTGGAGCTATTGGCCATCGAATCTTTGAGCGCCTTGATCATTGACCGCTCCCTCTCCAGATCCTCCTCCCACATCTTCTTCTCCCTAGCATGAGCCTGTCTCAGCTGTAGCATCTCATCATCAAAGATGGTTCTCCGTCGACCTGCCTCCCTCTTCTGCTCCTTGGCCAGCCGCTTGGACTCTTCGAGGTTCTCTTCCAGCTGTAGCACCTTGTCCTCGTACTTTTTGCGCTCGGTCTTCTCTGCTGCCATTTGCGCTTCTGTGTTGGCGCGCTCTTGGTCGAACATGGCTGCCATTGCTTGTAGCTGTGCCTGGATTTCATTGAGCTGGGATGGTGACTGCGAGAGAGTAGGAGGGACTATCAGCTTACCGCCATCGTGTAGGCACCTGGCCTCTCGCGTCAGAATGCTCACCTGCTCCTCATCCGATGAGGGCCTCTTGACTCCGTGCACCGGTCTTGTTGACGCGCTTCCCACCCTCCTGACTCCTGCTGCAGTAGCACCTGTTGTCGCCGTGGTAGGCTTGCGTAGTCCACCGGCAGCGGAAGACGCTGTCCTAGTAGCTACGCCGGCTGCGCGATTCGTGGTCGCTACAGCCATTGGCTTCCGAGCAGGTGCGGGGCCACCCGGAATGGTGAGCCCTCTGGAAGAAGTAGGTACGCCGGAAGAAGAAGCAGTAGCAGCTGTACGTCGTGCAACGGGAGCAGCTGTGGGTGGTGCGATCCTCGACGAGGGCGGCTGCCTGCCGGATGTGCCGGAAGAGGAGGACATTGTGGAAGTCGTGTCGGCCGAGGTCCAACACGGAGATAGGGGACGCGAGATCGAAGCGACAATGCAGGTGTCCCACTGGATGAGAATTCGCGCGGGAAGTAGAAGATGCGCACTTCCCTGGGCTGATATCTGCTGGTGTCGTTGCTCGTGAGTGGGTTGGTATGGGTGGTCTGTCCTTTGGAGGTGTTGGTGTTCCAAAACACACCACCCGCTTCCCGTGAGCGGAGTTGCAACCAGGCGCGACCTAAACACGAGGGCGCCTCGGGCCGGGGAAAGACGCATCTTCCGTTCCGATCACAGGTTTCCCCGCTTCGCACAGGCCACGGCTCAGAGGTTCCGCTGAGCGAAGTTGCCAAGACTTGGCAGGGCCGCGGTTGCTCCTCGTCACCTTCCCCTACGCCATCACCACCGTATCCTCGCCCCCAGCATGCCTTGGAAGCCGACCTACGCAAATCAGGCCCTCGAAAGACTCGAGGACGCCAGAAAGGTCGCAGCAGATAAGCTCAAGGCGGCCAATACAGACAAGTCGGCCAACTTCTCCGACCGCATCAAGACCGTCAGGGGATCCCAGACGGCCGTAGGAGCGCGATGGGACCAGGAGGCGGCAGCCAGGAGAAAAGCGCAGGGGCTTGATGATGCAGATGGTCAAGAGCATGGAGAATCGGCAGCTGTAGCCACTTCTGCGGGCGATCGGCACTTACCTCCTGCGCGATCGTTGGGATACCGTGGACCACCTCCCCAGCGAACGGGTGCATCGGTACCGTCCCCTGGCAACGCAGCCGCACCCCCTCCACCGCCTCCCAGGCCTACCAACGCCGCTACTGGTGGCACTCGTCCACCCTTGCCAGCTCGATCTTCCACTCAAGGATCAGCCGGCGCCCCTCTACCACCGCCCACAAGGGGAGGTGCGCAACGGGCCAATCCACCCTTGCCACCCAGGATGAACAACGAAAGTGGCACCGCGCATCCTCCGCCTCCTTACAATCCCATGCCTGCAGCAGACGAAGCCACTGCCGCCATGGACAACCTGAGCATCGCAGCAGCAGCCCCACCTCCCCCGCCGGCCAGAAGAGGGCCTCCCCCAGTGCCTGCCACACGCAAGCCTGGTCCCCCACCCCTTCCTGGCAATAGACCGCTACCTAGCTCTGCACCTCGCGCTGCCACTGTCACGGCTTCACAAGCACCTGCAGCTCCTCCCTCTCGGCCTCAAGCCCCGCCCCGCCCAGCAGCTTCTTCCTCCTCACCTGTAGCTCTGGTGCCTCTCTCCTGCTCTCGCCACCCCTCGACTGAAGCCTGCAAAGCCCTCACAGCAGCCACCTTCTTCTGCTACCCCTCCCACTACCCTGAATGGTCATCCCCAACACCCTGGTTTGCCTCCAAAGGGCAGGGCCGACTCGTACCCCCACCTTCCCTCGATGGCAGGAAAGACCTCTTCACAAAGTACTCGTGGATGTCCTACGGTCCCAGTGTCAAGATCCAGGGAGTGCTGCAGTTCGACGACCTCTCCACGCTGTGGTACCAGATCTCTTACACTTCGCAAAATGCAGGCAACTTTGAGTGTAAAGTCTCCTACGCCGAGCCACCTTCACCCTGGGGTGAGCTTAGCCACCCAGGTCTGCTCAAGGCCAGCGCAGAGGGGTATGGCGAGCTAGTAGCTCGCAAGGTGGAGCAGTGGGAAGGGACCGTCGTGGGTGACGGGGAGTGCTGGACACTAGCTGCACAGGCCCTACAGGAGGTGAATCGCGAACAGGGCTATGCTCCCGATGTGCAAATGCTCGAGAGTGTGGGACGCACACATGGCCATCTCGTCTATCACGCGTCCATTGATGGTGCCTCAGGGCAGGCGAGTGGGATCTGGAGAGGAGGAGACTTTGGTCAAGTCCGCAGGGGAGATATCATCGAGTGGGCCACCTCCTCCTTCCACCTGCCAGACGGGCGGACGGTCAGTCTAGGCGCGCCAGAACGGGGCATGCCAGACCATACCGCGGTGATTATCGATGTCACTCCCCCTCCACGCGGCCTCCCCGCCCTCCCTTCCTCTTCTTCTTCACACCCTTCCCTTCCCCCCGACCAGCACCCTCTGCCTCCCTCCGAGCTCATGGGATCCCTAACCGTCCTAGAGCAAGCAGCAGGTCAAGTCGTACACCGCACATCTTTCCCCTTTGGAGATGCGCCGCGTGCTTGGACCATGGGGGCATTTTGGATCTTTAGACCTGTAGGGAGGAAGAGTCTACTTGAGGGGGAAGTGGAGCCGGGAGCTTGGGAGGGAAGTGGAGATGGAGAGGGGAGGAGGAGAAGAGGGTGGGAGCCGTTGAATTGAAGAGTGGTAGGAGATGTGGAAGAGAGAGAGGGGAGGGAGATGATCATTTTCTTCCACGCATCGAATATTCTCAATACCAAGGTATAAATTTCGTGTCTACACATCAACGTCTCGTCGTATCTCGAGAGCATCTCAATGAATGAAGAATCAACAAATCGTCCACGCAACGACCACTCCCCTCTCCTCCTCTGTTCCCCCAGTTCTCCTCCCCTGAACCTCCATCTTCCTCTTCTCATCAATGGCCGTACCCGTACTCGTAGCCCCACCGACAGGCAAAGGCAGTACCTCTCCCACTAGCCCGGGGAAACCTCTCAGCGTGGTGCGCACATCGAGGGTCAGGAGGCTGCGGAACTCGGATGAGGTGGAACGGTCCAGGTCGAGGACTTCGCGCGTGTTGGCGCTGCTGCTAGTGGTGCTGGAGGAGGGGAGTCGGGAGGAAAGACGCGAGTAGAGGGTCGGGAGCTGTGCGTAGAGAAAGCAGTAGTAGCGGGGAGCGGTGAAGGGAAGATCAGAGGTGGTAGAAATGGAGCACTGGAGATGGAGCATTGTTCGGCGCTGTGTAGCCTACTCACATCGGTGCGCCAGTCGAGGTATTCTACCTTGCCCTCTCCTGCGCCCTGCTCCTCTTCCTCGCTACTAGGCGGAACTGGCGTGGAGGTTCCGCTCGTCTTGCTCGCAGTGATCGCAGCGGAAGACTTGGTCGTAGTCTTCTTCTTGATGGTGCCGTTGACGTTGACACTTGTACTCGTAGTGGTAGGCTTCGACGTCGGCTCACTGCCGTCCTTTGCCCCCATACCCAGTGCTGGAATCTCGACTTTCCAATTAACATGCTCGAAGCGTCCCCAAGTTGCGGACCCGGGTACGTCCGAGTGAACAACGATGCGCCTCAAAAGAGGCAAATGGGACTCGTCTTCCTCTTCCGGCTCGCCTTGCTCTGGCGAAAGTGGGGCAAAGAGCAGGTCTAGCCCCAGTGAGGGGTACGAATAGAAGGTGGGCGGAGTGGCTGATGCAGCGCGGTGAAGGACAACGAAGAAGACTTTAGTGATGACGGCTCAGCGGCTGAACATTCTGCACCGTTGAGACTCACGAGAGATGCCAAAGTCGACTTCGTCGGCGCCTTCCTCCATGCTGAAGCCGTCGACCATCCCCTTTTCGCCTTTGACCCACTTCCTCTCTGGGGCGCCCAAATCGAGGAGGACATCCTGCTGCGACGTTTCGTGAAGCTTCAGCTGGAGCCTCGATCTTGTCGGAGTGCTACCTGTGGTGGCATCGTTCGGTGTGCGCATGAGTTGAAGGGTGAGCCCTCGGTGGGGCTGAAGTAGGAGTTGCGGGTCTCCGTCAGCTATGATAATTACCGTCGTCCAGCTCAGCGGTGTGACTTACTCTGATGATGGCCTCCTCAACAATCATCCCTGCACTCGCCACATTGGCATCCTTCCAGATTCCATCGCACTGCGCAGTGTCTGTTATCTGTCCTTCCAGAGAGATGGCTCTGGTCTCGCTCCCTCGCTTGAGCCCCGCGTGGGGTTCCATCCGAGGCCATGGTACCTCTCCCGGATTGAGAGGATCCTCGCCGACGTGCAGCACCAGCGCGATAGGTCTGGCATTCTTGCTCAGCTCGCTTCGATCTTGGCCTTCGGCGGCGAACAAGAACGAGAAGCCGTCGTATGACAGCAGCCACCTCTCCTTCTGCAGTGGTAATCGCGAGGTTGAGCTGCTGGATGAAGAGGACGCGGAAGTCTTGTTGCCGGAAAGGGGCAGGTAGTCGTGCAAGCCATCCGTGCTGGTGTATCTCCTCGCGGGGTAGGTAGGGCCAAACATTTGCTGTATATCTCCTCTGCTGAGCATGGAAGAAGCAGACCTGCTCCTTCCTCCTTCTTCGCCGCCGTCGGCATACAATATCTTGCCCTTCCAGAGCAGCTCAACTCTCCTCCTGTACGCCGCCTCCTCACTTTCCCCGTTGACTCCACTCGATGCTCCAATGTCCTCTTCACTGCCCTCATTGGCCAGGGTGAGCACAACGACCTTCATCCGCCCGCCATCGAATACGCAACTGAGCCTGCAATCTGGCCGTACGACTACAAGTCCATCGCGAGGATCGTGCGCCTCAAAGTCAAACGTGACGCGTGGGAAGAGGGTGGGTCCATTGGCCTGTTGTGTATGACCTTGCCCTTTGCTATGATTCGTCGAGGAGTGTCTGAGATATCGGAGCGTCGTGTAGACTGTAGAGCCTAGCACAAAGGGTCCTAGGCCGGCGCCAGGGCTGAGAGGAAGGGAGATGGTCGGCGGGGCTGCTCGACTGGTGGATGAGGAGGAGGAGCTCGAGGGGCCGAGACGCGGTGAGGAGGTCGAGGTGAGGGGTGGAGAGAAGGACGTCATGGCCAGCTCGAACGCTGCCTACACGCAAAGAAGGTCTCTGAAACGATTACAAAACGATGATCGGACGTACGACGATGGTGGTGGATGGTTGTGGGAGGACAAGGAGGCAGTATATCAGGTGAGGCAGTGAGGCTCCACTGCTCCCCACGTCCGTCCGTCCGTGCAGACAGAGACCCTTGCCGCGTGGCTCGTGCACGACTCCCGCATCCAGCCTCAGCCCCTCTACGATGACCGCCATGAGTCATAGCCAACAGACGAGAGTCACCTCCTGTCAGATCTGGCAGTGAACCGCTCAGCAACTTGATCTGCTTCCCATCCATCCTTTTTCCACCCATCTCCCTATGTCAACTGTACTCAACAGCCACGATGAAGGTCGAGTCGCAAGAGCCCGACTCAGCTCATGGCGAAGAGCAAGCCATCCACCCCATTGAGACCGAGGTCCGTCTCTTTCTCCAACGACGACGCCAAGAAATTGCAGAGAGACCTCTAGGCTATATGAAGTCTGGGTCCCGCAACACCCAGTCGCCACCGGGCAAAATGCGTCTCGAGGTCACCAGGACATCGTCTTTCAGCTGTCGGGTTCAGTACGTCTGGCAACCTAGCATAGCGCAGAGCGACCCACGGCCTGATGCCCATGGTGAGAAGTTCAGATGGATCTTTGATCAAGATCAAGAGGCTGAAAGAGTCGCGGCTGCTGCCAGGCTCAAGGCCGCCCCGTCGGACTCCGCACAAAGTGGATCAGAACGCCAGTGACATCACTTTCACTCTGTGAATCCTGTACGATACCTTCGGTGGAAAGGACTGTGGCATTCATAATGTGGATCAGGGCTGCTCAAGGATCATTCTTCTCAAGCAGGCAAGCCAGATGGTTTAAGGATAGTGAGGAATCGTCGGGTCTGTTGGGTGAGGGTTGGTGCAAGGGGCTCCCGCTGGCTTGTTGCACTTGCAGAGCTGTTGAGAAATGGCAAAGAAGTGGTGTAGACGCAAAGACCTCTACGTCAGTATCACCAATGGGGGAAACCTGAGTCATGCACGTTACGTTCGACTCACGTTGAAGCAGTCGTTCTGGTAGTCGCAGTATGACCATGTGTAGCACCCATCGTTGCCCGAGCCTTGTCGAGCAGCGAGGAGCTCTGTGGATGATGGATGAGCAAGCGTAGGAGGGTGGGGGAGTGTCAACAGTGCCTTCCGGATGCACAGTGAGTCACGACTCACCAGAAGGAGCCACAATGCCGGGTGGGGCTGCGCTAGCCAAGAGGGGCATAGCTACGAGCAAGGTAGCAAGGACGGAGAAGCGCATGATGGTATGATTATGAGCAGGTATGAGGGCAAGGTAGCGAGTGTCAAGAAGGTGGGCGAAGTTGGCGACGGGATGGCGTCCTTTTAGCTTGTTCGCGAGACCTTCGGTCGCTCACAATTACAGGTCCCAGGGCGCAGAAATTTAACAAGTGTGATGATCACTGAAGTCCGGGGGTCAGGAACGAAATTATTGCCTCCCAATCCCATCGTCAGGGCGCTGCTGTAAATTCCCGGCCGTACCTGGCAACGTCATTGCGCCGCTTAATTGCAAGCGTACACTCAGAGTCGGTCATAAGAACGTGTTCGCTTCTGGTGCGACAGTAAGTCGGTAAGATTCGTAGGTGTCACTGGACCACACTTCGACTGGGACTCTCCAAGTGTGGCCTCGACAAAGAGGCTGAAGCGGACGGTTCCTCTGTCAGGATCAAGACTGCATGGTAGTGGTTCAACTGCGTCACTCTAGATTCGATGAGGGTAGAAGCATGTCATTCATAGGAAAGGTCAAGGCTACTGCGACAGCACCCGAGGAGATCCGCATCGGTAGTCCCAGTCAGACGAGAGGGCTAGCACGCTTCTAAGGGTGACCACCAGGGGGGGGAGGCGTTGGAATACCTGGGTCTGTTGGGTTAGGGATGTTACAGGGGCCGTCCGCACCCCTGTTCGCGCACTTGCAGCGCTATTGTTAATTGAACAGAGTCGGGATGAGCAATAGTACGCTATGTCAGCAGCAAACTCGCGACATCTCAGCTATAGACCCTGTACGACTTACATTGAAGCAGGGACCGTACATGTCGCAGTATGACCACGTGTAGCATCCGTTGTTGTTGGAGCCTTGTCGAGCAGCGAGGATGTCTGTCGACGATCGTTGCGCACGTGTGGGTATGTTAGCAAGTTAGTCTCCTCAGATGCACATCGATGATATACTGACCAGACTCAGACACGGTGCCGGGTGGGGCTGCAATAGCCAAGAGAGGCAGAGCGATGAGCAGACTACAGAACACGGAGAAGCGCATAGTGGAGAGGATCTCGGAAAGGCTTAGGGGGGAGACAGCGACAGTAGAAGACAAGTGGGTAAGCGAAAGGCGAGCTTTATAGCTTCTTCTTCGCAGGGCTCTCGGTCGGTCACCCCTCCGCTTTCAGGGCGCACCGTGAGGGCCATCCAACTCCGAGGCTCCGGAAGGGAATAGGGTACCCAACACCGTTGCTCCGGCACCGAAGCCCCGAGGTCGTATGTACCTGACCAGGTCACTGCGTTGCTGGGTGGGCAGGGTGCTGCTTGTCCCGATGATCGGAGTATGGGGATCCACCGCCGGTTACGGAATGCCTTGGCAAGGCCCTTAGGTCCCTTGAGGACAGGTACCACTGAATTCTCTGTTGCCATATGACCTCGCCCTAGGCGCAGTTTGCCGAATGTGAAACAGTCACAGAACCGAGGCGATGGACAAAGGCCGTTTCATCAAGTCCCTCGATCAGGCACACACAAGTTCGCTCGCATCACTGCCACCATGACTCTATACAATGCGTGTCAGGCGACAGATAGTACAGAGTAGGCAAGTACGCTGCTAGACCAGCAACACCGATGAGCTACATGCCGACTTGGCTGTAGCCACTGCCAGGAGGTGGGACGTCTTTAGGATGACCAGTGCTGCAGCCTTCCCAGCTCGGGAGGCAAACACAGATCTGTGTGACATGAGCAGGCATTACAGGCGGCGTGATGGAAGTCGGTGGTCAGCGACGTGCGCGGGACGTCCGTCTGGCTTTGCCAAAGCGGTCGGACTCACGTCAAAGCAACCATCATAAAAGTTGCAGTACGACTCCTTATAGCAGCCATGATTGTCCGAGCCCTGCCGGGCGTCGAGCCTCTCTACCGTGGTAGATTGTGAAGTGAAGGATGCTTGTCAGTGAGGGTAGTAACATGATCAGTGGATTCTGACAGACTTACGAGCAGCAGTAACGGTGCCCTTTGGAGCCGCAGCTGCCAGAAGGGGCATAGCTAGGAGCAGGGGGCCGAAGACAGAGAAGCGCATGGCAGATCGCTGCTGATTTGGAGGTTGGTGAAGGGAGAGGGTGATGGCAAAGAACGTGGGGGATGTGTGGAAGAGTGCGAGTTTATGTATGCCCGTACAACCGGATCTGGGGCTTCGGGCGGATGTACATTTGCACTTTGCTTCTAAGGCACGACCCGACGGTTGCTTATGCTGCGTTCCTCAAAGCAGACCTCCTTCAGTGCCGATTCGTTACGGCCAATTGCATGGGGCGGGCACATGACCGCCGCAAGAATACTCGGCTGAGTCCATGCTCAGCGAGGGTGGTGCACTATGACATAGCGTGAAGGTCGAGCGTGATGGAAAGCTCTCCTTCCATCGACTTTGAGTGAATATCAGCACCATGACGGCACTGAGAGTTTTGTGATTTCAAGCAAGCGGGCCGCCGTCTCGCAGAATGGTATATACAGGATCATCTATCTTGTCTACATAACGTTCGTAACTTCCGCCGCACGCTTCGCCTTGGCTACGTGGCAATGGCTTTCCCTGTGTCCGCTCCCAGAAGCTGTTGAGCTTTGAGCGCAGCATGACTGAGATACCGCTCATACTCTTCGGTCTGACCTTTGCACCAAGCTTGACCGCTGCCACTTCCTCTCGTCAGATGCACCAGGGGCACTGTCCCTGAAGATGCTCTGCTTTGCGCGGCTTTTTGCTCCTCCTCCTCCGCTTGCGTCCGGCTCTCGATCCAGAGCTGGCTGTTCTCGGAGACCTCCATCTCTCGGCTTGCCTCGATTACCTGCTGCCTCAACTTGCGCAAGACTTTTGTGCTCTCTCTGAAAGTAGCTTGATTGACCTGGGTCTGCTCGTTGAGGTTCTGCAGAGATGAAACAAGAGATGAGGTTACAACTTGGAGGTGGGCGAAGTGTTCTGGCAGCGGTGCTTTGCGAGATGGACCAGGAGGCGGCAAGGCACTGTATCGACTCGAGGAAGACTCTTCGGAACGGCTACTTCCGTGTCTCATAGTCTGGGTGAAACCCACAGGGGAAGGCGGAGACATTCCATCAGGGCTCGAGCTTCTGCCATTGGAAGCGAAGCCTGTACTGCTACCATCTCGCGAGAAGCTCAGGGAAGCCTTGTCGTCGCTTGTCACGATTTCGGCCAATGCAGCGAGAAGTGCGTCGCCATCATCTCTGTCCAGACTCTTGACAAGGTCCTGCAGCTCTCTGGCTTGAAAGGCCCTCTCTTGCGCAGACTCTTGTAGCGTCAGCACGGCTTGCCTTCCAAGATCTTCCATGACTCGAGTATCATCTCCACTAGTAGTGGCTTGAAGAGCAGCTAGATAAGCATCTGTAGATTGTATTGAATCCACAAGAGATGCATAGGTCGCTTCGTATGCTGCTTGTCTTTGTGCGAGTCGAGCTGTGTCGTCCTGCTCCTCGATGAGACTGGCCCCTTGCTGAGCAGGCGCTAGAGGCGTGGCAGCACCGTCGCCGCTGCTACTGAAGTCTAGCTCATCCCCCAAGCTCGGGCCTGTCTGCTCTTCGTCTCGGTCGTCGAGACCTGACAGCTCGTCTTGAAGACTATTGCCGACCACCCCTACCTCGTCGAGGTCCCTAGCGGAGTTGCTATGGCTCATCCCTGTTGCCTCGTCCCCTGAGCCTAGCTCGTCCGCAAGCGAGGGACCGAGATCATCGGAGTCTATGGATGCAGATCTGATACGTCTACGGTGGTTCGTACGACCAGCATAAGAGGATGAAGCATCGGAGTCGTCGAAGTCGCTCATCTGACGTGGTATAGGAGGTGATGGGGAGGTGAGTGCGAGCGGACTGAGAGGTGTTGGACAAAGCTGCAGCTGAAGACTTGTGTTACTCTCCGACATGGGGTGAACGGTGCTCAATGTGAGGTATATATGCTCCTCAAGAGAGCTAGGTCGATATCTCCGGTTTCATAGTATAATGGTTAGTACATAAGATTCTGATTAGAGGCCTACAGCGCTTCGATCATTCTTGTGATCTGGGTTCGATTCCCAGTGAGACCTTCTTTTTGCCCCCCGATCGCTTGCCGAATGCCCTCTCATGCTGCGTCACCTCGCCGCAAAACTATCTCATGTGCTACATTTCCATGCCACCCTGTGCCTGCAACGACAGTAACAGCATGCTCGTGTGGCCGATGCAGGCGCAATATACGGGACCATCGTCTATAACAGGCTAAACCTCAGTGGGCAGCGAGCGCGAGGCTGCTGATTGACACTCCACTGTTCTCCACGCTCTTTCCGCTTCCGACTCTGCATACTTAGCTTCAGTCCTTCTCGTCTATCCTACCCTGCCACAAGATGTCGAACTCTCACGCCATGGTGCCCAGTACGCCTGGCCAGTCGAGCATCACACGCTCTTCATCATTTCGTGACGCCTCGTCCACGCTAGCTTCTGGGTCAAAGACGGTACGATGGGCTCAAGAGCAGCAGAGCAACGCAGTCGCGCCTTCTGCTAGCACGTCCACCCAAGCTAGGGTTGCTACTACCTCTTCCGCCGTGTCCACACCCGTGAAGCGGGCCATCTCTAGCGTAGCTTCTGCTGTGACTCCAGTATCTGCCACAGTAGCCAAGTCTGCACCTCCACAAAGCTCCATATCAGCCTCACCCGCGGCGTCTCCCTCACCTCGAGCATCGCCTGCCTCACTACGGACTCGAGTGAAATGGAATGCGGGGGCACTAGTAGCCATTTCGGTGCTGCCCAGGCTCGATGTCTCTAAAAAGACATACTGGTGAGTTGATTAAATGACGGCAGCGCTGGCTGCCTCCCTCAAAAGGGTCGCGAAGGGGGATTCTAGTATGTAGCGCAGAATCTGAACATCTTCTACCTCACTCCTATAGGTCTCTTTTGGACGCTGTGTATGCCACTTTAGGAGGGCGATCAGATCAGAAAGTGGATGGAGCAGCGGCATGGCTCAAATGGGCGCTGGTCATCGTCTTTCTGGTCAACCTCCTGGAAGCCCTAGCATTGCTGCAGTTCTCGAAGCCCCACTTCGACACATCAGCTACAAAGCCTATTGGCCTGACACAGCCCCCACGCGTCGGAGGCCCAGTCACAGCAAGTGCTATCCCACCTCCTCCACCTGCTAGCTCTGCCCGCTCCCGCGGCCTATCAGAGGCCCGATACAGTCCTCACTCGCCTCTGAAGGCTAGTCTGGAAGCAGCAGGACGTTCAGTAAGCGGAAACTTCAACTCATCCAGCCCAGCCCAAAGCAGTCCCCTCAATCCCTCTGGTTTGCCCAGTGCAAACGTGCGTGCGGGGAGCGTTGCGGGACGAAGGCTCCCCTCTGCCCCTCCCACAAGCGGGTCCAGCCCTCTAGCAGCGTACCTCGCAAGAAAGGGTACACCGAGGGAACAGGAGAGAAGTGTCAGCTCGGACTTCGATGGCGTGGGAGACTTGTCGAGCGAGAGCATTGAGGTAGACAGGGCCCTGCGAGCGCTTAGCAACAGCTACATGCGGTCGTCATCTGCCGCCGCTGCTGCTGCTCCTCCTCAGACGCCTGTTTCACACGCAAGGTAGCGAGATGGAGCAGAAGAGCCGAACACAGATGCTATCCTGATTGAATAATTCATCGTCAATTCTCATCACAGCATGACCCAATTACCTGCCCACATACCAGCCGCATTGTACCGATACCACCCTGGCTGCCTGCCGCATTCTGCTGCGCTCTCTGTTCTGGCTTCATGAGTGATTCGGTTCCAGGGCAATGCAGGAAGGATGTATCAGATAATGACTAAGCGAGAACGAAGGACCCTTGTTTCAGCCACTGGCGCCTGTCAAGGTAAATCACGCAAGATGCGAGCAGGTCCATGAATGCGGAAGGGATTTGACAGGTGAGAGAGTCTGTGATGAGCCTGTCTGGACCCTACTGCGAAGGCTGTGAAAGACGGTAGTGGAGAGTGTGCAAGGTGGGAGTGCTTGGCCTGCATGTCTGTCTGCTAGGACGGCCTCTTTCCTAAAGACAATGTCTGATAGTCCATGCTTTGATGGCTACTTCGAACCCGAAACCGGGTCAAATTGAGCCGTACTGTGAAGCACTAGGTACGTCCCTGTCTCATCCACTGCGCATTCGACCTCCTTGCTTCCTCTGCTCTGGTCTTATCAAGCGCATCTAAGTGGTCCTTTACGCATCCGCTTGAGCAGAGTCAATGGTGAGACGTCTCACCCAGACTGAATTCAACAAACATACAGAATTCAGATGATCAGATAGGCCCAGAGCAGTAGTCTACAAGACAGTATTGAAATAGCGCAGCTGGGCACTTCCAGACGCGGATGGGCTGGCTAGTCTCTGCGATGTAGTCTAGACTCGACTGGTGCCCGGGCCGGCTGGACCCGAGACACGCGCTGGGGCGCGCCGCGTGAGTGGGCAAAATGGGCGTGGCTGGCTGCCCTCTTGGGAGATCCGACGCTGCGACAGACAAGATGGCCCCCTCTGGTCTGTGGCGGAAGAGTGTGAGACACCTCGAAGACCCCGAGGAGAAGCCTGCAGTGGCATGGCCTTGCATAGATGGGTTTTCAGCATGGTAGTGCTCCGGCAAGATTGCTTCAGAGACTTCCTTTTGCGTGCGGGTAGATGCATGGCAGTACCATTCACCGCTGTGATAATCGGCGGCCTGAAAGAGAGGCTTGCCCCCACTTGCTGGGCATTATCTGCGACGACTGGCCAGGCTCTGCTAGTCGCGCCACGGGGAACCGAAGTCTACCACTGCAGCGGTGCCGGCGGCGACTGCTGCTTGCTTCACTGAAGGTTCCATACAATCTTTACCACATGAGATGTAATTGCAGAGCCCCTGGCACCGGACTTGCGGAACCTTTCACTCCTCTGCGGTCGGCCCTCTTGCTTCTTTTGGTCGGTCAATTTGAAGAGATACAGTGGCGTCTTTGCGAAGACACTTTAATGAGATGCGCGGAGGAGGTTTGCTCTGGACAGGTCAAGGGCTCTCTGCTTCAGCATCAGCCACTTGGATGCAACACAAATTGTGTTTGCTAGGAGCTCGCGTATCGGACTGGATATTGACCTCCTTGCCTCGCGTAAAGGCGTCGCGTTTTTTTGACACGACTCCCTCCCTTCCGTAAAGTGGGACCGAGGCCCATTCGCACCCGGCAGAGCAGCATGTCAGGGTGAGCAAGCAGGGCTGAAGCAGTCAAGTGTGAATTGTCGCCTGATAGTCTGCTGCTAGATCAGACCGACTTGACGCGTGCTGTGACACGCTCTGGTCCTCCCTCGGACACGCCAATGGGTACGCGCTCTGAGGCATGTACCTTGCTCTGTCTCATCACAATAATAGCCTGGGCTCCTCCTATCCATGTCACCTGTAGATCGGGTCACGCCGGGGTCCCTGCAGCGAAGCATCAATGTTGCGCTGCCGAGGCCTCAGGTCCTTCGACGGGACGCACTCGCGGACTCCGATGGCTGCTGTCTGGGCAGTTGCTTCTGTGCACAGAAACCAATCAGCCACAAGCCAGGAACGTCAGCGTTGCCCCTTCCTAATGAGGCAAGCAAGCGTCCCGAGGTTTCTGTATAGGCGTGCACCCGCGTAAACGAGATTGACCCTGTGATTCAACAGAGGCCCGCGTGAAGTAGTGGTCAGAATAGTTGAGCCGAGGTGGCGGAACGGCGTGTGAGTGTGTGGGTGCTGGCTCCCATGGGGCCAAGTCTAAGATCCAATTTGGGTGTGCAGATTGAGCCGCACACAGGGGCAGATTGACTCAGGGGCATCCGCTCACTTGGAAAGTTCTCCGCTCCGAATCCTGTCTTGGCCGCGGTGCAGGAGCTGCGAGGGCCAGGGCGGATGACCTGCCTGAAACAGCAGGTGTCTCAGTGTGTGGCGCTTACGGATTCCGCCCAAGGCCGACTGCTCTAATTTCACACACAAACAGATCCCTCTGTTCCGGCACAGGCACTTTCACCGCGGTCCTTTGCTCAGACCCCCAGCGTTTGTGTCTTGCTTTGTAAGACTTTTCCAAGACGCGGTCCGACCCAACCAAGGCGATCCAAGCAGAGGATCAGTGGGACATGGCCATGCCCCACTCAGACTTCGCCTCGCAGACCTCAGACAATGGGAACAGGGGACCTGGCTTTTGTTTTGTCGCTGAAAGAACACCACTATGGAAGCCAGGGAGAAGAGGGGTGGCGTGCACCTACCGCCACAAGGGCCTCCGGGTGGGTAATCGTGTAGAGGTGGTGGGAGAAGAGAATGCAAGAAAGAGTAAAGGCAGAAGGAAGTCTTAATTTAATGACCAGCGCTGAGCCACGACAATAGCAGACAGGGGGGGCAGGGGGACGGGGCGAGGCAGTGGATGAGTGAGTGAGTCCATACCAAGGGGGAAGGTGCAGCTGGTAACGACAAATGAGTGCATGAAGGAGGTGGGGGGGGGGGGGCTAGATGAGTCGTCTATGCGTGAGTCGTGTCTCTGTCTAATCGCGCTTGGGTGGGGGGCGAGATGCAGGCAAGCAAGCAAGCAGTGCGCCTCCGCCTCGGCCTCGCTTGTCCTGCCTGACTCGGCTGCTGCGTGCTGCTCCTCCTCCTCCTCCTTCCCCCGAAGGCCGCCGCGTGCCCCCCCACTCTCTTGCTGGTCACGGCGCATCCCTCGCGAGATTTCCACCCAAGTGGTCATAAAGACGACGACCGTGGCCCCACTCATCCGCCATCCCTTCCCACCACCACCACTGTCCTTTACCCCCCATCACCTCGGCGCCAACTCGCGCCCCTTCTCGCCCGCCACTCCTTCGACGGCACCGCTTCCTTTGCCGCGTCCTTTTCGTTTCCCACCCCTATTCTTACCCTCAGCCAAGAACTTTTCCGCTCCCAGGCTCATCTAGAGATCGCCCCGCCACCGGCTTTCATCCCCAAGCGATCTGCTTCTTAGCAGCCTTACCTTGGCCCCTCTTCTCTTCTGATCTCGTTCCCCTCGCCACCACCACATACCACATCCTCCATCATGGCCACCGCCGCCACAGCATGGCCCGCCAGCGCTGGGCCCTCCAGCCAGCACGCAGCAGCGGCCCAGTACAGCTGTTCGCAGTCTGCCAATGTAGCCTCATCTTCTCGGAGATCTAGCCACGCTGGCACCAAGGACGAGAGCGAGCGTCAGAGTCGCCACCAGCAGCAGCAGCAATACGAGGATCGCTTCTATGGCCACCGTAACATTGCCGAGCTTTGTGAGCGAGTCATCTTCGCCCTCTTCTCTTGCCCCCTCGACTCTGCCTCCACCGCGGCCAATGGCACCACTCCTTCGGTTCGACCTGCACCGCGGTTGTCAGAGTTCATTGCCTACGCTCTCCACCGCACACGCCTGCCGACCGTCGTCACCCATCACGCCCTCTTTCTCCTCAAGCGGCTCAAGTCTCGCTTCCCAGCTGCTCGTGGATCCTCGGGCCACCGCCTCTTCATCTCCGCTTTGATGCTGGCAAGCAAGGTAGAGTGCGATGACACCTACTCCAACAAGAGCTGGACCATCGTCGGTCAGGGCCTCTTCTCCCTTTCTGAGATCAATCAGATGGAGCGCGAGCTCTTCGGCTACCTTGGCTTCCGCGTCAACGTTCAGAACGAGGAGCTGCAAGAATTCGTCGCAGGTTTAGCACAAGGTCGCATCAACGCACCTCCCATGCAACCACCTTCTCCCGCCATGGGCGTCGATGCTCTCCCTGCTGCCCCTGTCGCCTCCCCGGTCCCAAGTCCGGCCCGTCGAGTGGCATCGTCGTCGCATTCAGCAGACGCAGCCTACGCTCAGCCCGATGCTCCTACGGCTACAGTGCTTCGCGGTCGACACCTCTCCGCCAATGCTTTCAGTACCCGCGCCAGCATCTCAGGTTACCCCTCTGTGGCTTCCAGCGTGCCAATGGCCGCCAGTGCCAGCGACCCGACGCTCCACCGCGGTCACCAGTACATCGGGCCAGTGGCACCGGTATCACACCGACAGGATGTCCGCTCGCCGGTACCCCCTCCCAACTACTTCCGATCAGTCGTGGCAGCACCATCGGTACCTATGCAAAGCCACTTCACTCCCTCTTCTCCGGCAGAGTTTTACTCTTCGCCCATGTCGCGCACCACCACCAACGACGTCTTGTCCTACGTTCCGAGTCCCTTTGGCTCGCGATCATCAGCGGCAAGCAGCAGCCACACCTCACCAGAGACTCCTGGTTCCGAGCTGTCGAGTCCTAACTGGAACCACAGTGCAGCCTCTGTGCGCCACGGCGACGAGGACCTCTACAACGAGAAGCCTGCCGGTACCTACGACCGGGAGCACCAAGCCTTCGCTAGGCATCTTCAGCACCGACAGCCAACGACGCACTACCGCTCTCACACCGGTAGCTCCTCGGCTCTCAAGCACACATACCCTCAGCACTACCAGCAGCAGCGTGATAGCTCTGCTTGGCATTAGAGGGGTACGATTGGCGATAGACGTTTGTGTATAGACACTGTCACCTTATCCATCCACCATCAGTAGCATTTGTCCTACCAAAACATACTTTCATTCCCCGGGTCATCCAGTCACGTTCTTGTCTCTTCTTTCTGCCACCTGTTCCTCCTCCTCTACCCTCTTCCACCATGTACGATACACACTCCTTACCTTGTACTTGTTCTGTGGATTCGATTTCTTTCGCCATACCCATCTAAGCGATGTACAATCTTGATACCTTTATCCAAGTGTGTGAGCTCGTGTGCTTCTCCTTTCGGATTGTGGATGCAAGCGTCGCCGACGACAAAAAAGGGCAAGGTTCGGCATCTCTCAAATCAGATTGAATCAGAGTCGATGAGCCGCCGACGGTAGCCAGCCGCGACATTGTACACTTCCGCAGCGACACGTCGTGCGTCCTTCCACTCTCTCACGTCCTTCGGTCACACCTTTCCCTCCCTCTCCATCTCCTTCCCCTTCTTCTTGCATCTGTCCGCTGGCATCAGCATAATCGTACCCAAGCTCCTCATCCGCAGCGATATCCCGCTTGGCGAAAATGGCTGCTCGTGGTGGGGCAGGCACGTCCGCAGGTAGAAGAGACAGGTGGCTGTCACAGCGTACTGGGAGAATGATGAGGTTTGTGAGCGGAGGGCAGAGGTGATTGATGAAGCGGCTGGTAGACGTGCATCAAAGAGTGAAGGAGCAAAAGGTGTCAAAAGGAGTGAGACTAGAGATTGAGAGCAAACTCGAGAGGAGACGACTCACGCTACATTCCCTCTCCGAGTCGGGTCGATATTCGTCCTCACTCCGTCTCCACTCTCCGGCAACCCCTCGTTGATGCACAGGATATAGTTGCCCACTCCCAGCGCCTTATACTCATCCCATCTCCTGCTAGTCTCCTCATCCGAAATGAGCTCTCCAGCAAACTCGCATATGAATGTACCCCTTGCCAAAGGGGAGCGAGAGAAGAGTCCCAGACCAGAACTGCGAGTGGGACGCAGCTCGAGGGGAGCTTTGGGGCCGTTGCTGACCACTGCATTGGTACAAACTGGAGTGCCGGAGCGGGCACTGGAGTCGCTGTTGCTGCTGCTGCCGCTGCTGCTGCTAGTGCGGGCTCGACAGGCACACAGCTCTGAGCACTCAAAAAGGACGTGACGCGGCGGGAGAGCGTCTAGCTGTAGTCGTCCATGGGTGTCGTAGAAATTACCTGCTCAGGTGGAGAAGACTAACGGAGTTACTTCAGCTGCTGCATTCACCGCATCGAGGGGCGTGTGGGAGAACTGACCATGCTCTGATACGCACTCGCATTCGGAATCTGCCGTGCAGCACTGCACGCTCTGATCGTCCGGCGAAGAGGCTGATGAAGAGCAGGAGCAGCCGAAGAGCTCCTCAGGGATAGATGAGACCGGTGATCGTTCTCTGTCTCTTGCCCCTTTGCTCACTGACTGAGCTACAAGCAGCGAATCGTGTACAACACATGTCGGGATATACTGGTCAAGGTGGAGGACAGACTTGTGGGCATGAGTGATGGTCATTGGGGGGATGCTGCCACCGTCGCGAACATCTCCTCACCTCTTCAAACAGTCCAAAAGACTGCTGGCTTTTCTCCCGTGTACCAGTACCAGATACCAGGGCTAACTCGAGTGCCTCCTTCCCATCAGCTACGTCCTTCATCGCAACGCCTACCGCAACCATCCATGCAGCGTGCCTGCTTGCCTGTCTGCCTAGCTTGCTGCGCCTTGTGATTATGCTTGGCGGCCCGCTATGCTCACTGCCGCTTGGCCGGGTGGTGCAGTTAGGCCCAAATGCCGTCGAGAGAGAGAGAGAGAGGATCGGAGCGGAGCCCGAGAATTGAAGCGCCGCTGCCTCGCATCTCTGCCTGCAGCAGCCACACACATACACACCCACACTTCACCGCCCCTGCACGATCACACCTCGACTCTTTGCCGTACGTTGGTCCATCGGCTGCTATACCTCCGTATCCGTAGCCCGCCCTTCTTCATTGTGCTGCTTCCGCTTCCAAAAGGGGTGATACATCCTTGCGGACCATTCTTCCACCTTCGTCGGCCGCCTGCCAACCTCATCTCCCTGCTGCGCTCAAACGGCAGAGCTCCTTTGCCTTTTGCACCATTCGCCATGCCTCATTGAGACACGTCAGGGATTCGATGCGCTCTTAATCTGCTCTACCTATCCTTCGCATTCGGCCATACCTTCACCTTGGATTCTCGAATACATTGGCCTCCTCTCTCGCTGCCGTCATGACGGAGTCGACGGCAGGAGCCATGCTCTCACTACCCCCCCTAAGCGCCTCTATTCCAGAAGGTACATCTTCCCTACGGCCTCAACCAGCACGTGCTCTGAGCAATCTCAGCTCTCGATCGTCCTCTCCGCACCCCTCCTCCCCTTCTACCCTCGCTACATCCCCCTTCCGCGAGACTGGACCAAGCGATTCGGAGAGAGACACCACTCACAGTCTTCGACTTCACGGCGATCGCAGTAGTGCCTCCCTAGCGCCCCCTACGCCTACTCAAGCGGGTGACACAGGAGTCAAGTCACTCAAGAAGCGACCTTCTTTCTTTGAATACGTCCGACAGAGATCCAGCAAGCAGAATCTCAAGGGCGGCTGGGAAAGCACAGAGCATGCGACAGCCCATCAGAATGGCCATTGTCACCAGCAGCGGTCTGGCAGTCCACAACCTTTGCTCGACGAGAGCGATGCGGGCTCAAAACCGATAGTCGCCCAGTATGGAGGCACGACAGCGTCTTCTTCAGGGCATGGGTCCTCGATGTCTCATCACGGTGTGCCCCAACGCATGTCAAGCAGAGATTTTCGGCAGCATGCTAACACATCGAGCGAATTACTCATCCCAAGCGAGACTTCCCCAAGCAGCAGCAGCGCAGCTGGCACGATGGGCCCTCACGATAGCGAAAGTCATCTGCAACAGCCCAGCATTGCCTACTCGGACGGCCAAATACCTTCTGGCTCTGCACAAGTCTCCATGCGCGAGATCCGTCGCGCAGCTGCCTCGAAGCTGGACGCATCCCAGGAAGCACCCCCTAGACGTCTCTCTATGCTCGTTCCCCCGGGCTACGCTGCAGCTTCAGCATCATCCTCTCCGAGTAGCTCACGTCGTCCGAGTGCAACTGGTCTTGCGCCGCTGTCGCCTCGCTCGCCGGTGATGAGCCGCCTGTCGAGGGGCAGCGACGAGGCTGCGGAAGATGATGATTCCCACGATGAAGCGGAAGGTAGCACTGCCCGCAACACTGCAGCCAGAAGGCGATTGACGATGATGGACTTCCTGTCTACTGGTGAATCATCGGGCCCATCTGATCCACGCGATGTGCCTACGTCTGCCGCCTCGACCTCTGCAACACCAACGTCCTCCAGATCGGGCCCCTTCGAGTCTCTACGGACATCACCTACTCGCATCAGACAAAGGCCCAAATCCCTCCTAGTGGACCCATCTGCACACAACGAAGCGGGAGCCGAGCCCACTCCGGCATCTACACTGGATCCGTTCCTTGGCAATAGGTCAGCCAACGGCTTCGCTCGCAAACATCCCCTGCGGGTAGACACTTCTACGTATACCACTGAGGCCCCTGCGCAAGCTTCGCAAAGGCGCACAGCGGACGAAGGTGTGACTCTGTCAGTCAAGCCGATGACGGATATAATGACGATGTTCGGGTCTACACAAACGAGCGCAAACTACTCACTCTCTGGCAGCGTTGAGATCTCTCTGCCTCGCCCTCAGAGGATGGAAAAGGCACTGAGAACGGGAGTTGTCCAAGGAAGCGGCTCGGATCGTTCGTCTAAAACTGGGCAACCCGTTGCAGAGGAACCGAGTGGTAGCCTGCCTGGTGGAGTTGCAAATCAGGATGGCAATCCAATTTCCTCCCCACTTCAAGAAGCCTCGCAGCCCGACCTACAAGCGCCAATGACGGTGAAGGAACTACATATCGCCTTCAATGGCTACTCGACCTATGCAGATCACTCAGGCCGCTACTCTGGCATTCGGCTCTGCGAAGTGAAGCAAGACTTGCTCCCAGCGGAGGCTACTTTGCCTCTTCCAGCCGACCTGCAGCCATCGCAGCAACGGCGGGGCAGTGCCGAGACATCGCCCGAAGAGCCGCTGAAGTACGAAATCCAATTCGACCTGAGTGTGCCTGGATGGCTACCTGGGAGCGCCTACTCTCGCTTTGGCTCGACTTTCTACTGCCTCAGTGCGACTGCTATCGTGCTGGATAGCTCTGGTCGAGAGATGCTTGTACGCGGCGCTACCAGAGACCCATCCTCTGCCTCTTCAAATACTCGAAGCATGGGATCGGCCATTGATGACCGTGTCGCGAGCCAGCGACGCACGAGTAGTCCTTTGCTAGGACTTGTCACATCTCCAAGTGAGGTTCGTGGAGGACGCAGTGGCAGAAGTAGTCCTACCGGCCCATCGGATGGCTTCAACGAGCTGGTCCGTACGGTCAGCGAGACCGGCAAGGTGCAATTGCAGCCGGTGCCGAAGCAGAAGAGCAAGCCGAGCTGGTTGACGCAGAAGGCCAAGGCGATCTCACTCAAAGCCAGAGCCACCTCATCCAGTGCAGCTAGCGGAAGCGGCAGTGTCGCAGCGGGCACTCGAGGCGGTACCAGCCCTGTAGGTCGCATCACGATCCCGCGCACTGATCAAGCAGGCACCAGAAAGCTGCCAGATGGGACTTACGAGGTCAAGAGCAAGAAGCAGCTCATCATTCTTCGCAGGTGCCGAGACGTCGTCCCTGTTCCAGTAGCGCGTATGGCGATCCTAGGCGATAATGTTCCAGCTGGTGCTCAAGATCTCCCCAGAACAGTGTTGCCTGTGGCTTCAAGAATACTTGACAGCAATACCGTTGTGGCGCCTCCGACGGCTGCGCCAGCGACAATGCTAGAGCCTGCTCAGGCTGCTGTGCAGCCAGCGAGGGAGTCGGAGCCAGCAACAGAGGCATCCCATCCAATTCGAGCCGTCTCGCAACCTCCACCGATTGCTACTGAGACTGCTGCCACTGTCGCTGCAGCTCCAGCAGTGTCTGCGCCGGGAGCTGACATTAGTGCCCCAGTAACAGAATCCAACACGGAATCAGTTCCTGATATTGCTGATGCAACTCCACCTGCTGCAGCTTCGATCCCTCCCAACCCTGTACCGTCTCCTTCGACAGCTCTCAATGCGCCTTTTGACCCAGCCAAGGCACCTAGCATCAGTCAAGCTCCGGATGCCCCAGCAAGGACGAGTTCCACTGCAGACCTCTTGGACCAGTCAGGGCCGCGGACTACTACCTCCTCTTCGACAGATGGAGGAGTTCCGATGCGACACTTCCTGCATCGACCAATCTTGCATCCCCCCGTTGATTCCGGCATTCAGGAAGGCCAAGGGCTGCCGTTCAGTTTGACCATCTCAGTACCTTCTCATATCCAGGTACAAGGCGCAGACGTGCTCACCTTTGGTGTACAGGTCGAAGTTGGTCGGTCTTTTGGCTGGGCCAAGGTCAGAGAGTTGGGTGGTTTGCGTCTGAGGGACATGGAGCTGGTCTGTCTACAGACTGAAAGGCATACATCAGTCCCTTCGAGGACTTTCTGCTCCACCTTCCCTGTACCTGCCGAGCCCAAGATTGCAGCAGCGGATCTGCCCATAGTACCCGAGTACACACCGCCCATCAATAATCGCCGTGTAGCCTCTTCGCAAGAAGCCAGGGTCAGAATCGGATATGATCCGGCCCCCATTGCGACGTACCTTTCCATGGCGGAAGCTGGTAACCCCGCACCTGTCGAGAACAACGAGGTCGAAAGAGTCAGAGCAGGCGTCGTGGGCCCACCTCCGAACTTCAAGGCGAACAAACAACGAGAGAGGATCTTCGAAGATGGGTCAAGCAAGGGCAAGGAAAGACGACCGGAGCAGGCACAGCGTAGCAGCAATGCTCGAGCGCTCAGCGATGAGCCACCTCCAGGTAGAGCCAGCGGAAGTCGCAGAGTATCTGCCGCCACATCTGGTGCTACGTCATCAGGACGAATGACCAGCTCTGCATCTACTTCCCAAGGTCTTGCTGCCGGCAATTCTGTCGATGGGGTCGGCTCGACTAGTCGCAGACCTTCCACTCGAGCTGCTATTCCCGCCCTTTACGGCGTCCCTTCCGCCCCGGCGTCTGTCCCGCGAGGTCAGTCTGAGGCAAACGATCACACCAGCGCTACTCGACCAGCGGAAGGTCTGGGAGCGGGTTCTGGCGCCGAAGGCGGTGCATCCAGCGGAGCAGAAGCTGCCAGTCCAGATGGTAGGAGAAGCGGACGCGGACGCAGAGCTTACGAAGCGACAATTCGAGGTCTGAGCGCCTTTGCTACCGCCATGTTGGAGGCAGGATTTGAGGAAGCCGGGCCTTCGACACCCTATGCGCCTCTGGGAGGACAACATGATTCTTTCCCCAATGGGGATCAGCCGAGAGCGTCCTACAGCTTCCAAGGCGACGACGGGCATGGTGTCGATCTTACGAAGGGCCGGGTGAGGATGACCGTCAATCTACCTTTGGTGTCCTCTTCGGCCACTATGGCTCGGAGGGAGGCCAGCCCGCAACTTCTGCCGGACTACGAGTCTCCACACATGCGCGTCAGGCACAAGCTCAAGGTCAAATTAGGCTTTGGATTCGGACCCAAGCCATTGGCGGGTGATGGAGAGTGGGGCCAGTCTCTGGTGATGTGTGTGCCAGTGCGCTTTACAGACGCTCCTCCGAAGGAGATCAGTGACCAATTTGCGCCTATGCCTATCACCATGACGTCCGCTGGGGAAGCCGATGCGGGAGTTATTCAGCCGATCATCTCTATGGCGGATCCCAACAGCGCTCCCGTTCTGCCTGCTTATACGCAGTTGTTCAGAGACGATGGCTCCCGACTGAATGAGGCAGAGGATCTTCCCGCCTATCCGGGACCGAGAAGAGGTGGAAGCGCAGCCAATGGGAGCGGCGGAGTGGCCATGAGACCGACTCTGTCTTCTAGAGGATCTGTCACTGGTCCTCCACGTCTCACTAGGAGGGGGACTTACGGCGAAGTAGGAAGAGGCGGTGCCAGACCCACCCTCTCAGCGCGCGGCTCTGTCACAGGTCCTCTCCTCCCTCGCGCCTCGACCAACAACGGCAGAGGCGTCGGAGATGAAGAGGATGATGACGAGCTCGAGCTCCCCTTGGATAATTCTCTGGCCCCAGAGCAGGTGGTAGATGAAGCACTCCGCAACATCACCGACCCGGATGAGTCTAGGGCGGAGATGCGGGAGCAGGAGAGGGAGATGGCGGAGCTGGAGAGCGAAAGGGACTTGATGCTCTCTGCTGCTGCCTTGAGGGATGAAGAGACGAGGGCAAATACAGAGGAGAGCAGCGCTGAGGGTGATGGTGAAGGGGAGGGTGAGGATGAGCCAGCAGCCATTGTCAGGTTCGAGTCACCGCAGGGCGTAGACGAGGGAGGGGACGAGGTAAACGAGAGCTTCTTGGATGCCGACGAGGTTGACAGGCTCACAGGCACAGAGGCTGGCTTGACTATGTCTCCTTCGACGTACGAAGCCAGGACGCGCCAAGGTCGAGGTGAGGCTGGTTTGTCCGGGCTTGGCCAGTGAGCTCCATCGGCCATCAGCAAGTACGGCATTCAGCGCGGCAATGCTCGAGAATGCCAGTTGAGTCCATGTTCTTCTTCTTCGCCCTGTACGGTTGCTTTGTCATCTCTGCTCTTCGCTTGTCTGGTCTGCTTCTTGGTGCGCCTTGCGATCCCATGTACGTTATAGCGTCCTTGGCTCAGCAATACAGTACGCTCATGTCGTGCCTTTGCACAAAGCTCAATGCCTCTCATGCCGATTCGTAGTCACCACGCAACGTCAGCTTCCGAAGGACGCTCTGGCCTGCTTGCCACTTTACTTCAAAATGACCCGCCAGCCCCATACCATTTGGCACACGTGTCGCGTCAAGGGTCACAGAGCGCTGTCTGCTTGCTTCCCGAAGCAACACAAGCTTGCAAAATCTCGGGACGTAGATAAGGATGGGGCAACTGGGGATTTGCGAGGGTACGAGGGCACAAGGGGGCAAAGGGGGTAAAGGGCCTTGCACTATTTTCATCGCATTCACAGAATGGGCCACAGCAACTTGCACAGCAACTTGTGGTTGGTGGAGGGCGCTAGAGGATCCATGGCTCCTCCGGCGATTGATAGTTCCAATGTACAATTTTTATGTATGTATGCATGTATGTATGTATGTACTGTATGTATGTAGGCGAGAGAGCAAACAGCAGTCGTGGTAGCTGTACCTCCCCCCGAAATGGGCCCTTTTCTCTCTCTCTCTCTCTCCGAAATTTGCTTCATCGAGATTTCGCACGAGAGGGTAGGAGGGAGGGAAGAGGGTGTTGTAGAACGCGGTAGGCGCAGTTGCTGTGGAAGCCCAGTCATCATCACCGGACAAAAGAGAAAAAGGGGGATAGGGCGCGTCATTCTCACTGCCAAGTTTTCGGGATGGGGGGAAGCGAGGGGAGAGAGTCCTGGGGCAAAGAATGGCCTTGCAGCTGCAGCAGCACCACCACCACGAGGCAGAAGCAGCCGAGACGAAGGATGGATGCTCGCTCCCACGCGGCTCTCCTCCTCCTCCTCCTCCTCCCCCGCGCCTCGGAATTCTGCACACCAGGCAGCACATCAGCGTCAGCTCCCACGCCGGCAGGCAGGCAGGCACACATTCACACTTAGGCGAGGTTGGCCTCTCCAGACCAGGAGCCAGGAGTCCCGTGTCGGAGAAGTGGGCCTGCAAAAGAAGCACACGGCACAAACAGCAGAGATTCCGTGGGTAGACTAGTCCGTGGTTCAGGGCAGCCGCTTTCCTCGTGGGCCTCAGGGGTGAAGGTGTGCGTGTGCGTAGAGGTGTATAGGCGGTCAAGCCGCTCTGTGCCTGCTCTCCTCTCCATCGAGGCAGAAGCATGTCGCCGCGGCCCCTTTGACCTACAGAGGAGCATCCCGGCAAAGGAGCCGCCCAGTCAGCAAGCCGCTGATGCAACAGGAGCCAGAGGCATAGCCCATCCCGCATGGACGCCTGGCCTTGGCTGCGTGGGGTGCGTGTTGCAGAGAAGTCGAGGCGGTAGGATGGGCCTGGGAGGTAGCGTGGATCGGAACGGGGGGCGGGAGGAGGGCAAGTCTGAGACACGCTCCCATCCTCGCCTCTTGGCCCCCTTGCTTGCTTGCCTTGGCTTCCGCTCACCTCAGACTGCAACACTCATCCTATCCCTCTTCACTCCCTCTCTCTCTGCCTTTGTGACCATTTGCTTCACCACCTCCTATCCACCACGCCCCCCTCTCATTCCTTCCCCCCTCCTCCCCCCCCTCCTCCTCTTCTTTTGTTGCCAAGCATCGGCGCCTTTCAGGCTCCTTCAGGCACACATTGGCCCCCCTCGCGTCTTTACCGCCGCGGCCCTGCCGGCCTTCGTGGCTCCCCCCTGGCTGAGAGCATCCCCTGCTTCTAGACTCGTCGCATCATGCTACCTCTTCGCGACGCCTCTGCCACACCTCTGTGCTGCGTACTCGGCCAATGCTCACAAGCCTCATCATCTCAAGCTATCTCCCTACATCCACCACTAAGCGACACCCCGAGACCTCTGCGATCTAATCCCCCATCGAGGTCCCATTCCTCTCAAACCCTCCCGGCCCGGTCCCGGCGGATGCGGGCGGTACCTAGTGCGAGTGCGATCGCAAGCTCAGCATCAGAGCCCCTGCCTTGTACCTCGCAAGGGCCTGCTCTCAATCGCCTACTCTCGTGTACCACTTCCTTGCCACCACAACATCGATCCATTGCAGGATCATCCTTGTCAAAGCCAACTTGCCAGGACGAGCAGAAGCATATTGCAGCTCTTCCAAATATTCTTCCTCCGCGTAGTACTCCTGACTCTGCTCGTCGGCAACCTCGTAACACGCCCGCTTCTACCTGGGAAGGACGTCAGTCGTATACAAGGAGGTTCAGAAGCAGTAGTGACGCGCAGATCACTACGGCCTCTCATGCCGCACCGATGGCTCATCATGATACCTTGAAGGGCGCATCCTCGCCTGCAGCAGCAGCATCATCATCTTCAGCATCTTCAGCATCGACTTCCTCTCCTCACAGCATCAGCAGACGCCCGAAGCGTACACTGGCATCTTCTAGAGGTGGCTCTTCCCTGTTCCACATGCTGGTCACAATGGCTGCAACAGTCGTGGTCTCGTTGGCATTCCTGAACCCCTCTTTGGCAAGCGCCCATGACACAATCTCAAAGAGACACCCTAGCTTTGGCCTCTCCCCTCGCGAGCTGTCCAAGAGGGCATTGCCTGCCACCTACAATGATTTCGTCGCTCCCTTGCGCAAGAGACTGGGGACCGACAACATCTCAGCAGAAAACCTCGTGGATCTCAACTTGTCGCCCCCCGCCACTTGCTCCACGCTAAACATAACATGGGACCCTACCAAAGGTACTGCGCCGTTCACGCTCGCAGTCTTTGCTGAGCTGTGGTTCCCTCTTGCGATTGTCAACAGTGAGTATCTTGAAGGGGTAGCATGCTATGCAGAACGTCAAGAGGACTGGTCTGACCTCTTCACGCGCCCTTTCGCCACCGCCTTTTAGTCCCAGCGTCGTACGCAGACCCCGATCTGAGCTTATGGCTCTACCAAATTGAACTTCCCCAATTCCAGGCCGGACCAATCGAAGTCGGCAATACTCCAACCATCTACGCTGCCATCACTGACTCGTCTGGCCGCATGGCCAATACCTCGTCCTTCATTACTGTGGACAATTCAGACACCTCTTGCGCTCGAGATAGCACGCCCCTTGAATTCGACACATGGTCTACTGGTGGGCCAGTGCAATGCCACTCTTGGCAGCTGGGCTGGAACGTCAGTGGTCCCAACTTTGTAGGCCCTTTGGTGGGGATGATTCTACCAGAGAGACGCCCTCCGATCCTCCTGAGTCCCCCCGAGAACCTCATTCTTGACGCGGACGGGACAGGCGGGATGAATTGGACGGTGGCAATCCCTGCCGGCACATACATCACCTATGCTATGATTGATGGAGGTACAGGAGGAAGCGGTGGGATTGGCGGGAAGAACTTGGTAGGCTCTGATCAGGTGAGTGTGGTAGAGCAGTCTACTGATTGATTCCGGCCGAGCGGTGAGATCGAATTACTGACCCCCGCTCCGCTTCTGTTGCTTAGTATTCTAACACTGCTTGTGTTCTCGAGAATCCAATTGGTCTCGCCACTCCAACCTCGACTGTTGCAAAAATGACAGTCACACCGGACTTGTCTACTGCCATTGTCACCACTGCCAACGGCGTGGTGACGACCATACACACGGTGATTCACAATGCTGGCGCTGGTTCAGGCGGAGGATTCGGCACTGGCTCCATCGTCGGCATAGCTCTGGGTCTTGGAGCAGCGGCCGGAATCCTCATTGCCCTGGTCTTCTTGACCATCTACAAGCGGCGAGAGAAGAGGCGGGAAACACGGTGGGAGATGCCGGGTGGCAGCGACTACCCGAAGGGCATGCCTGTTGATAGGAGGTTCGTCGCCAAAGGCAACAAGAAGAGGGGCGCAGAAGGTGGTCCGACAAAGAATGGGCCTGGAAGTGGGCTCACGTTGAACATAGGCAACGCCTTGGGCGGAGGAAGCAACACCGATACCCCTGGAGCCTCTTTCGCGAGAGGGCAATCGCTACGTGGCTCCTTCCGAAGTCTAGGCAGTTCGGTATACGATCCTCGCGTCGACCTTGATTCACCGAGCAGCAGTCCGCCTACGCCCGCAAGACCCATCATGGGCGAAGCGCTTTATTCAGACGGCTCTCTTCGAAGCGCCGACAGCACACAGCCCGGCTTCTTTAGCAATAGGTCCAGAACAGAGGGGCTGGCTCACGATGAGAGGGACACTCTGATAGTGGCGAACCCGTCGACGTCTTCTCCAGTGGATCCCTTCCACGGCAAGAGAGGCAGTATTGGCTCGCCTAGAGGCGGCTCTTCGAACCTTGCTTCGGCCTATCGGAGCGTTCTAGGCACACCCGAAGCATCTGCCGAGGGCACATACGAGGACGTGCAGCTGCACGATCGCAGACCGTCCCGCAGAAGCAACAGCACTGGGAGGGACATGCCGTATCGCAGCGCTTCATCCGGAGCGGATAGCGCTTCGAATCTGTCTACGTATACGCCCTCGTCAAGAGGCGCCATTCCCCGTCCACGTCGAGGCCATTCTTCACGAGATGATGGTGCTCCTCCACTTCCGGCCTTCCCTGAAGCCTATCGACGCTCACCGGCCCCTTCTTCCGTCGGCGCAGCCAACTCTCACTCTACCACGCCCGGCGGAACCCTTCGGAGCGGAAACGTCATGATCCACTCGGATGCCGGTATGCTCATGGATGACCGCTTGAGCGACGATGAAGAGGGAGGCGACCAGGGCGAATTGCTTGAATTACCACCGCAATACGCCTCTCTACCCGCCCGGGCTCACTCCACTGCTGGACGTCCAGGCGCATCTGGCGGCAGAGCCGGTGGAGCAGCGGCAGGGCGACACGACTCGGGCGCTCAGACTCTTTCGGCTGCTACTGGAGCTCACGCTGGACGTGCATCTGCAGCTCGCAATCGTCCCCGAGGCCCGACTGGAGATCAAAAGGAGAACGAGGAGGGCGCAACACTACCATCGCCCATGACGGGTGCGAGTATCCAGGATCCCTTCCAGGAGCAGACTACTCCTAGGAGAACGCAGCGGAATACAGGTGCTGGTAGAGGTGGGGCAGTTTCAGATGGGGAGACGGAAGAGGATGCTGCTCAACGCGCGGAGCGGGGCACGCTCGACCGCTTCGTCGGAGATGAGGACGATGATGCTTTCTGGCTACCTAGAGGTGCTGGATAAAAGGCATGAATGTATGAACGCATGAACACTTACTCCTTTTCTTGGTCATTACTTAGATCGCCTTTGCTACCTCTGCTCTCTTCGTCACTTATCAGCACTTGAATCAATGAGCACCGTTTAACCCCCTTACTCTCTGCGTGTGAGATCTCTCAATTGCTCAAGTATGGAAGCTCATACCGTTCTGTGAATGCAAATGGGCTGTTGTGTGGATGGTGATGAGTGATGACTAATACAAGTACAGTACAGGTTTCCACCTGAGCAGGTTGCCCGCTGCTCCCGCTCCCCTAGCCTGCGCTGCCCTTTGCCCCGCTCTGTGAAAGGAGCCCAGCCGCCTCGAGTGCATCGCGAGCTACACGGTTGATCAACTGTACGAGTGGCAGAGAGAGAGCAGGAAAGACAGAAGGTCAGCAGCGTAGTCTCGTTCGGGGAAGAGGACTGCGTGTTTTACAAAAAGTACGACGCTGAGAGGCTCCACTCACCTTGAAGCGATCTGCGCCTAGATGGATTCCACCGTAGTAGCGGGTGACGACGACGAGGGCATTGTCCAGGTGCTGAAATGGATAGCAAAGGGGAAAAATGGTTAGTGCAGTCCCAGTCTTGGATGAAGAGGAAGAAGGAGGAAGGGAGACCACAAGGGCTGGTAGTGTCAAGCTAGACTCACCAGCATCTCAAGGAGATGAGCCAAGCGCCCTCCAGCAGCACTCTCTCCATCGTCATCACAGTCTCTATGTACGACCTTTCTCCCCTTCTCGTGGTTCCCTCCTCCTGTAGCTTCTCCCGACTCGGTGCAAGCCCAGGCCCTCATGAGTGGATGTGTTGCCTTTTCCATTCGTGGATACAGGTCGAGCAGAGACTGTAGCAGTAGTGGCACCTCTTCTGCCCGGTCAAGGCGGATCGCGTGACCTATGAAGGTGGACTTGCGCTCTAGGAGGGGGGCGGTCGAAGTCCATTTCTTCGAGGAGATGAGCCTTTGGAGCTCTGCATCTGCTACTGACGAGCCAGTCTTCGGCCGCGAGACGGCTGGTCTTGGTTTGCCTTCTTCGTCTTGAGAAATCACAGTGGGGCTCGTCTCGCTGCCACCCCCTGAGGAGACTACTGCTCCTACTGCACCTCTTCCGTCTTTCTTCCTCCTCTCCTCTTCCCTCTTCTTTTGCTGCTTGTACCATTTCTCAACCCGCTCCTTGACGCTCTCGCATCCTTCAAAGAGGACCACTTCCCCGCTCTGCCACTGCACGCCTGCTCCTTCCCTACCCCCTACGCTCGGCCCATCGCTATGGTGGAAGAAAGTCCGCAGGACCTGACCGAAGAGGGATGCGTCGACTTCGTAGTCGCCTATAAAGCGATCCAGGAGCTGAAGCTGGGGTGCGGAGCTGGAGGAAGGGTAGGAGGGAGGGAGAGTGATGGACAGACGCAGAGAAGTAGGAGGAGCGGAGGACGAGGAACCAGAGGGGACATTGGGCAGGTCGAGCGGCAAGTCCAGAGCGAGCCGGACCTTGCAACTCGGCTGCCACTTCTGCAATGACTGCTTCTCCTGCCCATTCTGGGATTCGGCACTCGAGGCGTACAGCGACACGACCTTCAGCGCTGCCGGATCGTCCAGAGCGTAGATGGACTGGAGCGCCAAAAGCTCATCCGCCAATTCCTGGTAGGAAGTGGACTCTTCTGCATCTGAAGTGCAAGCAGCTGCTGATAGCTGGGCTATCAGGTCGTCTACGAGCATCAGGAATCGAAATTGGGGCCAGGGTCGCCGCTCCTTGCTAGGAGGTTCAGCTTCGGACGGACAGAGGGGGGTAGGGTAGGCAAGCAAGAAATGGGTGGGCGTCGGACCGGAAGCAGGACCGGAAAGGGAGCCAAATCTGGGTCTTCACGCCTTGTGGAGGAGGGTTCGCCATAGGGGCCTTCGCTCCCATCTCTCTGTGCCGATCATCTCAATTTCAAGTATACTGCGACAAGACTGCGACAGGAGGTGTCGTGACTCCGAGGATCTATCTCCCACCCTGTCATGCGACTCAAGATGCCCACCCTTGTAACTCTCCAGCAACCCGCACTCATCCCGTGAAAGGAAGCAAAGTCCCATGAAGTGCTCGCTGACCGGGTCCCGAGGCCCGCAAGATCAAGTGCGCCTTTCATTAGCAGTGAGGTATATCTGAGTCACAATCACATCCTCCCCAGCAGGGACCGTTGATGTCGCAAACGTCGCAGTCAACCAGACGCGAAGACAGCTCTCCAGCTTTTGGGACGAGGAGAGACAGGCGGACAGACAGACCGGGTCAGATGAGGTGTGCTCTTTCTCGTCGTTCGGGAGGTGCTACTCACCTTGGTGAGAAGGAAGAGCAAATGCTGCCGCTGCGAGTACGATGCTTAGCAGGAAGACTCGAGGAGCTTGGAATCGCATAGTGATCTGGTCGTCGGTCTGAAGGGAATCTACGAGTATGTGTGGCGCAGAAGATGAGGAGGCCTAGAGGCTGTAGGAAGAGTCGAGGTTTACTCGATGGTGTCTGAGCCTCCCGTATTTATAGCCAGCGAATCGGCTCAGTCCGTCCGGTGTGTCGGTCAGAAGGCGACAGGCCCGGAATTTTTTGGGACCTTGCTACGAGGAGACCGTCGAATTTCCCGAGATGCGTAGCCATGTGCCCGAACTTCGGTTGCGCCGATTCAGGGCGGGTATTAGGGACGCGAAGAACTGCAAGTAGGTACACAAAGGTACACAAGTCGATACAGGTCCAACCGTTGGGGCAGACCGTTGCGCTCGCAGGAGCGCAAGAGCTAGGAGGTACAACACAGTGCCAACTGCGAAGATGTGCCTTGCGGCAACGCAGCTCTGCCTCCCCTGCTTTGTAGCACTTCTGAGCGACCAGTGTGGCTAAGTGACATCACACAAAACTGATCGAACAATGTCGAGACACAAGAGCATGCCTTCTGGCCATGTGGCATTCAAATACGATTCGACAAGCGGCCGGTTTTGAGATAACATGGACTCAAGAAGAGAGATACAGCGCCATCAGCGCCTGCTATTCGACCAAGCTGCTGCTCCCTCCTCCGCAGTAAGTTATTGACCGAATGGGCTTCTCCAGCGTAGGTGCAGGGTAGCATAGAGTATGAGCTGAGCAGCTGCGCCGCAAATCCTGATGATGCGCCATTCAGTGCGGGCAAAGCCTCCAATCACAGATGCAAGGACTCGAATAACAGCCGCTGTTCTTGTCGCAAACGTTACAGTCATCATCACGTCGCAATTCTGCTGCCTCGAAGCAAAGGGACAGATCATCAGTCACTGTTCACTGATTTATCTTGATTGAGGTTGTCACTTACCGTAGTTCGATGGGACCGCCATTACTGCCGTCATGAGTACGGCGCTGAGCAAGAGAAGTCTACAAGTCGAGAATTGCATGGTGATCAGGTGGTAGGTTTGAAGTTATTGTCGAGTGGATGAGGTGTACTAGGTGCAGAGGACGAGTAGCAGAGAAGGCTGTTGATGACCCCTCGATGGGTACCCATGGCGGCCGTTGATATAGGCAGCAGGCTGCTTTGTTCGCTGGCTGAGCCAGCACGGAGCCGACCATCCCGGAGTAAACTCGGGGCTTGGCGACCGGGGAAGCGCACTTTTGGCTGTAAGCCCGGGTCAGGTACCTGAAGCCGGGCTGTGCACATAACAGGACCGGTTTCAGGGACGCGAGTATGACGCAGGTCCGAACACCGGGTCGGGCACTCTCCAGGTCCGGCGGACGCTGCCTTCGTCAGTACGATTGTTGCCCAGGATCAGCCTGGACGACGCTCTGTTTCCGTCTCGATCCCTGCTTGACGATCGAGCAAGGAACCCCAGTGACTCACTCTCGAGCGTCGGAGACTCCCTCAGCACATTCCCAGCACTGCTCCCACACATTTGTAAGGGCACGAGAGATCAGAATGTCATCATATTGGAATACAGTCTGCCCAGAGCTCTTGGCTCCTATAAGATGAGGACACATAGAGCGCTATAAGATGAGGGCACATAGAGCGCTATAAGACGAGGACACATAGAGCGCTATAAGACGAGGGCACATAGAGCGCTACAATATTTCTCTACTGACGTTGCATGTGAAAGATGTTTCGCACAGTAGCTAGCCAGAGGGCCGAAGCAGAAAAGGAGCGCTCAGTAGTCGTGCTCCAGGCTTGCACTCGGAGGGTGCTTCTTGCACGGACTGAGCGTGGGATTGCAGTAGCAGATGCCCTGTGTCGTGAGGGTCGATAGGCATGGAGACAAGAGAGTGTGAGTCCGTGAGTAGCTTTTCTTCAGAGGCCAAAGCGTGACATAGTCACCTCACCTTGTAGCAAGGGGACAAAGCATGGCAGTACTCAGCAGGACGGCATACACCGGGCTCATCCTGTCGGATAGAGAGACCGACAGAAGCGGGTCGCTCGCTGATGGCGGCTCCTTGAGCTAGGAGAGGCACTGCGAGAAGCAGCAGTCCGAAGGTGATAAAGCGCATCGTGAGGTTGTAGGTGTGTCGAAGATGTCAGGATGTTGGAGTGCAAGGAATAGGTGGGTGTATAAGTCACAAAAGCAATGCCCCGCGCCACTGCAGGGGTGAGGTGGATTTCCGAGGGCACAGGGTCCGGCTCGCTGCACCCGGAACTAATCAGGGCGCAAATGAGGTGAGGGGCCGCGGTTCGGCTGTGGTCTAGCGGCAAAGGCAAAGAGCAACCCCCCGGCGATCTACGACACGGTGCCTCGACTTCACTCGGCCGGTCAGCGAGACAGCAAAGGAAAGGCGTTTCATTGAGCTGTTCCGGATCCGTCGATTGTGGCCCTACATCAACGACTGGCTGCTTGCTATAGTCAGCGCCTCGTCACTACACATGTCCACGCACTTTATGTAGGAAAACAGGACACGTCACATATATTCTGCACATTTCATGATCGGGATACATTCGTTCGCGCGAGACAGCGGCTCATCGCCTCCGCTGGAGAGCCCTCTCGGCCTGCCCCAGCCTTGGTGGTGCAGGAGGTCTGGCTCTCACCAAGGCTCACCAGCGCCAGACCTAGGCGGGGCATGGTGGGGCATTGGGATCCTTGAGGCCGCAATGGCAGGCTCCCTGTATGTCGTGGCAGAGCAGGTATGAATGGTCCTTGTTGCTTAGCGATACATCCGGCGAAGCCACACACCACACTACTGTCGCATCCTTACCTTATAGCAGTCCTCATTGCTCGGATCACAGTCCTCGTATGGGTAGCAACCGTCGTTGCCAGCGCCCTGTCGACGGGCGAGTCCGGCTGTGAGGGCCAAGAGGTCACGGAAAGAGTGTCAATGATGAGAGCGACTACGCCACGTAGGGGTTGGTGTGCTCACTAAGTCCGGTGGAGGGTCCACGGGTGGCACCCATGGCGAGGAGGGGCAGGGCTGCCAGCATGACTAGAAGGATGGAGAAGCGCATGATGATCTCGTTCAGGCTTTGATCGATCGATACAGAGGGAGTTGAGGTTGGAGTAAGCAATCTCAGGACGAGCAGACGTACTTATATATGGCACAGGTGGGCGCACGCCGAATTTCTAGCCGTCGGACCGTTTGGTCGTCAGGAACCCGTCCCACATTACCGCTCAGGGCAGCGAGCGGATCCTGCGGGCTTGGCAATGTGTGCGACAGGGGCTTGAGCCGGTCAAAAGCTCATGACTACAATACGGGAATCTCAATGACACAGCTCGCCAAGCAAAGCAGCGAACGAATCCGACTTCGTCGGTGCTCCGTCTACAAAGCTCCTAGCTACGGAGGTGCGGTGCCAAACAAATGGTTTGAGGTGACCGCAAGCCCGTGCTGTGTGCTTTTCTAACGCTCTTGTGCCTGGGGTAGGACCGAAGGCAAGCCCGTAGAGCAGCGAAGGTCACAGCCGAAATTGGTCTCGGACGTGCTGCCACCACTCCTCGTCATGGTATACTGGCTATCACGCAGCCAGTGAGCCCAGATCTCATTGCCCGGGACCGGTCAATCAGGTTCCGGTCGGAATTCACGGCTCATAGTGACCGGAGCATCCGATTCCGTGTCTTACATATTCGAATGTGCTAGTACATCGATCACTTGGGAGGACATCCCACGAAGACAGTATTCATTGGAACAAGATGGCAAGGGAAGACATGGCAGTACGGGCTGGCAGATCTCGTGCTCACACCCGACGTCGTACAAAGTGCTCAGCGAGCTTCGCCTGAAGAGACGAGTCGGCTTTGGATGGAGCTCATGAGCCCCAGAACTAAGGAGGGCATTGCGGGAGATTAGGGTTGCGCCTGTTGCAATAGCACGGCCCCTGTGATGGTCGGAAAATGCATAAAGGAAAGAAATCAACAACAGCTCCGGTCAGAGATTCTACATGCGACGAGTGCACGCTCTTACCCTGTAGCAATCAATGTTTCGCGTATCGCAGTACTGGCGCTCGTAGCATCCATCGGTGTTCCTGCCCTGTCGTGGAGAGAGTTCGACTGTGGCGGAGGAGAAGCAGCGTGAGGCTGGCGTTAGCGAGAGCGATTGTGCCAATTTCAAGAGACTTTGCTAACCAAGGTCGGATTGTAAGCCAATAGTACCCCCGATGACCAGGAGGGGCATGGCGGAGAGCAGGATTGCAAAGACGGAGAAGCGCATGGTGATGTGTTTTGGTAGAGGTGTGATTGTGAAAGGGGATGCAGCTATCAATGGGTGCAGCAGCGCAAGGTATCCTTCTTTTATATCGAATCCGGCCTCCCAGACATGGTCCGATGCCTGCTCGGCGCAGTGTCCCGTATCCGGACCACCGAAGAGTCAGGAGCACGGTCCAAAATGCCGCCCAGGGCAGCGAGCGGGTTCGCATGGCTCGGAGATTACTGAAGCAGGAGGTTGGTGACGTCAAATGATTGCGAGCGACGAAATCAGAGGCTGGCAGCAAGCGCAACATGCGCTCCCTTGTCAATAGTTCAATTCAGGCTTCGTCGGTCGTGCGAAGTAGCCTAGGAGGTGCGGAGCATGCAGGGAGCGCAAAGCTGGGACCTCAGGCGGAGATCTCTGCTCGCTCTTCAGAATCACCAAATCGCTTGCTTCGGACATTGTACGTGCGAGAAATGGTGCAAGGACCTCAGATTGCCCTCCACCGGCTGCCCCGATCCCGTGATCCGGGCCGGCGAAGCGGTAGGAGAAATCCGATAATGGTAACGGCCACCGAACAAAAAGGGCACAACGAAAGAAGGACGATGCGTTGTGATCTTTGCTCACAGGCCAGAAATGCGCGACCGAATCAAAGATATATTCACGACACGACAAGAGTAGACACGACACGACACGACAGGACTAGACAAAGCGCGAGAGAAAGAGGGGATAGACATGAGTCAAGTGGAGGTTGGGTTTGGGTCATACACGAGTGCCCTTTCAATCTTCGCCTTGAATTGTGGCATGAGAGGGTAGCGTGAGCGGCTTGAAGAGAGTGGAGTGAACGTAGATGTAGATGTAGCATGGGAATGGCATGGCATGGCAAGTAAGCATGCATGGAGACAGACGTGCTGTGCTGTCTCTAGCGACAGATGGTCAGGCCGAGCAGGGCAAGACGAGGGGTTCTCGAGGGCAAGGGGGTGGGGAACAAGTCTACCACGTCCGGAAGTGGAAGCATAAACAGGTTTGAAGGTGAGCTTGAAGGTGAGCTCGTGCGTGACTGCTGTCGTGCAGGCGCGCCGAGTCATATGGAGACAGAGGCAGTGAAAGCCTGCGCTCAAGCCGCCTTCTTTGCATCAGCACTGGCAGGTGTGGCCGTACCGCTACCACCTGCTGCAGCGCCCGGTGCTGCTGTAGACTTCTTTGCAGTAGCTCCATGCACAGGAGCATTCTTGTCCTTGTTCTTCTTCTTCCCTGCCGCTTCCGCCACCAGACGTTCCAGTTCACGTCTCTCTTCATCCGATTCGTCCGGTGTAACTTGCTTGTAGATGCTTCCCAGCAGTGCCAATGCCCTCGCTCTATTGAGGAGCGTCTTGTTGTCTACTCCCTTTTCGTTGAGGAGATTATCGCAGACTTTCCTGAGCACGCCAGTCACCTCCCACCTTGTTCCCCTCCAGGTGGCAAGCAGCATCTTTCCGCTCATCTCCATCTCGAGCTGCTTGAGCTCGTCTTCGGGAATCTCACCCTTCTCCTGCCTCTTGGCAAGATCCTCCATGCTCATCTGAACGCTCACTGCTGAACCCAGCAGGTTCCACGTCTCCTTGACCATGCCCGACTTCTCCTTGAGCTTGGAGAAGAAGCCCGGCAGGCCAAGGAAGTGGTGACGTTGCGACTTGATCCAGGTGGTAGACTTTGTGAGGTAGATGGATCCAATCACGTGAAGCAACTCAACTCCGAAGGACTCGAGCTTGAGGTCCTCTGCCTCCTGCCTCATCTTCTTCTCAAAGAGCTGCGTTTCCGAATCGTCCTTGTCTCCCGGGTTCTTGGCAGAGCAGAAGGGACGGATACGGTCCTTTAGCTTCTCGGTGAGATCCTTGATGCGCTTCTCCTCTGCAATCTCCTTTTCCTTTTCAAACTCTTCCAGCTTCGCACGCTGTTCCGGGGTGACCTTGTTGGCTTTGGAACCAGATGCGGCCGCCTTGCCTGCCTTGCCATCGTGAGCTTGGAGATGCGAGCCAGATGGACCAGCAGTCGTAGCGTCGGGCTTTGCTCCAGCTGCCGTCGCTCCAGCAGCGTCAGGCGCGGGGGTAGCAGTGGCTCCGGGCTCAGTAGTTGCAGTGGCTGGTGCCTGAGCTGCCACGCCTCCGTCACTACCGGCATGGGTCTTTGCATGCTCATCCTTGAGCTGCTGCTCCATCTCTGCCTTTTCCTCTTCGCTCATCATAATCTCGCTGGCCTTTCCAAAGTCCTTGATGAGGGAGATTTCACCAATGTAGTCTACGAAGCGCTCTCCACCAAAGAGGGATCCGAACTGGGAGCAAAAGGTGGAGGGGGAGGAAGGTTACTGGGTCAGTCTTCGGCTGCATTGATACCATCGACGACGGCGTCACTACTCACCATGTCCGTTGCCTCCTTGAGTCCAACCTCATCTGTAGGCTTCTTCTTTCCATACCGGTCGTACTCTCCCCTGAGATTGTTATCGCTGAGCACCCTATACGCTTCACCAATGAGCTTGAACGTCTCCTCATCACCTCCCTTGTCTGGGTGGTTAACGATGGCTGCTTTGCGGTAAGCCTTTTTGAGTTCGATGTCAGTGGCGGATGCGGGGACCTTGAGGAGGTCGTAGTACTCCATGTCTGCTACTTTGCCATCCCTGCCCTGGTCGCGAGGCTTGGAGGGGGCGGCGGCGGCATCGGCGGGTGTGGTGGCAGTGGCATCAGCGGCAGGGGGAGGTGCTGAGGTGGCCATGATTGGGGAGGAGTGGTGTAGTGGTAGCTTGCGATGGGTGTGATGGGAATGAGGGGAAGGAGTAGAAGGATGCCAAGGGTGTGGGTGCGGTGCCTCCGGCCAATTGTCCCGATGAGATCTTTTTTGCGAAGTCGCACAGCTGTGCCGCCGCAAAGGCAAAAGCAAAGGAGCAGAGCCGAGTCGAAGTCAAAGTGGAGCAACGCAGACACGCCAAGAGGAGACGCAGAGCGGAGAGGCAGAGGCAGAGGCACAAGGCGCGGAAGAATGGATACCATCAACCATCACCACCACGCCGCAATACAGACAACGCAAGCCTCGCCGCTGACCACCATGTCCTGGTTCTCACAACAGTGGGATAAGCTCAGCAGGGCCTTTGACGACGATCACGCAGAGGATGAGTCGTCCTTGGGCATCAGGGACATCGAGGTCATCTGGGGAAGAGACAGGTGAGTAGTGGCAGCCTTGTCAGCTCTCGTACAGGGGAGAACGATAAAGACTGACGTTGCCTCTGCCCTTCCTTTCCCCTCCTACTCCCTCTGTCCCCAGGCTGCGCGTCTCCCTCCCTCCCTCTCCCACCCCCCACACACTCAGCACTCTCAAATCTCACCTCTCCCAGCAAACCTCCATCCCCCCAGAGCACATCAAGCTCGTCTACCACGGTCTAGTCCTCAAAGATCCCTCTGCAACCCTCCGCTCCTACAATGTCCGCTCTGGATCTCGTATCATGCTCATCGGATCTGTAGATGGTGTTGAGCAGGTCAGAGGGGATGGACCGGGAGAAAAGAGGAGCATGTACGCTTCCGAGGAAGGGGGTGGATCCTCTTCGGGAGGAGCCAGGGGGGGAGGAAGCGGAGTAGGCAGATCGATGACAAAAGGAGAGATGCTAGCTGAGGAGAAGAGGCGGAAGGAGGAAGATAGAACAGAGGCGGGTGTGCAGGGTAGGATTCAGGAGGTACTAGACAAGGTCAAGATCGAAGTAGAGCCCAAGCTGGATGACTTTGAAGCTAGAATCGGCAGTGCGGGGTCAGCGCCAACGGGGACACTACCAACAGCAGCGACAGCCTCTGCAACAACGTCCAGCTCTGCCCCTCAAGCAACCACCACCCCCAATCCCACCTCAACACCCCCTCAAGCACAGTCACAACCACAAGAGTCCCTCGAGCAATCCCATCGCTTACTCAATGAGCTCCTCTCCCGCTCTCTCCTCTCCCTAGACGCAATTCCAATTGTATCCGAGACGACTAGAGCAAAGAGAAAGGGAGCAGTGAGAGAAGTGCAGAGCTTGATTGATCGGTTGGATCGGGGATGGGAGGGAGTCAAGGAGGCTAGGAAGGGAGCGGGCGAGTAGAGGTAGGGTTCGGCAGACAGGCAGGCAAAGAGTAGACGGAGCCAAATTCCAATAGTCAATGTCAACTTTATTCACTTTGATGATCAATCGCTCGATATACACACCTGTAGCTTGATTCCTTCCAGCTCTGATTGCTATTTGTGAGAGATGCTTGGGAAAAAAGTGACAGAAAGAGAACAAGACGGTCATCGGCGGGACATTGAGAAGAACATCAACAGAGACATGTAGCGACGTGCAGAATGTATCGATCTAGCGCAAGAATCTTCCACTTTCACCTCCACCCGAACCCCAACTCTAGGTACCTGAGTTTCTCATCAGGCCCCCACTCTCCTCCCTCCCCTCCCAAAGACCTTGCCCAGATCTACGAATCTCCTTCCATTCTTGTCAAGGTACTTCCTACTAGAGCGACTCAAGAGTCCTAATGCCTCGGCATTCCTCTTGCAGAGAATCTTCACCTCTTCTTCATTCGCCTTGCCCTTGACTTTTTCTGCAACGCCTTCGACATCGAAGAGGGAAGTGTAGTAGCAGAGTTGGTCGTACAGTGCTTTATCCGTGTACTCTGGTGCTACTGCACCGCGACAGTGAGGTACTAGACATCGCTTGGCGTATACGCCTAGCAGACGAGTGCGTGTACCGCAGGACGGTTCCGTGCAGACTTGGAAGGAGGTGTAGTATCGCGAAATGTGTCGTCGGATAGACACCTCGAGCTGGATGGCCACGCTGGCGAGGGGCAGGCTGGTTCTGCCACCGCAGGCCTCAGAGGGGCAGAAGAGACCCTCCGGACGCAGCATGGCATTCTCTCCCATCTTGGCATCGGCGAGACCTTCGAATGCGCTCGTCTCGCCACAGCGCCCACACTTGATAGACAGTCGCTCGCACTTTGCAAAGCGAACCTCGTCGGGCGTCTGGCTGTCCAAGCTGGTGAATTCACGGTCGGCCGAAGTCAGGCTGGCAACCTGACTCACTCCGTAGCGCGAGGCGTCCAGTCCGAGGCATTCTGCCAGCCTCGAGCGGTCCGTACCCTGAATCGAGTCGCACATCCTCTCGATGGGAGGAAGAATCTGTAGTGCGAGGTAGTGCTCGTAGTCTACCTTGAGCTCCGAGTCTTGCTTTCGTAGCTCGTCGGGATGGTGGGCCTTGTCCGCCTGAGCCGACTTAGAGCTAGACGTGCCATCGGCGGCCAGACAGAAGATGTATGGGATCACATCGCCCATGCGGGCACTCTGTCCTCGCTCTTGCATTCGTAGCGCGACGTGCACATGAGGCTGCCCAGTGATGTTGGTGCCGTAGGCCTTGGGATCCTTTCCGAGCCTTTTAAAGATGATGAAGTCCTCCAGAGGGATCTGACCACCGCGAACGGACTCGCCCACCTCGGTCAGATAGCCGTGAATGGAGGCAACGACATTCTCGGTAGATTCTCCGGAGAGGATCTGTTCCAAGACGTAGCTCGAGACGTTCTTGCTCAAAGTGGAATACTCTCGTCGCTTCATGTCAAGACCCTTGATCTCGGTGGTGACCTTCTTCTTCTCTTCACCCGAAGGCATCACCTCTACCTCCTCCACCTTTCTAGCAGCATACTTCTTCTTCTGCAAGAGGAGCATGCGCTCGAATACGGCATCGATGTCGATCTCCAAGAGGCGATAGCGTTCATTGACGGCCTTCTTGAAGTCCGCACCGATCCGAGCAGCCTGGGCGTACGTCATCGCATTGGTGTTGATCATGACCGAGTCAGTGTCACCATAGATGACGTCCAACCCGAGAGACTCAGCTAGCTCCTTGGTAGCGGTCAAAATCTCTCTTCCCTTGTAGGTGGTGAGGGCCGCGAGTGGACGCGCGTAGAATCGGCTTCCCTCGAAACCCAGACATCCATACATCGAGTTGGCGGTCAGCTTCAGAGCCAATTGCTTGACGTTCCATTGCAACTGCTTGTGAGCAGGGGCTCGCTTGTCTTTCATGAGTGACTTGACCTGACGTCGACGCTCAACGAGCTTAGCAATGAGATTGGGCAGTACACCCTGGCTAACGTCGGACGATGGGATGTCCGGTACACCTTCCAGCTCCTCTTCTGCGTCCGCTGATACCTCGTTCCACCGCGAGCGGTCGACAGTGGTGAAGTCGATGTTGTACTCCTGGATGATACTTGGATAGAGCGAATTGAAGTCCATGACCAGCACGTAGCGGTCCCATAGGCCTCTCTTCGGATCGAAGACCAGACCACCCTTGAACTTGTCCTTTTTCGACTTTTTGCTCGCGCCGGCATTGCCCTTGCTCTCAGCTCCATCTTCAGCTTCAGCTTCGGCAGCAGCAGCCGCCTTTGCGGCCGCTGCTCGCTTGCCGCTGGTGACCTTGTCTGGCACGACAAACTTCCTTCGATGGAAGTCGTGGAGCAAAATGTACTCATTTCGCTCAGCACGACCGCCGCTGAGGGTTCTGGCCCAGGTGTTACCAGCCAGATTAGTGAGCTGCTTGGTCAGAGGCAGGATCTGCACCTTGTGAGCGATGGACATCTGGAAGAATGTGTCTACCTCACAGTGCTGCAGGAAGGTCAACAGCTGCTTCGGGTTCGGGGCAGCTGCATCAAAGTATGATGGAACGTCATCGGGATCGATGTCTTCTCGCTGGATCTTGAGATGTGTGCCGACCATCTCCGTGAGTGACCAGGTAGTCGAGGTGATCATGCTCTTACCGACATCACTTCCCAGGTCACAGCAAAGTCGACCTTTCATGAGGCCCAAGTTCCAGCCGTTGCGGAGCTTTGGCCACAGTGGGCGACGCAGTCTACCGATCTTGCTCCAATGATCAGCCTTGAGCTCCCTCATCCGAGCGAGAAGGACATCGAGATCAGTGGCAGCAAAGTCGTGGGTCAAGATGATGTCTGGATCAAGGCGCTGGATCTGCGCAAGCAACCCGTTGAGCAGCTGTCGCTCGAAACGCATTGCTTTGATCTTATTTCCCTGCTTGCGGACTTCAGCCTCAAAGCCAGTCGGCCACTGTCCAGCGAGCGGTCGTACAGCGGTCCAGACTGAGCTGGGTCGTTCCTCAGGATTTCTGATGTCCTCGAGCTGAGCATCAGACCATGTCCTCATGGAGAGTGCCACGATCTCGCGCTTGTTGGCTTGGTGATTGTGGACAGTGCGAAGAGCAAGGGAGGCGATGGTAAGAGGCGGCACCTCTCGTGGTGCAGAAGAGTCATCGCCACCGTTGCCGTCAGCGTCGGCACCTGCCTCTCCAGTGGCCTTGGCAGCGTCGCTGTAGGGCGAAAGGAATTTGGCATCGTCGATACTGTACTCGGCTTTGCACCAACTCAGGGGCTTTGACAGACTGAGTGTGTCGACTGACGTCACCCTGAGCCAGCAAGGACCCATGATCTTTCTCTTGATCAAGAAGAGCTCCATCGCAGACGTCTGGGTACCAAAGGCTTGCGAGAAAGTCTTGCCGGAGATGTCGGTGGGGAGCGCCGGCTCGTCAAAGCCGTACTTGACCTTCAAGTATGTACCCGTTGCTGGCACACCTGGGCTCTCGAAAGCGTAATGACGTTGCACTGTCTTCGACAAGAAATTCTTGATGCCATGCTTCTCCCTGACCTCATCGAACTCATCCAAGATCTCGTCCTCCGTCGGTGTGGCATCAGTAGCATGACCATCGGCAATCTTCTTGTCACGGATGAGAAGGAAGACGCAGCGCTCGATGCCCTCCACTCGCAGACATGCGGAGACATATTTGCCGGTCGTGCGATCTTTGACCTTGCCGATCAGGAGGATGATACCGGCCTCCAGCTCGATGTGATCCATCCAGTAGAAGGGCAGCGACTTATCATCGTTCAAGGCATTGACACCAGAGCCAGTAGAGGAGTCGGCCTGAGCATCAGCCTCTGCAGACGAGGCTTCCACTGTGCCTGCGTTGACACTACTGAGTGAAGCGTGGACGGACTGCCAAGCAGCATTGCCGTTCTTGGGGCCAGATGGGGCATTTTCCGTGCTAGCTACAGCTGCCTTGGCTTCGACGATGGCGGGAGAGTGCTGCAGGGCTGTCGGCTGGGGCGGCGCAGCAGCTTCCGCACTGACGTTCATCCTTCGCTTAGCGGGGCCTAGGGTCGAAGTCGCCTTGGGAGCTTGCACCGCGAGGTCCTCGTCGTCTTCATCTTCGTCACTTGGTCCTCCCATTTGCATCCGGAGAGCTTTTGGTCGGGAGGTGCTTTCATTCTGCAAGCCCATCGAGCCGATCTGACCCGTCACACCTCGAGCTGTGGGGGTCATGTTAGCGGTGGATCTCAACTTCTTGTGAGGTACATCTGCGAGTCCAAAGTCGTCATTGCCGAAATCGAAGCCGTCATCGTCATCGCCACGGCGCCCTCCTCTCGATTCCCACGGCGGGGTGTCGCTACCAGAGATGTGCACTGGGGCGCCCGGACCATCGGAAGAAGGGTCGGGTAGGTCACTTGAGGGCGCCGAGGTGTCCTCCGAGGGCGAGGACGGGTATTGATGGCGCTTGTCTGTGCGATAGGTGACAGAAGGGGCATTGCCTCCACCAAGAGGCAGAGGACGCTTGCGACTGGCGTAGGTAGGAGTAGTCGAGGAAGTGGCTAGACTGTAGCCGGAAGCCCGACCGGGGTATCCTCGAAGTGCTGGAGCTGGAGATGGGGTTTGAGGAGCGGCTGAAGCGCCACCGATGGCTGAAGGAGAAGACGCGAGACCACCCATCAGCCGTTTCATGAAGTCCTCTTCTTTCTCACGGCTGACTTTGGGCCGGTAGGCCTCCATTGCAGCTGTTGACCGCTCCTCCGCCGCCTTGCGTGCGCTTGAAGATGCGGAGATGCCCTGGCCGAGGCGAGACTGAGCTGGCTGACGGGCGAATGCGTGTGTGAGGGAGGAGGCCGATTTGTCGCCAGAATCTCCCTTCTTGCCACCTTTCCTCTTCTTTGGCTTCTTCTTGCCCGTCCTCTCATAATAGTCGGCCTCCGTCTCACTCTCTTCGGCGCTGTCCTCTCCACCGCTGCGCTCCCATTCGTTGCGCCCATCGTCGACGTAGCCACTGCCATCATCGTCTTCGATGAAGTCATCGTCCATCATCCGTCCACGGAGGATAGACTTGTACTCTTGTTCTGACACCTCATCATAGAGGTCATCATCTCCGGAAGACGATCCGTCGTCGCGCTAAAATTGCAAGAAGGCGCAGGGAGCACAGCTGTTCAGTCACGATCCTTCGGCCCTGCGTGGTACGCGTCAGGAAGCATTGATGGGCACTTACCTTGGGCGCGGGCGCATTGAGACCATTGCGTTTGGCCTTCAGTGCCTCGAGGGCAGCTGAACGTTTTGCTTGCGCGACTGCCCGAGCAGAGCTCATGCTTGGCTACACGCGAGAGAGTGATCCCAGGTCTACAGGGTGGTAACGGCCCGTCCAGATGAGTCGGGGGTCACTCGGGGCCTTGCACGACCAGCAGGAGCCAGAGGAGACCGTAGCGTGTATGCTTGAGGTAATAGAGAGCCTCAAAGGAAGAGTAGACAAGAGTGAGATGTATGCTGATTGGTATAGGTGGAAGGAGTAGGTGGTAATCAAAGCGGGAAGTGGCCTCTGGTGTCTGGCAACCAACTCGCCTCGCCTCGCCTCGGAATGGAAATGAGCGTGTTCTCGCGTTGTGCGCGTCACGCCCACGCACGCCCATCCACTGCCCTTCCGTTCCGCTCCCTCGCTCCACAGAGGAGAATTCTCTCAGTCCGTTGCGCTTCCTTCCGTTCCTCGAGCATCATACCACACCATGTCAGCCGAAGAGAAAGGTGAGTGAGAGTTGTCAGGAGAGGCTGCTAAGAGCGATGCCCAAGCTGAACTTTTTGCTCGTCCATCACAAAGCGTTCCAATCAGGCTTGCTCCGCCTAGTGATCCTCTGCTCTACTGGCCTGGCGTCACTGGTCCCATCGGGCTCATCTCCAACAGAGGCCCATGTAACCTTCCCTTCTTCTTCCAAAAGCCTCCCCACACGCCCCCAATTCGCGGCTCTACGGAAGCAGATTCGTCAGGATGCTGTTCAGATCCTTACGCAGGCTGGAAAGTGTGCCACAAATTTGGGCGTAGCTCTCAAGCCCTCTAAGTCACGGGCTCAGTCATCTGCGATTGCCTCTTCGATCGTTGAGAACTTGGACGCTGCCTCTATTGCAGCCGCGCAGAAGCAGATCGACGACTGGACTACTGATTTGGTGCCAAAGCTGATCTTCCTCGTCAACAAGAGCTGGAAAGAGGCCCAAGTCTACATTGAAGAAGAGCAGCCAAAGGCGCCCGGCGCGGCCGAGATGTCGGCAGAGGAGAAGGAGGACCGGGACAGGATGGAAGAGATGGCCAAGCAAATGGGAGGCATGGTCATGACTGGAGCGGAACTTCGCGGCCAAACCAAGGCCTACACGAAGCCAGCCAACCTCGGTCTTGGGCTCACGTGGGCAAAAGTCTTCAAGTCGCACGTTGGTGAAGTCCTGCAGGCTATCGCATCGTTAGCAGAGGCATGCATGGACCAACGCACAAAAGGCGCTGTGAAGGCCGCCAGCGAGGCCCGAGATCGTCGAGAAGGACTACCCCTGAGGTCTGGCGCTACATCTGCTTCCCTCGTTGCAAAGACAGTCCAGGACATCCGCAAGGAATGTCTCGAGAAGACAGCGGCTGTGCTGGAAGCCTGCGATACAGCCGTGAAGAACCTGCCTCAGACCAATCTCGAAGCGATCAAAGCTCGTTGGACAGAACGCGGGGAGCTTTTAGAAGATGGTATCGAAGAGTTGAACTCTGCTGCATCTCCAGCTGAGGGTGGGAATGAGAGAGATCAGGATGACCTCGACTCCGATTTCTCGGCTGGCAAGACTGCCCTGGCCAAGCGGTTGGCTCCGCTGCTCAAGATGGGTCGGCTCTCACATGAACGCATTTTGGAGACCTATCTAACAGCTGCGAACGATGTGAAGGACTCGGTCGATCTCAGCAGTCTCGACGATTTGAGCGAGCTCCTCGCCAGACAACAAGACGACCTCGTAGCCGCGGTCATCTGGGGCGACTTCGACCAGCTGCAAGAGAGTGAAGAAGACGATGACGAGGAAGAGCAAGAGGAGCTCGGAGAGTCAGCTGAGACCTCACCAGCAGCCAAAGCCAAGAAGATCTGTCAAGAGTACTGCGAGGTCGTTCAAAACTTGTCGCAGGCCGTATCTGATGACGAAAAGATCAGAGTGATAGCGGAAGAAATGCAGAAGCTGGCAGAGGGGATCTCTGACGCAGAGTGGGAGGCTGCCGTCGAGGAAGACGAGGAGTAGCCAAGGCAAGACTTTGTGGTATCATTGATGTGGTAGTATATTCGTACAATGTAACATCATCAGCATTCTTTCATCCTACTCGTTACCTAAGCGACTGAGCTACCGTGATCTCCAAGCAGGGAACGTACAGTCTCCTCCACGTAGACGGCTACAAGCGCCGATGGAAGGTGCGCTTTCAACGGTCAGCCTGGTCTTCCTCTCACTATGATGCCTCAGCCTGTACTCACAAATTGCAAAGAGAGCAGTCTCGTCGAAAGCATCCTGTACGTTCTCGAGTATTCCGCGATCGTTCACCGCCGTCTTCGTGCCTCTGTGGATCTGTCGAGCGGGCTCCGAAGTCTCCGCCTCCCTTTCTATCTCGTCGTCATCCTCTTCCTCATTGTCTGAAGCAACGTAGTCCGAGTCAGCGAGATCGCTGAGGACGTCATATGGGACAGTCGATTCAAATTGACCCAGAGTAGCAGCGTACACCTTTCTCGCTGGTTTCTTGATGAGATGCGGAGGGATGATGTCTCGCCCGCGGTCGATTGTGCCATGCCCCCCTCTCGCCTTGCTGCTCCTTGTCCGCAGAGGTGCATCCTTTTCTCCTTTCACTTTGTCCTCGATCAACATTGCCTTTGAGGCATAGTACTCGACAGCGTATGCATGTATAGCTTGAGATAGCCTAAGATCCAGTTGCGATGGATACTGTTTGCCTTCTCGTCCCTCTGTCTCACCATAGCGCTCTGCCAGTCCGCGAAACTTCAAGATCTCTCTCAAGCGCTCAGACCTCGAAAGGGGCTTGGGTGAGGTCTCCTCAGTGTCTCTGGCCTCCGCCGAAACGTCCCCTTCGTGACCCTCAGGCAGGGACGGCAATTGATCTGGAAGCTCTACGGCCACATGCTGGTAGTCATCTTCAGCATCGCTCTCGATACTATCTGCTCGACTGTGTCTCGAGGGCCCTGCTTGACCGGAAGTCTGAGCCGGCGGCGCAATGGGCCTAGAGGGAGCTCGCTGAGATGAACCTGGAGTGAATGCTGAGGGGACCCCCCTCTTTCCAGCGATCCGCCTGCGCTTGATATGAGAGTCTTTCATGCCCTTGCACACAGGATCACAGTCTTGAGTGTCTGTCTGACCGTATACTGACTGTAGTCTACCGCGAGCGAGGCTGATCTCGATCTCGCGTGGGGCCGAGGCACATTGACCAGGTTCCGCCGCCGCTTCCGCCCCGATCCACTCGTCCGGCGATTTCGCAGCTAGAGCATGCGGGGGCTTTCAAATCCGAGGAAAAGGGGGGCCTCCATCAGCGAGGTCATATACACACCACTTCATCACTATCCGGTCACATTCCTTCGACTGAGTAGGTCTTCAAGGAGGTGAAGGTTGAGCCAAGGCAACTCTGCCCTGAACCTCACTGCTGCCTCGCTGCTGGCCGTTGTCGCCGAGGGCTCCGAAGCCAAGCCGCATTCTCCTCCCCGGGCTTACGAGAGCCGCACCAGGGTCCACACCTCCCTCATCGCCCGACATGGCTTCTTCACAGCCCTCCGGCTCTGGCAGTGGTCAAGCTTCCAGCAGCGCCATCATATCCACGATCCGAGACAAGGCTCCTTCTGAGACACAGCGGCGGAGACTCTTGTCGCTCTTCGGCTCCATCCTGGTATCCCTCTCTGCGGGTAGCAACTATGCTTTTAGCACATTCGGACCTCAGCTGCAGGACTCATTACACCTCACCAGCACACAGCTTAATGTCGTCGGTGTGCTGGGTAATATGGGAGTGTACCTGAGTGGGCCACTGTGGGGAAAGTGGGTAGACAAGAGGGGACCCAAGCTGTGAGTCGATGTAGAGGTGGGGTGTGGAAGAATGCGTGATCTTGATCTGCGATGCTGACAGATAGCGCTCTCTGCCTGGTTCTGTACTACAGAGCTCTGCTGATCGGAGCTGTCATGATACTCTGCAGCTACGGCGGCATGAGCCTGGTATACCGGTATTCTTGGCCATATCACTCGGCTGTCCTGCCCGCCTTCCTCAACCTCATTGCCGGTGCAGGCAATAGCGCCGCCTTCACAGCAGCCATGAATGCCCAAGCGAAGAGCTTCAGTGGCACTCAAAGAGGTTCGGCTACTGCTCTGGTCCTCGCCGGCTTTGGTCTTTCGGCGTTCATGTACTCGGCTCTGTCTCACGAGCTCTTCCCAGGCAACACAAGCGATTACCTGCTCCTGCTTGGTGTGGGCAGCTCCGCTTCCTTCCTCCTGGGCATTGCATTGGTGCAGATCATTCCTCCAGCTGTTGTTCTGGAGACTCCCAATACCTCGGCCATCGACGAACGCTTGACTGGCGACGTAGACGTGGAGCAAGTGCGAAGGCAACGGCCGCGTCAAAAGCGTAGAGTCTCGCGCACCTCGCAAGATCTGGGAGCCGAAGCCTACCTCATCAGCTCGGATGAAGAAGGTGATTCAGAAGACGTCGAGACCGGAAGAGAGAGCGAAAGGCAAGGTCTACTCAACGGCAACATCAACAAGAACACCACTGTGGATGGTGCGGACAATGTAGATATCACTGGCTGGAAGCTCGTCAAGCAGACTGACTTCCGGCTGCTCTTCCTGATCACTTGTCTGATCTCTGGGTCCGGATTGCTGCTAATGTGAGTTTTTGAGGTTCAGCAGAAAGTCAGAGAAGTATTCGACTGACACTCTTATTTCTCTTCTTCTCAGCAACAACGTAGGTACCATCACCCGGACTCTGTGGGAGTACAGCCACGCCAAGCATAACTCTGTTACGGACACGGTTGCTCCTTCCACTTCGATTGCATCTCCTGCGGCTGAGTCTCGCGAGGGTTCCAGACTTGGATCTGTCATTGCTCAGCTTCCCCATCTGGTGTATCGAGCCTTCGATGATCCTGTCATGTCTATTCTCAAGCATCAAGATGCGAGCAGGATCCAACAGGAGCAGGCTCACCAGGTCTCGGCCATCTCGATCGGCAATGCCTCTGGTCGTGTCGTCATTGGTCTGCTGTCTGACCTCTGGGTCACGTATACCGGAAGTGCAAAGCAGAGGGTCTGGGTGCTTCTGCCTGTTACCCTGCTGTCCTTCTCTGCGCAATTCCTCTTTGCTCTACCAGAGACGATCGACAATGTGCACAGCTTGCTGTTCGCTTCTGCTCTAGGTGGCTTCGCCTACGGCGCCTATCACGGAGCTGCTCCTTGCCTCACCTTCGAGTGGTTTGGTCTCAGACATGCCGCCAGGAATTGGAGTCTGGTGGCGCTCGCACCGGTGATCAGTGGAAACATCTTCAATCTCTTGTTCGGCAAGGTCTTTGATTCGCACGTCCCCGCCTCTTCGCCAGTGCATCAGTGCAACCTCGGCGAGGAATGCTACAGAACTTCTTTCCTGATCACCAGCACAGGTACAGCATGCTCCGTATTGGTGGCTCTGGTACTCATCTTCAGAAGAGCAGGTATCCCTCATCTTGGAGGTGGAACAAGCGGAGGCCGCAGCACCTGAGACTAGCCAATGAAGGCAGCTTCGCACCATAGACAAGGGGTTCACCATTCCTCTCACATTCTTTTGTAACGTATACACTACCTGGCATTTCGGGCAAAAGAAGCCGGCTCGGCATGCCTGCGCCTGAGGCTAATCAATTGGGATTATTCGTCCGAACACAGGCACGCGGGATCTGGCGTGTCGCTTCAACGGTCAGAGCGGACGGACGACTAATCACTTGCCGCTGTCTGAGTGTCGCGGTGCAGAAGCAGCCGGACTCGCTTCCCCTTCATCGTCCACTCCAGCTGCCTCCTTCCTTCCCTTCCTCCTCGTCGCCGGCCCTCTCTCGCTCCTTCCTCTTCTCGCAGTCCATCCAGAATCCCCTTGTCCTCTCTGTACACACTGCAGAGGGATCATTCGTTCCCTGTTCTCCGGCCCTGCGAGGCTGTGAATCTGATCACTGACGTTTTCTTCCTTCGCACAGCCGCCATGGATGTTGAGGTGAGTTACCCAAGCTTGCCCACGGGCTCACAACTTCCCTACAAATCCAAGCTGACTCCGTCACTCTTCCCTCTCCATCGACCCACTCAGCATCTGGTGCAGCTCCCTTCTCCTGAAGTCTCTGCGTCCCCTCACTGGCCAAGCGATGGCCAAGACCCCATCCCTGCCGTTCCTTATGAGCGACCTGTTTCTCCCTCACCTCACTTCTTCCCTAGACTCTGCGAGTACACCACGCCTTCTTCAGGACCGGGCATCTGTCGACTCCCGGACAAGCTGCTGGGCCACATCAGCTTCCTCGCTTGCTTAGATGATGTTTTCAGGCTGAGCTTGACCTGCTCTCGAATGTACAAGGTCTTTGTAAGTCGGCGTTCAACGCCATGTTGTCACAGCGATGACTCCTCTGACACAGTGGTGTGGCTTCCTGCGGACCACTACTTTTTCGTGTCGTACTCTTACAGAGTGAAGAATACTGGCGATATCGGGCCGAGCTGAGCAGCATTGCACTGCTCGACGCGCCCAACGCGAAGGTTCAGCTGTTTGGGCCCATCAAAGGATGCTGCTACCACTGCTCTTCACCTCTTCTGTACAATTGGGATGAGATGTTCGCCTTTCGCCTCAAGAATTGGCTTGGAAGAGCCAATAACATCTTCCCCGACGCCGTCACTCATGCAACGATGGGCGTCTACTTCTGCGGTACTTGCATCAACCATGACAGCTACTACCATCCTGTTCATGAGTTTCAGATCTATCAGCTTGACCTCAGCGCAGAAAGCTTCCCTGGAATCAGGACTATGGACACACCGAGAGGACGCTTCTACCCCTTTCGAGCCACTCTGGCGAGGCTTTCGGAGTTGCACCATCCTGTCATGATCCCGGGACCATTGGGCGACCAGTACGAACATCTGCGATCCACCTTTTGGCAAGGCATTCATTGCCTCGTGCATTTGGACCAAACGCAGTTCAACCAGCTACCTCTTCCCACGACAGCTGCCCCCCACCAATTGCTCTCGGACGGTCGACACGATGCGCAGATGCGGATGCCGAGAATGTCGCTCGATTCCGCAATTGATCAATCCACTGCACAGATATCGCAGCGCCACGTCTTTCAGCCGGCAGCTGCCAACATCCCCATCGGTTCGTCAGACGGGCACGGAACGGAGGTACGAGCTACGGATGCAGATTTCGCGGCAGTGCGACTGGCCGAAGCTTTCCATGCGAACAATCAAGCGCTTCAGCATCCGCTTGCCACTCCAGCTGCAAGCGGTTCAAAGAGTGTCTCGCGTGCCACGGACAGTCGCAGTCCACACAGCGCTCTGACCCGAGATACTTCGCAAAGTTCCGTCAGTCGTGACCCGAACCCAGGAGGCAGCCGTACCATATCGCGACAACCACCTACTTTGGTAGACACTGCTGAGGAATTCGAAGATGAGATGGACGAAGAGCAGCCAGTCAAGGGTGAACGCAAGCAGGAATTGGCCAGAATCCGTAAGGCCCAGGACAAGATCATGCAAGACGTGAAGACCGAGCAGCTGATTCATGCTCTCAGAGATTACGGCTATGTAGGCACACCTGGTTTCGAGGCCGACGCAGATGTCAGGCGCTGGATCATGGGAGACTGGAAGGGCATGTACGAACGTGGGATACGCGATCTGGACGATGTCGTCAAGACCCTTCTCTACCGATGGACCAAGAGCTACGGTGCGGCTCAACGACCCGGCACGAGTTCCGGCTCGCCCCTTCACGGTCAGCCTCCTTCCGATGGCCATCAAGCATCGCAAGCCCATGCGCATCCTCGCACAGAAGGTGATCCTCCTCACCCACAGCCACTGCAAGGGAAAGACACGAAGGACACGCAGACCGTGCCGTCTGGCCCGGATCCTACCGCCGACTTTTTCCAGCACGGCACTGGCCACATGTCGCTCTTCGAGAAGCCCTCTGGCACAAGAATTGAGCAAGTTCAAGGACTGGCTCCTCTTACTGGAGATCAGCAGCAACTGATGCCAGCCCCTTCAGATGGTCCTACTAAGCTGAGCGGGGGCCCTCCCGAAAGCGTGGGAAGGCAACAAGGTGCCGAGGCCTGTCATAGTACAGAGCCAGGCCCTGCTGCCTATGAAGTGCGTCCACGTGACGAGCCCAGTCCTGTCGCTTCTTCGAGCAGACTCGCAGCTCCTTCTCCTCTTCCAGCAGAACACGCTGAAGATGCTGATGAAGACGAAGTGGTCGAAGAGGGCGATGCAGAGGCAGATGCCGAGCAAGGCCAGCAGGCAGAGAGCAGCGGCAAGAGAAGGCCCACCGGCGTCTTGCGACCCGCTCGTAGCAACAAGGGCCGCATGAGCGAGCCAACACGACGAAGTAGTCGAGTACGAGGCGCCGACGACAAGTAGAACAGGGCGAAGGATCAGCAACGAAGACCTCGGGACCCTATGAGTGGGCCTGAGAAGATGTGTACACTACCCCGAGCTCATTATCCATAGCTCATTACTCCTCGATACCCTAGGGGTTTGAATCCCCTCATCGTCATCACCACGGGCACAGGCATTTGTCTCGTCACTCACTGTCTCTGTCGACTTCTCCTCGATCCAAATGGTACTCGCGCATCCAGTGTACGGTAAAGACATCACTCCTGTCAGGTTTCACATTACCCTTTCTTCTAGTCGCGATGTAATGAAGCTGTGAATTGACCGTGGTCCGATGGAGCCAAGAAAGACAAGAGTGGGCTGGCAATCTCCCCACTCTACACCTCCGTCTGTTCCGTCTCCTCCTACATCCTCTGCAGGGGCTCCAATGTCAGGAGCTCCATAGCCGCAGCGAGAACGTCCCTAGCACACCTGTACAGCCACAGTCTAACCAGTGCCAAATCCTTCTCCTGTCCTTTTACGAGCAAGAATTCCCAAGCCTGACTGACGGTCCTAGTGACTCTGAAGGCAAAGCTGACAATGGTCGAAGGTTGCTGGTCACGCAGAGCCTGTCGTACCACGTCTGGCCACGAAGCGAGGTGCATGATCAATTCGCGCGCCTTGGGTTCGCTGAGTAGGTGTGTTGCCATCTCCTCTGGGTTGACCTGCTCTGAGAGCTTCAATCCCTCGAGAGCATTTTTGCGTTCCACGGAACACAAGCGTACGTGATTGTACTGGAGGAAAGGTCCAGTGTCTCCTTCAAAGGAGAGCATACGAGCCCAGTCAAAGGTGTAGTTGTTGATCCTCTTGCCTGCCATATCTTGGATCTTCACGGCAGATTGACCCACTACGTCTGCCGTCTTCTCTGGGTCCTCTACCTGCGCGTACTTTGCATCGTTTTGGCGCATGACGTTGTGCATGTTCTCCTTTGTCTCATCGAGGATGTGCTCGAGGAAGACGGCAGTACCCTTGCGAGAGGACATGCCTAGGACCATTCCAAAGTTGATGTGTTGCAGACGTCCTTCGGAAGGCTGTGCCCACTGATGTCCCATGAGCTCTAGTACCTTGAAGAATTGGGCAAGATGCAGGTCTTGCTGAGTAGCAACGACGTAGATCATCTTGTCGAAACCTTGACCCCTCTGCTCGACGAATCGATCCCACCTCTGCTTGGCCTCACCGATGTCTCGAGTGATGTAGAGGGGCGTGCCGTCTTGCCTTTCCACGACCGTCTTCTCCAGCTTGTACTTTGTGAGATCGATCAACACCGCCCCGTTCTCGGCCTTCTCAACAAAGTCGGACGCCTTGATCTGATTGAGGGCATTCTGGATGTACTCCTTTTTCACCTGCGACTCTCCAGAGTAGACGTCGAAGCGAATGTTGAGTCGAGCATACGTCTCCTCGTACTTCTTAATGGACAAGTCTCGGAATTTCTGCCACAGAGCAAGAGCAGTAGGATCGCCGTCCTCCATGCGCTTAAAGTAGTCTCGAGCCTTGTCGTGGATGGTCTTGTCCTCCTCGGCAGCCTTGTTCACGGCGACGTAGACTTCGTAGAGGTGAGTGACGGGATCCTCTAGCAGCTTGGCTTCGTCGCCATTTGTGTCCCAACCGACGGCGAGGAGACCAAACTGCTTGCCCCAATCACCCAGGTAGTTCCATCGTTCAACATACCAGCCATTGGCCTCGTACAAATTGGCTAGGAAGGCGCCAATGATGGTAGATCTAAGGTGACCAGCATGGAAGGGCTTTGCGATGTTGGGCGAGGAGAACTCGATGATCATGGACTTGCCAGAGCCAGAGGCATTGTGGCCGTAGGCGGACTTGATGGAACCCTTTGAGCCGGCGTTGCCGCTGAGCTCCTTTGATGACTCGCCTCGAGATAGATCGGTGATGGTGGAAAGAGTGAGCTTGGTGAGTGCAGAAGAGTCGACCTTGTAGTGGATAAAGGGTCCGGCTACAATGGCTTCAGCAATGTATCCGTCGGGCTTGAACTGATGGGAGGTATGGAAACGGGCAGAAGGTATCAGCGGCAGCTTCGTCACATGTCCCATCATGGGTTTTCGTCTCCAGGGACGTCTCAACTCACCTCCTTTGCGAGTCTCTCAGCATGCTCATTCGGCTTGCCCTTGAGCTTGAATCTGGGGAAGGCGACGGAGAAGTCTGCGAGCTTCGAGGTGGTCTGCACTGCCTCGTACACCGTCTCTAGGGGCAGCTCCAATCCCTTTGACAGCTGCGAGGCAATGGCCAGACGGAACGCATCGAGTGGGTTGCGGAGCGGGTCTGCATTGGGGTGAGTGGGTAGCGGGCCAAGGCCGTCGATGACCTTCTGAGCGTAGGCGGACATGGTGATGGCAGGGCGGAAGGGGGAGGAGGAGAAGATGCGGTAACGAGGTAGGCAGAGTCGCTGCGCCGAGAGGCGGAGCAGGGAGAAGGGGGATGGGCGACTCGGCCGGAGAGCGGGAAGGAGGCTGATCACCGTATTGGAAGAGGTCGGGGGGATGGGTTGTCGGTAGCTTGTGTTGGTATCCTATCCGCCTTGATGATGGTGATGCTGCGAGGAGAGGCTGCTAGGAAGAATTCAGCGGAGCGGAAGCGGCCTGACTCGCTCGCACCGAGGAGTCCTTCAAAAAGACGAGTGTCGGATCGGAAGCAGCCGGCGCGCACTCGCTCGCCCACCAAGAAAGTCGTCGGCCGGGAGAGAACAGGAAGGACCGAGACAGAGAATGACGGCAGCCACTCACTCACTCACTCAGCTCCATACCAAAAGGGGGATACCACGCAGTCCCCACAAAGAGCATACCATGAGGTCCACTCCCACAGCAAGGGCTGCACTCGCATCCTCCGCAGTGCTCAGGCCGACTATGCTCAGCTCCACTCGCCGCTTGCAGCCTCGACCAGCGGCAATGGGAAGACCCGCCACTGCCATGGCCGCTCACATCCTACGCTCCTACAGGCCGGCCCTCCAGTCATCCTCCGCCCAATCCTCTTCCTCGTCGCCATATCTCATTTCCTCCTCTTTTCATACCTCAAGTCCTCGCTCACAGCCCAAGTCTCCCTTCCAGGCATTCGTAGACACTCTCAAATCCGAGCTCAAGAAGTCCCAAGAGCTTCAGGACAATATGAGGCAACTGCAGGGAGAGGCGGGCAAGGTGCAAGATTCGGAGACGATGAAGAGGATGCGAGAGGCATATGAGAGGGCGAGGATCATAACCTCGATCAAGGAGAACCCTCGATTGCAGAAGGCAGCAGAGCAGCTCAGAAAGAGTGGAGGAACAGTGGGAGATGCAGTAGGGACTGCATTGAAGCAGATGGAGGACAGTGAGCTCATCAAAGGAGTGAGTAGTCTAGACACCTCAAAGACAAACTGATAGCATCAGCGGCGTACTGATGCCTTTTACCCTCTTAACCTCCATCCAGCTTGGAGCCATCTCCTCGAGACTGTCCCGCCAATTGGCAGACTCCACTGCGCCCATTCGGAACACAGAAGCCTACAAGGCGTTCTCAGACACTCTCACAGAAGCCTTTGACGATGGCGGCTCCGCTCTGCGCATCGACACAGGCGCAGCCGATGCTCGGGAAGCACGAAGGCTCAAGAGAGAAGCTAGACTCAGGAAGATCGGCAGGCCGCCGCCCTCATTTGACGTAGAGGCGCCAGAGCAGGCAGCTGAGACTGTCGATGCTGAGGCGAGCGAGGCGGACCCTATCGCGGCAGCTGCGCAAGCTGGAGCAGAGGCAGGATCGGCAGGAGCCAAGGCGGCAGCTGAAGAGGACGGGGCGTCGAGCTCGACAAGTGCAGAGGGCGGTGAAGCAGGCAGCCCACCCCCTTCCCCGGAGTCAATACCAAAGCCCAAGCCACGCAAAGTCGCAGGCTACGCTGTGCGGATGATTGGCGACCCCTCCGCTGGACAAGCCCTGGTGTTGCGTCCAGACTCAGCGCCAAAGCAGGCGTGGGACTCATTCAAGGCGGAGAACCCTCTCTTCCGCAAGGCTCGCGATTGGCGCATGGCCTACGATGAATCCGAGAATCCCTTCGTGGAGCGTGTCCGCTCCATCACTGAGCGTGTGGGCTCCTGGTTCGAGGAGAATGAGACAGCTCAAGTCGTGGGCGCCTTCCGTGCCTTAGACCCGGCTTTTACAATGGAGAGCTTCCAGCGGGATTTGCGCGAGTACGTCCTACCGGAGCTCATCGATGCCTATCACGGCGCTGCCCGGCATCTGCTTCGTCAGTGGTGCTCCGAAGGCACCTACATGGCTCTCATGGCTACCATTGACCCATACCTCTCAAAGGGCATGCTCGCCCACGGACGTCTGCTAGACATGAAGGGCGTGGAGATCATGCAGGGCAAGATGCTCGAGAACAATGTTCCCGTCCTCGTCGTATCCTTCCAAACTACCGAGCTCCTCTATTTCAAGGACGCAAAGACGGGCGAGGTGAAAGCTGGGAGGGAGGATCAGGCAGATCTGTGCAGGTATGCAGTTGTGCTTACGAGGGATGAAAAGACGCTGGGGAATGAGGTCACGGGAGGGTGGAAGATTATGGAGCTTGCTAGGAGGGGACAGGGCGCTTGGTTGTAGATCCCTAGGCACGGGGAGAGAAGACGCGAGCTGTATCAGTAGTAGATCTCAGGATAGGGGAGCGCAGGAGGGTGGACCCTCACTGCACCGAGCAGGACGATGGGCTTGTAGACACCTCACTCGCACATTTTGCTCACACACACACAACCCAATTACCACTTCATCAACATCCCATCATCAGTGAGAGAACCAAAGGGCAAGCAGACTGACACAAACACACACACACAGCAGCAGCAGCAGCAATCGAAGAAGGGAGAAAGTCAAAACTCATGAGAATTGATCTGCAATTGTCAGGAGCGGTATCATGACCTAGTCATTGTGGTGTAGTCGTTTTTGTGTGTGAAGAACTATGGGACAATAGGGAAAGGAAAAATTGATGAAGAAGAATAAAGGGGTGAGAGGAGTCTTCGGAGGAGGAGGAGAAGGAGAACAAATGGTGTGGAAAGGAGATGAGAAGGCAATTCGAACATTCGTGAACCGGTCATTGCGTTCGTGCGTGCGTTAGATGAGATGGGGATAGAGACTGTGGAGAATGCTACTTGAAGAGGGGATTTTGAAGGGCACGAGAGAGCATAGAGTAGATGTTGGATGGGCGGTGGTGTCCTTCGAGTGAGATCGCGGGCAGAAAGCGAACTGGACTGCTCTCACGACACGGGCTGTTGGTTTCTCCGAAGTGCCGCTGCAGAAGAGGGAGCCCCGCCTACTAGTGATGCGCCAGCGGTCGCGCTACTGTGCACGGGAGTCCTGCGCGTGGAGACCAGTCCGGCAGCACTGCCACCACTGCCAATGCCCGCAACGTTGCCCGTGACAGATCGCGGCATGCTGGAAGGTATCGAGGAGCCATGGTCTCCACCGCTGAGAGTCGCACGAGTTGAGCGGATCCCGCCCGTCGTCGAGGGCGCCTGTGGACCTTGGAGGCCGTGCTCGCGTTGCGAGAGGGACATTTGACGAGCGTGCGAGCCTGGCGTAAGCGAGAGACCTTGTCCAATCACCTTTTGACCTGCGGCAGATCGAATCCAGGGATGACGCATGGCCGTGTCCGGCTTGATCCTTCGCTCGGGATCCCAGATGAGACACTTGGCCAGGAAATCAATGAAGAGGTCCTCGTTACACTTCAGAGCCTGACTGAGCGATTTGGTCCCAGGTCTCCGCCTCTTGCCCTTGGAGTTGACCACAGGACGGGGAGCACCAGTCGAGTCGAAGAAGAGCTTCTTCCTGGTAGACCTCTCTACGAGATAGCGATCCGGCACACCCAGCACCTCCATGATACAGGCCAGCTGTTCCTGCTCATTCTCACCAGGGAAGAGAGGGAAGCCAGTGTAAAGCTCTGCCATGATGCAGCCTAGACTCCAGATGTCGATGGCGGCGTGGTAGTTCATGCCGAGGATGACTTCTGGTGACCGGTAGAAGCGAGACTGAATGTAGGTGTAGACTTTCTCGTACTCAAAGCAGCTCGACCCGAAGTCGATGACCTTGATACCACTCTTGCGTGGATGCATGAGGAGGATGTTCTCTGGCTTCAGATCACAATGCACCACCTTGTGCTGTTTCATGAGGGAGAGCGCAGCGAGGACCTGGCTGGTGAAGCGTTTGATGAGACCAGTCGAGAAGCCCGCAAAACTGTTCGCCTTGATCAGCTCATACAGGTTGATGCTGAGCAGCTCCATCGAGATGCAGAGATGGTTTCTGAAGTAGAAGTGGTCTGTCATCTTGATGACGTTGTACTTTTCCTCAGGATCCCAATCCACGAGGTTCTGCAAGATCTTGATTTCAACCAGGGCTTGGTGGTGGAAGCGCTTCTTGTTTCGAATGAGCTTCACAGCCACGCTACGACCCGTCTTGTGATCCTTGCACTGCAGAACCTGTCCGAAAGAACCTCGACCCAACGTACCCATGATCTCGTACCTATAGGCGAGATGATCTCCTTCAACGACTTGATAGTCACCGCGCTCATCATCGTAGCCGTAATTGTCTGTAGGCCGATCACGATGCGCCCTGATCTTCGTCTGTGCATCTCCGACGAAGTAGATCTCCTTGTGCTCAAACATCTCCTGTAGCTCGTAGTTGCTGAGCAGGTTGCTGTAGAGTGCTTCAGCTTGACGAGGCGAATATGCCTTGCTCGGTGGCACTGGCTCAGGGAAGCGCAGCATGTCCTCCAGCTCTTTCTGAGAGACTCCAGCAGCCGCCTTCTTCGCATGAGAACGCCGGATGTAAGCTTCCATCTCTGCATCACCCTGTCGCTCGTCTTCATCGACCATACTCGAGGCCGCCGAGGAGGATCGACCGTCCGGCTTTGGGCTACTCGCCACCAGATCTGCCGCTCGACCTCCCCTAAGGCTGGCCGAAATCGCGTCCTCTCTTGCAGCACGAGCACTCGTCGATGTTGCGACCATCGAGGCCCGGGAGCGTCGAGACGCCGGAGTAGTCACGGCGGCAGTGCCGCCGGCGGCATTGCCAGCCGAAGACGCTGCAGCTGTTCGCTGACGGCTCGGGGTGGTGACCAGATCGTTAACTTTGGCTTTGGCGATTGGAGCCGCCTGTGTTGCCTTGTCGCGGTCCCCTGAATGCTTAGGCGTCTCATGGTGGGAGATAAGATTGCCTAGAACCTCGCGATCGGTACCAGACAGATTGCTGGCATACGTTGTGACTCTAGCCCTACGCAAAACACCGTCAATGTCTGACTGTGTCTTGGCAGCAGTGTATGCGTTGAGGATCAACTGTACGGACGTTGATAGTACCGGCGCATTAACAGTGTGAGTCGTGGGCGACGATCCAGCTCCGGTGAGTGACAAGCGTCGCGAGCTATTCTTGCCATTCAAAGTGGTCTCCGAGCCAGCCAGAGAGGATGCATCTTCATCGGCTGCCTGTATGCCGAAATTGGATGCCAGGGAGCTCATTGTGTAGCTCTTTGTCATACCACTGCCTGCACTAGCTCCCGCACCTCCAGAGAGTCGATCGCCTGGTGATGCCTTGGCCGTCCTGAGCTGCGTAGCTGCAAGAGAAGCACCGTCGACGGTTCGGCCGCCGAGGACCGAGCTACCGGCAGCTGTATTGGGCGCGGCGAGTCGTCCAAAGGTCTTCTGTATCGAGTTCGTGGGACGGGGTATACGGCTACTAGAGCTCGGTGCCAGCGACGCCGGTCCATTGCCAGGAATGCCTTGCCCCTGCCCTTGATTGGAAGCAGAAGCAGGAGTGCGAGACGTGTTGCTTGGCGGGAGGCGCACATCCTTGCCGCTCGATGCGTTAGTAGCGGATGCTGGCGCCTCTCCTGCTTTCCCAAGCCGGTCAGCAAGCTCGCCGGGTCTACCTGCGTCAGTCACGGATTGCTTCCTGTCAGTGGCGCGAGACTGAGACGAGAATGCGTCTTGCTCGTCCATCAAGGGGGCGCCTGTGGCCGGAGAAGCGGGCAAAGGAGCAACTTGCAGCGGTGGGAGCTGGGTACTTGGGACGACTGGAGGCTCTGTTGATGAAGGAAGGGTCTGGAAGGGAATGCAGAGGAGAGAAGGTCGTCAGTTCCAGCCCTGTCGGAGACGGAGAGGATTTGATTGCACGTACCTTGCCACGCTTACGCCCGATCAGGCTTCCACGCCTCAATATCTTCGACTTTGTGGGCGTCTGTGCCTGTGAGCTATCCTTTTCGGATCCCTCCATGCTGAGATTTGTGAGATCAGCATCCAGAGACTGTTCCTCCGCCTTGACCGAGGATTGCATGCTCTTTCTAGCAGTGCTGGTCCTGAGGAGATTGCCTAGGCCCAGGATAGACTTCCTCGATGACCGCCCCGAGACCATGGGCTGCGATCTCGGAGAGTCGAAGGAAGCACCATTGGCAGGAGACAAGGGGACGTCAGTAGCGTCCTTCGCCATCAATGCCACTGCATCCGACCGTCTGCGGAAGAAGGATGGCGTACGGCGAGCCGATACGGGACTGGGAGGTGTCGCAGCGGACGACTTGCTATTCAATGCCTTTGATGAGCTCGGACTGGTTTCTCCTACAGGCATCGGTGATGTCTTGAAAGTTCCAGCAGCCTGAGAGTCGCGTCCAACGCGAGTCGAAGTCTCGTTCGTGCTGCTTGACTGTGCAGACAATTGGGCTTGCTGAAGAGGCTGGCTCACCCGACGAGACGATGTCGAAGCACGTTCGACCTCTCCACTACGCTTGTCATCACTCCTTCGAGGGCTCTCAAGAGAGAGTTCTCGCAGTGGCTGGTGACCGCCTCGTCCGGGCAGCTGTCGCTCTTGGCTCACTTGGGAGTATTCCGCGGCAGAGAGAGGTGAATTTTTAGAGAAAGCAGCCGTTACCGGTGTCCGAGGCGCAGCTGGTGTGGCGGAATCTTCAGTCTGCACAGCAGAAGGCAGCAATCGCAGAGCTGATGAGTCCGCGGAGCTGTTCAAGCTATCGCTAGTCAAGCCGCGACTTGTGTCCCAAGCTTTCGGTAGCGGTGGAACTGGCGGAATGGACAAATCTGTTCGCTGCAGACCAGCAGAGCTGCCACTGGCGTCTTCAGCGTCTCCTGCCTCAGCCGCTGTGGCGACTTCTGTAGAGCTGAAATGAGACGAAGCATCACTTGCTCGCTTGTTCTTGGATGATGTTGAAAGGCGCGATGCGGTGGTGGAAGGCGTCAGAGGATCCCTGGACAAAGATTCGCGCGAGGCAACAGACACCGTTGAGGCTCTCTTGCTAGTAGCAGCGGTTCCGGGTGACGATACTGCAGTGGAGACTCCCGCGGCGGTCGTCGCGAGCGGCGGCTGAGTGGGTAGTGGCGGCAAAGTCGTCTTTTTGATCCTTGGACTCATAAACGGCCCCGCTTGGGGACTATCGAAGCTCGCCTTGGGTGACGAGAAATTGACACCCTGTTCTTCAAGGCGAGGCTTCGCCATCGTCTTAGACGTGCGACGCGTGCGCGATTCCTCTGACGACCTTTGTCGCTCGCCTGCCCCACTCGGGCCTCTCAGAGCAAACGTTGCCTCGTTTCGTGGACCTTTGAGCGAGCCTGAGAAAGGCGATGCTGGTCTGCTCTGTGAGGTTGAGGCTCCTTTTCCGGCACTGCTCGGCCGAGAGCCCACTTTGCTCGTACGAGGGCTACGTGCAGTGGCTCCAACCTCCTGCAGCGGTCGCTCCCTGCTGCTGCTTCGCTTCCGTCCGCCCATACCATCTAGTCTCCTCAATTGCTCAGCAGCTTCCGTACTGTCCAGACTCTCGGCCGCACCAAGAGGCATGCTTCCTCGCAACAGTGAATGCCCAATGCTTACACTCGACGTTCTCTTGCTGGATCTACTGGCCCGCTGCTGTTGTTGAGACAGTCCCGAGGAGTTGGATGCGACACGCGGATGTTTGACAGCCACTGCTGCGATCGAGGGACTGCCCAGAATCTGCCCTGGGGAGCTGGCGTGGCGACCACGAGCACTGATGGCTTCTGCTGGAGCAACGTCATAGCTGGATCGTAGCGGAGAAGCAGTCAGAGCTTCTGACTTGTCCACATGAGCCTCGCGAGAGGGACCAGATGGTGCCGTCTTGCTGTCCGAAGACACTCTCGGAGAGGATTCCACGTCGGAATCCATTCCCATGGCTCTGAGCTTCTGCCGTCGCTGCTCATCGTCTCGGAGAAGATCCTCAATGGCAGAATTCAGATTGAATGATCCTCGGTACTCTGCATCCGAGACGCCGTAAGGGTCTATTGTGGGCGACCTCTTCGCGGCGTCACTCCTGATTTGAGGGTCAGCTGTTGCAGACTGATGGGAAGTAGGTCCGTTGTTCGAGACGACGAAGGGGCCTGTCTCCTCGCCAGACCACGCAAGATCTGCAAGGCGGGGTGACGGCGTCCCTCCAAGCTGTGCGGCGCCAGTCTTTACATCTGGCTGAAGTCGTTCGCTGCCGCTCTCGATGACTCTGCTTCGACTACCATGCTGTTTGATGGCAGCTTGCCCTATGGCGCTGGACTCCTCGACGCCTGAGTCCGAGTCTGAGACTGCACTGATTGAGTAAGGCGGACTGTCAGGCTCTCCGCCGCTCATCTCGTGCAACGCCCTAATGTACTCCTTCGGATCTTGTCCAAAGTCCCTTTTGAGCGATGAAATTGTAGACAGGCCTTCCAATCGATCTGCAGGGAATGAGGGAGAAGTGCGAATGGCTGAAGCGGGGCCAGATGGGCTTCGATGAGCGACATTGAGGCGATTGTTGGCAGACAAGGAGATGGCTCGGGCATGTCTTTGAGCTTCTGCTTCCCTCTGGCGACCAAGAGCAGGGGCGTTGGGCGTGACAGGCGTGCGTCCCAATGAAAGCGGAGGAAGCATCGCAGTCCTACAGGCGAGAGTCGGGCTCTCGGATGGGAGACGGCCAGTAGCAGCGTGTCCAGTCTTCGCAGCTGGCGTGGCGCGCGAAGTCCAATCCGAAGCCGACGAAGTAGGAAAATTCCACCTGGGCGTAGCAAGCTCTCCAATCCCAATTTGCCCAGCGCGATCGTAGGCACTAGGTGTAGGCCGTGGTGAGGCGTCGCCTCGCCTGTCCGGCGTCTGCGGGATAGTGGCAAGGCTGGTACCGGTACTGCTGTGAGCCGGCGTCGCGCGGTTGCGCTGAACCACTGGTGACGAGGAGACGCTGCTCATTCCTTGAGCACCGCTTGGCGTTAAGCTACCCAGACCCAGGCCAGACAAACTTCGGGAGAGCTCATGAGATGGGGTAGCTGCAGCCGAGGTGCCTCCGGAGAGAGCCGGAGAGCTTCCACCTGTGCCCACCTTGCTCCTGAATGATGCTTGACGGGCTGGTAGTCCGCCGCTTTCATCTGCTGGAGTATTGTGCGCCGATGAGAATGCAGAGAAGCGGGACCCAGGCTGCTGACTTTGCGTTTGAGGCGGGGTTGGCCTGTCTAGCACGATGTGAAGGTCTGGTTTTCGAGCACTAAGTTTGCCGAGGATTTCCGGGCGCCGCTTTGTCTCGGGAGTCCTCGCAGGGTGTGGTTCCGAGCGTTGATTGTCTACCTGAGAGCTTGTGGCAGGTTGCAAATCGCGCAGAGAAGACGGCCCGAGAGACTCGCTACTCTGTCTAGAGTCGGTCGACTTTCCATCGAAGAGGGGCTGATGTAATGAAGGATCCAAGCCCGGCAAGGAAGGTGCGTCGTTCCTCGGCAATGCTGCGCTGCTACCTCGCGAAATCGCAGCCTTGTCATTTGCACCTGCCACGATGCCGCTCGGTCCTCTCCCCCCACGCATGCCCGCGTTGGCACTGTGAAAGAGACTCTGCTGCACAGAATCTCGCGAGGACCCCGCTCTCGCGTCTTTCTCCAGTCCGAAAGCTCTACTAGCTGAGGGCGGGCGTGCTGATGGTGGACCCATAGTCGAAGGAGACGGTGATGGCGATGACAACGCGGCATAGAGGCTACTTTCGGAGGGGCTAGGTCGCAACTTGGAGGCTGTGAGGCCCGTATGCGTGCTCTGGTTGTCCAGATACGAGGGCTTGTGGGCTGCAGACGGACCAGGGCTCCTGTCGAGTGTGTTGTCGGATACAATGCGGTGACCGGACGGGCTCGTCTTGCGAAGAAGTGTATCACCTAGTCGGGGAATGCCGGAGCGAGATGCAGAGGAGGGGAGAAGGGCCGGTTGTTGCAATGTCGCTCGCTCTGGCTCAGGATGAGACGAGGGCCCATCTGCATCAGCAGCCTTGTGCAAAGAAAATGACGGAATCCTTCTGATAGCTGACGTAGAAGCAAAGCCCCTTGGACCTGTCTTGTTCGCATGTGCATCTGATCCCGAGACGCTTCTCTTCGTTGGTGAGGCATTGGGACGACCGCGAAGCCTGTCTGTTCGTCCGCTCGTGCCCTGAGGAATCTCCGAGGGGTGTGTTTGAGCATCGTGACCATGGCTCCCTGCAGTGCTGCTGCTCGAAGTATCCGGTCGACCTGACACATCGAGATTTGGAACAGCGGGCGCCACAGGTTTGGAAAGTTGCGCCGAGGGAGCTTGCATAGCATTTGCCGTGGAGGAGATTCTGCTGCGAGTGACTCTACTGCTAATCCTGCTGCTCTGCCGCTGAGAGTCTTGTGAGCTACCGCCTGCATAGGCAGACATGCCCAGAGGGTCAGTGGCTGGGGCCATGTGTACGGCTCAGGCCAGAGCTTGCCACGGCAAGGCCACAAGGAGGCCGCCAAGATGAAGTGGTGCCCAGTTTCGTCAAGTTGAGTCCAGTCAAGAGCTCAGACCCGCGTCGCGATGGGTGCCCGAGAGCGCTGGAGCCTAGGGCTCTGGCGCAGCCAGCTTGGTGGAGGAGAAGCGTTTGATGGCCAATTGCTGGAGGTTGGGAAGCTGAGCTGGGCTGGGAAGGCAAGGAGAGTGGGACTTTTGTTGATGATGGTGCCAGGGCAAGGAGAAAATGCCGTTGCCGCTGTGCGTGATGTGAGACTGGGCACCTGGACACGAGGTGGGCTGCGAAGGGCAAGAGAGGGGGTGACTGTGGTGATGATGAGGTGTGCTTGCCAGAGCTGGAGCGGTGCTATTGGAGCTCAGGATGCCTTCCTACCCTCGTATGGATGAAAAGGACAAGAAGACAGATGGAGGCAGCAGTGTCAAGTTGTTGTGATGTGCCTTGTGTGGCAGCAATCAAGGCGAGGCAGGGGCAGCGGCGAGGAAGCAGGCAAGGGACCAAAGTGAGTAGAAGGACGTGCGTGCGTGCGTGCGTGCGGGCGGGCCAGCCGACCAGCCCAGCCCAGCCCTTTCGATCACCGCGCGAACTGTTGGTCTCTGTGATCCCTACGCGTCTCCGTTGGCTGTTGCTCCTTCGCTCACCTTGCTTCTCAGCCTCGACACACACCACAGCCAAGAGGCAGTCTCATGACGATACAGCAGTGGTGATCAGAGTGCAGCTGCATCGTAGCGCTACACCGTGCCGCGTGACGATGCCTGGAGCCTCACCTACTGGTCCCCTCAACGCCTGCCTGAACGCGTTCAAGGAATGACTTTATAGAATTTCCCGCCCGCATGTCAAAGGGCCAAAGGGTGACGCTGACTACCAGTCGCGCATGTCGAGGATGACAGACTAATAGTGGATTGTGCGCGACGAGAGCGGCTGGAAGAGCGAGGTTTGCGTGTAAAGCCACGGGGAGAGTTTGGGCGGCGGCAGCCTCATTGCCCAGCTCGAGGGGTGTTGATGTTGTACTCGGTCGCCCTCCGCGAAAAGGGAAGACATTCAATTCAGACTTGCACAGCGCTATTTTAGATGTCACTACTAATGATCGAACCAGCTGGACCGCCAACTCAGAGGAAAGGTCCAGCAGTCAGTCCCCCCTCCCGTCGTACCCTCCACTGCATGTTCAATGGGCGCCTTATCTGATGAAAGGACATCCAAAGAAGAGGTGCAGAGGCCCTTCTAAATGTGGATACCTAGGCCACATCTTTCAACATGAAATTGAAGTGATCGTGGGTGCTTGACTGGACACCCGTGTAGCTGAATTGCCCCACAGCGGCCTCGGCAGCGCCTACCTGTCGGAGGTGCGTCGATCCGAGCCTCAGCTCCGCTCTTAGCGAGGCCACGCGATGCCCATTACCTAAGAATAAGCTGCCACTTGCTGACTGACGCTCCCGCATTCCATGAGAAACATCGAGCGATAGAATGACACTTGCGTGGGTGGGTCAGAGACACTCCTGAGAACTTCTCGTCACATACAAGCGAGACCCCGTTTTGAACAGCGCGATAAGGCGGGAATGACGGATGGAGGTGTGGCTAAAAAAGTGCATTACCGAAAAGACGGTCGCAGATACTCGAGCAAGGGACGGCAGGCACCGACCTCGTCGCCATACCTGCAAGCCGCCATTTTAATGTCGCGGGTCGCAGAATTTCAATGTAAATGCAGTCGGTATTTCCGGCAAACAAGGGGGGCGCGGCGTAAGTCGCAAAGCAAGGACTTGCTTGCCCTGTCTGTGAGCGTTGCGCCCCCCCGCTCGCATTCGCCTCCCCCCCCCCCCTCTTTGGCCGAGGGCTGAGGTGCCATTTCCCGGGTTGTGAGAGCTGCCAAGACAAAAGTCGCTCCTCACTCCGTCGGCAACTTCCAGACCCGCGGCCGGCGGGCTATATCTGCACCTATCCGATAGTCAGGGCTGCTAGGCACCACGTCAGTGATCGCCCCTGGCACAAGTCCCCGCAAGCCTACGGTTCGAGCGGCCGGCAAAGGCGGAAGGCGAATCAGCATCGCTTTTCTGCCGAAACGGCTGGGCGGAGGTCACAATCCTCCTTTACCTTTGACCTGAGGCGCCGATCATACTTCGGCAGCATCCACTGAGAGAGAGCTCTAGTGGCACCCCCGAAGTTGAAGACTTGTCCTTGCTTCTCCCAGAGGCGTAGGCATGGGAGCAGTGCAAGCAGCGGGACCTGTCCGTTGCCAAAGTGGATCTTCGTCGCTTTAGAGTAGGGCGGGCGGCTCGGGGCTGACCGAGTGCCCCCCACAGCCTCCGTTCCCGAGCCGACGGGCCAGCTGCTGTGTGGTCATATCTCTTTGTAAAGGCATCCCCCACGGAGTCCGGTACGGCACTCGTGGCCGCGCCTGTGCTATCTCGATTCCCATCAAACTGTCTCGGGCTTGCCGCTCGTGACTGCACGTCTGTCTGTCTAGCAAGCAGCTTTCCCATGCCCCTCGATTCATCTTTCCTTCGATACTATTACCTTGCTACCGTTTCATCATCCTCGCTCGTCTTGTCTGGTTTCCCAGATCACACTTCGGGGTGATCTCTCCCCCCAAGAGGGTAAAACAAGCTTCTTCTTCCCTCTCCTTCTCTCGGCCTTGACGCTCATTGTCGTCGCCCTCGCACCTCTGTCACTGCCCTATCTTAACGCACAAGAGCGCATTTTGCCATGCCTTCCCATCTTCCTTTTGCAGCTGGATCTGCGCCTTCTGCCAATGGTTACTCGTCGTCACGCTCGGTGAGCTCCTCGAGCGCACCTTCAGGACCTTCCACTTCCTATCCATCCTACTCTAGACCCGCCCTTCTCGCACGGCAACATCCGCCTACAGATTACCGAGGTCAAGCGTCCCTAGCGCAGCCACCACCGCGCGACTATACTGCACCTTCCCACCACTACCTTTCCCACACGAGCGCCCATGGTCGCCACGAAGCGCCCCCACACCACGGTGGACAAGGTCAGAGCCTGCCAGCCTCGAGCCCCTCTCCATCCAGTAGTAGCGATGACAGCAACAATAGCAGCAGAGATGTGGGCGGCAACCGCGCAGCATCTGGCTCTCGCCAGGGGCCGTCCAGGGAGGGAGGTGGCTCGAGCGAAGGCAGCTCGGTGATACCGTCTTCATCGGCCACTGTGACGCATTCGGGGAGGAAGCGCAAGCGTTTGCAACGCGTGAGTAGAAACAAGTGGAGAGTCACGAAGGACCTGAAGCAGGTAGCGCAACTTCATCAGGCTGCAAGAGCTGACACCAGTCCCTGTCCCGCTTCCCTATCTCTCGCAATCTTCCTCAGGCATGTGTTCCATGCCACAAGGCCAAGCGCCGCTGCGACGGTGGACTCCCGTGCAGCAATTGCGACTTCAGCGGAAGGTCATGCTCCTACGCTGACAGTCATGGCAATGCTGTCAACCCAACGGCTAGGGCAAAGCCGCCCAAGCGCCACGATGGTCATGGGCAAGCGGACGGGCTTGACGGAGACGATCGTCACTCCGACACTTCGAGGCTAGGGTACAGCAGTTGCCAACACACCTCGCCTTCGACGGCAGCAACGTCAGTCTCGGCTCCTCGGCTTGTCTTGCCTGATACCGATAGTCACATGTCGGAGCATCTGAAAGGTGAGACTTAATACTTACGGTATCGAAGCTCCTGTGGACGGCGCCTAATGCTGATCGTCTCTGAATGTCTTTCCCTTCCCTCTCGTACAGTGTACCGTGCAAGCGCACCCGTCAATGCACTTCTCCCTAAGGTCTTCTACGGAAAGCAGGTGCCGGGAACACTTCTCACGTTGGCCATCTCCTGCTTCTCTTCGACTCGTATCAGCGGAGACATCTCCACCGGAGACGCCTTTGCGCACTCAGCCCGCAAGATCCTCATCGACGAGGATGCGAGTCGGCAGACCATCTACGAACGCCCTACAGTCGATGTGGTTCTGACTGTGCTCCTCCTAACCATGCACGAAGCCAGTACTGGCAAGCTACCCAAAGCTGTCTCTGCCTCGACGATCACCATCAACATGATCCACGATCTCAGGCTACATGAGGCTGGTGTCGGTGCCGAGCACTTTCACCCTGCCGAAGTGGCACGAATGGTATGCCTTGCCTATGTGGCAGAGCTCAGCGTAACAACGCTGGCCGGGAAGCCATCTTCTCTCAGCGACACCGATTTTCTCATTGCTACCTCTAGGTTGGCATACGTCGCTGGTGGTGATGCCACCAGTGGAGCCTTTCTGGCTCTTCTGCGATCTGCACGCGTCTTTGCTGCAGTTATTGATCACCAGCGTCGGCATAGGTACCGACTCTTGTCTGCAGACGAGATCAACGATTCGCGCCGCAAAGACTCGCTGAACATCTGGGCCGATTCACTGCCGCCCTCTCTGGCTTTCAACGATGGCAATCTGGCAGAGGTATCGCGAATCCTGTCCGGTCATTCTCAATCTCAATACTCAAATGAGGATGAGAGTGCGTGGGCTTGGGCCTGGACGATGATGCATTGCTTTGCAGAGATGTCAGTCTTCCTGCTAGAGTCTCTCCCATCCGGGTCAAGTCAGAGGCGCGGCGCAGCTAGCGCAAACCTCTGTGTGCTGGTCGAAGCCTTGGACAGGGCGACGCGCTCAAGCGTGCTCAGTGTGCTACCGCTCCTCTTTGCCTCTCAAGCCAGGCCAGTAGCCGGCGTTTCAAATCCGGCTTCTGTCTACTTGGCAGATGCGCAGAGATCGCTATGTCTCATTGACGATGAGCAATGTCGACATGCTTTAGCCTACTTGGGCGTCGAGGATCCCGTTGTACCAGCAAATCGTCCTGCCTCTGCCCAGTCTAGAGGTCCGACGTACCATGCACCGAGGAACCACTCCAGCAGTCCATCCGTCCCTAGGCTGGCTACCCTGGAGTCATTGTCTTCGCTGCCCAACCCTAGCTCTGCAGGTCCGCTCCGCTCTACCTCGCCCGTGTCGCCATCTGTGAATCTTTTGCCGGTGAGCGCAGGGCCTCACTACACGCACGGGGGTTACCCGCCGGTGCTGCCCCCACCGCCCCAGTTGGTGGTGACAGATCGCAAGGGTGGCCATCTGTCTCACTCTGATCATCGAATCCTCCCACCTCTAGCTGCATTGGGTCCGGCGGGTGGTGTCAATGGAACGCTTGGGAGCGGTAGATTGGGTGAGACGATGTCGAGCGGAAAGAGCTGGATATTGAAGTGATGGACAGGCGTGGTTCGTAAATGTAGAAGCGCGGCAAGGGGGGGGATAGACAAGCTAGAAGGGGAGCGGCGGACGCCGCATCAATTTTCCTGACTGGATTCGTTTGCGCTACAGTATACCATCGTACATAGTCAGAATCATACACGAGCGATTTTCACATTTTTGGCCGTCCTTGGTGATGTATAGATAGCTATGGCCACGGTTCAGTGTCGATCGGAAGGTCCTGAGAGCAGTGCTTCGGCGTATCAGACAGAGATCGACACATCGGAGGCGTCCAGGAAACCACGTTGTCCCGCGCTCATCCAGCCAAGAGAATCGTAGTACCGTAAGCACTGCTCCTAGCCGAGCTGGGTCAAACGCCCATGACAGCTGGCTATGTCAGAGGAGTGGGGTGAGGCTTATCGGGGATTGCTCACGCTTAGCATCATCAGACAGGGGCGGAGTGTAGCGATGGCGATGTTTCTCCACGAGGTCTGTAGTTGTCAGATCGGACAAGGTCAGGGCTGTAAGGCCGGCGAGGTTGTCGCGCGTGCCGATGGCGGGGCAGGGTGCGCATCCAGCCAGATATGACGTCGCGGGCTGGGGCGGCGGACTGGCAGGCGGGGCGGGCTTTGACGTGTGTGTGTGTGTGTGTGCGGGCGATGGGCTTCCTCCGCTTTCACGTTCAGACGCACGCATCCACGCACTGCACCTCGCCCTCCACGGATCCGGCGCAGAGGCACAGGGTGGGATGCACTGCAGCGAAGCCCCACGCCCGCCTTCGATGATGCTCGAGGGCCAGTCGCAGTGGCCTCCCCCCCCACCTCGGCGACTCATCCCTGTCTGAGGTAGAGTGGAGCGAAGAGGGACGAGGTAAGGCAGAGGCTATTGCAAAGCATTTGGCAGCAATTGCGCCTGAAAGCTCATCGAGGGCGAGGTGGATGCACGGCTGGCTGCATTAGAGCTTCCCCATTCGCCACACGGCAGCACATGGCCACTGTCACTCGCTTTCAGAACCTCCAGACACAAGTTTCCTCGCCTACTCCATTCAACCCCCACATGCGCACTCCAGCCCCGTATCCCCCGAGCTCCCAGTCGGCCTCCAGGTCTTGATTGCCTCCAGGTGTCGCCACATCAAATCTTTCCTTCTTATCCAATCCTCTCCATACCATATCTAAGAGCGAGGATCCACACACACATTCACACTTCGTCTCCCAGTGCAACCTCTTCTTCATACCCACTTCGCCACAACAACATACCCATCGCATCTCATACACCTCTACTCCACTTGCACATCGGCCACTTGGCTCTCACTCATACACACCAATGACGTCCAAGGCCGAGATTCCAAAGGAGGCCGGCAAGGCTCCGCTCAACTCAAGACCATCCCTCGAGGGTCGTCGCAACTCTGGCTCCGAGGCACCCACTCTCCCTCCCGACAATGCCTGTGACGAGCCCGCACCCGAGGCACCTGGGGGCGCAGGCAAGGGTGCCATCGCTACCGATCCCGACTCTGGCAAGGGTTTCGACAAGGTGTACGGAGTGAGGCCCAAGACTACATGGCACCTTAAGCCAGCCATGGAGCGCAACCTGTGGGAATACATCTGTGGTCTGGACATTGGTCCTGACACTGCCTACCAGCGAAGGGAGGACGACTCTGAACTGCGTGGACCTCCACCTGTTCGACCGATGTGGGAGGAGAATCTCTTCATCATCTCCACTGGCTCTATCCCTCTTCTGCTACACAGTGCTTGGAACTTTATGATGCCAGAGCACCCCATGCACTGGGCTCCTGCTTGGATGATGTACCACCTCTCCTTTGTCTTCTTTGCCAAGTCGATGATCAAGCGGCTGCACCGCTTCATGGCCGAGTACGGTTGCTTCGACGAGCAGAACAGAGGTCGAGACATGGTCGATGACAGGCACGTCAACCACCTCGGTCGATCCATCTTCATCTACACCGTCTTCCGTACCATGGGACCATTCCTTCTCGCTTGGAGGGGTGAGATGACCAACCCATTCGAGGGTCTGTCTCTGATGACACCACTGAAGATGGCCTGGTGGGAGTGTGCACTGGACTACTGGTTCTACCTCTACCACCGCTCCACCCACGAGTTTGACTCCCTCTGGTTCATCCACCGTCAACACCACGCCACCAAGCACCCAACTCCCATTCTGTCCATTCTGGCCGACGACATTCAGGAGTGTCTAGAGATCTTCATCATCCCCTTCCTAGCCACTGCCGTCTCCCCCAAGCTCTCCTTTGTGGAACTTCACTTCCTCGTAGTCTACACACTCTACGTTGAAGCATTGGGCCACTCTGGTATTCGAGCAGTTTGGAGACACCCCATCCTTGGTCATTTCCTACGACTGGCTAACATGGAGCTGGCAGTAGAGGACCATGACCTGCACCACCGATTCGGAAAGAGTGGAAAGAACTACGGAAAGCAGACGAGGATTTGGGATAGGCTCTTTGGTACTGTTGGAGAGAGGATCGAGACGCCCGTCTTCTAGACACATATAAGATAGACGTACTCGCCCTTTCACTCCGTTCTACCTTTTGCCACATCGCATCCTCCTTAGCTTAGTCTTTGCAACCGTCTCCTCACCATCACACCTCACCACACTACATCCACCCTCTACAACTCTGACCATCCTCGACGTTCATACTATGTTCTTGCTAAACGATTCTGCTATTTTCTAGTTTCGCCGCTCGCCGTTCCCTGTACGATGATTACGAAATCAAATTTTTCCACATTTTCAACAGGAGACTAGACGCTTCCGGCCGTCTGTATTGCTTGTTGCGTGCGTGCGTGTGTGTGTGTGTGTGTGTGTGTGTGTATGTTTCTGCTTCTGCTGGTGCTTGTGAAGGCTAGTCTGTGCCGACTTGGCTTGTAAGTCGAAAATCAGGCGTGATACGACTCCCTGAGTCCGAGACGACCATGAGACATCCGCTCCGATCTGAGCTGAATGATATGCAGGGGATGTCGAATCCAGTCATCCCCACAGAAGAAGCGCAGTACGGCAGTCCGATGCTACCCGAGCGATCACGATCACGATCAAGGAGACGGAGCGCAGTATCTCTGGCATCTCTACTTCTCAAGAAGCTACTGTGATCGATGTCCCCAGACCAGGGCCGGAGGTGCTTACGTAATCCACTCGTACTCGGGGATTCAAGAAGGCTACTTCCGCCCGCTCGCTCTGCTTCCGCTCTTAGGCTCTTCTTACCCTCCCTTTCCTCCATCAGCCCTCAACCTCAGCTTCAGCTTCATCTGGATTTCGAGTCCTTTTGTTTGCTCTCTAGACATTGAGCATTCGCCTCGCCAGGCGATCTCAACACGACGATGCCTCGCTCCGCCTCTCCCCCTCCTCGACCTTCGCGAGAGGACGAAGCTGAGGACGAAGCTGGAGCCAGAGCCGGTGCGGGTGCTTCAATGTCCCACTCTCGCAGGGGCGAGGAATATCGGAATGGCTCTTCTTCCAGCAGTCGTGGATTTGGTGGCCCCTCCTCTTCTCATTTGAAAAGGGAGAGGTATGAAGATAGTGATAGAGATAGAGATAGGGAGAGGGAGAGGGAGAGGGAGAGGGACAGATACAGGGAGGGATACAGTCATCGCTCTTCACGCGATAGGGATAGAGAGGAGGACAGGAGGAGATACAGGCGCTACGAGGATGATGGACACGAGGCACGAGGTGGCAGTAGTAGCAGGTATGAGCGGGACTCTGCGAGCAGGAGCGATCGGCCCAGAGGAGAACGGCCCTCAGATAGAGATAGAGAGGACTACTCGCGACGGAGGGACGATCGTGCCTACGATCGCGATCGTCGCTCCCCAGTCAGGAGCAGACGGAGCCCCCCGCCTCGGACCCGTGATGAGCCAGCCTCCTCTTCTCGCTCAGCCCCTCGCTCAAACTTCGAAGAGGATCGCAGAAGAGAGAGGGAGCGGTACGATGCTACCTCCAGCACCGCTCCCTCTACCGGGAGGGGAGCGCTGGATGAGCTCTCTGCTGGTGCTGGTGCTGGTGCTGAAGATGAGGACCAAGAACAGGACCAGCCAGACTTCAAGCCGAGTGGACTGCTCGCCAAGGAGAGCAATCAGGTGAACGGGACTGCTCTCAAGTACCATGAGCCGCCTGAAGCGAAGAAGCCAAAGAGGAAGTGGAGGATGTACGTTTTCAAGGATGGCAAGGAGGTTGGTGAGTGTGCTCGTCCACGTGCCAGCGGAGGTCTCGAAAGTCATACGGTTGAGGAAAGTCACTGACGCTTCAACTTCCGATCTCGCCCCCCTCTCCTCTGCTCCCACCGCCTCCAGACTTACTCCACCTCTCCCGTCAATCCTGCTACCTCTTCGGCAGAGACCAAGCCGTCGTCGATGTTCCCCTCGAGCACACCTCGTGCTCAAAGCAACACGCTGTACTTCAGTATCGTCTACTGATTGAGCGCAATGAATTTGGAGACGAAAAGAGGAATATCAAGTAAGTTGAGGAACGCGGATCTGATCAGTCGAGTCGGGGATGTAAAGCCATGCTCAGAGCTCTGATCAACTTCCCTCCTCTTTTCCCTCCTTCTCCTCCTCCTCCTACTCTGCATTGTCCCGCTCAGACCGTATCTCCTAGATCTCGCCTCGGCAAACGGCACAACGGTGAACAAGCGTGATGTTCCCGCTTCGAGATACTACGAGCTCAAGAATGGTGACACGATCCAATTCGGGGGCAGTGAGAGGGAGTATGTGCTTTTGTGTGAGGATTAAAGGGGAGGGGAGTGGAGTAGAGTGGAGTGGAGGCTTATGCCCTGCGGTAGGATGATGAGGCTATTGTACAGATAAAGAGACATGGGATTGATTGGGTATCGGCCGGAAAAGACAAGAGGGTATATTGGCCCGCCTACTCTCGACCTTTCACGAAATGACGATCCACTGTCCCCCGCAGAAAGTGCAGCCATTGATCCCTTCAATCAGAACATCCTCCTCGCTCGGGCTCGACTTGACGGAGAGGTCTTGCGCCTTGAGACCACAGCTGGAGCAGGTCCGAACCTCGGCAGTGCTGGTGATCGCGTACGTCTGGGAGCAGCGGGCTGTAATGTATTCGGCAGAGAACAGCGGCATCAGTCAACGCAACTTTGAGTAGGCAGGTCGATCGAGACGGGGACTCACCGCTCACATGGCCCCTCGCACACACGGCTCTCTGTGGCCAGAGGCTCGCTGGACCCCATTCTACCTCGACCGTAGCATCGTCGCAGATGGGACACTTCTCTTTCTCATCCAGTACCTGCCGTAGATGCCAGTCCTGTTGATCGAGCAAGCACGATGTCAGCAATGGATGACGCGAACGTCGAAAAGTCTACAGAGTGTCGCCCCGAAGCACTTACCGGCGCAGACTTCTCCCAGGATGCAGCGGCGCTCTGCTCTGCTTCGGAAGAAGATTGGGTACGCAGTCTAGCCTCTACGTCAAAGTTGCTTCGAAGGTACTGTTGTTGAGCACAGTCTGCCTTTTCGTAGTCGACGGAAAAGGCAGAATGCGCCCTCCCTGCTGTGACCTCGACGCGCTTCGAGTGCAATTGGCCTACGTCACTGTTCAGAGCTTGAGCTGAATGGGTGGAGAGGTGGAAGGGCAAAGGATGTGAGCAACGGATGCACTTGTGACAGATCACCAGGTACCCGTGTCTTACCTTGCTTGATGAGCCTCTGTTGTCTCGGCAGCCAGTGGCTCAGAATCTTCGCTTCTTCAAGCAGTCTTGTCTTCTTGTAATGGACGAGCGCGGTCTTGTTCTGGCCATCTCTTTTCCTACTCTCGCGCTGCAAGGGGCGATTCAGAGGAGACCGAGGCGATCGTAATTAGCGTCCACGGCCATTGGTATGTCACTGTCTGTTTCTATTGAGAACCACTGGACAAGGCTAATACTCACTATAAGCCATTCCAGAATGTAAAACAACTTACGCGACCCATCACTGAGGAGTTCCACGAGCTCCTCTTGCTCAGGAGGACCCTTGCTTGTCCCTTCTTCGAGATCCGTCTCGGCACTATAGTGATGAATCTCCACTTCCTCGAAAATCTCTGCCAACAGAGTGGACTTTGCAGTCGGAGATAGTGCCTGATAGAGAGCAACCACTGGCCGAAAGAGATGCACAGGTCGTTTTGCCGAGCCTATTGAACGCTCGAGTGATGAAGTGATCAGCTCCCTGGCTACTTCACAGGCGTCCATAATGGGAGTCGGAGGCAGCAAGAAGGTGACTTGTGCATTACGATCCGCGTGGTTTCGGAAGGAGGATATGTCGCCGGCACTATCATGAAGGAGTCGATTGATGTGAGCTGACGTGCGAAGAAGTCGCCGAGGGCCTGTCATAGACTTGATGCAGATACTCACCTCTGCAAGACAGCAATCAACCCATTGGGACCGTCCTGTGCCCAAGCATCGACTCTCTGGTGCGCCTCCACACTCTGCCGAAGGCTGTCGAGAGGTAGTTCTGGCTCAGCTGTTGTGCTCACAACGCAGTGCAGTTTGACGCTCGAGGGCAGGGGCAGCCTAATCATGTACTGCAGTCCAGATGTTAATGTCAGCAGGTAGGAATCAAGACTCAAGCGATCCAACGCTATAGGACATGCGTAATCAAGATTCTGTGTTAGCTCACGAGCGCAAGCATGTTCTCGTAGCAATAGCAATGAAGGGAACACAAATCCCTGCAGAGCCCTCACTCACCAATCGCCTCGGCATGGGGATCTCTTTCTCCTTCAATCCCTGGCTCTTCCGAAGGAAGAAGCTGGCATGTCCTCCACTGCTTTCTCGGAACGTCTGGCTCAGTATCAAGGAAGTGCCAGGTATGTACAGCTCCAGGTGATGTACAGATGACGATTTGTGGCTGCTCCGCATCGTCCTCCCACTCTAGAAACTTTGCTATTGATATTTGCAGACCTCGTGGGACTTCATGACCCGATCGTATGGAGGAGTGTAAGCGCACACCTGTGCTGTTTGTGGCAACACGAAGTACACTGATACCTGTGGATTGGATAGCGAGAAGGACCGCCTCGGTTTCCATGTCTAGCGTGCCAGGGCCATTCGTAGCGGATCTCTTCCCATCGACCAACGTGTCTGGCGCTTTCAGCGAAGAGGACCAGTGAAGCGTTGTCACGGCATCCGACCCAAGGTCTGCCAATTCGCTAACGTGACCCTTATGGGCGATGTGAACCTGCCCCCCTCTTGTACCCATGGCAAGGTGATCCTCAGAAGACCAGGCCAGCGAAATTGTCTGCAGAGTAAAGGATTCTTTCGTCCCGGCAACAGCCGGGCGCACGCTCCTGAACATTGTCCATGGACCGGCAATAGGATTCGCAGGGGCTTCGAGGACTCGCACATTGAGATCAGAGTCGATGAAAGCTATCTTGTCCCCATCCTGTGACCACTCTGCAGACTTGAAGCGCTTGAAAGTCTGGCCCGGGTGAGGCGCATTATAGTCTGTTCGTAGGCAAGGCAAGAGAAGGGTCAGCCGCTCTTCGAAGCAGAGGTGATTTGTTCCGCCGAGCCTCTGCATCTCTCACCTTCGTCTCTGAGCTCTCGGCTTACGGGCTGCTCGACCGCCGCGGATGCTGCAGTACCAATGTCAATGGCACACTCAAAGAAGTCGATGGAGCTCGAGGAAGCCTGCCCTGTGCGAGGCAGTGCTGCAATTGGCCCTTTGTCACTTGCGTTGTAGCGCAGGAATCTACTTTGAATGATCTGAGATGATCTGGTGGGTTTCAAGATGGAATCATATCCTAGAGCAGGGGTCTGGAGACACAGCAATGCCGTCAGTACCAAGCTGTATGCATTGCCGTGGAAGGCCTACATGTCTATCAGTCACTCACGAAGATGTAAAGGCATGTGTCTGTAATGATGCACACTTGTCCCTCATTGCTCCATTTGATACACCGCGGATGTGAGAGATCGGGCAGCGTGATGGAGCACAAAGGTGCTCCGCAAAGCGGCATGGCCACGCCCGAATCGAAATGAGCAGAGGGCGCAGCTTCGCTTGGCTTGGCAGCCGCCTCCGAAGCGGGCGGTGCTGTAGGCTCAGCTATTGATGATGAAGCCCTGTTCTCCTCAGCGACGGCATCATCGTCCTTCGAGTGCCTAGCTACCTTGCGAGGTCGAGGAGGCATGATTGCCTGCGCTGATACGAGCAACGAGGGGGTGAACTTTGGAACGGAAGCAGGGCGCGTCGGCGCGTTTGCACCTTCTTCTTGACCCTTGGCCCGTGCTTCTGTCCTGAGCCGGGCCGGAAGCCGAGGCGGTGCGCGAAAGAGTCCTCCTGTGCGGGGCGGCGTGGGGCGAATGTGCGGTACAATAATCCTCGCTCAGTCTTGGCGTAGGCCTGATTGCTGCATTGCTGCTACAACATCGTCAATTGCTAGGCCCTTGATCCTCTCAGTTCGGCTTCGTATGGCCGTCGTATTGCCAAGCCACTTCAGGCACAAAGAGGAAGCCAAACACCGCGATCAGGCCGATGCAGGTACGCACAGCCACACACACCTACAAGTAGCGGACAAAGCCACACGACCAACCACATCATAAGCGCCATTTCAGGGTGGTCGTTACCGGCCTCGTTCTCAGCGCCTCTCTCCTCTATTCTGGCATACCCGAAGACCTGCTGCCGATCTCTGCGACCACGGAAACGCACCACTCATCGTCCGAAAGGCATCAAATCGCATCGCCATGAGCCTCGACCCTGCCCTCTTCACCTTGCACTTCCTTCCTCGGCAAGACTCGCCCTCGATTACAGACCTCTCCTCTATCATCCCGGATGCCACTTCTAAAACATTCACCCCGACATATACCCTCTCACGGGCAATCCGATCTCCAAAGTACCAGAACACACTCCTAGATGGCCTGACATACACTGAGCTCGGTTCCGTCTCCGCCTCCTCTACCAGCGAGAAGTGCAAGTCCCTCAAGCTCTTCAACCCGGATCAGGACAATGAGGTCAGAAAAGCAGGAGCAATGCTGCGGACCGAATGGCAATTTGCCTGGCAAGGAGAGAAGCTAGCCATCAGCAAAGAATTGGCCATCGGAGTGGGGAATGGCAAAGGGAGCTATGATGTTGAGATCATTCGCAAGCCTGACCCGCCCATCAAAATTGCCATCTACAGACCAGAGTCAAAGAAGATGTCTGCTTTTCTACAAGTCTTCGACTACAACATCGATCGCTGCGAAGCAATTACCGACAAGAGGGGCCTGGAGCATACTCTCATATTAGCCATCGCATCATGTTTGGATACCGAGTACGATGAGAGGCATCGCACTCCAGACGACAATGTCTTCTTGTCCCTAGTCGGTGCAGCGCCTACCAGCCCTTCCCAAGGTGGCATGACAGGCATGCCAACATCCGGGCCGCTGGAGCCCAACGAGGTTGTCATCACCCCCCTCGTCGAGCCTGCTCACGTCGTGGAGCATTGCCTCAATCTGCTTAAGAGCGGAATGGATGGAGCGGACCCCAGAGGGCTCAAAGCGGCCACCGTGGGCCAAAACCTCGAGCTGGTCGTGATCAAGGCAGTTGGCGAGGAGATGGCCAAGCGCGCCATCGGGATCGCCGAGAGAGTCAAAGTGGGGTTCTACCGTCTGCCAGACTCGCGGAAGGGCAAGCTCTGGGATGGGACTGTGCCAGCTGAGCTCTACCAGTATGTCCGGACCAGCGAGCTCAAAGCCCAAGACAGACCCGAGGGAAGCAAGCCTCCGGTCCCCGAACGCCCGCCTGCACCACCGTCATCAGGAGCTCGCCCCCGTATCAAGCTAGGCGGTGGACATTCACCTGAGCCAACGAGTACACCGCAACCACCTGCTTCACCTCTGCCGGCCAAGACACCACCCTTGCTGACCGACATCACCATCTTTCTATCCAAGACGAAGCTGGAGGAGTTTGAAGCGGAAAGATCTCAACAGGCAAGACTGTACGAAGAGGAGCAGAGTAGACGGTTGGCTGAGAGGCTCCAAAAGGAGCAAGTACGTCAGGAAGAGAGCCCCGCGAGCTCTCGCACGAAGGGACAGGCCAGCAGAAGGCCAATGTCGGGGGGACAGAATTCGCCTGACGCTACTAGACTGAAGCCATCAGCGCACAGAAACGGAAGGCCAACATCTGCAGGAGGATCTTCAGAACCTAGGAATGGAGTGAATGCACCGCAGGATGATCCGAGGAATCCGGAATCGGTAAGTTTTGAAGATGCATGTGGTTTGTCTCGAGCTTCTGTTGGTGCAAATGGGGACCGCGCTCTTGCCCTTGCAGGGCAAGGATGCGGACAAGTGCGATCGGGGGACAATACATGTTTATGCGACGACGAGCCATTTGAAGAAGATGAGCAAAGAGTACAGTCTATCGGGTTTTCAAGGTATCTAGACTCTGACTCCGCATTCCGAGGAGACATCGAGACACCATCCGCCCGCGATGATGGCAGGAGGGTCATATCTGCATCGACGGAGGCTGTTGTTGCGATGCGCTGCAAGCTGGCATCCGATAGTACGACAAGACAATCGCATCAATCACTTCAGGCTCACAGTCACGATGAAGCTTTATCACCAAACGGTACCCTCCGTCACGGGTTTGGATCGTGTCAGAATCTCACAAGACACGCAACTTGGTCCTCTCGTCCCACCCATCCTACCGGATACACGGTCTCGTATCCCGCGGCTACGAACCACGCTCAGAGAGGTACGCACACAGACCCTCCTCTTCTTCAACTTTACTCGATCTCTTCCTTCGTCTGCTCGATTTCTCTCTGTGGTCTATCTACCGCTGCTCAATCTCCACACGCACAGGCGTTGCCCTCGATATCATCAATACTCCGTACCTGCCCTACTGACACAACAACCTACCTTCTTCCTTGCTTCTGCCTGTACAGACTCGCCTCACACGGCTCTTCAATCGAGTGCACGTGACGCACGTCCCGCATCCTTCTTCCTCCCCCTTCAAGACGACTCCACCCTCGTCAAGGTGAAGACGCCCAAGGTCACTGAGCGTCCTGTCGTTGTCGTTGAAGACTCGCGTATCCCTCGTGCGTCGTCAATGGCTACTCTGCTAGTGGGGAAAACTCGCCTGTCGGGAAGCTTTGACTCTCGACTTGCTGCTGCAGCTGCTACGACTGCTGCTGACGCTCAATCGGATGCGAGTGCAAGTGAAGCAGGCGCGACCACCGACCGAGACGACGCCGAAGATATCGAAAGTCTGTGCGAAGCTGAATGCGGTTCGTGGTATGGCTCTGAATGCTCCTTCTCATCCGAGGCCACGGGTCCACCTCTGGAGAGTGAACAGGACCCTTTGCGGGCGAGAGGCAACAACAGTAAAAAGAGCCCTACTAGCAGGGTGCTTTCCAATCTACCTCCGCCGATCCTGGCCAGAGGCACACAGGTGCGGGCTACTTCCGACCCCGAAGAAGCGCTCCAGCCCTCGCTACTCCGGCTGGCGGTTGTAGCACCAGCAGCGAATGACGGCAGAAGAGCGTCTGCGCCAGTCAAGTCGGAACGTCTATCCAGAGGGGCAAACGGAAAGAAGACATTATCGTTGCCTTGCCCTGCCGGTCTGACTGGTGGCTCGTGTCAGCCAAGCAAGGAGAGAGCAACGGGAAAGGAGGAGAGGCCAAGAGCAGGAGCGAAAGCAGGAGCAGGTAGGTGGAGCTCTACGCCGATTAGGGATTTGCATGAGCAGTGGGCTGCTGATTTCAGAGGTGGTGGTGGCGCGATGAGCAGGAAGAAGCGGGGAGTGGAGAAGAAGAAAGAGAAGGTCAGGCTCAGTCCAGCTTAGGACTGCTTTGATAAACTTGTATATAGCTTAGAATCTGCCAGACCTATAGGTTGCACCTTCCCCTTGATCTTGGCGTAGCCTTACTTGGCTGCCAATCTATTGCCTTGAATCGCGAGATCGGAACGGAAGGACACTGGTGCCTCTCGGAACGGGGCGTGCTGGCTGGCGGGGTGGGGCGTGTGCGTGAGTGTGTGAGTGCGTGCAGAACGCTCCACCGTGTCAAGGGGCCGGGCGCTTGTTGCCTTGCAATTCTTCTTGTTGTTGTTTCCCCATCGTACCCAAAAGGCTTCCCTCTACGCCCTCGCTACATACCCACTGCGCTTGACGATACGAACTACGCGGCGCTCTAGTCTGAGCCATCGTAACATACCTCTTTGCTATCGTATCGTGAGCTTCGTTGCTCTCGCTCAGCCGGAATAGCGCCTCTTGTACAGGGCTCTGCTGTTGTAGCATCCGCCTACCCCTCGGCAAAGTCTAGCTCAGTACGAGCTTGTGACCCTCTACACAGATCCTAGAGGGTCCCGCATTCCCCTCTCTCCCCTTGTACAGTCGCCGGCATGACTGAGCATATGAACATCTTCCGCCTCGGGGGTGACCTATCCCACCTGGCCTCCATCGGCATCCTCATCCACAAGATCCAGACATCCCGCTCAGCTCGGGGTATCTCGTTCCGTACGCAAATCCTCTACACCATTGTTTTCTGTACAAGGTATCTGGATGTCTTTGCAGAGAATTCCCTCTACCGGTTCGTAATGAAGCTCTTCTTCATTGCCTCGAGCGTGTATATCCTCTACCTCATGAGGATCAGATTCAGGCCCACTCACGACCCAGCAATCGATACGATCCGGCTGGAATACCTCCTCGGTCCATGTGCGGTCCTAGCGCTGATCTTCAACTACCAGTTCACCATCACCGAGATCCTCTGGTCCTTCTCCATCTACCTAGAGTCGGTCGCTATCCTACCTCAGCTCTTCATGCTACAGCGCACCGGAGAGGCAGAGACGATTACCACGCACTACCTCTTTGCTCTGGGAGCATACAGGGCGCTTTACATCCCCAACTGGATCTATAGGTACTTTGTTCATAACAAGGTAGACCCGATCTCCGTCGTCGCGGGCCTTGTGCAGACTGGACTGTACGCCGATTTCTTCTGGAGTGAGTAGCATGAGCAAGAGCGAGGAACTCCATCCGTAACCTCATCTGACCCATCTTCCCTATGCCTCTGCTACCTATTCCACCCTTTGACAGTCTACTTCAACAAGGTCATGAAGGGAGAGAAGTTCACACTGCCAGCATGAGCAGGAGAGGGAGCTGTGTGAGCTGGGGTCAGGGCGGAACCGATGGGATGATGAGAATGCCGATCATGACGCGGGGACCTGAGATTGGCACAGAGCATCTCTCTGATCTCCTGTTGCTACACGGAGAAGTCTGCCAAGGGGATTCTGGCAACGATGAGAAGCGGATGGATGACGGCCACGGGAAGGAGAGGATCCGTACGGACAGACGTGGAAGCGCGCAGGCTTCTATTGCTCCCTGTGCGAGGTGTGCAAACGGCAGGCCCTTACCTCGTCGGCGGCGGCAGGCAGAGATCTATCTAGACGTATCAGCTGTTTCTTCTTGGCAAGCGCAATATAGTAAAGCTATCTCTACAGTCTGATGATGGATGCTTTGTGAAGGTCTCACCATCTAGCTCTCACCTCATTGCGCCTCAGAAAGGTCTTCATAATCATATCCACAAGGCCACCTGACGAAGTCTGAGATGGGAACCATCCGGGCCCCCAGGGCTCAGCTGTACCACATCCTCCATGCCTTTTGCTCCTCCTCGTCTCCCTCGAACTCGAATCCTACGCGCAGGACCTCGTCGAAACCTTCCTCTAATGCACCTCCAACTGCGCTCGCGCCCACTTGAGGCTTCTCGAGGACCTTGTAGTACGAATTGAAGGCAATGGAAGGCATCGGTGGTGGGAGCGCTTCCCGTGCCTTCGAAGAGGCATGTAGCTGAGAGGGAAAGAGCCACCGTTTAGAGCGGAAGGCATCGTTATGCTGTGCCTCTTCCAGCGTAAGGTCAAAGTGCACGCATACGACCTTCTCCACCTCGTAGCGCTTGCCGAGAGCAGTGTACAGTGCCCTCGTCGCCTTTGCCGGATTGGTATTGTCCACTATCACGCTCTTGCCTGCCTTTAGTGCTTCCTCCGCTACCTTGAGACACTTCTCCTTGGTCTTGAGCGCGTCTTGATTTACGCGCACCCAATGACCACCACTTTCTGCCTCGAGCTTCTTGGCGAAGAAGGACTTGCCGCTGGCCTGAGGACCGACGAGAATCACCAATGATGGCTTGCTTGCGGTCGATGCGGAGTCTAGCAAGCGACGACGTAGATCCTGAAGTATTGCTTTGCTGGATGAGCTCGAGCCATCTGCGGGAGGGGTTGCTGGACGATGACCACTCCACTCGAAAGCTGCCTTCTCCTCGCCCGCAAAGTACTCCTCGGGAGTCAAGAATCTCCAGCCGAGATTGTGTGCTAGCTTCCGGTCTGTATCGGCAAAGTCTCTGGCCTTTTTGCCGACAGCAGTCCTTCCAGCCGCGTCGCCCACGAAGAAGCTTCTCGTCTGGTCGTCGTGATCGGCAGGCATGCCAGGGTCGATATCCAGCTCTTTCGTTCCACCCGCCGCGCTCCACATTGCTCTCAATTCCTCGACCCATCCAGCGCCAGGCTTCCTGTATGCATCTCTCCGTGTGCCAGCAAAGACCACAGCGGGTACGTCCAGCTGGCGTAGGATAAGGCCAAGTCGCGCTTTCCAGGTCTTCAGCCTGGCTGCCTTCTGGTCCAGATTGAGCTGGTTGGTCAGAACGAGGATCAAAGAGCCAGCCTGGTGCTCCTCATGCAGCTTGTTCTTCACTACCGTCCTCTCTTTTGGCGTCCTTCCCCAAATTCGAAAGTCGTTCTCATCGACAAAGTTGTATGCTGCTCGCCCGGAGGAGGTCTCGATGAGGTTGCCGTCTAGATCGAAGGCTGCGATCCTTTGCCGCTTCGAGCCTGAAGCCTTGCTGGTCTTGGCAACGCTTCGAAGGGCATCCTTGAATTCGCCCACGAGGCACGACTGTTCTGATCCGATGCTGGGTAGCCACTTAATTCGCTCACCAGCAGCGCCAGCACCAGTAGAGCTTGAGCTACCCGGCTTGGAGAAGAAGGAGTGTACAGGCTTGGAGATACTTCCTGATGCGCTGGAGGATGGCTTGGGGTCTGTCAATTCCTTTTGTGTCCTTGGGACCTTATTTAAAGCCACGCTCAACACCTCGATCTCCTCGCCATCACTGTCCAGCAGAGCAGCCACTGCCCTCTTCTTGCCCTCCGAGGGCAAAGTGGACGCTTGGGAAGAGGCCGAGGGTGCCATGCTAAAGGCGCGCCACGATTGAGGTGTGGCTGTGGCAACGCGACTGAGGAGGACCCGACTGAGACTGTGAAGTCCCGTTCCAATGACAGTGAGAGCCAGTGTGGTCGATCTAGTGGAGAGGACAAGGGGCGTGAGTCTCTGCTACCTTCGAAAGGTCAAGTAGGATACAAGGAGTACCTTTGAGCGGAAAGGAGCCTGGAAAGCGGGAAGAGCCACGCGAGGCCTCCAGCGCCGCTTTGTGTGGCGCTGCTTCGTCCTTGCTTCCCCGCAAAGGGTCATTCTACGATAGACGCCTCTTCTGACGTGGGCTGGAGATGGTCATCCCACGAGTCCTGAACCAGATCCCAGGTTCGACATCTCAGCTGCTACATAATGCTCGTGGCTTAGAATTTGCTGCCGTTCGTGCAGGGTAATTGCTGTGAAAGCTGCACTGATATGCGCCTCCAGTGCCCACCAGGCGCACCCCCTTTGTTCTCCCGTGCGGCTGGGCGTCAAGCCTCATGGTACGCCGGCGCCTCTTGCTCCTCGACTGTGCCATGCTGCGAGTAGACCATGGACAAGGACCCAGGTAATCTTGAGCCCCACGGCACCCAGACGCCTCCATGCGCAAGCGAGGGCAGTGACGGTGCAGAACAAACAAGAGGATGCGCCTCACCTTGCGTCCTTGTCCCGACAGGACGCCTTTGTTCTGGTACTGGGAGCAATCGCTCAAACAAAAGGAGGGGAGGTGTCCGACCCAGCATGCTGGAGACTCTACTCTCCATCGCTACCACTCTCCTCTCCACGGACGCTACACTCATAACACTTGGCTGGTCCAACTCCTCCCTTTGCGTCTTGGACACATTCATTCCCTCAATCTCCCAGCAAGCGCAAATCTGTACCTTGACCACACCTTCAGCCCAGGATGTTGCCGAAAGTGCCTCTGCTTACTCTCTTGCAGCCAGCTCTGCAAGTCACCACGCTCGTCCTCCTCTTCATCGCTTTGCTATGTCCCAATCCTTTCACCGACAGCGGGATTGACCTCATGGTCGTCAGGCCATACAATGTCAGCAGCACCAGCACCGCTAGTGCCGCAACTACAACCCTGGTGCTGAGCACCGCCAATACTTCTACGTCGACCGCCCTGCCCACGAGTAGTACCACTGCCTCGACACCCTCTTCGGCTACTACTGCGCATACCGCAACTTCAACGAACACGTCCAGCAGCGTCAGCTCATCTTCCGCCTCTCCCACAGCCAATGCGTCGACAAGTTCGACCACGTCCGCCGCTCAAATCGGCCTAACGCCCGCAAGCGCTAGCAGCTCGACCATCTCTGCGGCGCGCAGGGAGTACACGCTTCCGCCCCTTGCCAATCTCGAAGCCCTGTCCAACAGCAGCACTTCGACGACGACTGCGACAGTCTACTCGAATCAGGGCTATTCAAATCTCGAACTCAAGTACGGACCGCTAGGCGGATGCTTCCGAGACGCCGCTGGAGTCCGCACCTGCACACCGGCGAGCTTGAGTCCCTCTCTGGCCTCACTCAATGCTCGGCTGTCGGTCGTTGGCCAGCTGTCGACAGCAATCAGCATCACCGGTCTGCCCTCGGCATTCAAAATCACCCCTATCCTGCTCTTCGTCACCTTTGGGGTCTTCCTCTTGATTTACCTCTTGAGCGTTCCTCAGCTCCTGCCGCGGTTGTTCCCCAAGTCGACAAAATTCGCCAGCTATCTCAGCCCCGAGTCACGGGTGCACAGACACCTTGAAACACTAGTTGGACTTGCTGTCTACGCTCGGATGGGATGTGTCGGTCTCTTGCTGGGTGCTGGTATCAGTCTGCGATTGAAAGTCAGCAAGGCAGTATATGCCTTCAATGCTGCCAATGTCTCGCACACGATGCCTGCTTCTCTCACCCTCGTCGACTCGGACGATGTTGGCATGCAGGCCGTGGCCGGCTCCAGCTTCAGTCTCATCTGGGCCACCGTCGTTCTCATTGGCGCGGAAATCTATCTGGAACGAAGACGCATTCGTCTAGAAGCCGCCATTGCTCAAGCTCGCAAGGACATTGAGAGTCAGTACGGCCGAGGTGTCTTTGAGATGCTGGAAGAGGCTCGCTCGCGCGGCGACTTGAGCGCAAAGGCCGAGTCTATCTACCAAGGTCACGCTGCTTCTATCAAGCCAGCGCGCTCCATCTATGGTGGCTCAGAATATGCTTACGGTGCCGACACCAAAGGACGTCCAACGAAGAGTGTGATGCGCACTGCCTCCTTCAGATCGACTGGATCGACCTACCACCACGGACCACAGCGCTACACTTCTTCAGACAAGGACTTTGGCTACAACGTTACAGCTCCTCCCTCGAGGCGAGTACAGCTTCACCCGGCTTCTTCACATCAAGCATGGCTCGAAGAGAGAGACGATGGAGGTTATTACGAGCAGCCAGCGCCATTCACCGGCCCAGGCTGGTCCGAAGCTCACCCGCCCATGAGCCAGACCCGCAGCCTGTCGCGTTCTCAATCTCGCTCTCGCATTCGCCCACGTGCTGAGTCTCCTACACCCTCCTACTGGACCTCGAACGGCGGGAAAGAGGCCCTCGAAGCGAGCACACTGCACACGCTGGCCCCCTCTCGCATGGACAGACGCGGCTCGTACTCTGGCTCCGACGTAGATCCAGAGATGGAGCACCTCCCTCCGCGCGGACCCTCCGCCCTCTCGGACTACTCCCTCGAGCCCTCCCGCTCGATCGCTGGTGCAAGTGGACGTAGGCAGCTCCAGACAGGCCATGCAGGAGTGGCACACGCGCCTTTTGGGAACTTGCGCCGTAAGCCCTCGCATGGCTCGCGTGTCGTGCGCGGACCTTCCCGTGGAGTGCCAGAGGGGGAAGAAGACGAAGAAGAAGAGCGACAGCAGCACCAGCAGCACCAGCAGCAGGAAGAGGATGAAGAGGAATATCTCGACTCCCACTACACTGCAGGCAGTACAAGCGAGGAGCGTCGTCGTCTCGAGCGCGAGCGAGAGGAGCTAGCTGCGCTTGAGAGGGAGATCCTGCAGAGGAGAAGGAGGGAGCTAGAGTGGCAGATGGGACGGGATCAAGATCGAGCTGCTGCCGCTACCACCGCCGCTGCTGTTGCTACTGCTGCTTCCGGTGCCGGACTTGGTAGTAGTCGAAGCAGTAGTAGTACAGATGACACAAAGATTGTTGGACTTGGAAGATTGGGATACCGGAAAGCTGCTGATGCTGGGAGGGTCTAGAGATGGCACGAGTCGATTTTCGTCTTGTGCGACAGATTTAGCTTTCCTTTTCTTGTTGCCTCTTCGATTCACTCCAGTTGTAGCCCCTGTATCGTCTAATCCACTCAATGTCGTGTCCGGTCATGCGGATGTGAGCAGTGAGGATACATTACACGCACTCTTTCGAGGAGCAGGCCACGAGTCTGATACAGGAAGCAGGCAGACAGACAAGCTGCAGAGCAATCATCAAATCCTGCGCTGCCTTATGCCTTGACTGCACCTCCTATCCTTCCAGCTAGCCATCTTATCTTTCACCCGTCCACCCAATCTAAAGGTCCTTTCCCTTGTCCTTTGCTCCACCTACAATCTTCTTAATACTAGTCTTGACGAACGTCTCCCCACCATTCAACCACCAAGCTGCACCGCTCAGATAAGTAGCATAGGACGACCAAAGGAAGTAAGGTACATTCAACCAAAAGGCCTTTTCGCTTACATCCTTTGTCTCATAGAGCCAGAATCCAAGAGTGGTGATAAGGGCGGTTAGGTCGATAAAGGCAAGACCGAGTTGACCGAAACCGAAACGAATGGGAGTCCAAATTTGATTGAGGAAGAGCTGACCGTAGTAAAGCTGGAGAGCACGGTTGGCGCGCTGGCGACCGAAGCCTACGCAGGGGCGGAGGGACAGTGTGGATGGGAAAGGAGAAGGTGCAGTGTGAGCTCATGTATACGGTGGGGCTATGAAGCTCTTTGGTGGGTGGACGTGGCTTGTGCTACTCACCAGGGGGAGTCTTGTCCAGGGACTTTACGATGAGGTGAGATCCGTAACCCATGGCTGCAAAGAGGGCGGGCCAGACGATTCCAAACGCCTGCCTGTGGAGAGTGGAGAGTAGTGGATGCAGCAATAGATCGAAGGTGAGGATCACGAACAGTGCCCCATCTACCTCTCCCTCCAGGCGCAACGCCTCTCTCGCCACCTTCAGAGTCCTCTAAATTACCCCGCCTGTTTCTACTCACTTGGGCGGGCTGTAAGGAGGCCTAGTGAGCGTCTTCTCAAAGAGACTCTCCGGTCCGTACTTTCCCTTGTTGGTGACCAGTCCGGCGCCCATTCCCAGGATGGTCGGGATACCGACTGCAAAGACGGGGTTCCTGGGGAGGTCGATGAGGAGGGGTGGGAGAGAGGCCATGGCTGGGAGTTGTTGTGGTGGTTGGATGGTCGTTGGTGATGGGTGATGGTGAGGATGGATGGGTAGGAGTGAGTGAGTGAGTGAGTGGTTCCCTGAGATTAGACTTTCGCCTCTGCGACGACACGCCAGGGAGTCGAGCTTGGGCCAAGTCCAGCCAATCAACGCACACGCCCACTCACACTCACAACCACTCAAGGCGGTGCGCGCGTCCATCCCAACGTCACCGCACAGACGAACACTCACGCCAAGCCTCCGCCCCGCCCCGCCCCCCGCCTATCCTCCGCTTCCGGACGGGACGCCAACGGCACACGGGGGGGGGGGGCCGCTACGATGGCAGCAGGCCTGACGCGCCGAGGGAAGAGAGAGCGTAACGACAACAGTCGCAATCGATACTTATGGCAGAGAGAAGGGGCAATCACTACCGCACAAGAGAGCAAGGAGACAACGCGCTCGGTGGCTCGGGTCGGAGCTAGAGCTATTGCTGTCGCTCTCTGGCGGCTCATCGGAGAAGTCACCGTCGATCGAGGACCTTGTAGACTGCCGGCTCAGGGCAATGTTGACGCTGCGTACGATGGCATTGCTACGTTGATCGCACCGAGAAGCATCTGTGTGGTCGTGTCAAGAGATCGTGTCGTATTTGCCTGGCGCATTGGCAATTGTCCTGGCAATGTCTGTCAAGAGGCAATGGCAACCTGGGCAGCGGACGCAGCACGCAAATAATGTCAAGCACAACGTATCGACTGTACTGCTTGCGTCGCCGCAAAATGTCAATTGGCGGATTGCCATTGACTCGTAAGCTAGTCCTTTCCTCGTGCTCGTTGCGAGGTATATAACTCAGAGACCTCGGGCAGGTATCCCGCCACGGGTTCAACATCGCACCGCCCCCTCCCCCGCTCCGAGTCATCCTCTCTCCCTCCACTATACCCCCAGTACCACTCATACAGCCACATCCCACACCCAGCCTAGCCTACCATGCGTGCAGTTTCCACCTCGAGGTATCAGCTCCGCACACGCAGCCTCGCTCTGCTCTGCCTAGTCGCTCTGCTCAACCTGTCACTCTGTAAGGCTACACCTCTTCCGCAGCTACCCAACACAGGAGCAGGAGCTGGACCAGGGACAGGTAGCCAGCTCTCTCCACTCGAAGAGCTTGACCCACTCGCCGCATATGGGCCTTCCTTGCTCCCGGTAGCACAGCAAGAGAAAGAGAAACAGCAAGAGCAACAACAACAACTACAGCAACAATTGCAGCAACAAGGAGGTGGACCCGGCGCAGGTCCAGCATCATACATGGCTTCGGTCACACTACAGCAAGCCGGTCTTGGTCCTGATTCCGGAGCAGACTCTGGCATGGGGATGGGCATGGGGATGGGCATGGGGATGGGTATGGGCATGGGAGGTGAATCCTATGCACCCGGCCCCCTTCCTGGTGCCGACAGTGGCTCTGGTCCTATTGGTGGAGGCGCAGGCGCAGGCGCAGGAGAAACTCAACAGGGAGCCGATCCTTGGACTCTACTTCGAGAAGCAGTAGACCGAGCGGCCGCGGCTATTGCTGCTGCCTCGAGCGCTGCTGCTCATGCGGCCGCAGTGGAAGCTGGGACTGGAGGTGTAGGTGTAGGTGTAGGAGGAGGGGGATCCGGTATGGACGATGGCTCGAGTGGACCTGCTGGACCTGGTGGCGGACCTGGGGGTGCAGGTCCTAGCTCTGGCGCTGGTCATGGGCACGGCGCTGCACCCGGGTCTGGACAGGGAGGTCAACCCGGACCAGGCTCAGGAGGTGGAGATGGAGCAGGCGGGGACGCTGGAGCCGGTGGACCCCTGGAAGCCACACAGCGACATAAGCTTGTCACCTGGACCGACTTCTCACAAGGCGTTACTGCCTGTGGTCAGCGTGGAGACCCTGCTTTCAGCCAGGGCTACTACCTTGCGGTCGATACGACGCTTGGAGCTGAGAACGTTTGGTGAGTAGGATGTGAGGTAGCATGCTACCTGGGAACAACACCATTGCAAATATTTGAGCTGTTTTGAAGCTGACCTCTTTCCTCTCTCCCATAACACCTCAGTGGGAAGCAAGTAATCATCAGTACGAAGAATGGCAAGAGCGCTGTAGGCACCGTCATCGACCTGGGGTAAGTCCAGAGGTTCCAGCACTTCACCCACACGACCTCAACATGACGTCGGTGCCTGTGCATGCATACTGACACTCCCTTTCACTCTCGTGTTCGACTCGCCAGTGGTACCGACGGAAGCATCATCCTCAGCCCCGCTCTCTTTGCGCAATTTCACGATCTGGACAAGGGCATCTTCCACGCCACGTACACCTTCCTTTGAGCGGATCGCGGGCGAAGACCCCACATTCCGGTCATGCTCTCGTGCCACTCTTCCTCCGCCCACTCTTTACGAACGACAGTCGAAAGTTTTCTTCCTCCCCTTGAATGTGTACATTGGATTTCGCCACCCTGCTAATGCATCTTGAAAAGCGTCAGCCATGCTTCAAGCCGCCTACTTCGTCATGCAGGCTCAAGTGTATGACCACTCATGTTGGTCTCTTATATGAAACAGCTCGATGACTCGCCCCCTCAGACCACGCTAGATGATAGCAGGATCGCATGGTATCTGGTATTAGCGCTTCCTCTTCGTCAAGTCAAGAGACGTCCGAATCAGGATAGTGATATAGTACAGGGCCGTGAACACAGACTCGGGGTGCAGAATATATAGGGACGAGGAGGTAACCGGAAAACGAAAACGAGATGCAAGGTGCGAGTGCGGACGATGCGCGACGAGATTGGATGGGCTTAGCCAGATGGAGGGAGTTCTGGCAGTCGAGTCTTTCCGTGAGCCTCTCTAGGGGATCACCACAATGATGATCATCACCACGGCGGAGAGAGCGCCATCGATAGCAAGTGCTTTTGCTGCTCTCCACAGATGTATCTTCCTGATGCGCTCATCTCTAACGCGCTCTGTATTCACAGACATGCCCACGAGTGTCTGCGCTCCATCCACTGCTCTACCCCAGACGCTCCTCCTCCGTCTAGCAGGGGCAGAGCTGGGCGGTGTGGCAGGAGGTAGGAAGGAGACTTGCCCAATGACATTGGTCGAAGCTGACCCTTCGCCCTGCTCTACCGAGCTGCGATGTCCGCCAGCGCTCGATAGCCCGCCTTGTTGTCCCTCCTCGAGACCAGCAATCGACACAGCTCGCGACGATGCTAGAGAAGCAGCGTTGGAGTGCGCCCTTGCGCGTCCTATCATCGAAGCCGCTGCAGCGGAGACGGAGAGGGAGCTCGACGGTCTGTGGGTTGGTGACGCAGGCGGGGCGAGTGCTTCGCCTCCGGGGCCCACCAGGGTCCGCACGCCCACTTCCAGACCGGGGACGATACTGATCGTCTTTGTCATCAGACGTGGAGAGACTGACTTGCTCTGTGCTGATGGGATACCCATCAGACTAGGGGACTGCATCGCGGGCTCAGCACGAGGAGAGGCCGTCCCCTTCTTGCTCGCCGCTGCCGCCGCGGCCGAAGAGGCGAGGGGCTGTTCAGTCTTCTCCTCGACTGGAGTGAGGGGCTTACGTTGGGACTTGGCCTGCCCATTGGCAGAAGAGCCTTCTCCTTCAGCGACAGTGACAGTGTCCTGCTGCTGTGAGAGCCTCGAGGATGTACGCTGTACTTGACTTCCAAATTCGGGAGTGGAAGGCCTCCCATTGCCAATCTTGTCCAGCACCTTCTTGAGCCCGACGTACTCTAGCATCCTCCAGACCTCGGGTGCAAGCAACCACTGACGATTGTCCGTCGCCATCGCTGGAGCTGACCCCTCTTCGCTCTCAATCTCGGAAGGTGTGGATAGGCCTTTCTCTTCGCCAGTAACATCCCTGTTGCCCCTCAGACTGAGCCACATACAAACACCCGTGTAGGCTGCAAAGATGAAACCGATTCCAAATGCCCAAAGAGGGAAGGTCAGAAGACGGTACCAGCGCGAGATGTTGGTACCTGTCAACGGACTCGGCTCGATGCACAGGAGCACAGTGAAGAGAATGGCCAGCGCGGTCAGAGAGATGCCGGAATACAGTCTTCCGTTGGAGGTGCCCTTTCCGAGATTGCGAGAGGCAGCCTCGAGGAAAGAGGGCAAGACGTAGGTGTCGACGTGGGACACGATACAGTTGACGACGGGAAGCAAGACCTCTGGATCGGTGGTGAGGCCAGCTTCCGAAAGAGCCAAGGAGACGACACCCTCGTCCAGTAATCCCAAATCGATCATCCATTGAAGCCGACAGGTGGGTCGTGGACGTGGAGAGATGGGCATCAGGCCCGTTGTGATTGTCTTGCCCTTGTCTGACTTGGTGGCCGCCGACGAGGAGCGACTGCGCGAGACTGTTGATCCTGGTAGAGGTCCAACGTGTCTCTGCACAAGTCGATCGAACCGTTCACGCATTGCTTGATTGGCGCTCGTAGCGGGACCTGCCATAGCCTGCTTCTGCTGTGCAGTGAGGGACCGGTATTGCCGTGCATATCGGTCAAAGGCGACGACGAATTCGACGGCGCTATACTCCCCTGAAGCTTGGGATTGAAGGTGCGCAGTCGGCTCGACGAAGCTGATGGCGACCTTTTCCCTTGCGTAGTCTTCCACGGGAGATGCCTGCACGCGTAGATTCTCTGTACTGGCCGTTGAGAGGTTGCCCTGTTGAGGAAGCTCACTCAATTGGAAAGAGGTGGTGTCGATGGCGGGAGCCAACAGCTCATTCGCGTCTTCGATGTCGCGCTGTTTGGCGAGGTAAATCCTCAAGTCGCCTGTAGGATAAAGTCGGGAATGATCGATCAGTATGAGCACAAAGATGTCACCTCGAGACTGTAGTCACGACATTCGTCATTGGAGGTACTCACTAAGCGCGATAGGTCGACACGTCCTGCCACCAACGATGTCTGCTAATGTAATGGCAGACGATCCCACTCCTTGGCCGTGTTGCCGCCGCTTTCCCGTCAGGGTGCTCAGCCACGATGCACGTCCATTTGCGGATTCACCCAATCCACCCCTCTCGCCAGAGCCATCCTCCGCTCTCTTCTCCCCGAATGTGGCGGGTCCTTCGGCAGGATGACAGTGGTTAAAGTTGCTACTAGCACCCCTTTGTGTCGGGAGTGGTGATGGCAGTGCTTGAACCCTTTCCTTGCCAGCACTAGACGGGGCGACTGGCTTTATCACATCACCCACATTGGCCCATCCACTCTCGCCGGTGGCAGAACCATCAACCGCCAAGCCGCCAATGAGGAGCTTTCCATCGATGGTGTACGCCATACCTGAACAGTCGCCCTCGGCAGAGCAAGGCTGCAATGGTTCGGGGGCAGATCCTGCTTGTAGATACGAAGGGATCGAAGACTTGTTCTCCTCTCTTGAAGCCATCGACGAGGAGCCGACGCCTAAGCCAAGCCCATCGGCTGGCTCGTCGGCCTCTGCCCTCGCCTCTGTGTCTGCCCAGGGGGCAATGGGAGTCGCCATGAATGCTGAAGTGTAAGACTGCGTCTTTGAAGTTGCAGCAGCAGCAGCAGCAGCAGCAGCAGCAGCAGCGATAGTTTTGCAGGGATGATCCGCCTAGATCAAAGGCAGCATTATTATCTTCTCCAGGTTTCGCGACGTAGATGAATGGATGTAGAGATTGAAGTGTGGTATCGATTGAGGTGATGGAATACCGATCAACGCGGCTCTAGGGATCGTGAGAGTCTAGGAGCAGGACCAAAAAGTGCTGCAATGTCTAGCTCCGGATAGAAACAGCCCGGCGAACGTGTGTCTCGCAGCTAAGACGATGACGATGCTGATGCTGACGAGGAAGAGGAGGGTAGGCGAAGACGATATGCAGGGTCTGTGAAGGACAGAGGACAAAGGGACAGGTCCGGGGATTGAGAGTGATCGGTGGGATGATGGTGAGTAGCTAAGCCTCGTCCGATCAGCACGTCCGAACGAAGGATGGATGGATACACCAGTTCACGTCAGCTGAGGTCTTGCCCCTCTCTCGGTCTAGCTGCGAGGGCGAAATCAACTTCCGCTGCTGGGTGGACTCAAGGTGCTTTTCCCCGTGTTTCAAGAGAAAGGGGTAGCTGACGCCGGCCGAAGGGGGTTTGAGAGCAGTGGGAGTTCCAAGACTGAGGAGAGTAGAGTAAGGTTGAGGAGTGCAGCAGAGGAGAGTCCCGAGCGAAGGGAATAGCTCCCAGGATCGTGACCGGGTGGGGGAACAAAGGGATGATGATACGGCTCCAGGTGGCGTCGCGGAGCGGGTTGCGTAGGTTGGCTGGGAAACGAGCAAGGAGCAGTGAGGACCAGGAGGGTGGCCAATGAGAGAGAGAGAGAGCGGAAGTCGTCTGCGATGGTATCCGTCTGCCCTCTCCGACACAGTGCTGAGGCAAGCTATGGGTGTGGTGGTTGTCCACGGGGGGGGGGCCTGGTCCCGTCGGCTTGTTGCCATATTACCTGTCTACCTGACTGCCTGCTCAACTGCCCTTACGCGCCGGTGGCCCGAAGTGTGGCTTGGCCCGCTGCAGGGTGATCAAGCCACACCAACTTCCCACGCCACGGTGCCCGCTTCTATTTCCGATCGATCACCACGTGGCTCCACGCCCACCACTCGGAGACAAGGGCCCCACAGGCAGTCACCCAGTCACCCCCAGTCAGCCAGGTCTACAAAAGTGCGGAATTGAAGCTCTGCATACCGGCCGAGAGGCGCACGATCGACGGACCCTTCACCTCTGCCGGTTCTGGGGAGAGGGCTGTGACAGATAGAGCCGGTAGTAACATCTGCACACACCCAGACATTCTCCGTGGTAACCACCGAGCTTTCCGTTTCAGAGCTATCCCCACCCTCATGCGTGGCACGCACGCTTCAGCACGCGATGTATGCATGCACGCCCACACTTTGTCAGTCTCGGAAGGAAAAAAAGGGGCCCGAGGGGGGGTGTAGGGGCTCGTTATCTCGTCCCGTCCCGTCCTCGTGAAAGAAGCGAGGTAACTCTTCTGTATGCGCGCCAGTGTGCCTGGAGTTGAGGACCTGCACGCACCTCGCTTGACCACACCTTGCCACGGGGATCCAAGGCGTTTAATATCGAAGCGAGCTTTTTAGACACGCACCGAGACGCCTTTACACTCGAAGCGAGGCATATTAAGCACACCGGTACACAGTAAGCGAGGACACAATAGGCAAAAGTCTCATGACCAAAGATTGATGATGCGAAACAGGGGCGGCAAAGAGAGGCATGGTAGATTGGAACGTGTGTCTCGTCGTTGGGATTTTGTGGGTGCTTTCCCAGTGCCTTTCTCCTGCACGGTCATCGCGTACTCGAAATCGAGAGGATAGGCGTAAGCCAATGCTGCGTTCGGGTCATTCTGTCTGAGATGCTCAGGACAGGAGAGTCATGTGAAACTACGTCTGTAGAGTCGTGCCAGTCGTAGAGGGGACGGCGCCGCTGCCGTTGCGATGTGAGCTGTTCTGCTCGTCTCCATCTTCTTTCGTCTGTTCGGCTGCTGTCACGTCTGCGCTGGAAGGTAGGAGAGGAGCCTCCTCTCTGCCCTTTCCCGCCATCCAGCCACGTAAGTCATCGTCGTCGTCGTCATCGTCGTCACGAAGATCCACAACGACGCGCTGAGGGTTGGGAATCTGTCTCGGTGTGCTCCTCTTAGGCTTGCTCGAGAGGGAAGGCCGGCTACGGTCGAAGAAGTCGTCGTCGTCGTCATCATCATCATCATCATCGTCCTTGTGACGCTCTCTCTCGTCGTCCGAAACAAGGATGCTCCTCTTGTTCAGGCCTCTTTTACTTTCGTCCAGGGTGCCCGTGCCGCTGCCGCCGACAGGTTGCGAGAGGGCATGAGCAGGCCGGGGTCTCACTGGCCTGATCATGTCGAGAAAGGATGTCGAGGCACCATTGGCGGGAAGAGCACTTCCCCCGCTCAAAGGCGTGGGAGCAGAGGAAGAGGGAGATCGCTGCAGGAATGGCCTAGCTTTAGCCTTGACAGCCATCGTAGGTGCGTTCAAAGCTGAATCAACGGCGCGGCGTGGTGATCGAGAAGCTGTTGTCGTCGCGACGGAAGGTACGGAGGGTGCCCGTCGTCCTGCAGAAGGGCTGTTGCTATACGAGCCCAGCGTCTTGCTACCTTGCTGACCTGCTTTGGCAAAGAGGTCATCGCCTGCGCCAGCACCTTCAGCTGGGAACATGGCGATACCATACGGTGCGCTATCAAGCTTAATCTCCCTCGCCTCTTCGAAGCTGAGTGTGCGCTTGTTGACGCCTTTGCGTCTGTCGTAGTCTTCGACTATCAGTCGACATGCTAGCTCTGGTACCAAAACGTCCCCGATGAATTCGACAGAGGTGAGGGGCTTGATGACCTCAAGGAGTGCCACCGATTGCAAGTTGCAGCCCTCGTCCAGGGGCTGGAAGTAGAACCAGCTGGTGAGGGTCTTGCGTAATAGTTCATACCCCGTCTCGCCATAGCTGAGAAATACAAAACGGATACTGATGGTCAGCAGGATGTCGCAACTAGTACGCCCGCTGATCGCTTACTACTCACTAGCCGGCTTGCACATCGAGACTCTCGGCAGGTGACCGGTCCATCTTGTGCGTTCGCGCCGCCCGCCGTTGCATCGCAGACTTGAAGAATGGACTCTCACGCGGTGCGCGGAGCAACTCAGTCATGCTGTCTCTGCCTTGACCACCCTCGAGCCTCTGAGCCAGCTTGTCAAGATCGAGCGTCGTAGGCCAGCCTTGCTTCTTTCCCCGCGGGATAATGTCAGACTCTGCTCGATGCTTCTCGCACACGGCTGCCGTGTCCGTCACCTTGATGGGCTTGCCCGAATGGTACCGATCCAACCAGGGCTGCATCATCTCACAGCACTCGAGCGAAACTCGCCGTGGCATCGCCGCCTCACAGAAGGGACACAATCTGAGCAGTCTGACTTCAGTGGGTACCTTGACTTCTTTGCGTTGCCTCTGTCGCGGAGATGCCTTGGCTCCCGACTGGCTGGCTGCGATCAGCATGTCCCATTGAGACTCGGGCTCCTCTGCTAGCTTTATGCCATCATCGTGACTCTCCTGGGAGCTCTTCTGGCTCCCCGTCCCCTGTCCATTCTTGGATGGTAGCACGATTCCCGTTCTGGCTCTCTTCGTCGGCGTAGAGGGCCCAGCCTGAGACTGAGTGGGCTGGCTGCTCAACAAGCTTGAAGTCTCGGTGTAGTTCTCTGGAGAGAAGATAGAGTTGCTAGATATGACTCTCCTCCCGGGACCAAAGGACATTTCTCGCGAGTCGAATGCGTTGCTGACTTGTGCTTGTATACCCGACAACAGTGAATCTTTAGAGGAAGCGGGTCCCGAATGAGGAGCAGCAGAGGGACCACTCTCGTAAGTCACTTTTGCTGGGAGAGTGATGGAAGAGAACAGGGGCTCGGGCTTCCCGACCTTGGGTGGAAGTATGATGCCCTTCTTCGCCTTGGCCGAGCTAGGTCCTACAGAAGAGCTGCCATTGTAATCCTTCTCGCCTCCACTTGTTCCCGCTTCTGCACTGGTAGAGGCCTTCCTCTTGCCATTGTTTCGCCCTTTGGCCTTGGGAGGCTGCTGCGCTAGCGCACGCGCTTTCGGTCTTGCCTTGGCCCGCGAGGCATCGCCTGCTGCTGCACCGTTTCCTTCTGTGTACTCTTCGCCTTCCGATAGCTCAGCCGGGCTGCTTGACTCAGGAGCCGATGATAGAGAAGAGTTCGAGGAACTGGAAGGGGGCCTTTCGGCTTTGCGAGCACGCGGTCTACTACCGCTCACAGAGCGAGGGGTAGGCGCGGACGTGGGCGCTTGCACTTCTTGCGACCTTGATGATGAGGATTGACTAGACTGAGATGCCATGTACAGCTCGTGCTCGCCACCACCAAAGCGTCTGCGTCTGTCCATCTTTGCACAGATCGAACGCACGAGCAGAAGGGCAAGCGTGAGGCCGGAAGTAAAATCTGCCTAGGCTTCAGTGGAGTCGAGCATGAAGTTGGAACGCTCGGAGAGTCGAAAGGAGGTTCTTGAGAGCGTGGGATCGACCAAGCCCACTAGAGATAAGAGGCGTAGCGGCGTGTCCTACGAGCCTTCGCTCTGAAGCAGAAATCTGGTACAAGGAAGGTAGCTGGAGAGCGTTAATGGCAAGGGAAGGTGTTGGCTCGCTCGCGGGGTCAATCGCGAAAGCGGAAAGGAGCACGCGACAGCGGATCTGCCACCGAGGATCAGGCTCGCTCCTCCGTATCTTCTTCGCAAAGTTCACAGACGACCACACTGAGTATGGTATCGAGTGACAAAATTTTGTATTGCGGTGACCATGGTAGGGTGCAAAGCAGAGGTGGCAGGTGACGTGACAAAGGAGGAAAGACGAGACAAAAAGTACAAGGACGCCACCAACTGCGGAGAACCACTTCATCCATCTACTACGACGACGGCAGAAGCGAGACGAAGCTGGAGAATAGGAGAGAGCAGGAGAATCTTCTGCTTAGCAGATGACCTTCCAGGTCTTCTCCCAGAGGTTCTTGGGAGCGGGCTCCTCGTAGGTGTCAGCCTCGATCTCCTTGATACCGGTGAAGAAGTCGATGTTCTGGACGCTGACGACCGAGTCCTTTCCGTAGTAGATCCAAGCTCCGAAGAACATGATGAGGAAGACGGGGATGGGAATGTAGGTGGTGACAAAGGTGGAGACGTCAAAGGGTGCGTTGGCAGCCAGGAAGACGTCGAAGCCAGAGAAGAGGATGACGATGGAGGTCCAGAAGATGACCCACCACGACATGAAGGTGCTGCCGGTAGCGACGAAGGGCAGGAGGCTCTTCTTGTCAAGACCCTGAGCCTTGAGACCCCTGGTGAACTGAACGTGCATGACACCGATGCAGAACCAAGAAGACAGACCGCAGACGGCAGTCATCGAGGCGAACCAGTTGAAGACGACGGAAGAACCGCTGCCCAGGTCGAGGAAGGAGAGGAAGGAGAAGAGGACAGAGAAGAGGACAGAGACGTAAGGGAGTCCTCGCTTGGTAGTCCTGGCGAAGATTCGAGGCAACTGGCCGGCGATGGACAGAGAGTAGATGGCTCGGGACGAGGTGTAGATGTCCGACGAGGCAGCGCTGACGGCCGAGGTGATCAGGGCGGCGTTGATGACGGAAGGAAGACCCTTGATACCGGCAACTCGGATGGCAACGACGAAGGGAGATCGGTTGACCTTGGCACCCTTGGTGAGGGTGGGGGCGTTGGAAGGGCAGACGAGACCGATGCAGAAGGTACCGACGACGTAGAAGAAGACGATTCGGATCCAGACCTTCTTGATGGCGCTGGTGACCGACTTCCTGGGGTTGCGGGCCTCACCGGCGGCGATGGCGACGATCTCGGTACCAATGTAGGAGAAGGCAGACTGGATCAGGACGGAGAAGAATCCGAGGAAGCGTCCCCAAGATCCGGCGATCTCAGAGTACTGAACAAAGGGACCGGGGTTCTTCCAGTAGCGGAAGCCGATGCGGCCCTCCTTGCCGGCACCGAGGTCGATGCAGATGGAGAGGATGATCAGGCCGACGATGGTGATGACCTTGATGGAGGCGAACCAGAACTCGGCCTCTCCGTAGGCACGTGTGCCGAGCAAGTTGATGGAGACGACGGCGACGAGGAAGATGGCAATGAAGACACCGGCGTTGACGTCGGTCCAGTATTCGACGAGGAGAGCGGCGGCGGAGAGTTCGGCGGGGAGGACAATGAGCCAGTTGTATGCGTAGTTGAAACCAAGGGCAAAGGAGAGGGGCTTGCCGACGAATCGCTCAGCGAGCTTGATGGGTCCTCCGGGAATGGGGAGGTAGGAGATCATCTCACCGAGACACATCATCATACTGTAGCAGACGGATCCCATGAGCATGTAACCGAGCCAGAGACCGAGGGGACCAGCATGGGCGAGAGCACCACCGGTACCGACGAAGAGACCTGTACCAATGACACCACCGATGGAAATCATGGCAAGATGACGAGGCTTGAGCTGGTGGGTCAGCTGCTCACCCTGCATCTGACCGAAGGCGTTGAGCTCGCCAGCGGGAATCTCATCGACGGAGCCAGCCTCGAGGGTGGCGACGGCCTTGTCATTGCCGTACCCGGGGAGGGCATCCTTCTTGTCTTCGTACGACATTGTGTGTAAGAGTGTGTGTCCGAGTGTCTGTGTGGGTGGGGAAGGTTGGACGAAGGATGGGGTAGGGAGGTGTGCTTAAGTAGTGGGCGGAGGGGAGGAAGAAACCGGAGAGGATGGTCGGGAGGAGATTGGAATGTAGGAGGTGTTCGTTTGTTTGACGATGGATGGGGGATGAGGATGTCAGTCTGTACCTGCCTCTTTATAGATCAGGGCAACCGCCTGCGTTATCCGGACGGCAGTAGAGTACAGCGGCGGTGTTCCCTCCCTCCTCCGTCCGTCCGGTGTGCGGGGAGGCGGTGGCGCAGAGGAGAGTGGCCTTACGCCTTCCCCGGCCTGCTGGAGTCCCTTATCTCGTAGCCACCCATGGGCCAACGCAGGGCAACGCAGGGACAAGGAGGCGCTCGCAGCGTCTTGCACATCCATCGTCGATATCGCAGCCTGGCAGCGCAGGCCTTTGGAAGGAAGGCCTGGCAGACGCAGGGTCAGGTGGCTGCGTAATCTCTCTGAGCCTGAAACACAGCGTTGCAAGATGGCCCCCCACGACTCGCCTCTTTCGCCGCCAGAAAGAGCAAGTTGCGGGGAGGGAGGCGCATCTGTGTGGCGGGGGGGTAAAGACACCCAAATCTAGTCAATTCAGTCTAGGCTCGTAGGGAGTGCAGCCGTGGAAGCTGCGCCCTGTGGCCACTTGGGCTCCGGTGAAAGAGTGACAGCCCAGCGCCGCCGCCTCCGCCGCCGCCGAAGTAGCCGCTGCCGGAGTTTGCGAAGCAGCGTGCAGCAGCGCACCGCACCGCACCGCACCACACCACACCAACGCTCGAGGGAGGTGCCACACGGACAGGTTCCGCCACGGCCATTCTTTCTCCCGCTTCTGTCGCCCACCCACCCAGAGGAACCTTCTGCAGGGCTGTCTCTCTGCACTCGGATCAATTCCTTGGCCTGGCCCACCTCGCCTATGCTGGGCAAGACAGAGCTTGGCAAGCCTACCACCTCGGTTGAGCATGCACCTGGAAGATCGCATGATCGATTAGTCTCTTCGTGGCCCTTATCGCATTTCCCGATTTGGCTTCCCCCATGAACCATGATCGCTGAGCTTGACTACAGCAGGAGGACGCGCTCATGTGATCTCAATTGTCCACTTGCTACCTCACTTTCCCGATGCTCTCACCCTCACTCTCCCTCCTTTGTGAAACTCGGCGACGGGGAAATGCCGTGAGAGCACACCCCTGTTTGTCTCTCTGAGAGGGAGAAGCAGACAAAAGGGCCCGTGGGTTGTTGCAGTGGTAGGGTGAGGTGGCCGTGTACCGTCCCTTGACTCGCGCGAGATCCCGACGGCCGACGCCACTCTTTGTCCCGCCCAGCGCCACACCCCCACCCCTGTTCAGGCACTAGCGCCGAGGGTTGTTCCTTCCCGCGTCTGTACCGCAACTTGCCCTTACGCGCCTACACCGGCCTCTGCTCCGTTGGGGCCAAAGCGAGCCCGCGGTGTGACTGAAGGTGTGTGTGCACAGAGTGGGGGGCCAGACCTTCCCGATCCCATCCCCGTCCCGCCTCTGCTTGCAGAGCGAGATCCGTTATCCGCCACACTCAGCCACAGGCCAAGAGAGGCAAAAGGGGGGGGGGAGCCGTCTCTTGCCTATCGACTCTCCGAACGGAAGCATTGATCGTGTGAGCCAGACACTGGAAGAAGGAAGGGGGAGGGGAACATCGTTGGGCTCCGTCTCTCCCACACTGCATACCACTCAGCCCAAAGTCTGCATCCATGAATAGCTCCCTCCCTCCCCGACCTTCCTGCGAGATCCCTTGACACCAAATGCACACCGACGCTTGCTCTGCTCTTATCTTATCGCACCCGCCACCCGTCAATAGAGTTTGATCGATCCAACAGGCACAGTGACGGTGATCGACGATGTTAGCAAGACGCAGCAGCAAGATCTGGGAAGTGGCGGCGGGCGTCGAGTGCAAAACGATCGACCGATCTGTCGGTCGTTGCTGGGCTCGGAATACACTCATTCGGGACCGCTAGAAAGCCGGCTAATTCGCCTGCCAATCCCGTCTATTCTACCTAAGCGTGCCTGCGTACGTGCGGGCATGGAAACTGGCTTTGGGCTGAGCCAAGCTGGATGATTTACGCCCCTCCCCCATCCGATTCGGTGTCGGCGTCGGTGGCGGGACTTCGATATGGACAGGACAGACAGGGGAAGGCCAGATTTGCTTGGCGGGACTGGATCTCTAACTTCTCACACCGGCAGCCCAACGGAAAGCTCTGACTACTACAGACATTGTCCGCACCGTCAAGTGGGGGCCCAAGGCATGATAGCGACCCTGCAGTGGCGAGATCTTGTGTGTGTGTGTACATGTGCCATATCTTGCCTTGATCAACAGATTCGGGAAGAAACAGCGGGGAGTGTGCAGTGTGGTTTCCGGGGTAGGCGGAGATCCCCCGTAGAGGGAGGGGATCGGACCGCCATCGCAACACACGTCATCGTCGTAAAAGTCTACGTAAGTCATGTGATTACACAGAACACTTTCTACACTGGGCGACTATCGGCCTTGGTCCATGTTCATGAGAGGGATGAGTAATGAGGGGTGGAAATAATGGGGTAGGGAGAACACCAGGGAAACAAAGATGGATGACATGTTGCTCTGCCTGCTACACTTCTGTCGCTCAAGACAGATTGAAAGCTCCCGCTCCCTCCGTGACAGCCTTGTGCAGTCTACTCCTCATGACCTCTCGAGTGCTGTACTCTGGCAGCTTCAAGAAGTTGGCACAGGACATGTTGCTAGCTAGATAGTCGTCTGGCTTCAGAGGAGGCTCATGAGGACGCTTGACTACAGTCAGCTGGGGCTGCAAGCCAGAGAAGCCGCCAATGGGCAGCTTGGGCGAGCCAGTCAGCCACTGGAGGAACTCTCTTCGCTCCGAGAGGGTGTAGGAGCTCATAATTGAGAGCAAATCGTGGAAGGTGGAGCTCTCTGATGAGTAGCCATGGTCGGGCTTGATGGCTGAGAGCAGCGTCGACTCGCTCCAATCCTCGTCGGTGTTGCCAAAGAGCATCACCAGCTCCTCTGCCGTGAAGGAGGTCATGGCGGAAACAGGGAAGATGGTGTTGAATCCTGCTCGGAAGGCACGGATCAGAGGCTCGATGCCGCGCTGCAGGGAAACGTCGACCACAGCAGCGACATAGTCGTCGAGATTGGCTTTGGTGAGTTCCTTCTCTTTGCCGCCGGACTCCAGCTCGAATGCAGAGTCTCCGGGCAGAGTAAAGTCCAGGGAGAGAGCAGCTACCTCGTCTGCGCTCATGTTCAGCATCTTCTCCAGCGAGGAGGCAAGGGCTGCGTCAATGACCTTGAGCATGTCCAGTGTCAGCGGTACCCGCTGATTGAGGACAGCACGCATGAACACCGGCGAGAAGTGGCAGTCGATGATACGGGAGTCGAGAACGGCCTTGGCCACGAACTGACCCAGGATCTTGAAGGCAGTGAGTCGCCCTTTGCCATTGGAGGTTCCGATGTCCTGGTTAGAGATGGGGGCCGGGAAGAGCCCGTGAGGTGCGTAGACGAGAGTGCTCTTACTGTCTGCTGCGCTCTGGTCTCGCCACATGCCTAGGTCCCTTCGGGCGAACTCCTTGGAGGTCAGAGCGTAGAATTCGAGGGTCGGTCCCAGACCAGTTCCGACTTCTCCAAAGTACTCTACCTCAAGAATGGTGTCCGTCTTGCCGTACAGCTCCATGACTCGGAACGCAGATGGCAAGATGTTGTCTCTTGCGATTCTGACCTTGGCTCGAGGTAGTCTCACCAAGTGCGAAAGCGAGTCCTCAAGTCGAGATGAGCTGCTGTTGCTGTTCCCACCTGCGTTGTCCTGCGAGCGCGAGGCACGATTCTGCCATCGCTGCAGCATACGGTTGTAGCCAAAGGCAGTCGACTGCAAAAAGGCGTACCGGGCCTCGAACGGGAAGAGGAAGGAGAATCGCCGGGGCAACTGCAGCGACCAGTCCGGCAGACACTTGCTCGCAACGATCATGGCTTCCTCCAGCTGTCGGTTCAGCTTAGCCGTCAGCTTGTTGTTGACGAATGCAGTCTCGGAGAGAGCGGCAGTCTTGTCAAAGTCGAGAGACTGTCCGCCTCGCGTCTCTCGCCATTCCGAGTTCAAGTCGTGCAGCACCCGAAGGAGCTGTAGAACCTTTGCGAAGGGCGAGCCTTGAGGAATAGATGATGGCAACTCCGCTTCTGCCGTCATAGTTGACTCAGGCTCGGGAGTTTGCTGAAGATTGATGGGAGGTACCGGTCCAACCACCTTCTTGTACTTAATGGTGTATACGTCGGTCCAGATGTAGCGATGGGCGGTCGAACTCCCATGTGGCGCGGCCGCTGTCCCTGCAGGCGCATCCGCTGAGGTGGTCGCTGCCGCCGTAGCTGTGGCATGTTCATGCACAGCCGCATAGACAGTCGAGTCGAGAGGGAGCTTGCGTCCATCCATGGAAAACTCAATGTGCCAGTCTGAAGGCTTCCGCTGAAGAGCAGCAGAGTAGGAAGGTCGAGCGGGTGAGGCAGCCGATGTCGACGTCGATGCTGCAGCTGTAGTCGCTGCGGTCTTGGGTGTCCCTGCTCCATCCGAGGCAGGGCGGGCAGCAGATGCATTGCTGCTCCTCGCGTCACCGACCGGCGTTGAGATTCTAGTTCCATCCGGAGTATTGACCTCGACCTTGTCGCCATCCTCTGCTACAGAGAGACTGATGGTTTTGTCTTCCGCCTCAAGAGGCGCAACCTCGATCTCTCCATCAGCACCAATCTCGTCTTCGTAAATGCCATCGTCCATTTCTTCGTCTGAGTATTCGTCATCCAGCCCGTCCGGCAAAAGACCTTCCAACAATCTCCGCGCAGCCTCGTCAGAAGTCATTTCGTCCTGCTCCCCAGCTGCCACTTCTTTGCCCTTTCCTTGTGGGCCTTGATCCTGCGCCTGCGTTGCAGTCGTCTGCTCAGTCTCCTCGGCAGCAGCAGCATCCTCGTCGTGCTTGCTGCTTCCGGCAGTACTGTTCAGGCGCGAACTGCGACGCTGCGACTTCTTCGAAGGAGAGGGTGCCTTGTCCTTGGAATCTGAAGACCCTGAAGCGCCCTCGGTGTTTGTAGAAGCGGGCGGCGCAGGTGTCGGCGCGGCGAGAAGGGCAGCACGGGCTCTTTCGCTTGCGAGCGCGCTCTCGAGTCCAGCAGACGACCCACCGAGGGCTGCAAGGACGGAAGACAGTCGGGACCCAGCAAGTCCACCTGCGACGGAACCAATGCCACCCAGACCACCCGCCGTGCCGATCTTTGGCCGCAAAAAGTCGGCAAGCCTGTCGAAAGATGCAATGGCATGAATGCCGACGATGAGATTGTTGCAGCTCTTCGGCACGTCTGCAGGATCTTCAGCTTGCAAGCGGAGGCGGAGCTGACGGTGGACACCGGCTTGACCGAGTCGTCGCAGGGAAGAAGCTTCTTCTGCACCGCTGTTGAGCGTCATAACAATATCGACGTTCTCCAAGCGACTCAGGGACTCTTGTAGACGACGAATCATCGCACTTCCTCGCGCGTTGCCAGCTCCATCTGGGGTCATGAGTGCCTTTACGAGTAATTCCCGGCGGACAGAGTTGGGCAATGCGTCGCTGTTGCCAGATGCAAAGCTGTACAGACCATCGACGAGCCCAGAGCGGAGCAACTCAAAGCTGGATATTGGCTCGTCTGGCTTCGAGAAGAGGTTCGTGACTTCGTTCAAGACCTTCTCTGCCGCTTCAGAACTCTCCGTAGCCGCTTCCTCGAGAGCCTTCACCAGAGACTTGATGTTGTCAAGGGCCTTCACGGCATGGTCAGCACCACCATCAGCCTTTGCAGTCTGTCTAGCAAAGGTGTCGCGAAGGATACGAGCTCGCCAGATATTGGCATCTTGGGCGTCTGCAGCGGTGGGTACGGGAGCTGCCGCCTTGCTGAGGCTTACCGGGTTAGCTCTGCGCAGCCCAAGACCATTGGAAGCTCCCAAGAGGGCAGCAAGAGCATCGTTGGGAACCTCGGCTGCAGCACTAGCCGCCAGGAGACCGATTCTGCCGCTAGATTGCACGCCAGTCGTTTCTGCTGGGGCTTGTGCTGGAGTGGACGCATCTTCCCTCTTGATCTCAGTAGTCGCAGGCGACTTGCCCGGTAGCACAAGGGTGCTTTGCTGCATACCCTTGTTCGAGTACTTGGAGGTTGTCGGCTCTTTCGTGGCGATGTCTTCAATCTCCCACATGACACCTTCCCTCCTCAGCAGGCTCTGGTAGACGTCTGGCAATTTCTCGCAGAGAATTTCAACCATGTGAAGTGCGCTGAGGACAAGCGTAGGATCATCGCGAGAGGAGAGTATAGAAGCGACGAAGCTGGCGAGTGGGACATTGTCCAACACTTGACACAGCGGCTCAGCCTCAACGAAGCTCACAATCTTGAGCATGCCAGTCAGCGCTTTCGCTCTGACGTGAAGGGCTACGCTAGCTGCATAGACCTCGACCAAAGTGGGCAGCACCAGTTGTGTGAAGCGCTTCACGATGCTTTGTCTCTCGCGGAGCATTTCCACGCGTCGACTCTGAGCTCTCTCCTTCAGCAGCTCTTTCTCGGTCTTGGGCTTCTCGTGTTTAATGGACGTTGTGCTGACGTCAACTTCCTCCGCGCCACTCCCTGCAGCTCCTGTGAGCTCGACGTCTTCGGTCTCCGCCTTGATTCTGGGTTGGGTGCCCAGTGCTGTCGGTGAAGGTAGACTAGAATCGGAAATCCTGCCTTTCGGCTTCTCCCTGGTCGCCCGATGTTGCTTCCTCTTCTTGTACCACGCTTTCTCTGAATAGTTGCGGGGGTCGAAGATGCCATCCTTTGGAAGCGGAGGCAGCAGATCGCTCACCAGAGAGAGAGCCTCTTGGATCTGCTCTTTGGGACGATGCGCCAGGTTCTGAAGAACAGCCATATCCGCCACAGCTACTCCTTCGTTGTCGCTGCTGACGACAGCAACTGCCATGTCGTCTGAGGTAGCAATGATGGAATCTTCGATCTGTGCAGCCGGAGCAAGAGTACCTGATGTACCCTTTGCCGCTGGCCCACCGCCGCCTTCGTGGTCTTCATTTGGCGGAGCTGAGCCGGTCAACAGGTGGTAAATTGTGTCGACCACATTTATCTCCAAGAGGACGACAGCAATCTTTGGACTGATACGGACTGCGCCCCCAAGTGATTTGAGGACCTCGGTGTATGTGCTCGTCCCGACGGCAGTGCCAGCAGCAGCTGCGCCTGTAGATGTCGGCGATCCCTGTAAGAGGAGAGCGTTGAGAGCCTGTACAAGTTCCCTGTCTAGCAATTGCTCCAGTTGATCGGACTGATGCTTGAAGCTTTCGATCATGCGGGTGATGCATTTGCATGCGGATTCGACTAGTCTTTGATCGCTATAGCCTAAGACGTTGCGGATGATGGGCGTAACCTCCAGAGCCTTGCTGAACTGATCGGGCGAGAGCTTGCGGCAACAATGAGAAGCGGCTGTCATGGCGCATCGTTGGATGTGGATGTTGAAGAAGTCGAGATATTGTAGCATAGCCATCAGACCACCTTCTCGCACGATGGATCCAGGGTAATCGACTGAGATCTTCTCGAGAGTCTGTGGCGCAGGAGATTGGGGGACGAAGGAGGGTCAGATAGGAATAAGACATGCGAGGGTCTAGCAGGTATTGCTCACCTGCAATGTCTGTTCAGCTAGGTCGATGAATTCGATCTCGGTCAATTTACTGAGGAGGAGTGGCACAGCCCCGTATGAGACGACGGAATGTGCCGCATACGGCATTGCTTCAATGAGGTTAGCCAGGCAGCGGCATGCTAGCAATGTCATCTCCCCTCTGTCCACAAGATCGGCTGCCGCCGCGGCTTCGGCAGCGGCTGCAGCATCGTCATCATCATCGCCGGTAGTGTCGCCATTACCGCCAGTCGTTGGTGGTTTGGGGCCACCCATGATGTAGAGGAGCTCGCGGGTGAAGGACTCGGTGGGGAAATATCCGGCCAATGTGTCCTCATTTGACAGACTCAGTACCTCTGAGAGCTCTTGCAGTGCGATGAGCTGACCGGTGGGATCCTTACGAGAGCGAAGAGATGCGAGAAGAGTCCGGAAGCGACCCTGAGCACCAGACAGGTATTCTGCCATGATGCGCAAATTAGAGCCGAATGCTGCTCCACCTTCGTCACCCCAGGCGTCATCCATCTCGTCTTCGTAAGGGCCGCCATCATCGTCTTCGTCGTCATCATCTTCCACATTCTCCATATCCTCAACCACATCCTCGTCCTCGATGTCGTCTTCGTCCGCGTCGGGAGGATCGCCTTCTGTTGCGTCTGCTTCAGCCGCTGCACGCTGCTCGTCTGCTTGGTCACTGGCGCTCTGCGACCGCTGAGCCCTGGAGAGGCTGTCGGCGGCAAATGCATCGGCCATCTCGGTATCTTCTACGGGGTCGCATGCATTACTTCTCCCGCTACTGCCCTTGCTCCTTCGAGCCTTTGACCTGGCAGCCTTGGCTGAGGAAGTTTGGGACGGTGGCATGATGAGAGTGCGTTCGCTGCTTTTAGTACCGCGTGAGGAGCCCGCAGATGAATTGCTTTCGTCTGAGGTCCGAGGTCGTAGATTGTAGGCACTTGAAGAGTCTCTTCTGGGACGCTTGCTGCTAGGACTCTGATCCGAAGCTCGTGATGAGGAGGGAGACGCTGCCTGGGTGCCTGAAATGCTCGTTCGAGGTGATCGGCGGAGTCTGGCGGGCACAGAGACAGTACCGGTCAGTCCAGCGCAACGATCTCACGACCGTATAGATGCTAGCTTCAGTCGTAGATACTTACTGGGTAGTCGCCGAAGAATCTCGAAGCTCAGCTTTGGATTTGCCCTTGGCGCGGCTATCGGTCGTAGAGGAAGAGTTGTCGGTGCGCTGATTGCGTGGCTGAGCAGGACTTGCAGACTCAGTATCCTCTCTGCCTCGCTTGCTGCTAGTCCTCGACTTTGGAGACACGGTGGGACGAGCCGGGCGGGCAGTGGCGGTAGTGACAGACGGGGACCGGCCTTTTCCGCGTGAAGCGGGCGCAGGTGGGGACGCTAGGTCTTGCCTGTCCTCAGCAGAGCGGCGTATGCCAGTCGAAGAGGAGGCAGAGGAACGAGCCGAGTGGCGGGACGAACGTGTGCGACTGGAAGAGAGAGGCTTGGTGATCCTTGTCTTTTGTGAAGAGGTTAGGTTTCCAGTGACGGGCGAGGGGGAGGGAGAGGCACTTGGCTTTGACCCGGAGGCAACTGACGTGGGATCTGAAGGTGGAGAGGCTTTGGCGGTGCGACTGCGTGTAGTGCGTCCGATGGGCCCGCTGCTCATCAGAGGATCTCAAGGAGTTCTCGAAGTACAGTCTATCGCCACGAGACACTAGGATAGAAGGTAGAGTAGGCACAGAAGCAACCCCTCGATGGCGACTACTTTGGAGGTAGCAGCTGTCAGGGGGGTGGCGCTGGACAGGCGAGATGACTTACGTCTGTCGGTGCCTTGATAGGTTCGATGTGCTCCGTAATGATCAGTGCCGTATATCGCAAGATGTGCTATCACTTGCCATGCGTCCGGAGTGGGTGCTGAGCTGGCGGCAGGGCGAGGACAATAGGCCGAGGTGCCTGGCGTGGGATTGCGACTGGTAATCGTCGAAGACTTGCACTTCTCTGGTGGTGCCTTGACGAGGTGAGGGCGTGAGTGAATGCGCAGGCAAGTCGTCGAGGTGCGGTGTGTCGAGGTGAGTGTGCTGTCGGTTGTATAGGCAAGACTGACGGCGATGACTTTGTGGCAGTGATGAGTGAGTGAATAGTGGTGAGGAGGTGTGCCAGGTGCGAGGTCCGAGTTGGTTGGTCCCTGTCCTCGCCGACGCCCAACCTTAGGGCCCAGAGGAGAGCGAGGCAAGTGGGGGCGCGCCTGAGCGGAGCGGAGCGGAAGTGGCACCTCTGCTTCCGTTCCTCTTCGGCGCAAAGGCACACAGGCCACTCTCCACCCGCGATCCCACAGACGGACAGACGGAAGGAAGGAAGGATACCTACGATGCAATCCACTCCATCCCCAACTGCCTTCCCCTGATCATCAGTGCAGCAATGGGAGACGATCACCCTTCGTCTTCGGCCTTCCCGTACCGCAGTCGTAGGCACGATGACGAAGACAGATCACAGCATACATCCAGTCGTAATCATAGGCATCACTCTTCTTCATCTAAGCACCGGCGCTCCCCCTCTCCTCACCACCGCTCTTCCCATCGTCAGTCGTCCTCGTCCTCGTCCTCGAAACGCCGGCGCGATGACAACCGCGACGATGATCGCGGCTCATCACGGCCACATGGCCACAGGCACCGTGACAGGGACGACGATAGGTCACATCGCGGGCACTCGAGACGATCTGTGTCCCCACCTGCAGCAGATGCTTCCACCACCGTGCCGTCTTCTTCCGCACTCAATCTGCAATCCCACGCAGAGCCTACCCACTCTGGCTCTCCCGTGTCTTTGCCGAAGAGTTCGGCGACAGAGACGCAGATCAAGCGCGATAATTGGATGGTAGCCGGAGCAACTCAGAGCTACAATTCACGGGTAGATGCACAAGGAGACGCAACGACTTCCTCCACAGAGCCCGGGGACGGAGAGGGTGACTATTTCTCCTCGCTTGGCAATGAGAGGGTCAAGAAGCCAAAAGAAGACAAGCCAAATCCAGATGAGCTCAGGGTCAGCTCTCGAGAACTCAATACACAATTCGCTCAAGGCAAACACATCGACGAGTATGCTGATCAGGCGAAGCAAAAGACTTCCTTTGGCGCTCCGGGATACCAGTGGCGTCTCATGAAGCTGCGCAAGACCTTTGAGCAGGCCAGTGAAGAAGGCAGGTCAATAGAGGATGTAGCGATGGAGAGATATGGCGATATGGCCTCCTTTGAAGAGGCAAAGGCAGAGAAGGCGTACCTCGATGGTCAGGGAGGGGTCAGTCGAGGTCAGCGGGGCGGCACACCAGTCAGACCGCCGGCTGCAACCAACCCCTCCAATCGAAGCTTCATGTTCACAGACTCACCAAACAGCTCTTTTGGGGCAGGAGCGCCCCACTCAAGACCGGTCTCACGTCAGTCCTTCCGCAAACCAGGAGAGGCATCTGCTCCTTCCACGCCGCAACCTGAAGTGCCCACGTCACTATCAGGAGTCGGAAGACTCGGAAGTCTTCGGGGTACAAGTGGTACTCCTCAACAGTCCAAGTCCTCCACTCCGATTCCCACCGTCTTTACCCCTACCATTCCTGCCCGCACCGCGAATGCCGATGCCAATGAGTCTGCGACCGAGCTCAGTGGAACTCCTACCCCTTCACCCGCTGTTCAATCTGCTGTGGCTGCTGCGCAAGCTCGGGACTCAGTCTCAAATCCTCCTCTGGATGCTGCTGCTCTGAACAAGCTCGAGGCCAAGGTCATGAAAGCGGAAATGATGGGAAAGCCCAACGCGCGGAGTCTGCGTGACACACTAGAAAAGGAAAAGGTACGAGCTACCAGCGGAGGTGATCAGGGTGGAGGTCACTTTGAGCAGACTGCCTCTGTGCAGTCAGTCGGATCTTCTGCAGACACCAACGTACAGGTCTTGCCCACTCTGGATGGGCGAGGTAGGCTGTACGACGTTGGGCGTGGCAGGCCTGGAGAAGATGAAGAGCTGCCGCCAGGCAATCGCCGGCGCAAGGCCAACAAGGTGCAGACTCACGATCCGAAGACAGGCGAGTTTGTCCGGTACAATGTTGATGACGACGAAATTACACTGGAGGACATGGTCCGACAGGAAAAGTTCAAGGCGGGCAGCGGCGATCAGAAGAACTACGACGCCGAGCTCGGCAACCGCATTGCCTCGGATGGGGCCTTTAAGGAAGGCTTCGACTACCTCGATGAGAACGTGGAACGCCTTGCGCGGAAGAAGATGCGATCGGACGCTCTCAAGAGGCAGTTTGCTATCAATGACTTTGCCAAGACTAAAAAGGCTCTAGAGTCCTGTCGCTTTTGCTTCCAGGATGAAGGCGAGAAGCCACCTTTGGCGAGACTTGTGGCCAGTGGGACGAGAGCCTACTTGGCCTTGCCGGACAATGAGCCACTCGTAGAAGGCCATTGCTTCATCGTCCCGATCCAGCACCATCTTAGTATGCTGGATGCGGACGATGACACGTGGGAGGAAGTCAAGGTGAGTCGCTTGAAGACCGGATCACCTGCACTAGATTTGAGCTGACAACCACATACCTCGCTCTCTTGCCCCTCCCGCAGAACTTTATGAAATGCCTTCTACAGCTAGCGGACTCTAAGGGGCAAGGCGTAGTCTTCTACGAGACCGTTGTTTCTCTCAAGCAGCAACGCCACACGGTCATCGAAGCTCTCCCTCTCGAAAAGGACCTCCTTTCCTCTCTCCCCGGCAATTTCCGTCAAGAACTGATGAATGTCGAATCCGACTGGTCGCAGCATCACAAGGTCATTTCTTTCACCCCCGACAGACCCTTTAGGCGGGCAATGGTCCCACAATTACCATACTTTATGATTCAATTTGATCATAAAGGGGAAAAGGGATATGGACATGTGATTGAGGGAGCAGAGGCGGGTGAGGCCTTTGAGCAGCAGGACGAGTATGCGATGAGCGAGGCGGCAATGGGTGGTGGGAAGTTCGACAGGTGGTTCGGTGAGTGGTCTCGCGTCAAGGCTGAAGACGGTCCGACTGTCTCAGGTTTTATCCCTGCTGACTCCTCATTCGCTTCATCTCGCCCTTTGTATGCACAGCTGCGGAAGTCATCGGCAGTCTCCTGGACCTCGAGCCCCGCGCCTGGCGCAAACCACGTCGACTGGATCACCGAGCAGGGAGCGAGTTGCTCGCCCGATTCGAGAAGGAGTGGGAACCCTTCAACTGGACCAAGATGCTAGGTCGTGGCGGAGGTGCTGCTTCGTGATGTGTAGTTGCGTTCTTGGGTCTACGGATGTACTATAGCTTGATTGGTTGCACGTGACACGTATGATAGATTCATTCATCCTCCCTGTCATCGAAGGTTTGATGTCCAATCCTCAGTATTCCCCCCACTTCCCTCGATCGCCCCGCCTCATCCCTTTCCACCAATTGCCCGTGTCGCTTTCTCCCTCTCCAGCTGATCTTCCCTAAATGCCTCCCTCGCCCATCGCAGGAATTCTTCCTCGCCCACAGGCTCAGGGCCCTCCTGTACCAGCCCCACTAGGGAGCGCATAAGAGTGCGGGCGTGCCTTTCGTGAGGTGGCTGATGCGAAGCCCGGACGAAGGGAGGATGCTCGATGATGGAGGAGTCGGTGGTAGGGTGGCTGGAGGGCTTGACTGCATCGACCGATGCTGGGACTGCAGGTCTGGCGATGCCCGTAGCGCCAAGATCCCTCGAGTCGAGTGGATCACCTCCTCCTGATTCCTGCTCATCATCTTCTGGAACACCTGACGTACCGTATGAGTCCCAATAGTCATCCTCCTCCTTAGCCTCATCAGCAGGGGCGCAATCTGCTTCGACTGTCACATCGCTCCCATCTGGCCTTTCTTCGTCTCCCTCCCAGCCGCCCCAGAAATCCTCCGCATTGGTATAGAGGTATTGCATCTTCTTGTCCTTCCCTTCCTCATCTCCTGCCTCGTCGGTAGTGGCGGTGGTGATGCTTTGGCAGGAGGAACTGCCAGCTACTGCAGCGGAGACGGCAGCCGTCTTGCTGATTGACCCGAGTATCGCGCCTGGGGAGGGGGATTGCCCCTGCTCTGTCTCACCTTGACGCAAGGAGAGACTTCCTGATATCCCTTGTTCTTGCCGTCTCTCTGTAGGTGCAGTCATAGGCTTGCTTTCCAGCGCAGCATCGAGACTCGAGTACCACTGGCCGGGCGCGGCTGCCAAGGGGAGAAGATTATGGAACCTCCACGCGACCTCATCGTCGATGTCCTCCCTCTTGAGGATTATGGCGAGCGGGTCAGTTCTAGTACTTCCACAGCTAAGACCGACCGAGGCGAGGAGGATACCCTCCTCTGGGCTTTGCCATTGGACAAATTGGATGATGCTGTCTAAAGCACCCTGGGATGTGGAATAAGCGCCGGCTAGCTCCTCGACGTGTCCCTTGAGCTCCTCGAGGGCATTGATCACCCTTGTGGAGGTATCTGGCTGAGTGGCGGGTCCTGCGGTGACCAGATAGTCATCGTGGTCATGAGGGCTAATTCGCAGGAGAGTATGCCGTCTATGCGAGCAGTACAGGAGCAAGGAGCGTCAGAACACCTTTTCTGCCTCAGAGCTCGCCGCCAGAGCGGGCGATACGTACTGGTTCAGCTCACTGCTCTTCATTGCGGCAGGTATGCTCGGAGGATTGGCGAGGATCATTGGCAGGATCTCCACTGCAGCGATCCTTGCTCTTTCCTCCTCTGTATGGCCTTCGGCAGCTTGAGACTTTTGCCGTGGCTGCTTCGACTGCTGTCGCTGCTCCGTCCTTCTCTCAGCAATGACATGACCACCTCTATCTCTCTCCACTAGCTCCTCGCCCTCCTCCTCTTCTTGTGGCGGCAAGAAATCATAGTCACCCAAGCCTGAAGATTCGCCTTGGTAGCTAGTGGAGGCTCCTCTGGGACCAAAGGCAGAATAGCCAGACATGGTATGAGATTCCCTCTTCCGCCCGCACGTCTGCTTGGGGTGCCTGACTGGCTAGCTACCTAGTGTTGAGAAATGCAAGCTCTCCCTGGCTAGCTTGCAGACCAGGGACCCAAGCAAAGGTAAGAAGAGCGGCTGAGATGCCAGACTTCTCTGCCTAGCCCTTCCGTGCGTGCCTGCAGGCAAGGAACGCGGTACCCACACTACCTTGATCGTTGCGGCCTCGAGACCAAGTGGGACCTTGACTCCTGCCAGTCTTCCAGCACCTTGAAGAAGCCAAAGAGGCTCTCAAGTGGTCAGTACCAAGGACAGCTCCTCGTGGGCAGATGCGTGGACTACTTCAGCAGGTCAAGCATGGGGGAGGTAAGAAGCAGCGGGAAGCGGAAAGAGAAGAAGTGCAACCCTCCACTAGACTACCGATACTCCTCACTGAGGAGCCGAGCTGGGTACGCCTTCGGTGAGAGAAAGGCGCCTCTGCTGTCGCAAGACGATGAGGAGGGGTGAAGTGTTACATTGTATTGACGAGGAAAGCAACCGCTCATCGTCCTTCTTTACGCTCTTGAGCCAGCCTCGCAGCTCGCTCCCTCGGCAGCTCCACCGTACTAGTCTGGCTCCTTTCCCCGTCGCTTTGCCGCTCTTCCGATGACTTCTTGTCAACAGCAGCAGTCGCAGCTCCTCTTGCTTCCGTCCTACTCTCCACCGTGCCGCCCCACCACCTCTGCCTCCCCCTCACAAGCCTTTCCCTAACAGCCTCTCTCCAATCTGCCATCCCTTCCTCCCTCTCTTTCCGCCCTACATGACCCCAGATTCCCTCCTCCTTGACGTCCCTATACCTCTTCTTCGCTCGTTCCTTTGCCTCGACCCATCGTTCTCGACCTCTTGCTAGCCTTAGACGGAGAGAGGCTAGAGGGGAGAGGGGGAGACCGTCCAGCCAAGGGGGACGGAGCGATTCGCGGAGATTGGCGAGGGGGCCGGAGCGACGTGGTGGTACGAGTGACTGGGAGAAGGGGGAGACATTGTGGGAGAGGAGGGACGAGGTGTGGAGGAGACCTTGCCGTGACTGGAGAAGAGGGGGAAAGGTGATAAATGAGCGTCAGTAAGACTATTGCGTGCGAATCAGAGACTGGGTACCCGGCACTACATCCCACTCACAGTGTCTATGTGCGCCTTGAAGCGCTTGATGCCGAACTTCTCAATCCTGCCCCACAAGACGGACACATCGCTGGTGATGTGAGCGCTGATGAGACAATGCGTGGGCAGGAATGCTGGTGTGGCACCCACGCTAGTGCCAAGTGCTGCTGCCTCCTTCTCTTTGCCCTTTCCCTTGGCTAGAGGAGCTGTAGAAGCAGTCTTCTGCTGAGCCGGCTCTTCTGGGAGAACCTCGCTAAAGGTCAGCCCTTCAGCAACTGCGAGTACCGTCGTATGGTCCACGTTCCTGGTCCAAGTCCTCATCTGCCTGCCCGTCCTGCCGGCCTGACTCTGTGCCGGAACACCCTGCCAAGTCCCGTCGGCAGGTCTCGCCAATTCACCCCTAGGGGGGTACATCTTTGTAAAGTCAGAGTCTCCCTCTGGTATGACCCCGCCAGCGCTCGAGGCAGATCCACCAGGGAGGTCTCCATCCAGGTCTACTTCGCTCACTTCGAGAACCCAGCTTTCGGAGTTTTTAATCAGACCACGGGGAGCCCAGGAAGGGAGCGTACCCTTCTTGAGAATCAGCCGGGATGTGAGCAGTACCGGGCGGACGACAGAGCCAGAGGATGATGACGACGACGATGTGGAAGCAGAGCTAGCTCCATCTTCCGCTGCCGGAGGAGCTGATGCTACATCTTGCCTCCTGTAGACGATGCGCCGTTCTAGGACATCGGTAGAAAGGACGTGTGGAGCGTATGGATTTGGGTAGCGTAGGAAGTAGGCAGGCGCGAGGATGGCGAATGGCGTTGGGTAGGTCGTCTGAGTCTGATAGGTCTGTACCATTGCACCACGACGATGACTCCAGAGATAGGCAGAGGATGGACAGGAGGGAGGACGTGGTAGGGCAGCGTACAGTCAGACGATGTCGCCTGAGCTCTGCCAATTCATATTTCGATGCGGAAAGCGGAACGGCACACGCGGGGGAACGGAGTCGCAGAGCACTTGGCCCAAGCTCAGTGCGGCAGCCAGCCACGATGAGGGACAGGAGGCGAGGCACCATCCTGGTCACCATCTCCATCACAAGAGCGCTTTCCCCAGCAGCCATGGACAGCATACACTCGCCTTCAGTACCTTTCTCCCCATGGTGATCAGTCAGAGAACAAACCCAGGTAGTCACACGCCTTAGACAATATGCTCGGCCGCACCAAAGCCGCCCTGGGCCTGGCCGGGTCAACCGCCAGTGGATCCTCCTCGTCCTCTAGCAGCAGCGAGAGTCGGCTCGGCGTACCCCAACCCAATGGCAGCAGGTCGTCCACACCATCCACGGCTACCAGGAGGCCCTTATCGCGGTCCAATTCGGCATCGCATCGGTATACCTCTTCGCCGCAGAGGGCAGCCAATCACATTGGATCAGTCGTGGATGACTGGCCCATGTACTCATCACAGCCAGAGGACTACATCCTAGGCGATGTCATCGGGCACGGAGCATCCTCGACTGTCTACCAAGCCGCCTTCCAGCCCTTGAATGGTAGAGCATGTGCAGTCAAGGTCATCGACCTCGAAGCCTTTGGGAGGGACACCGACGAGCTCAGGCGAGAAACACAGCTCATGTCCTTGTCCAAGCACCCAAATGTTCTCCGTGTCCGAGGCTGCTGGGTCCAGGAAACAAAGCTCCACATCGCTACTCGATTGATGAGCTCGGGTTCCATGCTGGACATCATGCGCTTTGCTCACACTGACGGATTTCACGAGGACGTCATCTGCACAGTGCTCAAGCAGGCACTGCAAGGACTCGACTACCTACACGTCAATGGCTGGCTGCACAGGGACCTCAAAGCTGCCAATCTACTCGTAGACGAAGACGGTACGGTCCTCTTGGGCGATTTTGGCGTAGGCGTCTGGGTTGGAGAGGGTCGCTCGATAGGCCGAAGCGGCAGTGTGGGCGGCAAACGCAAGTCCTTTGTAGGAACGCCGTGCTGGATGGCCCCCGAGGTCATCTCTCGCCGAGACTACAGTTCCAAAGCCGACATTTGGTCTTTCGGTATCACCGCTTTGGAGCTCTCGCAGGGTCATGCTCCTCACTCCCGTCTCCCTCCAGTAAAAGTTCTGATGAAGACGCTCGATGAGGAGTCTCCCAGATTGGACATGGTTGGAGGAGCCCACCGCTACTCCAAAACCTTCGCAGATTTTGTCGATCTTTGTCTACAAAAGGAACCGGACAAGCGGCCATCGGCTGCAGTTCTCCTCAAGCACCCCTTCTTCAAGCATGCAAAGCCTCAGAAATACCTGATCAATGCGATTCTAGCAGATCTGCCACCCCTAAGCGAGCGGCAGGAAAGATTCAAGAAGAGGGCCATGAGCATACAGACTTCTCGCTATCTTCAGAGCTGGGACTTCAACGTCGAATCTCCAACGACCAGCCCCTCTGTCGGCAGGATGCTGAACCTTACCGCCTCCGCAGGCAGTGGAAGCTTCGACCCCTTCTCGGGCTTCGAAGGGAGCGTCAGCAGCCCTGGCCCTGCCAGTGCACGTAGTAGCAGGATAGCTCCGCGGCGCGTGAGGATGCAATCTTCTTCTAGCTCCACTGGGGCGACGGGCGAATCTGCTCCACTGGCTCCTACCTCTGGAGGCGGGATTGTGAAGAAGATATTGAGCATAGACGGCGAGCATGCGATTGTCGTCGAAGACGAGGATGGGCTCGAGGACAGTCACCCGGACTTTCACGATAGCGAAAATGTCCAAGAGGCCGACGAGGCACTGGCTAGTGGCACGTCTGCTCTCGCTTTGAACTTCGCGATGCCTGCCTCTTCTCCGGAGGACGCCGCAGGCTCCTCGACAGGGCATGTTGAAGGCACACGAAGCGCCATGACATCCTCGCCTTTAGGAGATAGAGCAGAGCCGAATCACCATCCAGAAGAGCACCACATGGAAGGGTCACCAGGCCGAAAACTACGTATAGCGTGAGCATCTTGGGAGTGTCCGATGTGAGGAGTCTCGGTCGGACGGGTGAGTCTCGCGGCCAAATGGTGAAGGAGAGACATAGCTATGACAGAGCAAGACAGTCGAAAGTGCAGCTTATTGACACCTCGGTTCTCTCTTCTCTTCCCCTCACCCTTCTAGTATCGTGTCGGACTTCTTCTACCCTAACCTCGGAGGAGTGGAAGGTCATATCTCGGAAATATCTGCCCTCCTGGTTGCGCCCCCATTCAACCACCATGTGGTCATCATCACCCACGCCTACGCTCCATCGCGCATTGGCGTGCGTCATCTCTCGACTGGCGTGACGGTGTACTACCTCCCGCTGAAAGTGATAGCCTCGCAGGCCACGCTTCCGAACTTCTTCACCTCACACCCACTCCTTCGGTATATCTTCATCCGGGAACGCATCCAGCTGGTGCACGCCCACCAAGCCCTCAGCTCGCTCGCCCACGAAGCTCTCTTCCACGCCAGGGAAGCCGGTATCAAGACGGTCTTTACGGACCACTCACTCTTCTCCTTGGACGAGGATGCAGCTAGTATCTTGACAAATAAGCTGCTCCGCTTTGTGCTCAGCGATGTGGATCGGGTTGTCTGTGTCAGTTATGCTGCCAGGGAGAATACGGTGCTGCGAGCCGGAATCAGGGATCCCGGGAGGAGGGTCGTAGTGATCCCTAATGCCGTCGACGGGGAAAAATTCAAGCCCCTTACGCTGAAAGAGCAAAGTACACGATCGTCAGGCTTGCATCGCTATGCCCTTGAGGATGACGGCTCCTGCTCCTCCTCCAGCTCGCCTATCGAAGATTCTACAATCTCGCGCAGGACGACTATAGTGATCCTCTCCCGCCTGATGTACCGCAAAGGCATCGACTTGCTCATCGAGGCCATCCCACGCATCTGTCTCGCCCATCCCGAAGTCGACTTTCTCATCGGTGGTGACGGACCCAAGCGTGTCGAACTAGAACAAATGCGGGAGCGCTGCCTTCTACTGGACAGGGTTCAGCTGGTAGGCTCTGTCAAGCAGGGTTCAGTGCGCGACCATCTCACGCGTGGGGAGATTTTTCTCTCTCCGTCGCTCACAGAGGCTTTCGGCACATCTCTCATTGAGGCCGCTTCCTGTGGACTGCTCATCGTTGCTACCGAGGTGGGGGGAGTACCGGAGATTCTCCCTTCCCCCGAGATGCTCCTTCTCGCCGCGCCCAATACAGACGAGCTGGTGCGCGTCGTGTCCCTCGCTGTGCACAGGGTGAGAACACAGCTGGAGAGCGGAGATTGGGATCCTTGGGCCGTTCATGCGAGGACGAGGGGGATGTACAGCTGGTCAGAGGTGGTAAGACGGCTAGAGGGGGTGTACTTTGAGGCGATGCGCGAGAGGAGGGTGAGCAGGATGGAGAGGCTAATGCGGTACTGGGACAATGCCGGGCCCGAGAGTCCCACCCAAGGTTCAGCCACCATTAACAGCTCCGACGGCAGAACTGGTACTTTCAGCGATTGGCAGATCAAGAAGAGTTGGGTAGCGGGAGGCGTCTTCTGCATCGTGGTCATGGTCGACATGGTCTTTGCGTGGCTCCTTGAGTGGGGTTGGCCAAAGGCAGATATCGATGTGGTCCTTCCAGTAGCGCCCGGAGTAGCCTCTGAAACTGCGAGCGAGGAGGAAGAGGAGGCGCATGTCTGGAATGGAGACGAAGACAGGCGGGGCAGAACGACTGGGAACGATTAGTCGAAGGAGCGGCAGCATCAACATCTTTCGAGCGAACCTCATAGAGTGGCACAGCATATGTAATGTAATTATTCATCATCATCAGATCCTCCATATCTGCGACCGACTTCGGCTCATTCCCACCGACCGCGATCATCCGTTGCCCTCAGCACGCCGGAAGGCACGACGATTCCGTCTAGCGTGCGGTCGTACTCGTCTTGCGGCACTCGCTCGCCGGAGGGGAGTACTTGTGGGGTCAGGCCTAGCGCGACTGAGTAAGGGAAAGGCCGAGGAAGTGGGAGTGCTCGTCAGTCTCATCGCTTCAGCAGAACAGACACTGCTCAGTACTGCACTGCGACTCACCACAGACCGGTCCCGCCTTTCCTCTCTGCTGCGCAAACTCCTCGCATCGCGCCAAATAACGGTCGTAGTATCCCTTTCCGTGGCCCAATCGACCGGCCTGTTCGTCAAATGCCACTCCGGGGGAGAGGATCAAGTCCAGCCCCGATCCGCCCGTGGAGGGATCAAGAGCGTTCTCCCGTCTTACGCGCTCGTTCTGACTCTGACTTTGATCAGGACTCGGGGAGCCCTGGCTGATCTCTTCAACACCAGCAGCATATTCCTCTTCGGGCTCGCGGATGCCCCATCGATTCATCTTCATGCCTTCGTATTCGGCTAGAGTACGCAGACGGAGCATGCGCATGTCTGATGAGAAGGTAGAGGCGGGAGACTTTAGAGAAGAAGTGCTAGAAGAGGTGGCTGAGCTTGCAGCGGAAGAGGCGGGAGCTGCGAAGAGAGGTACGTAGAGTCGCTTGCCTGATGCATTATGTCGGGAAGATGCATCAGCTACGGAGCTCAATCACCACGCCAGCTCTATGCTACTTCCTCGAACTAACCTGCCAGGAGCGTATGGCGGCAGAGGTGATCTGTATCCACCTCTCCTGATGCCATTGAGACATAGACTGAGATGGCTTCTGCTCGCTGGTACGTTGGCGAGGCGAGGATACGCCGGGTGACATGCTCGGCTGGGAGAGGGGGCAAATCGAACGTCAAAATCGCTCCTCTGACTGCCCTATAATCGATTCTCGTCTGCCAGAGAGATTCTTGCACCAGCTCATCATTGCTGCTCACACTGCTCTAGGATTTCTTGTCGGGACATTTGCGCTAACCGCTGTGCCATGGCCTTTCGCATGCTTCGCTTGGCTGTCCGCAGTCCAGCAGCGGAAGCTGCTGCTGCATTAGTGGCTGCCATGTTCGCCTCTTGACCTGCCGAAGCCATACGAAGAATGGGCAGCTGGACAGATCCTCAGGCCTGAATACAGGGGAGATTGAGCTGTACAGACTCGAGCGGAAGCAGGAGCAAAGTGCGACACAATCGGAAGCGGAAGCAGCGGTCATCTCGTTTGTGCCTGGACGCCACGCGCACGCGGGCGAGGCCCTGATGTTGGGGATGTGGAGGGCATGTGGCGCACGACATCCTTCTTCCTCTTCGACCCCTCCTTTACCTTTACGACATCATATCCAACTACTACTCATATACCACAACCACACCACACACATCTTAACAAACACGCCAGTCATGCCTCGTGGATACGCAATCAAGGACACCAAGAAGCCAACTGACTTCGAGGTCATCGAGTTCGAGCTCAAGAAGCCTGGAGACCACGATGTCGACGTCGCAATCGAGTGCTGTGGTGTCTGTGGAAGCGACCGTGAGTAGGCGTGGTCACGTCGCCATTTGAGCTGCTCAACAAAGATAAGGATTGTCTGCTGACTCCTTCATGACCCATACCCACCCTTCTGCTGACAGACCACACCATCACTGGTGGATGGGGACCTCTAAGTGGGCCCTGCATCCCTGGTGAGTCAGCATGGCCGAGCATCTATGCGCTCAGAATGCCGATGCTCATCTTCCTCTGCCCTCTCTCTCTCTACAGGTCACGAGATCATTGGTACTGTTACCCAGGTCGGCAAGTCTGTCAAGGACCCCAAGATCAAGGTCGGCGCTCGTGTTGGTGTCGGAGCTCAGGTGGACAGCTGTGGAGAGTGCGCCAACTGCAAGAACGAGAGTGAGCAATATTGCGTCGGCAACAAGGAGGGCACAAAGGGAATGGTCGACACCTACAACTCGACTCACCACGACGGCACAGCCGCTCAGGGAGGATACAGCACTCACATTCGTACCCAGGAGCAATTCGTCTTTGCTATCCCCGATGAGATCGAGTCCACCGACGCCGCCAGCATGCTCTGCGCCGGTCTGACCGTCTACTCTCCGCTGCTGCGAAACGGCGTCAAGAAGGGCACTCGAGTCGGTGTTGTTGGTCTGGGTGGTCTGGGCCACTACGCTGTGCTCTGGGCCAAGGCCATGGGTGCAGACGTGACCGTCATCTCCCACTCTCCCCGCAAGGCCGAGGACGCCAAGAAGCTCGGCGCCAGCGAGTTCATCTCTACCAAGGAGAAGCCCGACTGGGCCTCTGAATTCGGTCGAGAGAAGCCCCTCGACATCATCATCTCCACTGCCTCTTCCAACGCTGTGGACATTCCCGCCTTCCTCTCCTCTCTTTCGGTTCACGGCCGCCTGATCTTTGTCGGTATGCCAGAGGACGAGTTCAAGAGCCTGCGCAGCCAGCAATTCGCCGGCAATGGAGCCCTGCTGGGTGGTAGTCACATCGGTAGCAAGGTCGAGGCATTGAGCATGCTGGATCTGGCGGCAAAGGAGAAGATCAAGCCTTGGATCGAGGTGCTGCCCATGAAGGACTGTGGCAAGGCTATCCAGAGACTGGCAGACGGTGATGTTCGATACCGTTTTGTTCTGACGCAGGACCTCGAGGACCACAAGAAGGCTGCTGAGAAGGCTTAGAGAGTAGGTCAGTTCGAGCAAGAGACGCGGATGAAGGAATGCTGCACGCGCAGAGGGGAAGGAGGCTTCGTGAGCAGGAGCTCACTCACTCCGGCGGGCGCTGTAGACCCGGCCAGCCCCTGGCCTGATTAAGGTTCACCTTTTCTCCGTGTATCAATCTTATCCCGATGTGCCTTTTTTCCGCGCTTGCATATCTTTCTTCGCCGAGCAATCATGACAAAGTCTCGACCTGTCCAGCCAAGCCGATGCACCCCCTTGATTAGGGAGAGAGGGGAGGAACGGAGAGATGAAGTAAGAGCGAATGCCTCTTTGACCCGCTTGTCCTCCTTGCCTCGTCGTAGAAAGATGCAGGCACAATCGCGACACTATCTCTGCCTTTTGCCGATGCCAACCCCGCCATGAACCCCGCCTTGTCCCGCGATGCTCGCCAAGGCACGTTTCCTCTGTTCCTCCTGCCCCCACGTCTCCCCTACCTCCACTCCCCCTCTTTCCCCTTTTCCCCCCTGCTCTCTACTTCAGGCAAGGGAAAAAGCCTGGCCATCTGTTTCTCCTGACCCAGGTCCTGGCAAGGCGAAGAGGGAGAGAAGCAATCCTCGTGGCGTTCCGCTTTTGAGCTACGCTGGTCTGAGCTGAGAGGGGTGGACAGAGTACAAGGGGGGCAATGCCTCAGCTCTCGTGTGGGTCGAGGTTGTCCCTCAGTCTTCGGCTGGCTGGGAACTGGCAGCTCGGCTTTGTAGCGAATCTAGCGACGCTATCTCGCTTCAGACATGTGCCGACTCTCAGCGTGGGCCGGCAAGAGTCTGAGCAGAGCGGAGAGGGGGAGATCAACACAACAACAACACGACAGGACACGCGACGCCCTTCTCCCTCCTACTCATGTGCGACGGGACCCGTCTTGACGCTATATCTCTCTCTCTTCCAAGCACTTCTTACGCACGGATGGTTCATTCCGGTAGCCTTTGTGCATATACAAGGCGTGCAGCTTGTGCCTCGCGTGAAAAGCAGGCAAAGGCAAAGCAGGGACCTCGGTCATGGGCCCTGATGCGTTTGGCCCGCCTATCTCTCGGCATGCGCGTCGGCCCACGCCACGCCATGCGACGTTAAGTTTTCTCTTCTTTCTTTTGCTTTCTAGGCTAGGCAAGACAGGCGCTGAGCTGAGCTGAGCTGGATTGATTGCTTCTTGTGCTTCTTCGAAAAAAGAGGGGACTGCTCCCTTCTCCCTCTGTCTGCGTGTGTGAGAAAATTGATCGGGAGATGGACAGAGGCGCGCGCCCTGGACGCGACTGGCCTCGTGGGCCCAAGCAACATCACCACAGGACAGCCGGCGGCAGGCAGCAGCACCGCGCCGGGACAGGGAAAAGGAGACGAGGAGCCGGGTGCCGTTGGCCCAGGGTGGTGTTGGTCGGAGTGGCAATTTCACTTGCACACACGCACGCACACACACACACACACACACACACACACACGCGGACAGACAGCATCTCTCACTGACGTCCCTCGTCCCTGCGCCTGTCCGTCCGTCCCTCTGTCCGCTCATCCTCGACTCAACACTATACACACACTTGACTCTCTCTTCGTCGTCGTTCCTTCCTTCCTTCCTCCTTGCCTTACCATCGCTCCCTCTAATATCATCGCCCCCGTCCTTGATCTTAATCGCCGTCGAGCCCTACCTTACCCAAAGCACCTCCGCCGTCCTTTTCGCTTCCCACGCTCCCCTTTCCGCACGCAACGCTCACTCTCCAAAGAACGCTCGACGCCCAACGCCCAGCCCTCCTATCTCGCTACGGCTCCTCAGCCTACAGGGAGCCCCGGCCTGGCGACAACAAGATAGGACCGGCTACTTTTCCCGAGCTCAAACGACCCCATCACGCAAATAGCCCTTCTCTGATTCTCTCCCCCTTAGGGGTGCTCAAGTCACTCTTCGACTCCACCTGCCACGTTCCTTGGCCATCTCTAGCGCAAGAGTGACAACACCCCCCGGCTCTCTGTCTTTGCAAAGAAGCTACCATACCCCATTGCAAGTATCAGGGCTCAAGCTTGCATACCTAGCCTTGGACCTCTCGCTCACCATGCTCTCGGGTGCAGCGCAACAACCCGCTCCCCGTCCTCGTCCACCGAGGGCGGGCACGAGGAGCAGAAGCTACCTCAAGAGCAGAGACACCAACGTCATGAGCCCCTCATCCCCAACGGCCAACATTGACGAAAAGGCTTTTCCGCCTCAGCCTCAGGAGCCTACAGTGGCATGTCATGCCCTAGGAGCTGCCATACAGCTCGATCAGGACCTAGACTTGGACCTGCCGCCTGGACTCACCGCGGCTCTATCCAGTACAGACCGATGGGGCAGAACCTCCCCATCCCTGCTGTCTCCGACAGGTGAGGCAGATCTACGCTCGTCACCTGACGCTTACAATGGGCCAAAATGGGGTCGAGGTAGCAGAAGTCCCCTCAGTAGGACAAGGTCGCCCACACAACCAGGCTCGAGTGAGAACCTCCGCTCCTCTACCCCTCCGCTTCGTACTTCATCTCCATTGGCTCCCGCTTCAAGTGCTAGGCGAGGATCTCAAGCAGATATGCTCACCGAAACTCTCAACGTCGTAGCCCATCAGCAGCCTCAGCAAACAGACGCCGATGATGAGCTCGACAGGGCTTGGTTGGGTGGACTGCCCCGGGAGGAACTCGAAGCTCTCCTCTTTCAGGCCAATGCCGTCATCCAGGAGCGCGAGAGAGACCTCGGCATCGCTGCCGCTATCGGACAGGCTCTGCTACAGAAGAACACTAGCCTGAGAAGGAAGCATGAGGAAGTGATGGATCGATTCCATGCTACTATGGAAGCCGGCGAGGCTGATGAGGATGAGGAAACTGAGAATGCAGGCCATGCCAGGGAGGATGCCGACATCTCAGATCCTCCTATGTACTCACCTCCCAACGTCAACTTAGCTCCTGAAGGAACTACGTCAAGCACAGACGATACGCCAATGCCCACGCCTACTCACGCCTCAGACTACTTTCAGTACGCAGCGGTCCCCGAGCACGGCTCTGCTTCGACATCGCAACTGCCTCGGTCTCCTTCTGCCAGCTCGACATCATCGTCAAAGTACCCCGAGAGCAGCGCCTTTGCTCATATGGTACCGTCCACTTCTGGTCTCATCTCCTCTACACCTCAGTCACCGGCCGGCAGCACGAGATACAGCGCGTCTGTCGTCAGTCCTGGTTCACAATCCCACTATAGGCAAAGGCATCAGGCCGTCATCTCGGCTTCGATGACGCAAAAGCAACTGTCTGCTCTGTCTGCTCAGAATGAGACTCTGCTTGCACAAGTTGCTGAGCTGCAGGCGGAGGCTGAGGACGCCAAGAAGGACGGAAGCAAGAGGCTACGGAAACTCAACAGGGAGATAAAAGGGCTGCAGGAGGAGCTGGAGAGCGTCACGGAGAGGAACGTTGAGCTCGAACTGAGCAAGACGCCCAAGAAGGCATGGTCGAGGCGGGGCGAACCCACCGGCAGAGAAAGCACGTCACCGACCGCCATCTCTTCACAAAATCAGTCGCCAACTGAGGCGAGCCACCGCCCGGCTTCTCTTCACCTCTCAACAAGCAGCGAGAGTCTGTCGAGCACTCTACACGCCCTGCTGAAAGAGTCTCCTGGTAGTGAGGCCACAAGTGGTGCAGAGAAGTCGCTGGTGGCACGCCTCCTCGCAAAAGTCAAGGAATTGGAGCAGACCAACGCCGCTCTTGAGCAGGCCAGGAGAGAGCGAGACGGCAGATTGGGCGCCGCTCTCAGGGAAGGTGTGAAAATTACGGACGAATACGACGCAGTCCTGCACCTTCACGAGAGCGAAATGTCCTTTGCGCTTTCCGGCGGCCGTGACGATGACGAACTTACGGACGATGCAAACTCGGTGGCCTCTCCGAGCTCACTAACGAGCCCTCACCAAGTAGGCGGATCTAGCAGCAGGCGGGCGCTCGGCAACCGCTGGCAGGTCGAGACTCGCCGCACTGTCCGAAAGGCGCTTCGCCGCCAACGCACCGCCGAGGAAATCTGGGGGCCGCAGGGTCATTTCGCTCATGACGGGCTTCCGGCATCAACGACGGATTCTACCTTGTCGAGTATGCGCAGCAACAGCACCACGAGCTCGCCATTCTCTTCACCTCGAAAACCTCGGCGTCAACGGAGCGCTTTGAGCATGAATCGTCCTCGCATCTTGATCACGCCCAGCATGGAGGATCTGGCGGCCAAGAGGAAGGAGCAGGCTGAAGGCTGGGTCGACCGCGATGAGGAAGCAGACCATCCCAATGTCTATGATGGTCTGGCTTCTCCGATTCAACCACCTCGAAGCAACTCTCTTGATCCCAGCGATGCCCATACCATCGTCAAGAGAGCAAGCGATGAAGCTCTCAGAGCAATGAGGCAGCGACAAGCGGAAGAGGACGAAGGCAGGGCTTCGACTCCTGTGCAATCGCCCGGCTCTCCTGCATGGCACTCTCATGCTACGGAGAGAGCATTGCGCCGGCGGGCATCAAGTGCAGAGCACAGTGTCGCCTCTTCGAGCTCACGCCGACCTCACCGTGTCTTGATGACTTCATTGGGCAGCGAGCTGGGTAGTGTCCTAGGAGATAACGACATGGATAACGACCCGACGGGCGATGTGACAAATACCTCTCTATTGCGCCTCTACTACGAGAATGCGTCTCCTTCGCGCACACGAAGTGCGGACTTGACACTGACGTCTGCCTATGGCGCTCTCAGCCCCACGGAGGCCAGTGCACCTGCACACCTCTCGATTCGACCACAACTCAAGATGCAGCCTAGCACCGAGAGCATCGCGGTCTCGGACATTGCTGACCTACGTTACGAGAAGCCTGGGCAGGATGAGCCTTCCTTGAATGGACAGCCTCGATTGATGCTTTTGAAAGGCAGTCCGCACGATGCACGTTCAGTGGACAGTCAACTTACCAATCGGGTCTTGGCCAGGGAAGGAGGCTGGTTCAACGGTAGTGTAGCCACTGTTGGAGGTGGCAAAGGCCGTGCCTCAGAAGAGGACCACATCGTTTCCTCTGGCGCACTGCGAGACCGTCTTGAGCCCAGAGAGGAACAGTACAGTCTCCTCGAGCGGGTCATTCAGGACCAACCTGTCATCTGGGCCGACGACGAAGACTATGGTGTTCCGCTCAAGGAATCCGAAGCACGACGCCTTGGCCTGCTCGCTGCTGCCACACCCGTCCTCGGGATCAGCAGACGAAGCACTCTTACCCGAGGTCTCCTGGACTGGGCCGGTCTCTCCTCGGCCCAAGACAAGAGGAAGAAGAGCGGGGCAACTCAGGCAAGAAATGCCTCTATGATACTCAGCTCGGAGCAGCTCGAGGAAGAGGAGCGTCGAGAAGCGTTGCTGCGCGCAAAATACCACCGGGCTCTCCAAGCCAGAGGCTTCGAGTCTTCGAGAGAAGGCGATGACCTTGTGGAAGAGTATGGGGCTGACCATATCGGGGACGATTCTCTCGAGCAGGAAATCGAAGAGCGAGCCTGGGCTATCTCTTCAGCACGATATGCAAAAGAACAGGGGCAGAGCAACGCAGGCGAAGTGCCACGCCGCCGCAGGACTGGCGGAGGGAGGGCAGGTCCGCAAGTGTATCACCCTCACTCCATTCACCTCTCTCGTCGCGGGAGCAGGACAAGTCTCCTGGACGAGGACGAAGAGGTCCTGGATGAGTCTCGTGTGCCAGATACCAACCCAGCCGAGTCCCTCATGCCCAGCAGCGGTTCCTCCACCCTGATCCGTCGTCGACCACACCGAGGCACAAGCACAACTGCCGGCCGAAGCACTAGCGAGAGCAGCAGAGGCCGTTCACCAGCGATCAGTCTTGATGCCGGTCTGGCCACCTTGAACGAGGTCGTTGCCTGGGCCTCGCTCGTATGTGTACTCATCGTCGCCTTCTTCGTTAGTGCTAGTCGTGGAGAGCTTAGCCCTCGTAGGATCCTTGGGACGGGAGGTGGAAGTGCACATGGGTATGGACACGGACAGGGATCTGCACCTGTCGGTGGGCGCGGGCGTGGTGCAAGGAGAGGCGTTGCGCCTGCGCCTGCACCTGCGCTCGGCATGGGTATGGGTATAGGCGTAGGTGCACCAGGAGCGGGTAGGACGGGCAGTCGTGGTAGCTAGACTAGGCCAGACAGACGCACGCCATGGCTTTTCACTGGCGACTGAGACTGGACTTTCGTCTTTACAATCTTTCGGAAGACATTATCCATTGTATACTTTAATGAAACACACACACACACACACACACACACACACAC